GTTTTCAGCATTCATCATTTCGAGATCCGATGAGGAGTCAAAGTTTGTGTCATACCCATATCTCCTTACCCATCCTTTTGAGGTCAAACATGGATCTCAACAAATGAGAATATTTCCATAATCGAATTTTCTACTCAAATGATCTTGGATACTGATTACTCAACCCCACCTCTCCGAACCAAGTTTCAAGACAAGGGGGCAACTTGAGCCAAATATATATCCACAAAGATGCCCGAGATGAGCCACCATTCTCAATGAAAATGAAACTTCCTCGACAAAGATCTCCTCAATCCATCAGTCGATCTCATACTTTGGGGGCAAGCCAAATATCCCTCCACAAGAAACTTTTTACGACAAGAAGGGATTATCTCATATTTCCATCAACCCATCTCATACCTTGGGGATAAGCCAAATATCCCTCAACACGAAGTTTCACATGACTAAAGTCAAATTCCATATACATTTCCTTTACCCGCCTCTCATTTGGGGAAAGTAAACTTCTCAAAACACGAGAACTCTTACGATTGGAACCCATATAGAAAAAGAGCCTCGTTTCTAGAAAATTCAAGAAATCCCACAACAAGACCATACAGAGATTACATAGAATCTCAATGATCGTCAACTTATACCTCCGACAGATTTTTCCATCAACTTGGCGACAAGAATCTTGATAGTAGCCAAAGTGTCGTATACTCGAAGCACCCATAGGAATGAGTGTGAGCAAAATTGAGCGTGAGAATGAAAGTGAGGGCTTGTGAATATTCTCATGGCTTGACTTCCGAAAAGAACGAATTTTTAAACAAGGTGACAATAACCACACAAGAAATCATTTTTCTCATATTGCACACAATTCCCCCAGCAAGGCTTTGATTTCAAAAGTCAAGTTCCCATTATATCCTCTTAAATGATTTTTTTTCAAACATTGTTTGCATTCATCTTAAGTCAAGATTGGTAAAAGTCACACTTTGTTCCGAAGAATGGAAGGCGAATAACACATTCTCGGGGGCAAGATAGTGCCACTCAGAAAGAAAGAAGAAAGTGGTTCTCCAAATCCACCAAATCATGAGTAAATGGGAAATCTCATAGATCTTGAATCATTTTTGTTCAAGATACCCTACCAATCAATCAAACTATCCGTCAACCAAGTATTTTTGTACCTCATACCTCCCGATGAGGTCAATCAAGCATGTCTAGAAAACCGACATCAACAAGACAATACCCAGAGATAACAAATTTCTCTTATCCAAGCACGACATGCTCACATAGTAAGAAGATCAAGCAAACTAAATGAGCACATTATCCTGTGACCAGCATGCTACAAAATCCTCCCATAGAAACAACCTACCAGGCACATCCCATGAAAAGATCATATGGCTAATACATCAGCCACCCAAGAATCAATGTCCAAGGTGTTACAAAATCCTCTTACAGAAACAACCTACCAAGCACATCCCATGAAAAGATCATATGGCTAATACATCAGCCACCCAAGAATCAATGTCCAAGGTGGAGAAAACAGAAGACCAACCTTCCATCAATCCCCATAAGCGACATACCTTGTGCTCACTGAGTATATAAAAGAGGATAAACTAGATGGCAAGCCCAGTACCTCGAGATAGTGACACACACCAAAGAAATAAAGTACCCATGCCGGCAGTATGTTACCCCATCGCGAGCACAACCAAGGATCAATTTTACTAAAAGGGAATGACATATTTTCCTTGTGGATGATCGATTTTAGAGAATCCATGAAAAAAAAACATCAAGACCATGATGAGGGATTATACTCTTTCTTTTGCATACCATCGAGACATCATCCTATAACCCATCATACAACCTTTTTCGAAAGCACTTCACACGCATCGAATGGCATCATTCGATGCACTTCAAACTAATCATATGGCATCATCTATAAAAAAATTCATAGCCAAATTAAATATCATTCATTCTCAAAATTCATTTAAAGTAGATGTACCCTTCCAACATATCTCATCACAATATTGCATCATATCATATCACAAAATACCTTGCATTTGCACATATGCGGAAGTCAAAATTCAAATCTTTACCAATATCAAGTTTGTCACATACCTTAGATCTACCTAAGACCACCAATTGCTTGTTTCAACCACTCATGTCAATCACAAAAAATCTATACCACTCGTGATCAAGTTAAACTTTCACATATCCTCGTGAATTTTACCGCCATGATACACGTGATCAAACAGGCTATACCGCCACGAATAAAAATCCAAAATCAGGCTCTATCACCACAAAATCTCAAATCTGGCTATATCGCCACGGGAACAAGATAACCTCAAATCAGGCTATACCGCCATGCAGAACCCAAAGCAGGCTATACCGCCATTCAAAAAAATAAAAAAACAGGCTATACCGCCTTACATAAAAATAACGCAGGCTATACCGCCAAACAAAAATCAAAGTAGGCTATACCGCCATACAAAAAGAATCTAAATCAGGTTATACCGCTACCGGATCATTAAAAAAAAAACCAGGCTATATCGCCACAAGACTAAAAACAAGTCAAGCTATACCGCCATTGGACCAAAAACCCAAATCAGGTTATACTGCCATGGAAAACACTCCTAAAACGGGCTATACCGACAAGAAACCAGAAAACTTTAGTCAGGCTATACCGCCACGATACCTAAATACCAACTCAGGCCCTACCGCCAAAATACCAAATACCAACTCAGGCCCTACCACCAAGATACCTAAATACCAACTCAGGTCTTATCGCCAAAATTCTTAACTACCAACTCAGGCCCTACGTCCAAATAACCTAAATACACTAATGCAGTGGCTATCGCCAAGACACCTAAAAACGCTAACGTAGGCGGTACCGCCAAGAAACCCAAAAGCACTAACGCAGGCGTTACCGCCAAGAAATCCAAAAATCACTAACACTGGCCCTACCGCCATGATACGAAAAACAAAATCGCAGGTTATATAAAAAAACAAATGAACAACCTATGCTACCACATGAATTTACCTTACCTCACCTTAACTTACCGATAGGGAGTGGGCTAGCGCCCCAACCTTGCAATTTATAGCAATAATTAACCGGCCAAAAATGGTATGCTATAATAACTTTGTATACCTCTCAAAATACCAAGAGATATACAAAGGGGGGCAACTGTAGACACCACTCTTTGTCTGGGTTAGAACATATATTTAATTAAATAATTTTAGTGTTTTGTCTAAAGTTTGCAATAGCAAATCCTAAATGACATTCTAACTAAAACATATTTGCAGTGCTTGTAATGGGTTTTGTTTGCCATAACTCGACGATATTAACCAATAGCAAATCTCGACTAGTATAATTGATAGTGAGAGAGTTGAGTTGTGTTGCTTTGATTTGACGAATTAGGCAATTTGTGAATTGATCTTTGATGAATTGGTTATTAAGTTTTTGGACTGGGTGAGGATTGTACTTTGATTTTGAAGCAATAAAAATATTCGAATTAAGAAAAGATAAATAAGCATATTATTAAACTAAATTCGAATTAAATCAAATACAAATAAAAATTACAATCACAATGCTATTCCATTAAATTTACAAATAAAATACAACAATAAAATAAATCAAGACCTAAAGTCATAGTCAACTTTCGGTCAATTCAGTCAACAAAAGTCAAAGTCAGCCAACCCAATCAGGTCTGACCAAACCCAAACTGGTCCGACCCGAATCCAGACCACTACTGTAGCAGAACTTGGCGCACAAGTAGCCATTTTTCCTATAAAAAGAGAGCCCTCTGGCTCTTACAAGGGGAGAGAGATTTTCCTTCTGATGACAAACGAAAACAAAAAAAACAGAGGGTTCTTCTCTTCCTACTACTTCTTTCCTTTTCCCCTGGGAAGAACAGATCTTCTCTTCCTCTTTTCATCTTCGGTTCTTGCACAAAGAGAGAGAGAAAGAAAGACAACAAAAAGAAAATCCACAAACCATGAAAGGGATGAAAGGGACATGGAGCAGACCCCCTCTCCTCTTCTTCCTCTTCTTCTTCTTCTTCTTCTTCTTCTTCTTCTTCTTCTTCATCTCCTGATCATTCCCCAACGCCTTCCATTTCCCCTGCTAAACACACACAGACAAATAACTAAGCTCAAAAACTGAACAGATGGAATCCCTCTTCCCCCTTCGGCTCTAACAAATACTCACAGAATATACAAAAGAAGAGGAACGTTCTTCTACCTCCTCTCTTTCTTTTTCGTACAAACGTCACCATCATAATGAAAAAGCAGTCAAAGACAGAAAAGACTCCATACCACGTTTTCCTCTTGTTACCAAGCATCAACAACAAATAAGAAAAAGACAGCAGCAGCCAGAGAGCAGCGGCAACTCTACAGCAAACATTCTGCTTCTTTTCTTACACACAAAAGACCCACCACAAGAGGCAATAAGTTTCCAGCAGTCAAACCAAGCGAAGACAGAGGAAAACAGCTTCCTCCCCTCCCCCAAACTACACGAACATGTGGGTATCCTAAATCTTTTTCATCTTTCCATCATCATCATTTGCATCGCCGGATCTAAGGCTAATTATCTAAGGTTTTCTCAAAAACAAATCAATCAATTCCAAGCAAACACTGGCATACTGATTTTGTATAAAAGAGGAATCTCAATCTACCACCAATCAAACTACAAATGACCAAATTGATTTAAAAAGACACCAAACTCAATCAATCACAATCAAATTACAATCTGACTCTAATAATCTGAAAAGTAATGATATTGAATCCACTCCAAGCAAAATAAAAGTGACATACTTCACCATATTAGCAAAGTAACCAACACATCAGATTTATTTCTTTCCATCTAAGGTTGTTGCCCACGCATAATTCATCTTGCCATTTTAATACTTCCATGCTTAAGCTCATTACTAGCAAGAGTTAGATCTGCAATTTTATCTTTGTTTCCCTCTTCTCAGTTTTGTTTATTGTACTCACCATATATATAAATGCTAAACTAACACCCAACTCATGCCATAAGCAAAAGTAGATTCGGCTAATAATAATAAGCTAATACAAACTCGAAGACTTATTAGACTCGATTATGTGAAGCTATTTTAGAATAGCTCTCTCGGTTTTAAGGGCTCATGTCTAACCATAGCAAACCCCATATTTCATCCATCACAAACTCAAAACCCACATTTGAAACTAAATCAACGAAAGACAAGGTAACCACAAGCAATAGCAGTGTTTATGGTCTTTTAAAGTTCATTTTCCACTTTGTTCGGTTTAAAAAATTCTGAAACTTGAACCGTAATTCTGAGTGTTTTCTTGTGGTTCTAAGTCCCACACCACAGTTCTAAATGAAATTTTCACGACCATAAATCAAATATCAAATCGACTAAATCAAAATTCCTAATCATCAACACTAAATTTAAATCAAACCATAGTTGAGATCAGTAGCCATTCTATTCTTGTTCTCAAACCTGCAAAAAACGGAAGTTAATTTAGAGTCGACCAAGCAAACGAGATAATCCAAAAATGAAAATAACTCATCAGGTCTGGTCTGCCTCCTCCACATCAGCCGCCGGCGACATCGCCAGTGTTCGCCGGCGGTGACCTCACTTTCTCCTATGCTCGCCCTTCCCTTTCTCTTTTCCTAGCAGAAAAAGAGAAGAGAAAAATAGAAACCCAAAAAATACAATCAGAAATCGAAACAACCAAATCAAACCCTCAAACCCGACATGCAAGCCCCAAATCTCCACCTACCATCGATGAGGAGGTTGCCGCAGCTCCTCTGCCGCATTTTTCTCTGGGTTTCCCCTAATTCCCAAAAATATGAAAAACAAACAGAACCCAAATGATCAAATTGAACCCCAAACTCGAGTTGCAAGCCAGAAAGTCATCTCTCACCTCGTCGCCGTCTTCATTAGCGCCAACTGTCGTCACTCTCAACTTCGCTACCGCCTTCTGCTCCTTTTTCTTCTTTCTCCTCGTCGATACCAGAAAGGGAAGAGAGGTCAGAACCCCCAAAGTTCCATAAAACCCAAAAATCAAAACATGCAAGCCTCAAATTTTGACTTACCGTCGATTTGAGGGTTGTGCGGAGCATCATCGTTTTTTTTTCTTCTTCTTTTTCTGGACCCTGCTCGGTTTCTAGAAATAACACGAGGGAGGAGACGAGAGGTAGAGACATTTTCTTTCCTTTCTTCGCTTTTTTTCCCTTGGCAGAAGATCGAGAGAAGAGATGAAGGAGATCAGATGTATTTCCTCTACTTTCGTCGTTTTTGTTTTTTGGGTTTCAGGTAGAGACGAGAGAAGACGAGTTGGAAGTGAGGACTGGGGCGGCTAGGGTTAGGTTTCTGTAAAAAAAAAAAAACGGGTTCACTACCCGGGCTCTTGAATTGACCAAAATGCGAGACTAAAAAATGTGACATTATTGAGTTTCGAACTTTTGACCTATCAGTCAAAATATTCACCAAGGCACTCTCATATAACCAATAGCCTGAACGCCTACCAATTGCTTCAAGAATAAACTGTTTTGTTTTTAATCTCAAACTACCTTAATACGTAAATCGAATCTAATGTTATACGATCCTCCGCTAGGTTAATACCAAGAACCTATCTAACTCCCATTGGAATTATCAAATTTTGAAAGTCATCTTTGCTCGTTTACATATTTTCCCCTAAGAGTCTTTAATACGAAACTAGGGTCAATAGACCGTGGTTTCTTTAGTCGAACTCTTTAACAATTGTCAATAAATCGGTTGTTAAAGCAAAAATATCAAAACTCTTTTCCAAAAGTACTCAATCTCAAACATTAACACAATCAATAGAATGTGCTAAATTTCATATTTCAAAACGTTTCAATTTTAAACGAACTACGTGGACTTTGATCCCGACTACTCGGGTACGTAGGCAACCAATAGGTTCGAGTCCAACTAATTTAAAAACTTTTTCTTTACATTCGAGATTTACGTCAATAGATGTATGATCGAATTGTAATACTAAACACCTAATTAACTTAATCATAAAATTAAATGCATCAATAAAGCCGCAAATAATGAAACACCCAACCTTTAAAAAAACTTATCGATTTAAGTAGTACCCATCTGGGGCGTTGTGGGGTGTGAATACACTTCCCCACACGTAACCGTACTCCTGAACTCAAATTACTAAATTTCGCAGACCAAATTTCGGTTTCGACGCTAAGGTCGAGACCGGTCCAATTAGTGTTCGACCCACTACGAATAAGGTCGATGGCGACTCCGAGCGGTTCGCGACGGGTATCCCGATCTCGAGGGGCGGTTGCGACAGATACGACAAAAAAAATACCGTAAATTAATCAATATCAATAAAAAAATAGTTCAGAAACTAACAACAATTCATTGATATAATAAGAAAATATTTGGGTTTAAATTATACTTGCAACCAACAACACCCCAATACTGTTATTTTTTTATTGTAGCCAACAGGGATTAAGGTGGTTTCAACTTTCAATGACTCATCTTGGCAAGAGGTGATTCCATCACTGCTGATACGATCATATCAGAGAGTGAGATATATATAAAATTCATATTTAAATGTGGTAATACATAGTTTTATAGCACTGAATTATCTACGTTAACCCGAGCCGAAAACTTGTCCTTTAGTTTTTGTGTACAAAAACAGAGAAGTCATGGAATTCCAGCTGAAGCAAGAACTTGGTCACTTTTGTTCTGTTTTTCCCATCCAAAGCAAAGCGCCAAGCGGCCTCAGATGTTGAGTAGCGGAAACAAACAAGAACGACGAGCACGCCTAAATTGGCTTATCTGTTGATCTTATCGCGACCAGAAAGGAGAAGCTAGTCTGTCTATCTAGCTAGCTGTATATTTGGTATAGCAGAATGCCAAATCACGTTACGGTATCGGCGGTTACGTATCTGCGGCAATTTTATACCGCAAAATAGTGGGAATTTTTCAAAAGTAGCACTGTTGTAATTTTTTTTCTTCCAAAAGTAGCAAAATAGTGAGCAAAAAAGACGGCAAAGGAAAAATGAAAGGTACGTTGGGGTGGGTCTATGTGGCTGGGTAATTAATTAGCCTAATCTCGTATTATAGGTAATGACGACAAAGATTGATTAATTAGTTATTGTTCAGATGCATTTTAAGGTGGTACTCGTCCTCAATCAGGGCTGAGGGGGAGAGTCTTATGCGGGGCAACTAGTTTTATGGTGAATGACTGGTTAGGTGTAGAAATGGCGATAGAGTGTATTATCTCAATATTCATATTTGTGTCTCGGCGGATTGAATTGGGTATGCAGGGACGGAGAGCTACCTTGTGCCCCAGGGGGGAGGGTAGCGCCCCCGAGAATTTTGGAGATCACGTGTAAAAATATCGGGAATTTTGAAAATTCTAAAGAAGTTAACTATTGTAGAATAACAATACCGTGCAAAAATGTATAACTATGTCTGGTTCTAGTCTAACGAAATGCAACAGCTGCTTGTGAATACGCAATACCATGGTTCCATCCCTGGCAACAAAATTTTTCTTTTAATTTTCCTAATTTGGTTAAGTTTTTGTTTAAAATTTAGACTGCTCACTTAACTTTTGTACTTATTCAAATATTTTTTAATTTCAAAGTTCAAACTAAATTTAAAATTTAGACTGATCACTTAACTTTTGTACTTATTCAAATATTTTTTAATTTCAAAGTTCAAATTAAATAATGAAATTTTGGAGCTTATAATATTTTTCTAATTTAGATAATTAAATTTCGGAGTCTAGATAATTAAATTTTGAAGCTTATGACTCACAATGTAAATATTTTCTTAATTTTTTTTACGGATACTATACAAAAAAGTCCGCCCCCGACCACCGGATCCTAGCTCCGCCCCTGTGGGTATGTATGTTAATTGAAAATACTTGAAATGTTAGTTTTTTCTATTGAAAATGGAGAAACAAACTATAGAATCATTGATAATAGATGAATTATTCGAGAAATCGTGATTTCTTACCTATTTACTATTTTATTATGGGTAAAATATGATGTAATTAAACTAAAATTATAAGTAGTTTGTGTAAAATTGAATATACTTTAGACATACAACGGTTCAAGAATGAGGTGGGTCAACACATATCAAATCGGAAAGTTAAAATATTTACGCTCGTTTCATCATCTCAAAATAAGACAACCAAGTCACAGATAAGACTGGTCATGTTGAAATTGTCATATCTAACCGAGTGAATCGCTTGATTGTCATAATTTATTGACTTTCCTTGACCATTCTTTTTTCTCTTAATTTGTTCTTCGTTACAATCGAAAATCTGTTACAAGAGTGTTGTTAGAACGGTGGCGAAAGAAGCAAATGAACTTCGCCTCTGAGATTCGAACTAGAGAGTTTCATATTGAAAATCAGCGACACGACCTCTCCACCACAACCCCATTCGTCAGAAGTTCAAATAAGCTATGTTATCTTAAATATCAATAATTACATCTATTAAAAATTTGGTATTATATGGAAATCGCGCACATAGTCAATTTTGAAACGGGAGAGCAATAGATGTAGGGGTGGCAACGAAATGAAAGAAAACTACAGGACTTGTCTGGTAATTAGCCCAAAATGAACCAAGACGTGATTCGGGCTGTAAATTCAAAATTGGCTCACACAAAAAAGCCCACGTCAGAAGGACGTGTCGTGATGTCCAGACCCACCAACACACGTGGCTCCTCCTATATATGCTAAATAGTAAATAACCAGGTGGGGGCAAATACGTCATTCCAGATAACTGGGGATCTCTCTATATAAGAACCCGCTCTCTCTCACTCCCACAGATAGATAGAACTCGTCACCGCCATTGCAGAGAGCGTAAAAGCAAGCACTGAGATTTCCAAAATCAGTCTGAAATCTGAATCAATAAACGAACCCACAATCCGCAACCTCTGTCTCTTTTCCCCCCTTTTATCTTATCCTCCATTTTCGTCAAACAATGGGTCAGGTGAACGGAGACACGCCGTCGACGATCCTGGGCGATTTCCTCGACAAGTGCGGCGGCTGCGCTGTCGTGGACGGCGGCTTCGCCACCGAACTCGAGCGCTACGGTGCCGACCTCAACGATCCACTCTGGAGCGCCAAATGCCTCATCAGTTCCCCTCAGCTCGTCAGAAGGGTACCTCGCCATTTCCCCTCCGTCAAATTCACGCCATTTTTTAGTTTTTTTTTAAATGTTTCGACATTTCGCTCTTCCGGCGAGTCGATTTCTCTCCTCCGTCAGCCGTTTTCGGTTCGGTTGAAATGTAGGAGACATTTAGTTTTCCCTCATTTTCGCTCCTTATAAGAAAAAGGGAAAAGGAACTAATAAGCAGAGAATTGATAAGGGGACGGTAGAGGTTGTTAATGGAGTAAAGATGGGTTCTAAAAAGTAGGTGGAAGAGTGCTTGCTGGATGTGTCCAATTTCTGACAACGATGTGTCGGATTTTAGTCTTTAGTAATAACTCCCATGTGAGCTCATCAGGAAGTTCGGATTTTTCTTTGCAACTTGCTTAGTCAAATGGTTTCATCCGCATGTTGATTTACTGAATTGAAACTGACAGGTTCACTTGGATTATCTTGATGCTGGAGCTAATATAATCCTGACAGCATCTTACCAGGTGAAAGATAAATTATCCATTCAAATGCTATAATAACTTATCTGCTAAATTTGTGAAGCTTTAGTGGTGAATGCCTGAATGGTGATGATGACTAATGTTATTATAATGAAACAAATTGGGTGACCAGGCTACCATCCAAGGGTTTGAATCAAAAGGCATGTCAAGGGAGGAAGCTGAGCATCTCTTGAAGAGGAGTGTGGAGATCGCCTGTGAGGCCAGGGAGATTTATGCTGACAAATCTCGTAAAAGCTCTTGGGAGTTTGTTGAAAGTGGGCAAGCCTCCAGGCGCCCTGTTCTGATTGCAGCTTCCATTGGCAGCTATGGAGCTTATTTGGCTGATGGCTCTGAGTACAGGTCAATTACTTAACTAGTCAAACGCGTTTTTGAACATTGAAAAAGAATCATGTTTGAGATATTGGATTCTAAATCATTATCCGTTAATCCAACCCATCTACCACCAACCCAATGAATACCAGTCAAATGGGTTTAAGTGGATGGGTTGACATCTGCCACCTCTATTGTGGTGCTTACATGGTCCAGTGTAAATCTCATTCTTGCAGTGGGAACTATGGTGAAGCAATGACCCTGAAAGCATTGAAAGACTTCCACAGGAGAAGGCTGCAGATTCTGGCAAACTCTGGTGCTGACTTGCTTGCCTTGGAGACGATCCCTAACAAACTTGAAGCCCAGGCGTATGCAGAGCTTCTTGAAGAGGAAGCCATGATGAACACACCAGCGTGGTTCTCTTTCTCTTCCAAAGACGGAGTCAATGTGGTGAGTGGGGATTCCATAAGCGAGTGTGCTTCCATTGCAGATTCCTGCAAGCAAGTTGTTGCTGTTGGTATCAACTGCACACCTCCTAGGTTCATCCATGACCTCATCGTCTCTATCCGCAAGGTAGATATTGAAGCTGCTCCTCCTTTTCTTTCTTTTACCTAATCTTGGAGAAAGCCTGATAAAGATGGAAGACCCTTATGGTTTGCAGGTAACCAACAAGCCGATAATTATATATCCGAACAGCGGGGAGACTTATGATCCTGAGCAGAAGCAGTGGGTGGTAAGTACGCAAGAGCAGTAAGCTTCATTAATGGCAGATTCCTTCTTTGTTTTGCACCATGAAGAGCTGAATTCAGTGTTGATCTTTGACTCTTGTGACGTTGTGCTGCAGAAATCGAGCGGGGTTTCGGATGAGGACTTCGTGTCCTACGTGGGGAAGTGGAGAGAAGCGGGGGCTTCACTGTTTGGTGGCTGTTGCAGAACTACTCCTAACACCATCAGGGGAATCTGCAGAGTTCTTTCCGAAGACCGATCAAAGTGAAAGGGTTTGGCTAGCTGGGAGTTTACTGAAGAGGAGGAAAATATTGCTTAATAAGCTTCTCTCTTCTTTTGCCTCTTTGTCGATGTCTGTAACTGTAAGCCCCTCGATGTACTTAGAAATGCAGCTTTATTGCTGGTTAAGTTGTATGATTCAAATGGCAATGGTGAAGTAAAATGTTTTTTTCTGAATTAAGATGGGAATTTGCCCAAGCAACCTTTTGACACACACATCATTTGCATAAACCGCTAATCAAATGGTACCGTACTTGCAGTTCAATGGAAAATATCTTTGTGTTTTTTGTTGGCATGATATAGTTGGACAAAGATTAAATGAAAATTTTAATATAAAATAATCGATTGAAGTTCAATGGAAAATAATATCTTAATATCTTAACGTATTTTTTGTTGCCATGATACAGTTGAACACCGATGAAATGACAATTTAAATCATTTACATATAAAATAATCTATCGACGGATTGATCAAGAAAATTTCCTATTATGGACTAAACTAGTTTAAATTGATAAATAATTTTTAGCATTATGAAATAGTTAGATATATTAATACAAATATTTTACGTGTTTGGCATGATACAATTGGACAACCATTAAATGATAATTTGAATATAAAATAATTCACTGATGAGTCTATCAAGTAAATATTCTATTACAGACTAAACTAGTTTAAATTGATAAGTAATTTTTAACGTTATGAAACGGTTAAATGCATATTAATACACCGTTTCAATATAAAATAGTCTATTACGATTCTTTGAAGAGAAACCGACTAATTTCAAACCACCTTAGAAGTAAGGTGGGTGGGGCTTAAAATGGCTTAATCATTGTACGAGTTTCTACTGCTTATATACAATGCAGTTAAAATCGTGTTTTAAAACTTAAAAACTTACGATTTTACGCTTTTAATTTTTAAGTCACCAAAACGCTTCCGTTTCCATATAAAAACTTAAATGTATAAAATCAGACTAAATTGCGCTTTAAAACTTAAACGTTTACGCTTTTACGCTTCTAGTTCACTAAATGAATATTCTTTTCATGAAATTAATTATAAAAAGTATATTTTAAAAGTAAATCACCAACAACATGATGCATTTGAGATTAAAAAATACATACCAGCAAGTACTTGGATGCATTCTCAACTTCAATATAGTAATAATTCACCAGCTAGGCTCTTCTCGAATTTATGTTTACGAACTTATTATTAAGATTCTATAAGTTGCTCTACTTTAGGCATGAATTGCGTGTCTTTATTAACTTATCTAAATTATGTGCATTCATATTTTACATAGTATATATCCTACTTAATAGATTTTTAGTTATTTTACAGTATGCGTAAAAAACTTACGCTTTTACGCTTTGATTATACGCTTTACGCCTTTTCCGCTTCTAGGTAGAATCGCTCTTTCGACTGCATTGCTTATATAATTGGATGAAATCCTAAAATACTTATATTTTTAAAAATAGTTCTCAAAATACACACGTTATAAAAAAAATCTCAAAATACACATGTTTGGGCTTCACCGCGGCAGACCAAAGCGGTGAATGCATCACCGCGGTTGACGACCGCTGTGAATGCCTGACGTAACACTGAAACTTCAAACAAATGTAACTTTGCGCTCGGTTATCCGATTGTAGCGAACTATTTTTTGATTCCATATAACTTTTCGAGATCTTTCAATCTGCAATAAGACTTAATCTAAAAAAATTGTCGTTTGCTACCCCAAACGAGCAATTTTTTTATTTTGCCAAACTTTGGAAGGCTATAACTTTTAGCTCCTCGATTCGAACGTCGTAAAGTTTTTTTTTATTGCACCTAACTTTTTAAGAACTACAACTTTTACTAGGAAAGAATTTTTTAAAAAAGAAATATTTTTGGGTATACTGGATTTTGGCAATAACTTTGCCTTTACTTTTCACCAATCCACATACTTTCCAAAATTATGGTTATAATCAAAGTTGTAGTCCAATGGAACATTTGTTTTGGTTCTGCCCCGGTGGCTAGGGCCCTTTGGGATCACTCGGGTCTTGATGATTTGGGTCAGGGGTTGTCGCGCCATTCTTTTCCTTTTTTCCTAAAAAAGTTGATGGCTATAGTATCCCCGGCCCAGTGGTGGGCGGTGGTGGCCCTCTTGTGGCGAATCTGGCGATCAAGGAATTAGGTAGTGTTTGAGGGCAAGCAGTTCGGGATCCCGGCACTCATGCGCCAGTACCATCAGCAGCATCAAGAGTGGGCCCACCTTCCTATGGACCAGGGGGTTCGGCGGGAAGCAGTGCCACCGCAGCCAGGGCCTGGAGCTGGGGATGATAGGATGGTTTGTCGATGGGATGGGCCACTAAGTGCGGGTCGCACTCGGCAGGCGGGATGGTCCTCCTAGACCAGGAGGGCCAGACCATTATTGCGCATGGGACGCAATACCTGTTGTGGACGATCCTATGGTGGTGGAGTTGATAGTGCTTCGGGAGGCGATCCTTTGGTGCTTGGGGATGGGGCTTTCGGCAGTTCGCTTTGAGGGGGATGCTAAGGTGGTGATCGACAACGTCCTGCAAGCGGATAACAGGGATAGCCGAATGGGGGCGATTCTGGAGGAGGTTATAGGATACCTTTCGGTTCATCGTGGCTTAAGTGTGCGATTTGTAGGTCGTAGGAACAATCGGGTGGCCCATAGGGTGGCAAGGAAAGCCCTTTTATTTAGGGATGTCAATCAAACCCATGGTCGCGGGTATCCGACCGCCCCCGGCCCAGTGAACGCGGGTAATCCCCGCTTTGATCGGGTATGGGGCGGGTATGGTTTTAGCCTCCCCCACCCCATACCCATACCCATATCCGCCCCACCAAGAGAATTTCTTCACATATACAAAAATATGTAGATCAAATTGTAATCTATCAATGATGATGAGGATAACTCGAGGAAATAAATAGTAGAAATGCAATTGAGTGACCACCTTAATCAAAACCTAATTCATTTCCCTCAATTATCCTTTCACTCTTTCACTTCCCCCTTGTCAACAAGATTATGTTAGTTAATTATTTCTTAGTAGATGTATCAGAGTTAGAATAATAATTTAAAAAATATTATACTCTATATTATGTATTAACGAATGTTTTAGAATCATATTCTTTGAACCGTATTAAGAAAATGATCGTGTTTTGTTGAATTCGTGATATAATAGGTACGTTTAGAGTTGTAGTTAAAACTTTTCTTGTAAATTTTAGGATAATAATGTTGGATGTACGGGTACGGATATTACCCATGGGTACCCGAAACCCCCGGGTATGGGGATGCGTTTGCCAAACATTCCCCCGCATGGGTATGGCGCAGGTATGGGTTTGGATATTTGAAGATGGAGATGGGGATGGTTTAGACAAATCCGCCCCAAACCCGCCCCATTGCCATCCCTACTTTTATTGTACCGGGCTGCAAGTCGCTGTTTTGATTTCAATGGCTGGCTTCGTGCTAGGATGTAACTCTCTTTTTTCAATATATATGATTATCTTTTGTTAAAAAAAAAGTTATGCGAAATCAAAAAAGTTTAACGACATTCGGATTGTGGAGCACAAAGTTATGGTCTTCCAAAGTTTGTCAAATCGAAAAATTGCTCGTTCGGGGTAGCAAACGAATTTTTTTTGGGATGAAGGCTTGTTTCAGATTGAAAGATCTTGAAAAGTTATGTGGAATCGAAATATTTTTTCGCCAATCGGATAACCGAGCACAAAGTTACGTTTGTTTGAAGTTTCAGTGTTACGTTAGGCATTCACCGCGGCCGTAAACCGCAATGATATCCAAACATGTGTATTTTGGAAATTGTTATATAACGTGTGTATTTTTGGAATTTTTTTTAAAAAACACGTGTATTTTGTGATTTCATCCTATATAATTATGAATCACTGCGGGTGCTATGCTACTACTAGAAAGCACAATTGCTAAAACCATAAACGAATACTGCTACTAATTAACCATGACAAAAAAGAAGAATACTACTACTAATTCGCTAATGATCTAGAAGTGGCATTATCTTGCTGCTTGCATCGTATGATTACTGATTATCATTGAATTATGGCGGGTTCAAAACCCATTGCAAGTCCCAGAAAATATCCTAACCTCGAACCGCTGTAGCAGTTACTTCCGACTCCGAGCATCTCCCCGCTCGTCGCTAGTCGCTAGTCGCTACTAAACTCACCAGTACTCCGCTACCAGCTACTCTAACTGATGGCTACCGTTATTACGCCGGCGTCTCTAATTCCCGTCTCTTCAACCTCCAACTTAACTTTTACCATCCAACATGAACCTGCATCAGCGGCAGGTTACTCTTTGCCCCGGACTGGGTCATTCAAGAACTGCAAATCCATGCTAGAGCTAAAGCAGCTGCAGTCCCAAATCACCAAAACGGGTCAAGACCAGGACCCGTCTTCAATCACGGGTCTTATCTCCTCCTGCATCGAGATGGGCACAGATGTGAGTTTGGATTACGCCCGCAAAGCATTGGAAGTCTTCGTCGAAGATAACGGACCAACGGGGAGTCTGTACATGTTCAACTCTGTGATTAGAGGCTATTCTTCTCGTGGATTTGGAGACAGAGCGATTTTGGTTTTCAAAGAGATGTTGTGCGTTGGTGTTTGTCCAGATAAGTACACATTTCCCTTCTTGCTGAGTGGGTGCACCAAGGCTGGAGCTTTCAGGGAGGGGATTCAGGCCCATGGAGTGATTGCTAAGATGGGTGTGTGCAGGGATGTGTTTGTTCAGAATTCGTTGATACACTTCTATGCAGAGTGCGGAGAGATTGAGCATACGAGGAAGGTGTTCGACGAAATGTCGGAGAGAAACATTGTGTCGTGGACCAGCTTGATTGGTGGTTATGCTAAGAGGAATTCGCCTAAAGAGGCTGTGACACTGTTTCTTGAGATGGTAGAAATGGGTATTGTGCCGAATCCAGTTACCCTGGTTTGTGCTATATCTGCTTGTGCCAAGTTACAGGATCTTGAGTTGGGCAAGAAGGTATGTGCTTATATTGGGGAGTTCGGTCTGGAGGTTAATACGGTAATGACTAATGCACTTGTCGATATGTATATGAAATGTGGAGATATTGACTCGGCGAAGCGGCTTTTTGATGAATGCACTGATAAAAATTTGGTCTTGTGCAACACAATGATGTCAAATTATGTCCGCCATGGAATGCCTGTTGAAGGTCTCGTTGTCTTGGATCAGATGCTGCAACATGGTCCAAGACCCGACAGGGTTACCATGCTATCAGCAATCTCAGCTTGTTCACAAACGGAAGATCTTTTGCACGGAAGATCTTGCCATGGTTATATCTTGAGAAATGCTTTAGAACATTGGGATAATATTTGTAACGCCCTGATTGACATGTACATGAAGTGTGATAAACCACAAGCAGCCTGTGCACTCTTCAATCGCATGCCAAACAAGACTTCAGTGTCATGGAATTCTCTCATTTCTGGGTTTTTTAAATGTGGAGATGTGGAGTCGGCGTGGCAGCTCTTCCAGGAGATGCCAGACGCTGATCTTGTGTCTTGGAACACCATGATAGGGGCTTTAGTGCAAGACAGCATGTTCATGGAAGCAATTGAGCTTTTCCGGAAAATGCAGAACCAGGGTGTAGAACCAGATAGAGTGACTCTCATGGAACTTGCTTCTGCCTGTGGCTATCTTGGTGCTGTTGAACTTGCAAAATGGATATACTTGTATATTCAGAAGAAGGACGATATTCAGTGTGATCTGCGGCTTGGCACAGCCTTGATTGACATGTTTGCTAGGTGTGGTGATCCTCATAGTGCCATGCAAGTTTTCAGCCATATGGCTCAGAGAGATGTGTCAGCATGGACTGCAGCCATAGGAGCAATGGCCATGGAAGGAAATGGGAAACAAGCGATTGAGCTTTTCAATGAGATGCTGCATCAAGGAATTAAACCTGATGCAGTCGTGTTCGTCAATTTACTGACAGCACTGAGTCATGGCGGGTTAGTGGAAGAAGGATGGGAGTTCTTTGGTTCAATGGATGATTCATTTGGGATAAAGCCTAAAGTGGTCCATTACGGTTGCATGGTTGATTTGCTTGGTCGAGCTGGGTTACTTGCAGAAGCTCTTAATCTAATCAAGCACATGCCAATGGAGCCAAATGTTGTGATTTGGAGTTCACTCTTAGCTGCCTGCCGGATGCATAAAAATGTCGATGTTGCCAAATATGCAGCTGAAAAGATAGCTCAACTTGATCCTGAACGGCCGGGGATTCATGTTCTTCTGTCTAATATCTATGCATCTGCTGGTCAATGGAATGATGTTGCTAAAGTCAGGCTACAAATGAAAGAGCAAGGTGTCCAGAAAGGACCCGGGTCGAGCTCGGTTCAGATCGATGGTGAAGTTTACGAATTCACCTCAGGTGCTGAAACCCGACCAGAAATGGACCGAATTGAACCAATGCTGGTAGAGATGAACTGCAGGGTGAGAGAGGCTGGGTATTCTCCCAACCTGACAAATGTTCTGCTTGATGTGGATGAGCCAGAGAAAGAGTACTTGCTAAGTAGACACAGTGAGAAGCTTGCTATAGCCTTTTCCCTAATCAACACCGGCCAGGGAATGCCAGTCAGAGTGGTGAAGAACCTCAGGATCTGCTCTGATTGCCACACATTCGCCAAATCGGTATCGAAAGTGTACAACAGAGAAATCATCATTCGAGATAACAACAGGTTCCACTTCTTCCGGCACGGGTCCTGTTCTTGTAAAGATTATTGGTAGGTCAACATTACAATAGTTAGAGAACACTTTACAGTTTACATCTAACTCCCCATAAAAGCTCAAATGGGGAGAAGTTTAATTGATGTAAGTTTGCTGTTGTGAGTTCATTTAAGAGAATTAGGGTTGTGAAGGGGAGTGTATCTGATGTAACTAGAGAAACCATTTTCCTAACTAATGGAAGACGTCTAATCTCACTGTGGACAGCATTTATCCTCTTTCTTGGGAAAAGGGATTGTCGTAAGAAATCCCCAGTTCTGTAATTTCATTGCGGCTGAACAGTTCACCATAGGTATTCTTAACAACGACAGTGAGCATTAATCTCATCTGGATTCCCACAAGTATCTCTCTCCAAGCTACACAAAACGCTCCCTTCCTTGCGTAGCTAATGCTGGTACCATGTAGGAAGTTAACTAGATGGGAAAAAATTGATAAGAGTTTGCTATTGAAGGATGAAGCTTCACGTTTCATACATGGGTGTTTCAGAGCTCAAACGAAAAGTCAGTCAGTCTGTAAGCAGGACGATTGCATCACGAATTCGGCGTGCACAGCTCGGGTACAATACCATCGACGAAACGTTGGTGCATGGGATCAGAAATCCAGAGCTGGGCAATGTGAAGATGAGATGAGGTCTTCCTGTGAACTTCTTCAACTAGCCAGATGGTTGCCTCTGCTTTACTGGGGTGAATGATGAGATCCAGTGGCTGGTGCTGATTCTCGGTGCCGGTTCGCAGCTGGTCCCAGCGTTTGAGAATGATGTTGGTTAGGTAATGCAATGGCTGCCCGTAGAGTTGCTTCATCGATCTCCCTAGTTCCATCCAGGAAGAACATGGTATCACGGAGCCACGGAGTGATGGGATGGGAAGCTCCTGCATGTAGTTCTGATACATTTCTGCAGTCTTGGTTATCATCTCTGTACACACACACACACACAACACAGACACAGATTGGCATGTTAGAAAGGCAAAGCAAGATGGGCAGAGCTAGAATTGGCAGGGAAATAGAAATAGCTTAAACCTGGAGAATCCAATTCTAGTTCATGTTGGTTGAAAAACTGCTGGTGCTGCTGGGGATCGAAAACTCCATCCTCCTCGCCGTCGTTTTCTGCATCTGAGCTATCATCGGATATCACATCACACGGGATCGGCCTCTTCATGGTTCCTCCTCCGCCCGCCGCCGAATTCAGAGCCTCCCCCCGATTCTCCCCACTTCCCTCGCGAACTGTCTCCATAAATGAGTTGAATCAATCACCTAAGACACTAACCCAGGTGACGAAATTGAATACAAGCAAACCAATTCTAATGTTGCAACCCCAAATTTGGCCATCTCTACGGGTCAATTCGATTGCTTCAGGAAACAAAGGAGCAATGGCGGAATCAGAAAGAGACCCAGAAGGAGAGAAGTGTGGCAAGAAAGAGGGGACGAAGGGAGAAGAAAGAAGGGTAGGGAAGAATGAGAGTGAGACTTGCCGTGGGTGCTGAGTCTGGAGTCTGGGTTGTCGTCAAGAATCTGGAGCTGAAACTGTGACGAAAGATGGATGGAGAGGGAGAAAGAAGAAGTAGGAGGTTATTAGGTCTGGCTGGCTGGCGGAGCTGTAAGAAAAAATTGGGCCCAGTGACTGAGGAATGGTCCAGAATTCGAGGTCCTCGGCCGTTCCGTCATTGACTCATTTTCTAGGAGGAAAAGCGCACCATTATGTTTTTAAATGCCTAGTAAAATTTTGATGGCGGTTAACGAGCCTAGTTAAGTCGAGTAAGGTAGAGATTGTTTTGTTTAGGTTTGGTTTATTAACAAATTAGTCGTTTGTAAACTTGACTCATTTATGAATGAGTTGAGTCGAGTCAATTTCGAACCGACTCATTTACTAAAACCTACTCACCTCGTCATTAAATAGGAGTTTGACTCGAGCTCAACTTAATAATTTATGTATGTGATTAATTGATCTCATGTCATATATGAGACATATTTGTTCAAATACTCAAAATCTTAAACATGTGAGATATGACATTTAATAAATTATATTTTTTTAATAAGCCTATGAATTATCAACGAGCCAATTCATAATATATATAGATGGATTTTCTCATAAGCAAGTAGTCGAGTTGGCTCACTAATTGAAAATGTGAGGCATCTCATAAGCTCAAAACAAGAGAGTTCATGAGTTGAGCTCAACAACCCACCTAGTCGAAATGGGACTGTCTGAAAATTTTGTTATGAACTGGAAGTTTTGTGACCACAATGTTACATGTTTCAAAAGAGGGTGTGATTTGCGTCCGGGTGAATTGGGTTGTTTAATTAAGTGAATTCTGTAGCAATAATTTTAATGACATAGAGTACTGACTGGACAAAACTAATAGCTATTTGGATGGAAAAGGTATGGAACGACCGTTTTAGTATACACTCAAATGTGCATTACCATAACATTACAAATTAAATGTTTGTCATTGTTTTATCTCGAAATTAAAAAAATTACATTTTTCAACAAAATATTGTATTTAGAATCTAGATATTAAATGGTGAAATCTGTTAAGTTTGTATATCAAACTATAATTTTGCAATGCATGTGATAACCCAACCCAAATTGATATGAGTTTGAACTCATTAAACCCACTTATGTTATATTTCAAATTGTATATTCAATTCAGCCGAGTTAAACGAATAAATATTCATGAATTTGGACAAATTATCACTTCTAGCAAAACACAAAATCACTTAAAAAATCACTATTATAACTGATTTGGTGCGGTTCTACACTTCTACTAATGGCTGATCCAATTTGTTTCTTATTCTAATCCAAAAACTATGTTAGAAGAGGAAGAGGAAGAGAAGGAGCAATCGACAGGGTTGCTGGTTGGTTGCAGCGTTTGTGACGTCGGGCCAGCCCAACCCACTAAGAGATTAGGCCTTTTACAAGGCGGACTGTTGGGCCTCTACCACTACTACGTCTTCCTTCACAGTTCACAAATGAGGACGGTCTTCTCTTCTCTTCTCCGCCGCTTTCGCCAGTCTGCTAGTTCCGTTTTGTTTTCCTCGCCGGCGAAGAGTCTAAGCCATGTTGTCTTCGACCCGAGCTATCAAGCTCATCCAAAAACTCCTGCCTACCGGGAAACCAAAGATATTTCATTTGATTCCCAGGTCCTTATGCTGCCCGGCCGAGTTACCCCAACCCCCGGAATCGGCCGAGTCGCCCGACCTCCCGACCTGGCTCCGAGACGACCAAATCTCGGCGACCAAAGATGCCGACGAATGCGATTTCGTTATTCCTCCTCTTTCCAGCTTGTTTGCGAAACCCGGTTACGGGACTCACGTGAGGGTCGCCAGACGCTTGCTGTCCGGAGCAAATGACGCCGACGTTGATAAAGTGAGCCAAATCCTGAAGAACCGGTACCCGACGCCCGACGGCGTCGTTCAGGCTATGAGTAGGTGCGATGTTAAGGTCAGCCACGATTTGGTTATGCATATTCTGAAGAGGTTTAGCAACGACTGGGTTCCGGCTCTGGGTTTCTTCACTTGGGCAAAAAATCAAACAGGTTATGTGCATAACCCGGAAGTTTACAATTTCATGGTTGATGCTCTGGGTAAGTGCAAGCAGTTCACTTTGATGCTGGAATTGGTTGAGGAGATGAAGGGGTTAGAAGGGTATGTGTCGTTAAACACGATGGCCAAGGTGATTAGGAGGTTTGCTAGAGCTCGTATGTACGAAAATGCCTGTGAGGCGTTCGGGAAAATGGAGAGTTTTGGTGTCGCTAGAGATGTAGCAGCACTAAACATTTTGATGGATGCATTGGTTAAAGAGTGTAGCGTCGAGAGCGCTCAGAGTGTGTTTTTGACGTTCAAGGATTCAATACCTCCGGATTCCAACACCTACCGTATTCTGATTCATGGCTACTGCAAGGCGCGGAAGTTGGTAGAAGCGAGAAGAACCATGGAGGATATGGAGCAACAAGGGTTTCAGCCTGCTGCGTTTGCCTACACTTGCTTCATCGAAGCGTATTGTAGGGATCGAGATTTCCGAAAGGTGGACACCATCTTAGAGGAGATGCAAGAGAAAGGTTGCAAGCCCAGTATTGTTTCCTATACTATAATCATGCACGCTCTAGGGAAAGCCAAACAAACGAACGAAGCTTTGGAGATTTACGAAGAGGTGAAGAGAAATGGCTGTGTTCCTGATGCCTCATTCTATGGCTCTGTGATTTTCGTTTTGAGCGATTCAGGAAGGATTAAGGATGCTTGGGATGTATTTCGGGATATGGCAAAGCAAGGCATTCGTCCCAATCTGTTGGTATACAACACCATGATTGCTTCGGCTTGTGCACATTGGCAAGGCACACATGCTTTGGAACTACTGCAGAAGATGGAGGAAGATTCCATCAAGCCAGATGTTAAGACCTATGCACCATTGTTGAAGTTGTGCTGCAAGAAGAAGGCGTTGAGAGTGCTGAAGCTCGTGCTTAATCACATGTTTGCTAACGATGTCAGCATTGATCTTGGGACGTATGAGCTTCTAGTGCGTGGGCTTTCTATGTCTGGCAAACTTGAGGAGGCATGCATGTTTCTTCAGGAAGCAGTTTCGAAGGGTATGGTTCCTAAGGATAAACTGTTCATGTCGTTGTTGGATGATCTTCAGGGAAAAGGCTTGACTGAAGCTGAGGAGAATGTGAAAAAGCTGATGAAGTCTTGTCAGGCAACAAGGAAAGAGCGAGATTATGCTAGTTTTGTTGAGGCCTAGGACCAATAGCTTGTGAGTTCATTTTCCTAATGGTGCTTAGACCTTAGTCAGTCAATTAACTATATGGTTAGAACATTCGTTCCAGGCATTTTACCCTACATTTCACCCTGAAAAGCAGGTTCATGGCAGCGCGTTCTATAACCAATGATCCATCTTTTGGCAAAACTGCTCATTGCATAAACAGTAACATGAGATTTGGAGCAAAACTGCTCAGTTTTATCGTGTAAAAAGAAGAAAGTTTGTACATGTTTCGTCAAAGTGTAATTATCATTTCAAATATGTCTTCTTCTGGAAAAGAGATCTTAAGGTAGTCGTTGCTGGCAACTTCTTTGCTGCCGGTGCTTGCCACCCAAATCTTTCTAGGAACTCCTCAATCAACCTACGTAGCGAAATAGCGAGAGCATAAGACCAAAATGGCCAGGTGAAAAGAAAAACAGAGAAAGAAAGTAGCTTTCAGCCCACACTTACATGCTGCAAATGGCTTTCTGTGAAGCTGCCAGTGTGCGATCTGGGAACGAATCCGCTAACCGAAAACTCAACCAGACATAGAGATCCAACACCTTCAGATGTTATCAAGAGAAGATCAGAGACCACACGAGATGTAAATTAGTACTGTTGTCTATGCAATGCGGCTAACCTTGTGGATGGATTCAAGTTCTTGTAGCGCTGCTGGTGTTTTCGGCACCATAAGTGATCCGGGAGTAAAGATCTCTTTAAGTCGGACGAGGCCTTTTTTTGAATAATTTGAGGCGAACTAAGATACAAATATGAAGTTCTTGTTAACTAAACTCCATTTGAACACCTATTGTTCAAATATTGATCGACAAACATATATGCATCATACCTGTGTAAGACCTTGAGACGAGATTTCATCGTTCATGTCGACAGGGCTGCTCAGTGGAAAATATATTAATAACTACGAACCTGAGAGAAGAAGAACTAACAAGGACCTTAAGATACACGGAAGTTGGAGACTAATTTTACCTGATGCAGAACAGGTACTTATCATGTAACGAAAGGGGCAATGTATCCAGAACAACAGCGGCTTTCTGGTCATCAGGAGTTGGATTTAGAAATGTAGAAAAGAAAGCTTCCATTATACACTTAACAAGCTAAAACTGCAGGCCTCTTATCGTTAAAAGGGAGAAGGGAATGCTAGAGGGTGAACAAAGATCATACAACACTAACCAATAGTTCTTCGCAATCTGCGATGAAATATTTATCCGATAGCTTGGCGTTTTTCGTGAAATGTTCCTGGAGAGAAGAATACAATTAACACGAGAAAAACTGTTAGGTGGAGATGCAAGACACAACTAGAAACTAAGATGAAATGAAGTGAAACAGCCTTTCAGGTATTGGTTAAGAGTATTTGGAAGGTGAAATTTGTAATATAGTAGAATTTATCTCAGATGTTACATGTAATCTCAGGCTCTACTATAATCTTTGACTGTATTAATTGTCATGAACCAGTTGCTCCCAATAACTCGAGTTGTTGGGAGAGGTTCAATCGTGGATCATATACCACAACACTAACACGCCCCCTCAAACGAAAGTCACTCACAAGGGCTTGAAGTTTGCACAGGTCTGAAGACAAGAATACCATGTGCTTAACAAATGGGGGTCACCGGGAATCGAACACAAGACCTCTCGGTCACATAAGGCTCTGATACCATGTCATGAACCAGTTGCTCCCAATAACTCGAGTTGTTGGGAGAGGTTCAATCGTGGATCATATACCACAACACTAACATTAATAATTGTACATGTAAACTCATACACTTAAGGGGTAGGAAGTATTTGAAAATGCGCTCTAAATGGCTCATACATGACCTTTTTCACTTCTTTTTTTTAACACGATTCCTACACAAATGTACTGAACTGAACACTGTTTTTCCCCCCCGCAAAAACATCTCACATCATAACATGCATAATGAATAGCATACAATTGAGGCAAATAACATTAATATACAAATCCAGCAAGCCAAACACACCCTTTACTTTGAAGCCCTTCAAAAGTCTCAGGCTGTACTACAATCGTCCTAAATTTTAATGTTTCTATCGCATGACAGGGAACTCAGATAATACTATTTCGAGCAGCTGAGTGATGAAAAGAAGACAAGGGGAATGATATATCAGAAAGAGAAAGAAATGTGACTTACTAATATCTGGTAAAGGTCAAGTTCAGGATGCAAACGAGAATGCATGTACATGAGATCAAATGAAGGGAATAATCCAGCACGCTGCAGGAAAAAGGGAAAAAGTGACTCATGGACTAGAAGCAAACATTATATCGCAGTATTCGATTTATAAGGGTCAAATACACAGAGCATCTCACCTCCAGGGGAGGGGATGGAGATTTGAGTGATGAATGAAGCAAGGGTAGATCAGCTCCATCAAGACAAGTCACTTCTCCGACAGGGAATTTTGATCCATACCTGCCAGCTCTTCCTACAGCCAAGTACCAAATAGCAGATTTAACCAAGAGTTACAGTAGCAGACCTCCTAATTAAATGGAAAAAAACAGACATCTAATGGCCACAAATCCTCTAAACATGCAAACAGAAAAAATATAAATGGTACATAAAAACTAAATAACTTGTGATTTTGTCTGTCGAAAATTAACGTACCTGCAATTTGTTTGATCTCTGATACAGTTAGATCCCGCATCTCAACACCATCAAACTTTTGCATCGTTGAAAAGATAATCCTAGAGATGTTCAAATTCAGTCCCATCCCAATTGCATCACTCGCCACAAGGACATCAAATTCACTGGTTGCATCATTGAACATTGTTGCCTGCAAGCCTAGACGACATTACAATTCAGCAGTTCCATAGAATAGAGGACATTTGGTGCCCACAAAGACACTAAAACTGCCACAACTAGAGCGCCTGAATGCGATTAAAAGCGAAAGGATATAACAGAAGAATTTCTTTTGAAACTATTTCAAAACTTCTGAAGGCAACTGCCGAAAAATTAGTGCATCCACAATGACAAAAAGAAAAGGAAGCTGTACCTGTCTCGTTCGAGTCTCTGGTGGCAACGAGCCATATACAACAGAACAGAGATGATTGGCTCCAGTTTCAATTTTTTTCTACCAAGAGCAAAGGCGAAAGTACAAATCAGATTAGTATGGCTCTCAAAGTTTCAGGTTCAAATAACAATCTTGTCAAATAGACATGAAACTAGTCCAACCACCAAAATCAACAGCTGGAGCACCGGTTCTAATAATTTCAACTTACTTTCTACTACATTGAATCTGGTGATAAATCAGCAACACAAAAAACAACATATAACATGGCCTTCCCTTGGAGATCAATGCAAGCAAATCAAACCCTATAGCAAGAACCCAAGAAGTTGAGAAAGGAAAGGACAAATTGCTAACCTTCAATTTGTAGATTTGCTTCCTCGAAAATGTCACAATGCAATCACCAGTTTGTATGTTGTCAAATGATCCAAGAGGTTTCTTCAAGGGAACTAAAGGTAAAAGTCTCTCATAAGTTTCAATCTGAGACATGACAGCAAAGATTCATTATTTAAGAATGGGACAATGGCTTCATTAGAGAAAAAGAATGAGGACAATCCTAGCATGCTTCAAAATATAGATGACATTGATCCTCTTAACCGTTTGAAACTAATAAAATAAAAGTTGGCATGAAAACTTATATAATATTTTACCTTGACATCATCACCAGTGACCTTAAGTATTTCCTCAATAAGCGGAACGGCAGCAGGATCTCCACAAAGGTGAAGTTCATCAGCAGAAATTCCAAGAAGGGCTCGAGTAAATGAGAAGCCCCTTGTCTTACATCCCAACATCTGGAAGAATAAGAAAAGTCAAAACAAAGAAAAAGGATTCAAACTCAAGAGATAACAGTTACTGCAAACAATGCTAAAACAGGTCCCTTGACAAGAGCATTTCCACCAAAACTATTACCTGGATTTCATCAATGACAGCACAAGAGTAATCCGAATTCACATCAACCATTTCGACTGTAACGGCCTTGTGTTTTGCACCATCAACAGTCTCCACCTCTTGTCCAGTTATAAGGTCACATGGAACATTTGCCTTGTTCAATCTGTTTGCCACCTCCCATGCCAACAATCTCAAAGGACCACAATATATTCCTACCAAGTGAATCAACAGAAGGGCACATAATTAGCAACCTCTTCCCCTACCCCCATGATCTCAAATGGAACAATGCAACAAAAACCTCGAGAACCAGAAGTCGAGGAGCATACCGGAAGGACTGGATTGAAGACTTTTCAAAGCATGGTAGGTTTTACCACTGTTAGTCGGGCCAACGTGCAGGAAAACCTTGCGGATCTTTCTCCTGGCCTTTGGGTACCATGTGTGAGGAGAACTGCAATTCATTAGCCATAAGGGCAATTAGGTTGCTGAACAGATACTCACATTCATTCCACATTATGCCAAAATGTGAGGACAAAAACAAAGTAATGCCTTCTGATTCAGAATGAGGGAATCAATAAGCATATTTGCACAAATTACCCGAGCAACTCATTATTCTACCTAGGCTGTCCAATTATGTAGAAGGTTTTGAATTCAATTAAGTCAAACACAGAGTTCTTACGTCAGGTCCGTGAAATCAATCTTTGCTGCACGTCTGCTGCTGTAGTTTCTATTGCATACACCAGCTGAACCTCCATAGGCCAATTCCACGTGAAGCCCGTCCAACTTCACATTGTATGCTGAAAAACGGGGGAAGGTGAAGGAAATTAAACAAAAAAGCCGTTACTTCCCAACATCCTGGGCCTTTGGTTCATTCAGGAGAGGGGGAAACAAAAGGAAATTCGAACCATTTAAGACGCGAGAAATTGAGAAAGCTGCAATCTTTCTGCGGCAAAGCAAGGAAGCCGCCATGTTTTATGGGTTAATCCAGGTACTGGGTAGAGAATGCCTGTCTGTGCGAGGCTGTTGAAACTACGCAGAGCATCGAACAAAAAGGAGGGAGCTTTTTTTGTTGTCACAGGAGAAGAAAGAAGAAGCGGTTGATGGAAGGAAGAATGGAGCAGGTTTGATTTTCTTTCTATGGTGTTGAGCAGAGAAACGCAATTCTCCAGAATATGGTGTTGAGCAGAGACTTCGGGAGGGAGCGGCCGAACACATGGTTGAATCCTGATTCCTGGCTAGGTGACCAAACGAAGCAAGCTTCGTTGGGCTTGGGCTTTACGCTCAACAAGGCGTGGGCTATGACATGCGAAAGCCCAAGTCACGGGCTTATGATTCAGCTCACTTGCTTATGTCCTTCTTGTACCACTGGTCCATAGATTGGGCCAGGTATAGACAGAGCCCATGGAATGGAAAGAAAGGATTTTAGTGGACCACCAGGAAGCTAGCCTAAGAACGTTATGAGAGTAGGGTTGAAAAATTGAATGGCTAGGGAGAGAAGAGCAGAGCAAGGAGGAATAATGATGAGAGAAGACGATGCCATTTTAAGCCTGCAAAATAGATATCCGTTGCCATCCATGGCAACCAGGGAACCTAAGGTACGTACGCGTAGAAGAAGAGTTAAATGTTAATGCTAGCTAGCAAGGAAGAAGAACACAAAAGGGTTAAGAAGGGAAATGAATAAATGGGGCCGGTCAGGGAAGGTTGGAGAGGAGGGAAAAGAACGGTATGAGGCTTTTCATAATCTACATAACGGAGCAAAGAATGTAAGGATGATAACATCTGTACGATTAAATTTGAGATACGCTTTTGTTTGAGAAACCTATCATTGTGATTTATGTGTTGTGCGCGTAAGCTGAATTAAGACAAATATGAATCTCCCATACCTTATTCACAATCATTGAAGACGAATTATTTTTTTAATTAAATCGGATTAAAGAAAAGTACATGCGGTTTGGTAAAACAGCAAGAAGGGCCCGGCTGGGTTGCTGCTGGGCCGATGGCGCAACCATCCTTTTCGTTGCCTTCTTTTTTGACTGCCTCGTAAATCCTTCCATGCAAAATCTGATTACCATTTTTCGAATTCTCGATTATCCTTTTTGTGTTAACAACCAGTCTCAGCAGAGGAGGGTAGTACCGGAAATTTTCTGTTACTAAAGAGAAGCATCAAAAGAAATCAAGACGACGAGACAAAAAGCAGCTACACATAAAGACAAAGCAAGATCCTCTCCCTCCTTGCTATATATTATTATTGAGATTAGTGGCGGAGGCAGCATTTCAAACCACCCCTATTTTTTTTTTCATAATTTAAATATATAAATATTGAATAAAAAAATTATTTAATACAAAATAATTAAAAGTAATTATATTAGAATAATTCATTCATAAATTAAAAATAACCGATTATACAATAATACTTTTCAGAAACAACTACGAAAGAATTTCATATAGTGAAAGAAACGCAAAAACATTCGTTGTCTACACTATTATATAAGTCTATTTCAATGTATCTTACTAAATAAGTATTTGTGAATGCACTAGTACTAAACTCAACAAGCAAACCACCATCCGATTCTGAAATCAACTATTTACCATTAACCTAAAAACTATTATTGCAATATAAGAGTTACACAAACAATTATCCATTTCCAAATTAACTTTACTCCTTTCAAAATTTCACAAATTTGTTACTTATTAAACAGACTGCCTACCAGCACATAATGAACTGACACAATATAATCTACACATTACAAACTATATGTACTAATCAAACAACTCCCTAAAATTCAATGTGTTCCAAAATCTATTATTTCATATAAATAATCACCTTCCAAAGTTCATCAACTTCCAGAAGTCATCATTTAGGCACCTATCATCCAAATTGAAGCTGCGAATCTGCTGGGTCTTTGTCAGATTAATAGTAGATATATATCGATCGATGGATCCAATCGAAAAAAGTTATCTATTGAAACTAAAATTGGTACGTGTTTTTATCGATATAAAAAAGTTGTGTCACGGTTAAAATCACAATTTAAACACAAAATACCATATTACTAAATTTTTCGATATTATCTCTGGTACGGTTTGACTTGGATGGGAACGGTAGTACTTACAATTCCAAGGGAAGAGGCCTTGATGCCAAATGGTCCACTACTACATTTCCTGTCATGAATTTCAGCCACTCTTTTCCGTAACACACATCACTATACTTTCCATTAATACTATCTAGCTTTCATGATGGTCGCCACGGTATGGTCATTAATTGCGCATGTTGTTCGCCAGATAATAACGAAATTAATAAACAATGAATTTGGTGAATGAGAGAAAGAGCTACTTCACTATCTTAATTATAAGGTAGATGGGATCATGCCACAAGTTTGGAATGTGCAAACCGGGGAAGAATGTTAGCTTTTGTGGCATGACACAAGTGATGGATTGAGAGTGGTATATAGTAAATAACTAGTTTTGTGTTCAACCTGTTGTTGGTCGAAATGTCAGTTGAATACATTTACAATGATTATAATAATATCCCGAATAATCATTCTTGGCTTGTTTATTTGATGATACATTTACTTAATTGTTTATTGTTAAAAAATTGACATAACAAAAAAAAGGATGGCATTTGTACGAAATGATTATATAGGTTTTAATTTCTTCAAAATGATAGTATAATAATTTTTTGTTTGTTATCCGTCGTTAAGTTTGTGGACGGAAATTGTGATGGTGAAACCGAAATTAGATTAATATGGTTTAGTTGCAACTGAAATTCGAATTATATGCTTTAATTGCAACCAAAACAAGTTAGGCGGTTAGTTTGCAACATACCTATAATTAAGCATGAGATACATGTCTTATAATCTTATTCTTAAACATCAGCGCTAGGGATGTCAATTTCGACTTGATTCGTTTTACCCGATCTGTTCGACCTGTTTTGGGACGGGGCAGACATGGGTACCTCTTATCGACCCGACCTGCCCTGACCCGTTCTTGCCTAAATTACATGTAATTTTAGTCAAATTACTTAGGATTTTCCTTTTATTACCTCATATTTTAGATATAATAAAGTTGTAAGCAAGTGGAAAACTCAATTTCTCCAATAATTTAACTACACTTTATCATATTATGGTTTGTTTCTTGGTATTTTAAGGAAAATAACGAATATTTCTTATGTTTTTCATATAAATTACATACTCATTGGGTCGGCCTGCCCCGACCCGCACCCCATGAAAAATTACCCGACCTGCCACGAAACGGGTATGGGTATCGAGATACCCGCCCCGGACCTACCACATTGTCATTCCTAATCGGCGCATCACAATGATGAATTCCATCATTTTAAGGAGAGATTCCCATTCTGTACAATCAAAAGGCAATAACCCAACTTGTTTTTTCAATCTTACACAACAACGAGGGGACGAAAAGAAAATAGAGCAAAAGATTTATGGTATCCTCAAATTCTCAATCATGTGAGGATTGAATCCCAAGAACCTGGCAATTGGCATAACGACTCTTATATATATAGAAGCATAGATAGATGCCGTTTATTTTGTCTTTGATGTGAGTGAGTCGACAAAGTGGTTCCAAGACCTGGGACGATAAACCCCATACATACACTTTGAAGGGCCAAGTTGAAGCTATATTTGAGTGCTTTTTTCCCCAACTTTAGATTAGACGATGGACAAAACCAATTGGGAATAAGATATAGATGGGCCCTCGAGCTCTCTTTGGCCCTTCGTTTTTGTACAAATTGTCCACATTTTTTGGTTCCTAATATCGCATTTGTGTTTCCTTTTATGTTATTCAATGGTCACTTTTGCCACCTTAATGGTTGAAATGATTCCCTGGAGTGGAGGCCCCACATTTGTGTCATGGATTAACCAATCGGTTTAGTAACTCGGTTAGTTGGGGAAGAAGCGACTCAATCGTGAATCTTGTATCACACGAAAGACAAATTATACGAGATTGAAACTTGCACATGTTCGAAATACCATGTGCTTAACAAATGAGAGTCATTGGGATTCGAACATAAGAACTTTCCGGTCATAAAATCGGCGATAATCATATCATCTAATTTCTTTTCTGTCGGAATCACCATAGGGCAGAACTTCCCTTTCCCGCGGGGTATCAACGACTCGAACTACGAGAAGTCCTTTTTCTCATTGTCTGTTCAAATATTCATGACGTTTAGTATTAATTAACAGTTGATTTAAGCACAACATATGGTGGACATGTGCAAACTTTTAAACCCGTAAGTTGGCTTTCGTTTGAAATAGCATGTAAAAGAGTATTATAGCCTCATATATAATCTGTCGAGGCCACCCTTGATGAATAGCATATTCTCCTCTGCCTACCATTGTTTGGCCATGAATGTAATTGATTCTCTGCTGAATTTTCTGATTATATGACCTTGATTTGATCACTATGGAAGTCCACTAAGCAATAATCATCATTTATAGTCTTCATGTTTCTCTTATCTTTAATTTGCTCAATGCTTTTTTCCCCTTCCAGGGTAGCTTCCACATCCTATATGTCTGCCGTTTACTTCCTAAAAGTACTCCAACTGATATTCCACCATAGCTCATCTCTGGGAAAGACTAAGACGCGCGGGTTGAAATCGGGCAGGGTTTAGTTTTTTTTTCTTATTAGAGAATTTAAAGAGCTTCTCAATTTTATTCATTAATAAATTTACAAATTTCAATTTCATCAACAATTAAACATACAACAAATACGAGAAAAAAAGAGTATTACAAGGTGAATGAAAAATGTGTTCCAAAAGGAAGATAAGAAGACCTAATGTTGGCAACTATTCGTTCATAACATCGGTCTCTAAGTCACGGGTGATTTGGATGTATGACTTTACATATATGATACCATATTCAATACTTAGTTGGATTTTGAATTCTCCTGATGATGAATACATTAATGAGAATAGCACTTGTGAATGCATGTAGAACACGGTTATATTTATCCATTTCGTAATTATCATTTGAAAACGGTAAACGAAACCTCTTTTTTAACATCTCTTAATTTGCCCCATTATTATAAATTTCGTAGTCACATAAACCATTTTTTTTTATCTGTAAGTATTGAAATATTAGATTTGTACATTTAACCATACAAATTCATCTATATAAGTACAAATTTATCGTTAAATGTTTACAAGTGACATCGTGTAAGTTTTTACACAAAAGCTGAGATCCAATGCATATATGTTATACCAAGGCCTTATAAGAAATGCATCGACCAATACAAAAATCCACCTTTAAACTATGGGTTCTATCCCTTTCCCGTCATTGATTATACATGTTCCCCTTAGTTAACAAGAAAGGAGAATAAAGCAAATTAGCGGACACCTAGTCATGGGACACCTCTAAATCATGTTTTAGTGTTAACATTTGCTTTGCATTGAACTTAATTATAGCCAAAGGACAACATATAATCACCACTTTAAAAGAAGACACAACACAACACCCTTAATCATCTCATTTTCGAGGGACCATTTGGCAATGATGTCCTTCTTCCTCCTTTGATTAGTGTATCATAAAAGTTACGGATTGTTTTGCTTTCTTTCCTCGTTGTCCATTTGGAATGCCAAAGCATATATTTGCGTTAATATCAATTACAATTGATTACAATTTCCCGCCGTCAGGCTCATTAAGCCTAATCATTTTACGTTAATATTAAAAAAAATCCTATCACTAATCAATGTCCTATGTATACCCCCAACAATCATCACGAGTGGTAGCTAGCCGTTTGGCGGGTTAATTAAGTAATGGCCGGTCAAGAATTTTCAAACCAAGAGAGACGGTCCAAAAGTAATTTAAACCCCTTAACCCCGGAAATTAATGATGGGTTTAATTGCTCGCTAATAATGGTAATGGACGGACGCGGCCGATCGTTGGTGGCGGAGCCACCGTCCCTGGAAAAAGGTGGCGGCGTGGACGGCGGGGCGGAGCGGAGGAGCTATAAGCCTAATAATCTCAACGTAGATGCTTTGCTTTGTGTGACTGAACACACAAAGTTAATTAAGGAAAGATTCATGATAATCTTGCTGGATTAAAGAACATTATCATGATAAGTATATAGAAAGAATTGAAGAAGGAGAAGATTTGCTGTGGGAAAAAGAAGTGAAAAGGAACAAGGACGCGCGCGAGACGTTGCCCAATGAAAGAAAGAGGGTTTATTAGGGTACATAGGCTAAGGAGCAAGTAGGCAGGCAGCCATTGTTGCCGATTCATGCAGTAAAGGGAAAGAACACCTTGAAATCGGGGTAGTTGGGTGCCTTTGTTTCCAAGTACAGAATAGCTAGCTGGAACAGAAGCTCTACCAGAAATTTGAGGACCATTGCACACCCCTAATGTCTGGGCGAACCAAATCGAAGTTTGGACCGAACCTCACCGGATTGAATATAATGTGGTTCGGTCTTTGGTCCATATGAATTTTACAAATACCGAAGAAATGATAGACCGAACTGATATTTAGACCAAAACGAATCGAACCAAATGGACCGAACACAATGCTCATCCGGTCTTTGATCCTAAGATGTCTTTCACTAATGGATCACGGTTCTCATGATTTTGGTCTGGTCCGGACCGAACAGAAGCGTTTCACACCCCCTACCAGACATAGCTATAAGGATACATAAAGTTAAAAAAAAGGTTAAAATTTGTCTTAGGTTATAAATTCAGATAGTAAACTGTTGTTTGAAATTATAAATTGTTCTCACAAAAAAAATTTAAAAATTGTGGCACCTTTGTCATTTAATTACTTACTAAGCAATCGAACTACGAAATGCGTCAGTTAGGATTATATTTAAAAATTCATTATTCTATTAGATTTCGGAATACATCACCCCTATATATATTCTATGGTTAGATGTTATTTAAAGTATTCGAATATAGTACTTTCATGTTAAATATACCGATGGTAGTAGTATTACTCGATCAAATATTTGTTCGCCGTAATACTCTTTTAATAGATCGAAGAGACTTAGAGTAAACACAACCAAGAGACAACTTACGTTGGTACACGTCTGACTGTTGTTGTCCATTCTACTGAGCAAGTAGGGATGACTATACTGTCCGTCTGGTTAAATTGGTCTGAATTGATCCGGTCCCAGTCCGGTCTTTTCGGGAATAAAAGAACCAAAAATTGGATTGTATACAGTCCGATCTTAATCCGGTCCGGTCTTGACCCGGTCTGGTCTTGACCCGGTCCGGTCCCTATTCGGTCTTGATTTTATATTGAACTTGTGGGGATTTGAGTGGCGTGAGACCTCAAAGGGTGAGGAGTTGGTTAAGTTTTGGGTGTTGGGGTCTCTTATCCGGTCTCAAACGGTTTTTTAGCTCAAATCTAAACCCGAATATGAGATTGAATTATTTGCTATCCGATTCCGGTCCGGTCCCGATCCGGGTTATACAATCCGGTTTCGGGTAAAACCAAATAGTCCGGACCAAATAGCCAGTCCTATAAGCAAGTACACCAAATATAACTTCTCCCCGACCAAAATATAAGAGAAGAAGAACATTAATTACAACAAAATTGAGATTGGGATGTGGGCAAGCAAAAGTTTCTCCGAAAGTTGAGAAGAAGGCCTCTCCCTAGTTAGTAAGGGTTACCATGACAATTATCAAATCAAATAAGACTAAATTTTATTAACCTACAATATCATAATCAGATCGTCCAAACTAATACAATCAAATTGACAAAACAAATTTTAATTGGTTTGGTTAATTGGTTAACCAGATTAACTAATATAAAATCACATTATCATTAAGCGAGAAAAGTTTCCGGTTAATGCATCAATTCACAATTTATATAATGAAAAAAACATTACAATCGACACATAGTTATAGTTGACCTTTAACATAAATATAGGCAACTAATACAATTATCTTTCGGTCAATATATAGAAGTATTCACCCTAAAAAAATATACGACAATGATATGGGTTAATGAATTGTTGTGTTTGTGAAAATTGACTTAGCCCCTTAGCAATTACCATAGACTGAAAAATACATCCCTTTCAAGTTTTCAATTTTCATCTAATTAATGTATGAGTTTTATCTAAATTAGGCATCAATATGGTGTGGTATACACTCTACAAATACAAATATACACTATAGGAACAATAATGAGCTTTATATTTTATGAGTATGAAAGGGAGGAACGTTTTGACTCTTGAGTGTTTATGCAAAGTATTAAAAGTACATAAGACAACTATTTTTGAACAAAAAACACCGATACTATAAATCATTGTAAAATTCTTGTAGATCACATACTCATTTTTATTTTTAAACGAGAGAGAGAGAGAGAGAGGGGAGCGCTTTCGATGAGTAACCTAGTTGTTTATTGAATATACATAATTTTTCTATAATTAAATTTAACGGCTATATCTCTTATGTTTTAAGTCGAAATCCATTTTTTCAGAGAAAAATTAGACTAATCGTGCTCTTTAAAATGACATGAAATTTTATATATTTTTAATAAAAAAAATGAAGACATATATTATGAGTATATACTATGGTGATAATGTTTGGTTATACTAGTACATATATATAATATGATAACATGGTTTATGAGTATATAGTATTGTAGAATGGTTGTATACATGGTAGAAATATACTAACCATTACCTACCATAATTTACCACTCTATACCAAAGTTATACATTTGGTGGTATATTTGGTCTAGAAACGTTTTCCCCAAAAACATATCAAATTATATGATCATGATCACTACTTCATTCCATGCAAAAAGTTTCAAAATTTAAGTTAAAAACAAAGGTGGTACAGAATGTACCGAGTGGTACCACTATGATAGCGAGTAGCATGAAAAATATTTTCACGAAATATATAAAAAATAAATATTATTTTGTAGATCACAATGAACTTGTTCCATTTGTGCAACAGAATTTGAAATTTGTGTTAAAACAAAGAAGATACAAGTTGATTAAAAAAGCAGGGAAAATTAAACAAATTTTTTTAAAAAAGCAGGGAAAATTAAACAAATTTTTTTTATCTCATCTCTTATATTTGACCTCACTCAAAACCAAGGAACCCGTTATGGTTATTCATAGGGAATTAGGGATGACAAGAGATGGAGTCGGGGCGGATATTGCATATATACATTACGCTACACAGAATAGTATGGTTTATCAGTGCTCACATAATTCGGATAGAAAATTAAAACAATGCTCATATATGATCTTGTTTCGAGGAGCCATATTTATCAAAGGGTAATAATTTCCCTTTATAACCTTAACTTCCATGTTAACATTCAAATGTATACTCACATTACATGAAAAACTACAATAATGAATCAATGGAATGAAAAGATTAGTTAAAACTATAATTTGATGAAATATTACATGTAATATATTAAATATGTTGAAAAATACCATCATTTCTACATAAAAAAAACATAGAATTGGATAGTGAAAAAACCATATTCATCTATTACCCATAATATTTGAATTCGGTTTCAATCATGTCCGCTGAAAAAAAATTCCAGTTGAATGTTATCCAATATTATTAGATCGACTTCGAACATTGTATCCATTTGATATTTTTTGCCATCAACGGAGAGATAGAAGGTAGGAAGGAAAAGAAGAAAATGGATTTTACAGTCAGTCATATTAATATACTAAGAAAGAGTACACGTATCATTCCTTCCCCATTTTTATTGTTTGATTAATCCTCCTTCTATTTGCTTTTCCTTTTGTTTTCTCCACTTTGTTGGAATGGAATGGAATAAGAAGACCGAATTTGGGAAACCAAGAGAATTCTACGCAAGTTCAGATTCATTACATCGAGACCCGACTGCATCTTATTTGCAATGATTGATTTGAAAATTTCTTCAACCATTGTCTCACCCTAAAATGACCACACCCTAATTAATTTACTTCCCAAATGTAATCACATATTTCGGGTACAAATCTTCTCAAACGAGGTAAGTTAATAAAAGAAATTTATGTCTGATTCGTTTAATAGCTCTATTTGAACGAGACAAGATTACAAACTAATGAATTATTCAGATATTCGTTTAATAGTTCTATTTGAACGAGACAAGATTACAAACTGATGAATTATTTAGATCAAACAACGAATTCATCGTATGAAGAGTTAATCCGAAACATTTAGCTTCACACTCATGCTAATGACTTGACAACTCTTTTATCAGTAGACCACACTCAGCCAAACGTTATAGCCTAAGCTGTCGACCGATCAGGCCATTGCCACACTTGTTGTTGGCAATCTTCCCTTCTAAAATTAACTGCCTAAGTCTACTCTAGACCTTGGCTCAACCTGGATTCAGCAGCCTGCTGCTTTTGTGTGTCCACTCTGTCTGACAATGTGCCGTTTTATGTGATAGAGGCTATGCGAAACGACCCTGCAGGCTGCAATCCTCTTTAACACTTTGATTTCAAGGTTTGGTGGGAGCTATTGGCCTTGAGATTTGTAGTGCTGAAAAAGGAAAAGCAAAACAAACAGAGACAGAGAGAGAGAGAGGTAGCCGTCTAGACCTGGTCTTTGTTTGTGTTTCTCGTCTCAGCCCACTTTATTCCTGTTCAAATTCGATACTTTGCCCTGCCGTTTACTGAGAACGAGGCCCAGCGAGAGAAAGAGAGCTGGTTTCTTGGTTCAAAGGGCAGAGCAGCAGACATAATAGAGCTAAAGCCGAGAGAAAACAGGGCAGAAGGGAAGGGGAAGGAGGAAGAAGAAGGCCCTCGCTAATATAAAAGCTTTCTCCTTCTCTATCTCTCTGCTATTTGCTTTCTCTTTCCCTTTCCCTTTTTTTTCCCTGCCTGCGACATTGTCTCCTTGGCTACTTCAAAAGAATCTTCATCTCACTTCCACGCATTAAAGCAGCTCGCTCTCCCTCTCTCCCTCTGTCTATGTCTGTCCTCTCTTTCCCCTTCCTTGTCTAATTGCACAGCATAAACCACACTCAGCCCATCAAATCTACCTCTGAGATTTCGGCTTCTTTGTAGTTTTCCTCCTCCTCAGTCCTCCCACCATTTCCACAACCGGAAACCCACATAAACCCATTTGTTCCGAATTCCAGGCAAAGTTCTCTGCTTTGGGTCTTTTCTCGACTTGCCCATTTGATATCAAAGGAAACCTGGACTACCCATTTCTCCTTTTTTGAATTGAAGTTTCCACCAACTTGTTTTGGTAGCTGTGAGAGAGTAAAGTTTGGAGATTTCCCTGGCTGGTTGATCCTCTCGATTCACTGCATTCTGCCGGGGGGAAGAACTAATTCAGTTCTGGGGTTGTAAGATTGTAGTTCTGTGCATAATCTGTTCTTCTGGCCAATTTGGGGAGAGGGAATAGAAAGCATAAGCGAGATATATGAAGTAGAGGTGAAAAAATGAGGGATGACAACTCCACCAAAAGCAAGGTTTTCCCCTTCTCTTGTCTACCGTTATACCAATGGCATTCGTTCCTTCCCTTTTTTGTTCGTTTCTGTTCCGAACGGTATAATGACGGTTTTTGTTGTTGTTATGGTTTCCGAGGGAGGGGGCCTCTACCTAATTGATTTCCTAATTTTTGTCTTCTTTTGTTTGTTTGGTGACTGTGAAGTTCTCATGGTCCAAGAAGATGGTCCGGAAATGGTTCAATATCAAGAGTAAAAACGAAGAGTTCCAAGCTGATGATGTTTATGGAGGTTCGGCAAAATTTTCCCTTTCCCCTCTTGCATTCCTATTTCCTATTCACTCTGTTTGGTTGCTGGGAAAATGAGTCTGGGTATTCCTTTTTCTCTGTTTCAGGCGGCGAGGTCGAGTACCGGCCTAGCTTCTCCGAAAGGGAGCCTTCTACAATTAAAAAGAGCAAAACAGGTGATTTTGGGTTTTTTTACTACCTTTCCTAATTTCCTTCACTTCCTCCAATTGTTTGAATGTCTGTTTCTTCCCCATTTTGCTAACTACTGATAGGGTTTTTGCAGAGAAATTCACCAAGAACACAGACCCGACCCGGCGGGCAAGAATGAATCTCGACCACCCGAGAATCATTGATGTCCAGAACCACAGGTATAATCAATTCCCTGCTTTTTTCCCCATCTCAAAGATCCCAACTTTCCATTCTTTTCTCAAATTATCGTCCCAATTTTGCTCCAGCATCTTTGTTGCCACGTGGAATGTCGCCGGCAGGTCACCGACGAGCAACTTGAGTCTCGAAGATTGGCTTCACGCTTCTCCTCCTGCTGACATCTACGTTCTTGGGTACATTCCTCAAACAAACAGAAGGATTAAACTCAGTACAAGTAGTCTTCTATTTCCTGTCCATTTTTCATGATTTAGATGATCATGGTTTCATCAGGTTTCAAGAGATAGTCCCTCTTAATGCTGGTAATGTTCTTGGAGCAGAAGACAATGGCCCAGCTAAGAAATGGCTGGCTTTAATCAGGAAGACACTAAACAATCTCCCTGGAACGAGTGGCAGCAACAATGGTGGTGGCTACTATACTCCATCACCAATTCCTGAACCCATAGTAGAAATGGATGCAGATTTCGAGGGCTCATCGAGGCAAAAGAACCCATCTTTCTATGCTCGAAGGTCATTCCAGACTCCCAGCAGCTGGAGAATGGAGAACGATCCTTCGATCCCACAGCCGAGGCTGGAGAGAAGGTTCAGTGTCTGTGATAGGGTGATATTTGGTCACAGGCCAAGTGATTATGATCAAAGCTCCCGATGGGGAAGTCACCGGCCAAGTGATTACTCTCACAGGCCGAGTGATTATTCTCACAGGCCGAGTGATTACTCGAGGGCTAGCGATTACTCAAGGCCTAGTGATTACTCGAGATGGGGGTCTTCTGATGATGATAATGGCCTTGGAGATTCACCCAGTACTGTTTTGTACTCCCCAATGTCATCGTCTTATGCTGCTTCAAGCGAGGATGGCCATAGGAGACCGGGGGGTCACTCCAGGTATTGTCTTGTGGCGAGTAAGCAGATGGTTGGTGTATTCCTCACTATCTGGGTGAGAAGTGAGTTGAGAGATCATGTTAAGAACATGAAGGTTTCTTGCGTCGGAAGAGGGTTGATGGGTTATCTTGGAAATAAGGTAATTTATCTAAGGCTATATTAGACACTCTAATGGAAAGCTTTAAAGTTTTTCTTGTCACTGAGAAATATGTGATTTTTGTGTTTTCTGCAGGGATCAATTTCAGTCAGCATGTCATTGCACCAAACCACCTTTTGCTTCATTTGCAGTCATTTGACTTCTGGACAGAAAGAAGGGGATGAGCTAAGAAGGAATGCAGACGTCATGGAGATTCTCAAGAAGACACGGTTTCCACGTGTTAACAGCGAATGCAGTGACGCGAAGTCTCCAGAAACTATCCTTGAGCATGAGTAAGAGAGCAATTTTCACCCTTTTTAAGGAACTGAAACTGATAGTGATTGATCTCTATTGTGCCTAACTTGGTTTCTTTATTTACTGATGTTAGCCGGGTGATTTGGCTCGGGGATCTCAACTATCGAATCGCCCTAACCTATCGATCTGCTAAGGCACTTGTTGAGATGCAGAACTGGAGGGCATTGTTGGAGAATGATCAGGCATGTTTTAATTTTCTCATCTCATTTTTATTCATTTTAACTGTTCTTATCTTTGGATGAAATTCGTTCTAATATTTTACACGTTTTTGCTTATGCAGCTGAGAATAGAGCAAAGGAGAGGACGCGTGTTCAGGGGATGGCGTGAAGGAAAAATCTACTTCCCACCAACCTACAAGTACTCGACTAACTCAGACAGATACGCAGGAGATGATATGCACCCAAAAGAGAAACGTCGAACACCTGCTTGGTAAAGAAATGTCTCTTCATCTTCATATGTTGTTGATATTGTGGGCAAGATGGAAATGAACTTGTTCTTTTTGCGCTTAATGATTGATGGGTGCGGATTGATTGATTCAACTATTTTTCGGTTTTAAAGGTGTGACAGAATTTTGTGGCATGGAGAAGGCCTTCAGCAGTTGTCTTACGTCCGAGGCGAATCTAGATTCTCTGATCACAGGCCAGTTTATGGTATATTTTGGGCAGAGGTGGAGTCCACCCATGACCGGTTGAAGAAAAGCACTAGTTATTCTAGTTCCAGGATTGAAGTAGAGGAGCTTTTACCTTACTCACATGGCTACACAGAGTTGAACTTCTTTTGAAAGCGTCTGAGATAGTTTAGAATCCATCTACCCTCCATATTCAGGTATATCTCCCTCTCTCACTCTTTCTTGCCCACTTTTCTCACCATCCTTTACCACCTTGGTGAAAAAATTGTGGTTGCCAAGAGATGGTCCAAATATAATTATGGTGGTCCTCTAGCAGAATTCATGAGCTAGCTAGGGTAGCTTAGATACCGGTTCTGGGTGAAACAGAAATCAAACTTTGCTGCTTTAAGGACATGTTTATCACATGGATTAGTAATTTTTGTTTCATGTGAAGTGAATCTAGCAATGTAGCTTAGAAGAGGAATGTATACTTGGCACATAATTGAAGCATTCATATGCTATACTATGCTATATACTATACAATAGCCTGCAGATTCCCTCTCTTTTCGTTTGGACTGGTTTGTTCCTATTCTCATGTTGAATTTTTGGTCCCTTGTTGCAGGCGGGAATGAGTGACTTTCAACATATGTTTTCTTTTTCATTGTTGTTGGCCTTGGAATGAAGAGTAGTGATGGAGACATTCCGTTGCCCACTAACCGAAAAAAGGAGGTTTGTTTCTCTCCTCTCCTTGCTTTTCTCACTTTTCTTGATTTTGCTGTTCTTCTCTTTTGGCTTTTCATTTTTGTTTTATTTTGCTGAATTCTTTTGGCTAACACTGATTCCCAGTGGGGTTTTGTTTTCTTGTGTTGATCAGGTGTAAATGTTCATTGTAATTTGGTCAGCTAACTCAGTCTCAGTCCAACTCAGTAGTTCACAAGCAAGCTTTAACTTTAATAACTTAGTAGCAGTTTCTGGTAGGCCTCAAATAGACAAAAAAGCAGCAGCACCTCTTCCTCCTCACTTTCCTGCCAAAGAGAAGTTCCAGAGTAATCACTTTTTCTGAGGTATGCTATGCTTGCTTGCTTTTTATCATTGCTGCTGCCTTAGTGCTTTGGTTAGTGAGATTTTCAGAACTCAACCATGGAAGTTGATCATTTTCCCCTTTTCAGAACTCAACCATGGATGAAGAGCAATCAAGTGGGGGGAGAATGGCAAGCAGTAGGGAGCTGACTAATTTTTTAGGTAGAATTCATGATGATTCTTTCTTAGTTTAGGAGACAAATTTTGATTACTTAGAAAGAAGAAAAGAAAGAAAGTGAGAGAGATCAGTGAAGATAAAACATTCCTGTATTTTGTTCCTTTCTTCTGTTTTCTTTTCCTTTTCTTTTTGTTTTAAGTGAAGTGGATTATATTATAGAAAAAGAAGACAAAATTTCTGACCTCAGAGTGCCTTTGGCTTTTGCTGATGTTGTTTTTCATGGCTAATGATTTCTTCACTGAGAAAAGCTGTGGCCTTCTTCTTGATAATCTTCTCTCCACACACCTTCTCTGGTGAGTTTCTGAATGGATGCATAAGAATAAAGAAAGCGCAATAGAACTTAGAATGTTTGACAGGCTTTGGTGGCAGGTTTTTGTATTGGGAGGAGCTCCAGCTCCCCATTTTTTTTTTTTATCATGGACTCTTCTTTTGGAGCTACATGCTCCATATCATTGAGGTTTACATTCCATTCCCACCCCACAGCATCACTTTTTTAGACCTGATTCATCACTGCACAGTTTCAAAAGCTGTATGCATCAATTACCATACATGGAATAAAGGAAAGAAAGATAAAATATGATGATATATAGCTGCTTTCCCCTTCCTTCCTTATTCAGGCAAAGCTATTAGCTATGTGGCTAGTTACCAGATTTGCTTTTGGACATTAGTTAGCATCTACTGATAATAATGAACAATGCCACCATTCCCCTACACTAAGATGGTCCAAAATGGGGCTTTAAAGAATTAGGGTATTTATGTAGTGTTTAGGAAGTGAGTTGGGATTCTGCAGTTAGAGACAAACAAAGTGGAGTGCCCCACAGCCAGTTCTACAGTTTTGTTTCCGAAGTAAAATCAGCAGTAGCAGGCAGCAATTCCCTGTTCAAAGAGCAGAATGTTGAGCAAAAAAGGTAAGAAAAGGGAATGTGAAGGTAGCAGTTGAATCCAAAATTTACTAGCAAGCCCACTTTCTGGAGTTGGTCTATTGCATGTTTCCTTTACTTGGTTTTTTTCAGTCACAAGCTGGTCCCTAGTAGGTTGAAGGGCAAAAGTCATAAACCTACAGCAGGAGGCTTTGACATGTTCCTTTCATCTTCATGCATCACCTCAGAGAAAGTTAGGGTACCTCTCCCTCTCTTTTGCTTTTCACTTGCTTGCCACGTGATTCCCAGCAAACAATCATGGGTTCTTCTGTATGACTAAATCCAGTGAGCTTGTATGCAATTTCATACCATAATAGGTCATTAATCGATCTTGTAACTATCTTAACAATCCGTGATTGCGTGTGGAAGATGATTAAAGGAAGCAAACAAATGCTATAAAGTTTCATTGCAGAGATTGTACACAATGCTCTCATGGCTTTGGGCCTTGTTTATGGGGTGGCCTATGATTATACTGACAAAAACTGCAGGCATTCTTCACAGTTTTCATCTTTAACCTGCAAGAGTGAGTGATGAAACATAATGCTACTTGAAAAGAAGAGCATAAAACCTAGCGATCAAACATCTGACATTCTGGAAAGTCATGATATACATATGCAGCTCCACTCCCCGGCTTCAACATCCCACATTGTGCAAGGCATTTCTCAGCACACCCATGAAATGCAATGATTAAGGTGGGCAAATGTTGGACAGTAAACAACATGATCCTGTGTTGGGTTCTGCTAGAAAACATATATAATTAAGCTGACCAAGAGAGAGAGAGAGGGAGATGTTTAAAACTGAGAGGACCCAATAAATGGTCAGTAGTGGCCTTTTTTTAGTGGGGAGGTGAAAGCAACACTAGCAGCAGCAGCAGTTCAGTAAAACAGCAAGGCATGAAAAAAGGTTGGAAAAGCATAAGTTATGGTATGTTTTCTTTTTGTCTCAGCAGAGCACAACATGACAAAGGATTGGTCTTGTTTTCTCTGCCCTTGTTCAACATCAGCCAAAACTGATACCTAATCAGTTAACAAACTGAAAATGATGAAAGAAAACTGTTTCCTGCATACAAGTTGTTGGAAGAGTGCTCATCAGTTTCTGAGAGCTTCCTTCAATTCTGCAAATCAAAACTCTGCATTCTCAAGTTCAGCAATGGTGGGCTAGCTACTGGGATGGCCATAAGCTGCAAGTAAAAGTGCCAGTGTGCTGCCCCAGGAGGGCGATTAGACAGCACCAGCATCAGCAATAACAGTTAAGATTCAGCTGCACGAGATACGAACTGTATATGACTGAAGTCATGTAAATGATTCAAACTTCCTTGTCTTTTCATTAAAAGAAACTAAGGATAAGGTCTCTGACTGTAAAAAAAATTTAGCCATTGGCCTCCTTCTAACAAAAGCTAGATTCAAAGTTACAAACATTGCGTTAGCTAACACATGAACCACTGCAACAAAAGCAACAAGATTGAACGAAGAATAAAAAAGGAAGAACATTTGAATGGATAGGCTATGCTAGGCTAGGCAAATCTGTTGCAAGTGGATGCAAAAGTATTTGCAAGGAATTGCTGCTGCTGCTGCTTGTCATCAACCACCACCGAAAACTGTCCCCTAACCCTGGCGGATTCATCAAGATGTCCCCGCTGCATGAACAAATTAACCATGGCGGATGATTCTTTGGACACTTGCTGGTCAAACCCATCCACTGCAATCTGATTCTCACGGCACTCGGGCGAGCAAAATGCACCCAAGTAACTGCAGATGATGCATAATGCATTTCCCACCGCCACCTTACACTAATTAGCAACCACTGACAAAACAATCCAATCAAAAAGTTGAGGGCAGAGAGAAAACTGACCCGTACATATACACATGGCAGAGGTCGAGTTTCTTGTGGCACAAGTAACACCCTTCCAGAAACTCACAGTACCCTTCCCCTGGCCGCCTCCTCTGCCTCTGCTTCCGCTTCAAATCCCACGCATCGTCGTCGTCGTCGTCATTAACTGGTCCGAACAAGAACAAACCCGGAGAAAGGTGTTTGGCCTCCGATCTGAAATCTCCGGGCGTCGACGGTGTTGGGTGGCGCAATTTCATAGAGACGTTGAACAGGGGAGATGTGTGCATTCGCGCGGGAGAGGACTCGATCATTGGCTGGACTATGTCGAGCAGCCCGATCTCCCCCTGGCTCGGTGACGTAACAACTCGAGATCGTTTCGTGGCCGCCATAATCAAGTGACTGCACAGGCAATGCGCAAAGATGTAGCTAGGCTAGCTACTGTAGTTTGAGTGACGGTTGGAGTATCAGTCAGTATTAGTAGTAATTAAGCTAGGGAGGTAAGGTGATTATTACGGGAAATTGGAACTGTAATTTAGGATTTAGTGTGTGGGAGAAAGATGGGGTAGATGATTGATTGATTATTGTTACTTAAATCTGGTTATCAGAGTGGATAAGGGATGTGATTCCATGAGAAGGGGGGATTTGTCTGAGTATGTTAATTCAGTCAACGGTTGGAGAAAGTTTCGGCGGAGGGAAAGATAAGATTTTCGGGATTTAGTTATGAAGTTTTGTTTAATCGTTCTTACTAAAAAAAATATTAAAAAGTTTACCCCAACGTATGAAATAAAACATTAGGAATGTGCAAAATAAAAACTGAATCGCTATTCGCCCTAAAATTCAAATTTTATCGCCCTAAAATGCAACAAATTGACATATTTATCCTTATACCCAATTTCATATCTAGACCCTAACCAAACAATCCCTAGTCCCTTCCTCACCCCAATTCAAATCCGCTGTCGTCGATACTACGTCATCAAACTCTCGATATGTGCTGCTACCTCAGTCCGCCGCTGCTCTTGGCTGCTGCTGCTGCGGAGATCCTCTAGGGAAAGACGTATTGGTGATGAGAACAGGGAAGTGGTGGTGGCTTCTCGTTTCGATTAGAGGGTTTATTAGCTTTGGGTTTAGCTATCTCTCGGCCAAGTTGCAAGAAGGTGGAGGGGGAATAAATCCCTCTCTTGATTGCCTGTAGGTAGGGATTAATTAGGTCAACGTTTTCATGTTATAATTACCATTCATGACTAATCACTTGTTGAAAATTGGGAATTTCAAGAACCGGGTGTGACAGATTGTTTGATTCTTTTTCGTTGAATGGTTGGTTTTCTTCTTCTTTGTTGTTTCTATTTTGAATTTTGTTATTTGGTTTAGTATTTGAGTTTAATTTGGCGTTTAAGTGCTTGAAAGACAAATAAATGAACTAAGGGCATTGAAGTAAATGTAATTTAATTAGGGCGACGAATAAGGAATTTTAGGGCGACAAAAAGCAATGCCCAATAAAAAGGCTTAATATCCCATTTTGGCCCGAAGTTTGGCGTTAGTGACGATTTTGACCCCAATTTTCGAATATTACACTTTTGGCCAAATTTTCAAATTTACGAACTTATTTGGCCCGTGTTACGTTTTCACCGTCAGAAATGACGGTGAACTAATTTCCCCGTGAGTGGGTCATCAACATTTGCTAACTCGGAGCACCACGTCATTAACTAAATAAATAAATAAAAAACAAAACAAAACCCGACCGTTCCCTTTCCTCCACCACCTTTCCCTTTCATTCCCCTTCTTTCTCTTCATCGTTCAATGCAACACCACCCTATCGACGAAATCCGACCAGGAATTAGCGTCGACTGATCGCTTGCCCAGTGAATCTCTGCCGGCGCGGCGACGATTCATCTCCTTCCCCTGTCCTTCCCTATCTTTTCCTTTCTGTTTTTGATGAATCTGCCTTCCCCCGCTGATCGACGAACTCCGACCTAGAAGCAAACAACAACGATCGCGTGGCCGGTGAATCTCCAGTCGGTGGCGCGATCCGTGACTCTTTCTTTAGCAGCCGGTGATTCGTCTCCCCCCTTCGCCCAAGTGTTTTTCCCTGTCCTGCCTTCTGTTGGAGAGAAAAGCTATTGTTCGTCGTCTTCTTTTTGTGGGACAAGTTGAGGTCCGGACCACAGCCACGAAGATCAGTTTTTCATCTATACAGGTAACGATCTTGTTGTCGTTTTCTATTGTTTAAGGTTTTCGATTCTGGGAAAGTCGCCGCACGCAATAAACAATTGCCTTTTGTGCTCTTTTTGGGTTAGTGAATATGAAACACGTGAAAGTAGTTTAAAATTGGTTGTTTGTATGTGTTTGTCTTGTTTATGCTTTGTTAACCATAAAGGGACCATAAACAATTCGTCCACTAATATATAACCTAATTTGTTCATATTGTACAGAATGAGCATTCTACTTGTGCTTCGTCATGGGGGGTATGTTGGATACATCAGAAGCAGTTCCAAAGTATGTTGGTGGTGTTGAAGACCAGGTTGATGTGGCAGTTGATGTTATGTCGTACTTTGAGCTTGTGAGTATTTTAATTCAGGATTTCGATTACTTTTCAGTTGAGAAGATGTGGTATTTGACTCCGGGTCAGAGCACGGAGGATGGTTTGCACGAGATTGCCAATGATTCTGATGTGATGAATGGGTTACTTGGAGATGCCGAGCTTGGGGAGGTGGTGGTGTTTTTTTGAAGCAACCAAGTTTCTCGGTGAAATGGGGGACAACTATGGGAATAGTGAAGATGTTGCAGACGAGGAAGGCGACAACTCTGGCATTGCAGAGTTCATCCAGTTAGATGATTATGAAGCTCAGACTTCAGATGAAGAATATCATGAGATTAGGGCCCGTTTTCGTCGCATGAGACAGAAATGCATGTTTGAGGTGACTGGATCGGGGGGAGAGGTCGGCCTAGTATTTGTAGATGAAAATGAGGTACAACCGAGTGTGCAGCAGGAGGATGGAGAGCCAGAGCAGAAGAAACCAGAGGTACAACCTACTGTGAACGAGGAAGAAAATGCAGGGAAGGGACAGCGAACAGATAACATGGATGATGTTGATGTTGAAGTTGAAGGGAGTGAAGCTTCTATCTATAGGGGTTCTGAGGACTCAAATCATGTGAGGGGAAATTTGGATAAAGAAGAAGAGGTGTCTATGATCGACAAGTGTCGATTTTATGATCCAAATTGTGATCATAAAACACTTTCAATTACCACACATATGAGGTTTGCTAGTCTCAAGCAGTTTCAAGAAGCTATTACAAAGCATTCAATCGAGATTGGAGCTGATATTAGATGGGTGCGCAACAGTGAGAAGAGAAAAGAAGCTGTGTGTGCCAAAAGTGTGGCTGGAGGGTGTATGCAAGTTGGTATGGGAAGAGGGAGACTTTTATGGTGAAAGGTGTCGGGACTCCTCATGACTGTCCGCGTATTTTTCGCATTCGAGGTGCTACTTCGAAGTGGATAGCTACTCAATTTCTTGATCGGTTTAGAGTGGAGCAAGATTGGGAGTTCAAGTATAATGTTAAAAACATCAGATGTAGCTGTGCGTTGTATATTTCAGCTTATTGTCTAATTACTAATTAGAGTGAATTACAAATTGAAAGCATGGGAAATTGTAGTCGACAAGTCATGGAGCGGGCGGTGAGGAGGGCTATGCAAGGAATTGGCACCTACATTGATCCTCATACTGGGAACATGTATTCTCGGGTAGGATTCGACCATCACATTGTATTTTCTGTTTATTCTCTTGCTTTAAATGTTTCTAACCATATGTACTATTGCAGCTAAGTATAAGGGTTCCACAAGAAGGACGTAGGAGCCAACCAACTGGACCAGATCAGCCGCCAATGAATAGCACACCGCCTCCAGCCTCTCAACCCGGGACACAGTAGTCTATGTTTGAAGCATCAATGTCAATTCCCTTCTTTTGTATTTTGAACATGCAGTAGGCTGTAGCCATGTATGTGGGAATTTGAACTAAATATAGGGGTCTAGTATTTCCTTCCTTGCTCTGTATGTAGAACAGGTAGTTTCGGATTGAAGTTAATGGTGGAAATTTGAACTCATGTATTGTGAACATACAGTAGCCATGTTTCGGAATGAAGTTAATGGTAGAAGCAAGCTGATCATTCAGAAAATACAATGGAGCTGTTCTTTAGTTACATAGACTCACACAAAGCTTACAGTACAAGCATTAACATAGACTCACACAAAGCATTTAACATGAGTAGCTACTTCTAAACCAACTCTAAACACCAACACAAACCAATCACAAACCATCGGTTTAGCTACGGACCAGCCAGCTAACATACCAAATAACACAGAAGAAGCTAATAGCGATACAAAAAGTAATAATCCTACTCTGCAGTGCACACATAGTATGTCGCATTTTCTGCAATTCAACACAATTACGAGTATTGATATCTGCAAAGTTTGCCAACTTTTCAGCCATATATAACTTTTGTTTCTTCGTCTTGTTGGCCTTCTCTTCAGTTTGTTCAATTTGACCTTGAAATCGTGAAGATAAGTTCTCCATCTCTACTTCCATCTCAACCAATCTTGACTTCAACTGTTCATTCTCCTCTATCAAACCATCTATATCGCTTGCCGATGTCCGCTGGCCAACCCACTTGAAGTACTTACAGTCATTGGCGTAGCCAGAGATATAATTTAGTGGCGTCCAAACATAACCAAATACGAAGTTTGACTCGATAGTAAAATCATTGTCTCGGAAAGAGGGGGTCTGTGGTTCTAAATTTACTAACCCCACCTTAAAAATCCACAATTCTTAATGTATATTTATTTTCCAAGTGGCGACGAAGAAAGATTGCGAAGGATGGCGACGAGGTCTGGGCGGCGACGAAGAAAGATTGCGATGGCGACTACGAAGGGCGACGAGGTCTAGGCGGCGACAAGGGTATCCCGTGATGGAAGGAAGCCGACCAACGGCGGCGGCTCTCGCGCTCGGTGGAGGTGGGGGACGGCCAATGATGGCGGCGCTCGCGCTGGGTGGAGGAGGGTAGACTGGCGCTCGCGATGGGTGTGTGGAGACGGAAGCAAATAGCAATTGGGGGAAAAGATAAGGAACGGTCGGGTTTTTATTTATTTATTTATTATTTAGTTAATGACGTGGCGCTCCGAGTCACAAATGTTGCAGACTCACTTACGGGGAAATTAGTTCACCGTCATTTCTGACGGTAAAAACGTAACACGGGCCAAATACGTCCGTAAATTTGAAAATTTGGCCAAAAGTGTAATATTCGAAAATTGGGGCCAAAATAGTCACTAACGCCAAACTTTGGGCCAAAATGGGGTATTAAGCCAAATAAAAATATAAAAAACTCAGCTTAGAGGGCAATTGAGGAGTTCAATTCTTTTTTTTTTTCATAAGGGGATCATTCACCACCTCGACCAACTATTAGGGCTCTGCCAAAACGAGATATAATTCCATTACAGGATATATAATCTTTGATGCTCCGTGTTCGGGATATAGTATGCGCTTCTAGTCATAGAGCTTCTTTAATAAACTTCTCATCAATAAATTGAAAAGTACAAAAAAAGTAAAAGTATACATAGTCTTGTAAAACACTTTATAGAGTAATGAGATCGTTAATTGATATGAAAATTTCATTATAGAGTCTTGCAAAACACTAATAAGAAATGCATGGCAGAACCAAGCTTGAGTTATGCCTCTACTCTAAGCAGGGTGGAACCAAGTTTAAGCCCAAGGCAAGACATATGTTGTACAATAGTTTATTTCAATTTCGGTCCCAACGAATAACCACTCATTTAGTGTTGCTTTGCTAGTAGAATATTGAGGTAGATTAAACAATCTCATGGACAAGGATTGTTCTTTTCCTCATTTAGCAACCTCGGTTTTTCAGGTTACATTGATTCTAATCGGGGAGCTTGTTCCGGTACTAGGAGATCCATAACTGGACATTGCACATTCTTGGTTCATTACCTCATCACTTGGAATGCGAAAAAGCAAGGTACACTATCAAAATCTTCATCATGAGTTGTGTATCGAGCTTTCTCGCGACTTTATTATGAACTTCAATGGTTGAAATAATTGCTCAAGGAATTTAATATACAGCATGACGAGGCCATCAATATCTACTGTGACAACAAATCGGATATTCACAATGCACAAAATCAAATTTTACATGAAGAAATCAAACACATAGAGATTGACCGACTTGTGATTAGAGAAAGAATGAAGTCAGGGTCAGTTTCCACGCATTATGGTCCAACTGATCGCAATCTAGGTGACATCTTCACGCAGGGACCGAGTGCACATCTATTTCGTTGGATACGATCTTCAAGCCGGGAGTTCATGACATTCTGTTTCCTCGGGAAAACCAAATGCCACCGCCGGTGCCGAATTTGGTTCCGGCGATGTTGATTTGATGCTTCGCGATGGAAACTCTTGCGGTGTCGTTTGATCGGATGCACCGCTAATTGTTGAAATCGACGAGACCGTCAAATATCCACCGGGCGGTGTTGATTTGATCGGTGCAACTGACTTCTGAAAATGATGGTGATCGTCAAATATCCACCGTCGGGCGATGTTGATCTGATCGATGCACCTCTGACTTCTAACCAACGCGACCGTTACTACGGTCCACACCTCTCCAAACTACGTTCGAACGAGGGTGTTTGAGTTTTCGGGAATCTACACTACCGCTACTCCTATGGAGATTCCTATGAAGAGCTCTGCGACTACGACTACTTCTACCAACTATGGAGATCCTTCCTAGAAGGAGAGCTCCGCGAAGGAGTTACAGAGAAAAAAGGTAAAGTTTGGCAGATGTATTTCTGTGTTGATTTGATTGTCCCCTCTCTCTCTTTGCTCCATTGCTTTTATTTGAAAAGCATCTTCGTAGTCTTTAGGCTCCGTGGAACTGCTTCCTCAACTGCTCTGTCCTGAAATCCCACGTGTCTCAACTGCCTTGATCTCCTCTTTCTGCTTTGCGTAAAAGTCACGTGCACACACATCAACTTTGTACCATGGTTCGAATCACGATACCGCCACCGCGTACTCGCCGCTAGATTGTTGATCTCTCGCGTCGTTGACCACACAAAGTCGATGGCCTTCGTTGAACTCCACGATGTTGCTTTGGCCTTGCGGCATCATTGAATTTCGCGGCATTGTCGCACTAGCAACGCCGCTAGATTCGCGACCGCGACATCTCTCTCCACCGCAATGTTGTTTAGCTCGCGGCTTTATCCTCCACCACGGTATTGCTGATTCCTCGCGTGATATCGTTTTCAAGCTCCGCGGTGTCGTTTCCTCTCCAAACAGCTCCGTTTGTTTTTCTTTCCGCGACATTGTTTAAATATTTAAACACTGTCTTTTGCCAATACAGCGGTACCGTTGGGTTTACTCGCGGTACTGTTTTTAATTTAAACGACACCGCTGATATAGCCGAAAATATTCCATGGAACCGCCGCCAATCGGCGCTCGCATTGGACTAGGCGAATCTTGGTTTAATTAATCGGTACCGCTTACCAGGCTCTCGCGGCATCGTTTTTAAATCCGCGGTACCGTTTTAATTCTCCGCGATACCGCTTATCTCCATGCGGTACCGATTTTTCCCTTCCAACAAGGAATAAAAATAATAATTAATTATAAACAGAAAAAACTCCTTCCACGACACCTACACTAAAACGCGCGACCCCTTTTATTTTCAGTAAACGATGTCGTTTCCAGTGCCGCGGTACCGCTGAGCTTCCTTGCCGTACCGTTTTAACTCATCCGCGATGCCGCTTGTCGCGGTGCTGTTTTTAGCCAAACGACACTGTTTCCCAGTCTCGCGGTGCCGTTAAGCTTTGAGGCTCGAGGCACCGTTTTACCTCTTCGCAACATTGCTTGACTCCTAACGGTGTTGTTACTCTCCTCCTCCGACAAGGAAAAATAAAATAAAAAACATTTCTTGTCCAACAACAACACATGTCCTGCGCATGACTCACACATGGTCTGCAACCAATGTCGTTTCAAGTACCGCGGTGCCGCCGAGCCTCTTCACGGTCTCGCTCAAATTCTCCGCGGCATTGCTTGACACCAAACGACATCGTTTTGGCCATGCAATATCGAATTAATTGCCGAGACTCATTATTACGGCATTGAATTTAGGACAAAAAATATTTTAGGTGTAAACACATTCACTGAGCAGCTTGTGGGAGTTCAAAGCCATTTTATTGAACCATGTCGAGAAGGTTTAAAAAATAATGTAATAGCGACTGAACCAGAAACACAACAATGAGTGAACCATGTAGAATCAACTCCAAACGAAATTTCTTTTTTCATTTGTGAAACAAGGGAGGAATGCTCTGTTCATATCTGAAGAAATTTCCAGAATCGAACTTGCTCTTGGTCTCCGACAACCTCTTGAAATTGCCCTTAAAGTACTTGGCTCCCCACACACTCGCCTCCGAGAAGCTGGTCTTGCCATCGACGGAGTTCGTCCCCAAATCCAAATCCCTGTAATTCAGATACGCAGCCCTGGGGGACTTCGAAACATAAGGTTCCATGTAGTTGTAAAGCTTCTTCATCCACGCTAGATGCCTCCTTTCTTCCTCAACGCCGTCGCCTTCCCACATCACTAGGTACTGGATGTTATAAAGATAACCCTTTCTGTGCGGGAATGGAGTGTAGGATTCATGAATCCTGCTCATCCTCCCGCCGAAAGGTTCGAGTATCACGATCGGCTTGTCTTCCTCCATCGCGATTTCCCACATACCTTCGAATCCAGATTCCGGAATGGGCTCCGTAACGAAGTCGGATTTGGCCTTGAACTTTGCTCTCTGCATCTCGGTGTTGTCCAGCAGGACTTCCAGCGGGCTCCCCTGTTTGTATCCGGAGAAAAACAGAGTAGACTCTGCCCAGCTTCCTTCAGTACAGTTTCCCGCCGTCAGCCCCAATTCAGGGAAGCTCTGTTTCATCAGCGGGATTAGCTTCTCTACTGTACCCAGAAACAGAGACTCGAAAGTTGTTTGAATTGTCTTCTTCTTGTTCTTCTTGCTGCCGTCGACTTTCAGAATCACAGTCCTGACGAACAAGTCCTCTGGCGCGTCGTGTGCGAATCTCTGCCATTTATGAATCAGCTTGTTACTCCGATCTCCTTCTTCCAGCGTCGTGGAAACCTTGAAGAATGTCAATTTCGGCGGAACTCTTACCAATTTCAGCTTCCAGGACAGAACAATCCCGAAGCTGGCAGCGCCGCCGCCTCTGATCGCCCAGAAAACATCTTCCCCCATTGATTTCCTGTTCAGGATCCTCCCGCGAGCGTCCATCAGGTAAGCGTCTAGAACGTTATCCGCCGCGAGGCCGTGCTTTCTGGTCAGGGTTCCCAACCCGCCTCCGCCGATATGCCCTCCGAGGCCCACCGTGGGGCAAATCCCCGCGGGGAACGCCATGGGAGCGCTGGTGCTCTGTTTCGCGATCGCGTAGTAGAGCTCACCAAGCCGAGCGCCGCTCTGCACCCACGCCGTCTCGGCCTCGAGATCAAGCTGCACGTCGTTGAGGTTGAAGAGGTCGACGACGATGTAGTACCTGTCGCTGCTGCTGAAGTAGGAGAGGCCTTCATAGTCGTGGCCGCCGCTGCGGATTCGGAGCTCCACGCCGTGGTCCCTGCAGCAGAGTAAGGCGGATTGGATCTCTGTCTCGTGGGACGGAGTCAGAATGAGGAGCGGCTGCGGCCGCCGGGAAGTGGCGTTGTTCATGTATCTCATGTTCTGGACCCTCGAGTCGAGAAGCGAAGCGAAAAGAGGAGATTCAGGGTGGAATATTGTCTGGATCGATCTCGGGTAGCTGTTATTGCTCCTGTTGGCGATGCATTCCGCCAAATTTTCTGAAACTACCCGACCGGAGCTCGCGGCGGAGACGATGAAGAACAGAGTAAGCAGGAAAACCATCAGACTCGTCATCGTTTGCTCTGTTTTCGTTTTGTTGGAGTGAAAAGCCCACGGCTATGGTGTACAGTATATATAAGTGTGGATTGCTGTGATCACCCATCATTAAAACTAGCAGGGCTTGGAGATTATTATTGAGGTCGGAATATTTTGGGGTGGCGCTGTCTAATCCTTGGAAGCCTGTGGAAGAGGACATTTTTGAAATTCAACTTGTTTAGCCGCCGGCGGCTGGAATGGAATGGAGAAACGGCGGCCATGTGGGGAGGAGGATGAGATTCTGTCATCTTCCGTTGCTTGAAATCTAGTGATAGCATTATTTGAAGTGTTGAATTGAGTGGTACCAACTGCAATGGTTTGAGCTGAAAATCTAACACTCTTTGTCAAAGAAATGGAAAAAAAAAAAAAAAAGTTTTTGGAAGGAATGCATAAAAGGAATAATTATCACAGCTCAGTCAAGGATGACGACGTGATCCAGTTCAGGAGTGGGGTTGGGAATGGAACTATGGAAGGAATGCAAGTGTTGGCTTGTATGTGTTATCACGGTATCTGTAGGTAAGAAATCAAGAGAGTCCACATCTGGAGGGGAACCAGGGGCTCCTTGCTACAAAAGGGTGTATATAAACTAACTAGTTTTATGACCGGCGCATTGCGGCGGCAAGAAATTAATTATATTTTAAATTACAATTACTCATGTAATAATTATTTAAAATTAAATAATTCAAATAATAATTACGATATGATACCTCCAAAAGTTTTACATAAGATGGTAATCATTACTAAAAATTTACAAAGTTATTTTATTAATAGCTACATAAGAAATGATTATCCCTACATAACGTTCACGTAATGCATTTTCAGTTTATCTAGCTGTTATGAAATTGGGTTACATAAATCTTCCGTAATGTTTGATTTAATAATAAAATTAAGCTCATTGTATCTAAAAATTGGGTAAAATTTAACTTACTTTACGAAAATTTTGTGTGAAGCAAATTGATGGGAGGGTGAAGAATATATATAAATAATAAAGGAATTTAGTTAATGATAAGAATTAAGTTATGAAAGGTAAAGAAATTGATTAAATTGTTCTGCAAAAAGCAACTAACCGTACATAACCTTTGTGTATTGTAGACTAGTGAGATGATCAATACTTTGGTTAATAGTAAATGAATTTTTGCTCAAACTTATATCACGCAAAAATTTAGGTAATATGTTTGTTTAATTTATACAAAAGAATGACTATCTCTATAAGTTTTTTTTGTGTATTTTAATCATTACGAAAGATTTATATAATCCATTTTGTTTAATTGATAAATATAAAAAACTATTTCTCTTAAAATTTATGTAATGCATTTTTTATTTACGTAGTAAATGTTATAAAACAATATTATCTAAATGTTTCCTAATGTGTGGTTCAAATTGCATAAACTTCAGGCAAAATACACATGTATAGCCAAAACTTTGACGGTTTGGCATAGCCACTTTAAGCGAAATACCAAAAATAACCACTTCCGTCCAATTCTTTGACGGTGTTATGCTATATGCTGACTGGACAAACGATAACGGTTGAGGTGGCAACAATTAGTTAATTAAATTTCCACATGGATTTAATTAAAAAACGAAAAGAAATAAATAATGAAAGGGGGTCAAGGAGAAGTCAAAAAAATCCTATCTTCTCCATCGACTTCTGGGTTTATGTTTCTCTAAAATTAACAAAGCAAATGAAAGGGGAAAGGAATTCCGGCTCTGTCCCCGGTTAACCTCTCCTTGTCTCGGAAAATATTTCATTATTCAGAAGTGCATATGTGGTGGTGTATCCGATATCGACTCCGAGCAGGACACGATGCTGCCCAGAACAATAGAAGGCTTACAATCGCTCACCACTATTTGCTCGGCAGCGGTGGCGCCATTCGTGATCGTTCCCTTGATTTCGCCCGCTAAATCGATCTTTGGTTGCTCATTGTCGGCGTCCAGTTGCAGAAGACGACGACGATGTTGTGAGAGGAGAAAGGACGACAACATCGAGTGGTGGAAGAGGAGAGAGGATGAGAACAATAATTTATGTTTTTATTTAATTTTAAATTAAAATATGACATGGCATCCATGTGACAAGTTTTTTTTTTTTTTTTTGAACGGTTTCATTAAGAATGTAAATGGGCCAAGCCCAGAGGAAAAGGAAACAAACAAACAAAATAACAACAAAAGCTAGAGAAGCCAAACCCAAAGCCCACCCAAAACGCTGGAAACCCAATAGGGGCCAGTCCATGGCCCGACCCGAACACAACTCTTCTAACCCTAGCTGCTAAAATGTTTGCTCTTGGAACTTCACCGCCGCTGGCAGCAACTGGCAGACCCTCCCTCGACACCTGCAACCACCAGACGTCATGCGAAGATGCTCAAAACGAGCACACAGAAGAAAAGCCGTCGCCCACCAACCCAGATAGAAAGCCGTAGAAGCAGCATGAGATGCCTCCGACGAAAATCACGCCGGACCAAATACCGTCAGATCCCCAACACGAGACTTCAGGTGAAGGGCGGTCAGTGATGGAACCAAGAGGATCACCTTCTGTCTTCAAAATCCTCAATCCGAGTCCAAGCCGAAAGCCACATCTCCGAAACACCAAGATCTACAGGGTGAAGCAAGGAGGTAGACGAAGGGAAGAAAGAAGAGAAGACAAGCCGAAATCAACATAGATCCAGCCTCCTTTACATCTTAGAGCAGCAACATCTCTAGATCTGAAAAAACAAATCAGAGGACAAAAGTTCAACCCCAACAAAGGGAGGAGGAAGATGCACAATGCAAAGACAAAGCCAATCCATGGCGGGAAGCAAAAGAACCGAAAGATGCAGGGAGCACAAAAAACAGAAGCAAAGAAAGGGGGAAAAGGCAGTCGGAAAAAATGGGCTGCCGCCGGTCACCAGCGGGTGCCGGCGGCGCCCTTCGAAAATCTTGATGATGTGTTCAAGTGAGAAGGGAGAGCAAAAAAGTTAGAGGGAGAAAGTGTGGCAAAGTGCAAAAAAGAAAAGGTTCCATGTGACAAGTGTTGTTGAGTTGTCGATGATGTGTCTGTGAGTTGGAAGCCATGTTAGCATTTCGTTAAGTTGACTAACGATGTCACTAACGCCGTTAAAATATGTAACGGAAATGGCTATATTTGTCATGAATTTTTCAAAATTCTGGCTATATTTAGTATTTCGCCAAAAATGACTATTATTGTCACAAGCGTGAAAGTTTTGGCTACAAAATAGAATTTTATCTAAACTTTATTGTCACTAATACCTAAATTAGAAACATAAAAACTCAAATCCAAGAAAATGAGTAAAGTAAAAGAAATTTATAAGAACGTGATTGTAGTATAAAATAAACTAAAAAGAGCATTTTATTGTATTGTGGGTCTTGGTGGAAGTGATTCATCAAGTAATAACACAGAAGGAGGGTACAGGTTAAGGTGTAGTAATCACCGTGGTTACTAAGGGTAAATTGGGTATGAAAAATAAATTGTATTAATTAATTTTTTTAATAAATTACATTTTAGATAGTTACAAGAATCTATTAATTACAATTCTCTCTCTTTCTCTCACTTCCATAATCTTCAGCCAGATCCCGTTTCCTTATTTTTCTCAATCTTTCTGCAAAAGAAAAAAAAACACGAAATCACTACCAATCCATTAGACAATCACTACCACTTTGAAAAATATCAATACCATTGCAGAAATAAATCTATACCATTACACGAAAACTACCAATATAAATCTATACCATTTCACAAAAAATCAATACCATTGCAGATTGAATTCATACCAATACATGCAAATTAATACCATTACATGATAATCAATACCAATGCGACAAAAACAATACCAATGCAAAAAAACACTACCACTACGAAAAAATCACTACCAATGCGAAAAAAATCATATCTAGGGTTTTTATTTTATCCCACCTTTTCCAGCGAATCTGTCGACCCGAGGAACTCCATTGCTAATGCTCTGGCGAGCATTGATTTCCCAACTCCAGTTGGGCCGTGAAAGAAGAATTGAGGAGGAGCAAAATGGTTTCAAAGTGGAGACGGGAGAGATTGAAGGAATATCACCTATTCCAGTTGATCATTCCAAAGGGATGCCGGTGGGGTGTGGGGGTGGGGTTGGGGTGGTCGGAGGGAGGGAGGGACGCCGGTCACGGGGTGGGGTTGGGGTGGTCGGAGGGAGGGAGGGACGCCGATTGTGGGGTGGGAGAAGGGAGAGACGGCGGCTAGGTAGATAGGTTGTATTAGGGTTTGAGTATAATATATAGAGTAATCAGGTGTGGTATGTTTTTCATTTCCTAAATTACCCTTAGCTAATCTTAATCGTTAATTTAAAAATATAATGAATGGTATAGATGTTGGTAGCCACCGTAATTACTCAAAATTGAGTAACCACCCTAACCTATTCCCAGAAGGAGATAGGCAAGTCGCATTTAATTACCATTTGGAGCAAACATGTGTCGCTCATGCAAGAACTATGAAAGTAATTGATTGAATCCAAAAAATTAGAATAATTAGTATCTATGTCTCATCAACAAACTCAACTTTTCAACCCCCTTCCTTCTCCACTAAATGCTCCTTTACGCCATTCCCGACCGTTGCTTCTTCAATTGAATCGATTGTTATAGCTTCTCAAGATGTACATGATTGAGTGGGTGGTTGTAGCAAGATCCATAGGCACGACCGATTATGCTCTCACCAACAGCCCACAACTTCCTCAATTTCATCGATTCTAGATAACTATCGATTCCGTTAGGTGGTTTTAGCAGGGCTTTGCACCAGCCATGGTCGACTATTATAGATGAAGAATTTCGAGGAACAGATACTCTAATCTCATATTTTGCATTTCCCAGAGAGATCCCTAAACTCTGTATTTGGAGGATTGGCGGCAATTTTCGCTGTTTTTCTTTTGCATGCATTGATGGTCAACTATTCCAAAAGCAAGAGGAATTCCTAGGGATTAAAACCTCCTATTGTATCCCTAAGCTCCCTATTATGAGGGTTAGAAGGCAAATAAATATAAATGTGTTCTTCTTTTCATGCACTGATTATAAACTTCCGACCCAATCCAATTGGCGTTTACAGGTATTTAGTGAGTTTTAGGGGCAGTCTTCTTTTCCGATCCCTTGGCAACAACTTCTCATCTGTTTCTCTTCTTCAGGACCCAATAGGGGAAGTTTAGGGGTGCAGTCTTCTTTTCCAATCCCTTGGCGGCAGTTTTTCATATGATTCTCTCTTCTTTTACCCAACAGAGGAAGTTCATCGTAAGTCAGACTCACCTAATGCTTGGCCAATCGCCAGGGTGTTCCCACGAAAGTAAGCTGCACACGACCATAGGGAATAAAACCGCTCAATAATCGGGCAATGAACATTGTTCCCTATGAAATCGCCATTGTTTCCAGTTAAAATGAGACTTACGGCGCCGTAGTGGTTTGAGTCTCCGATAAAGACGTGGCTACCGCTAATTTGTCGTAAGGAACAGTAACTTATACTTGCGTAAACTTGCGGGTTAATACTAATTATATATATATATATATATATATAATTATATAATATGTACCGTTTAGCTAACTAAACTACACTTACAACGGTAACTGATTCGGGTAGGGATGGCAATGGATCGGGTCGGGGGCGGATAGTGTATATCCATTACCCTACCCAATATAGTTCGAGTTTTATCCATACCCACACGGGAAACGGGTAGAAAATCAAAACCATGCCCATACCCGTTCGGGTTTCGGGTATCCACGGTTATCCATGGGTAATAATTTCACTTAATAATTCCAACCAATATATTAACATTCACAAGTATACTCACATTACGTAAGAGGAAAAATACGACAATAATTCACTAGAATGAAGAAAATTAATTAAAACAACATAATTTCATGAAAATATTATATTTATATGTTAAATATAAAATATTCTAGAGAAAAATAATGATTATTTATAGACAAAACACATATGCATGTGTATAATCGGGCGGGCTCGGGTTGGATAGTGGAAAAACCATACCCACCCATTACCCGCAATATTTGGGTTCGGGTTTTACCCGTACCTAGGGGTGGCTATACGGTCCGGTCCGGTTAAATTGGCCCAAATTGATCCGGTCCAGTCCGGTCTTTTTGAAAATATAAGGACCGAAGATTGGATTGCATACAGTCCGGTCTTGATCCGGTCCGATTTTGATCCGGTCCGGTCCCAATTCGGTCTTGATTTTACATTGAGATTGTGGGATTTGAGTGGCCTAAGGCCTTAAAGGGTGAGGAGTTGGTTAAGTTTTGTACTAAGTGCAAAGGTTTGTGACCGTTTATGCAAATTACCCTTAAGTTTTGGGTGTTGAGCTCTCTTATCCGGGTTTTTACCTCAAATCTAAGCCCAAAGATTGGATTGGATTGTTTACTATCCGGTCCTGGTCCGGTCTCGATCCGGGTTATACGGTCCGGTTTCCGGTTTTTAATCTGGTCCCGGTCCAAATAGCCACCCCTACCCGTACCCATGAAAAATGCTTCGGGTTCGTGTTTTACCCTACCCGATTAGGTCGGATTCGGGTGGATATCCACGGTTACAGATATTTTTGCCATCCCTAGATTCGGGTACAAATGAACACATTTTATCCCTCATTTCTTGTCCGTTTTGTTTAGTAGATCACCGTCCCTCGATCTATTTTACGCTAGGTTGTGTTTGTTTTGTTACATTTAAGGTCCTAGTACGTGGGAAGGTCGAGGACTAGTTTAAGATCGATTGGAGGTCGAAAAGCGTGAAAAAGTGGAAAAAATGCCCAAAATCCCGTGACAATTGCCCCGTGACCGTGAACTGGCCAGGTTCCAGAGCGTTTCTACAAGTTGCTGGCGCCAAGTCAGTTCACGGTCGTAAGACTGCGAACTTCAGCTCCAGACCGTGAAGTGTTGTAGTGAAACGACGCGTTTTTGGCCGAGATCACGATCCAGGTTTTGAGTTCACAACCGTGAACTCAGACCGTGAACAACCTTCGATCTAGGTATAAAAGGCAGCAGCAGAAGGAAGAAAAGGGGGGAGCTGGTTTTTGGAGAGGAACTAGTTCCTTTCTCTAGGGTTTCGACCCGAAACACCAAATGGGAGTTCTAGAGAGAGAGAGAGAGAGAGAGTTCTTGAGTAATTTTAGAGCGTAATAAGGCATTGATCAAGTTTAGAAGCAAGGAATAAAGCCTAGAAGAAGAAGAAGAACAAGATCTTGGGCTCCAATTTGTAATCTCTCTCTCCTCTCTCTAGAATCTCACCCTCTTCTCTTGGGTTTAAGAACCCTAGGTCTAGATTTTGTTTCATTGTTGATGTAGGTGACAAATTCTATCTTTGATTAATGAATTTATCTATTTGATAGATGTTTGGTAAGGATTGAATGAGTTTGGATTCCTTAACTTGTCAATTGAGTTTTGACCTATGAGGGAGAAAATCCCCTTAGAGCCCATTATTGGCATCTTTGGGTCACTCCTACCGTAAATTGTCCGGGTAATCCCCGAGGGAGTTGATTCCATTGGTCTCCTAGCAATATATGAAACCCTAGGTTGATTAGAGCTCCTACCCATCCATCACTCCGTCGTTCCCGGACCATCCCGAGTGAGTCAATCTCATAACGGTAGGATAGTGAATTGATCAAGTTAGGATATTACTCAACAATCAACATCGATCCAAAGGCTAGAAATAGGGGGATTTAACCCAAGAGAGCTCCCAAAACCTTGTAAATATCTAGGTTAGTTAGTTTAATTCTTCTCATCATCATCCTAGGTTGGCTAGATAACGAACCCTAACCTGAAGTAGGGTAGCCTAGATCCCCATGGTACGATAAATTCTTATTGCTTGCTTGCCCTATACTACACCCGGTCTCCGGTTATACTTGGTTGGCGATTGGGATGTTGTAGTTAGAACGAGTCAGTAACTAGTTGTGGCAATCATCTCTATGTGTTTCGTTTTTCCATTTTAGAACGAGTTGAAGGGGTAGGGATTGTTGCCGCGGAGGAAGCAATAAATTGGGGTTTATCAGGACCAATGCTACGAGCTTCCGGAGTACAGTGGGATCTTCGTAAAGTTGATCATTATGAGTCTTACGACAAATTTGATTGGGAAGTTCCGTGGCAAAAAGAAGGAGATTTCTTAGCTCGTTATTTAGTCCGAATTGGTGAAATGACGGAATCCATAAAAATTATTCAACAGGCGTTGGAAAGAATTTCGGGAGGTCCCTGTGAAAATTTAGAAACCTGACATTTTGATAGAGAAAGGAATCCTGAATGGGACGATTTTGAATATCGACTCATTAGTAAAAATACTTCCCCTACTATTGAATTGCCTAAACAAGAACTTTTATGTGAGAGTTGGAGCCCCAAAGGGAGAATTGGGGATTTTCTGGTAGGTGATTAGAGTAGTTTTCCTTGGCGATGAAAAATTCGTTCACCGGATTTTATCAATTTGCAAATTCTTCCAATCAATTAAAATAATGAAATTGACGGATATTATGACAATACTAGGTAGCATAGATATTATTATGGGAGAAGTTGATCGTTAAATGATAATTGATACAACCAAGTACAAGCTATCAATTCTTTTTTCAGAATGGAAGCCTTAAACGAAATCTATGGAATTCTATGGATCCTTGCCCCTATTTTGACTCTTGTATTGGGAATTACAATAGGTGTACTAGTAATTGTATGGTTAGAAAGAGAAATATTGCGGGGCTACAACAACGTATTGGACCTGAATATGTCGGTCCTTTGGGAGTTCTTCAAGCTCTAGCGGATGGGACAAAACTTCTTTTCAAAAAGAATCTTTTTCCATCTCGAGGGGATACTCGTTTATTCAGTATCGGACCGGCTATAACAGTCATATCAACTCTATTAACCTATTCAGTAATTCCTTTTGCCTATCGCTTTGTTCTATCGGATTTAAATATGGGTGCTTTTTTTATGGATTGCGATTTCAAGTATTGTTCCAATGAGACTTCTTATGTCAGGATATGGATCAAATTATAAATATTATTTTTAGGTGGTTTACGAGTTGTTGCTCAATCTATTAGTTATGAAATCACATTAACTCTCTTGCATATTATCCATATCTCTACGTGCGATACGTTGAACCAGAAGCATTTCCTTATTGCTTTCTCTTTTAGAAGAAAGCAAAATAAATTGAATAGATATCTTCAATTTTTTATTATTATTCATTTTTTGGGATGATGAAGAAAATTGCATAGTTATATGAGTGAAAGAAAACTGCTTTGAAATTTGTAGTAAAAAAAACTTGAGACTCATTTCCTATGTACAAGAATAAAGCGGAAATAAACATAAGAACACGAGATTGGTTGCCCCACGATTGGTTGATTAGTCAACCTACATTGAAGCGGGCTTAAAAAACCATTATTTAGTATTTAGTTTTCACTATTATTTAGATGTATTACCCTAATGCTAAGGAGTGATTGCGCAAATATGAGTAGATGGTTTGGAACACCAAGATACACAGGATTAGTAAGAGAGAATTTCTAAATTATCAAAATTCAAAAAATCTGCATAAAAGAATATTTATTGGGGCTTTAAATTGGTAGAAATGATATAGCAGTACTCCCCATGATTCCGATCCAGAGTATGCTCTCACCCACCGATTAAAGAAATAACTATCAGGAACGAAATAATCCTTTTTTTCAGAAAGAAGAATAGGAAGGAAAAAAGAGATTTTTTTTCTTCTTACCTATATCTTATATCTTTTTTTTTTTACAAAAGATAATCAGATATATTGATTGGAGAAAAAGATATTACATCTTGGATACCAGCCAGGCTTGGAAATCAAAAGATCGACAACCAGTCGGGTACAAAGCGAGGGCCTTTCTAGCCACCAAATGGGCTACCCTATTGTTACTCCGACCTACAAAGCGAACACTAAACGCACTATGACACGTAAACACCCGAATGAGTTCTTCAAGAACAACCCCAACCCGATCATCCCTCGCATCCCGCTGATTAAGTTTATCAATAATGACCTCGACATCACCTTGGAAGCAAACTGCTGGAAACCCCAATTCCAGACATCACACCACCGCTTCCCGAAGAACCAACATCTCTGCCACTAAAGGGTCATCCGTATCGGGCAACTGAATTCCACGAGCCAGAAGTACGTTCCCGACGAGATCATTAATCACAATCCCTCAGGCCGCATGCGAACCAGCCTTTGTCGCGCCATCCACTGACAGGTAACAGTCTGCAACACAACGGTCAAACCAGACGAAACACTAGGCATGCAGGGATGCTGAACTCGGTCAACAGGGAGCCTCATCCATTCCGGATACTGTTGATAATACTGTCGCAAAAGTGATGGAATTCGAATTGTTTGCTCTGAAAGACCACCCAATTACGAGACTTCCAAATCCGCCACAGGACAACTACAACAACCATGAATAAATGAGGATGGTGAACGACATTCATCAACTTCTTCATAAACAGAGGGAAGGTATGCCTTGGCAACCCCTGACCAAGATGCTCAAGGCCCGCCTGATCCCAGAGTGCCCTCGCTACTGGACAATCCAAGAACAGGTGCTCCATTGTTTCCTTTTACGCCCAGCAGACAGGACAACGAGGCTGGACCCGAACACCTTTCTCAATCAACGCCTCTATTGTCGGAAGGATGCAAAGGAACACTTGCCACATAAAACTTTGAGCTTTGGGGGAAGATTAGCATCCCCCAGCCGTATCCAACTCGATTTATCCATCCAGCTAACCTTCGTCCTCCACCTACCATCCTGTTTGTCGAGCAAGACCGCAAGGTGGTAGGCCGATTTAACTGTGAAGATCCCATCAAAGGTCATATGCAAAATTAACCTATCCTCCATATTCCCACAAGGTAGGGGGATAGCCTTAATTGCCCGGCCTACTGTTGGGTCAAACCATTGTTGAAGCTTCGCATCACACCATTTCCCCTCACCTTGGCATATAACTGAGTCTACCATCGGTTCACCCTCAACTGAAAGAACTTGCGGGTTATATACCGGGGCATCATGATGAAGAAGAGGAATACAACTAGAAGAGAGGAGAGAAGCAGTCCGCCCATTGCCAATCTGCCAACGGAGACCACGTTGAAGCAATTGACGGTCATAATGGTACTCTGCCACCCCACGATGGACAAGACCTGGCCATAGCTGTTAGAAAAGTCCCGCGAGGGAAATACTTCCCTTTATAGACTTGTGCCAGCAGCGACTGGGGTTCAGACAGGATTTGTCACCCAATTTTAGCCAACAAAGCCTGATTAAATTGTTCAAATCGGCGGAATCCCATGCCCCCCTCATTATTACTAGTGCACATATTACGTTAGGATATCCATCTCATTTTGGAGTGTCCCCCTTCCACTCCCCACCAGAATCTAGCCACGTGCCTATCCAGAAGCCGGCACAAGGAAAGTGGAAGTTTAAAACAGGACATCACGTGAAGAGGTAAGGCTAAGGCGACTGATTTGATCAAAGTCTCCTTAGCCGCCCAAGATAAAGTCTTCTGCTTCCACCCCTAAAGCCTGTTTAACAGCTTTTCCTCCAGAAACCGAAAAGTGGCCATCTTAGAACGCGCTATCAGCGTTGGTAGCCTCAGGTACTTATCCTGGACCCCAACTGCTCCAACCACCAATACAGCGGTGAGGAAGTCCTGATCAGGCAACGAGAGATTTTTACTGAAACAAACTGCCGACTTGCCCAGATTAACCCTTTGTCCACTAAGCTCTTCGTAAGTGTTTAAAACCTCGATTAGATTTTCACACTCACTTAAAGAGCCTCTAAGGAACAAATAAGAATCATCCGCAAAAAAGAGATGCGAGATCCTCGGAGCCCTCGGAGCTACCTTTACCCCTTCCAGTTTACCCATCGTGATAACCTGTCGGAGGAGTGCCGCTAAACCTTTCGTGCAAAGCACAAAAAGCAATGGGGATCATGGGTCACCCTGCCTTAGGCCACGAGACGAAGTAAAGAAGACAGTCGGGGTTCCATTCACGAGCACCGAGAAAGAGGCTGACTGAAGGCATTCCTGAACCCAACCACACTAGACCGAGTTAAAACCTAACTTTCTCAAAACTGCAAGAAGAAACGGCCATTCAACTCTGTCATAGGCTTTTTCCATGTCAACCTTTAGAGCCATGTACCCTCTCTTTCCTTACTTTTTGATTTTAAGATAATGCATTAACTCGTGCCCGAGCAAAATCTTCTCCACAATTTGACGTTCGCGGATAATTGCATTTTGACCCTCTGATATGATAAGGAACAAGAACTGAGCAAGTCTTTCTGCCATAATTTTAGTAATGATCTTGTACACAAATTGACAGAGACTAATTGGCCAAAGCTGGGTCATATTTTCAACATTATCCACCTTAGGGATCAGCGTAAGCCAGGTGTGATTGAAGCTACGGAGCAGTATGCTCGTGCAAAAGAAGTCCCCAACCGCCTCAATCACCGAGGCACCCACTATATCCCAGAAAGATTTAAAAAAATTCCCCGTGAACCCATCCAATCCTGGGGCCTGTTTAGATCCCAGAGCGAAAATGATTTTACGAATTTCTTCAGGGAGGACTTCCGTCGTAAGGGAATCATTCATCTCCGCAGAAACCTTACACTCAATCGGAAGATTAGCAATCCTAAGTCCATGTTATGAACATGATTCTCCGAGGTAAAGAAGCGTTGATAAAAATCCGTTGCAATATCAACCTTCCCTCGTTCCTCTGTAATCCATTCTCCCTCCTCATTGTGAAGTCCCGAAACAAAATTATGTTTCCGTCGGGCTCGGGTGACCGTATGAAAGTATGAGGAGTTTTGATCTCCCTTCTTGAGCCAACGGACCCTGGATTTCTGCTGCCAATAAGCTTCCTATGCTTCCCACTGCCGGTTCAGCTCTGTTTCCAACACCCTAACTTCCTCCCCGTTAATCGGATGTCAGAGCTTAACCCGATCAATTTCATATTGAAGAGTTTTAATATTCCTGAGCGAGTTAGTAGTGTCCGCTCTACTCCAATCATAGAGTAGATGGCAAAGCTTTTTCAACTTCTCCCATAACTGATACATAGGGGTGCCGTGGACCTCCTCGAACCACACATAATTCACCATGGCCTTAACTTCCGGATTCTCTACCCAACGAGCATCAAACCGGAATACAGGACAACAATTTCTTACGTATGGTTTATCAGAGAGAATTAGAGCTCGATGATCTGATCCCTGATCTGTAAAATGCTTGATCAGCGTGTCAGGGAATCTTTCGATCCAAGCCTGGGAGCAGAGAGCTCTATCCAATCTCTTATTTGTTAGCTTAGCTTATTTATATTGATAAGATCAAACTCGTGTAATAATTTATGAACTAATGCAATAAAAAAATTGGTACGTGAAAACCATAAGTTGAGATAGCTATTAATATTGTTACAAAGAGTATTTTATTGATGGATTTAAGTTATTACTCAAGAAAGAAAAACATATTACGATGAAGTTCTTATCTTAAAGGATGAGATCAATTCAGAAGTTATTCTTACCGATTGAGTTTCATTGTTCGAATTTTTGGAATGTCCAATAGATTTTTTCCTATCTATCGTACAAACAGATCAAGATACAAGATAAAAAAAAAGAATCTGGTCCGATTTATATTTTTTATGGCCTTCTAGGTAGGGCTAGCTATTTGGTCCGGACTGTTTGGTTTTACCCGAAATCGGACCGTATAACCCGGACCGGGACCGGACTGGGACCGGATAGCAAACAATCCAATCTCATATTCGGGCTTAGATTTGAGGTAAAAAATCGTTTGAGACCGGATCAAAAACCGGATAAGAGACCCCAACACCCAAAACTTAACCAACTCCTCACCCTTTGAGGCCTCAGGCCACTCAAATCTCCACAAACTCAATCTAAAATCAAGACCAAATTGGGACCAGACCGGGTCAAGACCGAACTGTATCCAATCCCATCTTTGGTCCTTATACTCCCAAAAAGACCGGACCGGGACCAAATCAATTTGGGCCAATTTAACCGAACCGGACCGTGTAGCCACCCCTACTTATAGGAGTCGTATGAGGTGAAAATCTCATGTACAGTTCTGTAATAGCAATGGGAATAGTGATATTATCACCGACTATGATTATCTAACAATTCAAGTATAGTTGATATATTTGAGGCACAATAAAAATATGGTTTTTGGGGTTGGAATTTGTGGCGTCTACCTATAGGATTTATTATTTCTTTAATCTCTTCCCTAGCAGAATGCGAGAGATTGCCTTTGATTTACCAGAAGGACAAGAAGAATTAGTAGCAGGTTATCAAACGGAATACTCGGGTATCAAATTTGGTTTATTTTATGTTGCTTCCTATCTAAACTTATTAATTTCTTCATTATTTGTAACCGTTCTTTACTTGGGCGGTTGGAATATCTTTATTTTGTACATATTCATGACTGAATTTTTTGAAATAAATAACGTGGGCAGAGTCTTTGGAATAACAATCGGTTAAAACTTATTTGTTCTCGTTCATCTCTATCACAACAAGATGGACTTTACCTAGACTAAGAATGGATCAACTATTAAATCTTGGATGAAAATTTCTTTTACCTATCTCTCTCGGTAATCTATTATTAACAACCTCTTCCCAACTCCTTTCACTATAAAAAGGAAAAAAAGGAATACTTTTTGACATTCACGACTTATCTCAAACAAGAGAAAGAAAATTATTCATTGCTATTATAGATATGTTCCCCATGATAACCGGGTTCATGAATTATGGTCAACAAACCATCCGAGTTGCAAGATACATTGGTCAAAGTTTCATGATTACCTTATCTCACGCAAATTGTTTACCTATAACTATTCAATATCCTTATGAAAAGTTCATTACAGCTGAGCATTTCCGGGGCCGAATCCACTTTGAATTTGATAAATGCATTGCTTGTGAAGTATGTGTTCGTGTATGCCTATAAATTTACCAGTTGTTGATTGGAATCTAGAAACTGATATTCGAAAGAAACGGTTACTTAGTTACAGTATTGATTTTGGAATCTGTATTTTTTGTGGAAATTGCGTTGAGTATTGTCCAACGAATTGCTTATCAATGACCGAAGAATATGAGATTTCTACTTATGATCGTCATGAATTGAATTATAATCAAATTGCTTTAGGGCGTTTACTGATGCCAGTAATTAACGATTATACAATTCGAACAATTTTGAATTCACCGAACAAAATTAGTTAAATTTTTTTGATAATTCCAATTCCATTTTGAACAGCGAACTGAGAAGTAGTTTGAGAGCTTCAATGGCAAGAAGATCATCACCATCAAGGATTATATCATCTACATGTATTGGAAGAAGAGAGCTGCAAAAACTGCTATGATGAACAAATATTGAGTAGTCACTATGAGATTGTTTATGTGCTCAGAAGTGTTGTAGTAAGTTTGGAGAACCACTTTTGAGAGGCTTGCTTTAAATCATAAGGAGACTTTTTGAGTCAGGCACACCATGCTTGGTTGAGAAATTTCAAGAGGAAAATATGTGTACTCTTCTTCAAGGATATCTCTGATAAGAAAAGCATTGCTCACATTAAGTTGGAATAAGTGCCAATTTTTAGTGATTTCCACAATAAGTAGTGTTTTAACGCAGTTCTATTTGGCAAATGGAAATAGGTATCCAGAAAATCGACACTATAGATTTGAGTGAACCCCATAGCCACTAGCTTTGCTTTGTGGCATTTTATGCTTCCATCTGGATTGAGTTTGATCTTGTACACCCATTCGTTGCCTATGGTTCATTTGAATGGAGATTTAGGAATTATATCCCAAGTTTGATTAGCAATAAGAGCCTTAAGTTTTTGCTTCATTCTACTGCATCTTCACAAGTTCTAGGCTCTTGGATAAATTCAAGATACATTACATACTTTCTATAAACCGGTGACAAATTGTCATAGAAAAAAAGGAACCAGAGGATACCTAAACTTGTAAATTTTAGATTCCAAATACATAACATAATCACTATACTTTATAGGAGGGTGTGATCGTGTGGGTTTTCGGGAGGTTTTCTAACAACAATAGAAAGGGCTGATGAGGGGTTGTTTGGATGTACATACATTGGAGAAGGGTTCCAAAATTAGGTGTGGGAGTAGGTTGTGGCGTGGGAGAAGAAGGAGGACTGGAAGAAGGTTAGGAGGAACATACTGTATTGGGACTTCAGGTGAAGAAGAAAGTTCAGGGTAAGCTGAAGGAAAGAGAATGGACTCAAATTATGGTGGTGATTCAGTGGAAGTAGATGGACTTGAGACACAAGGCAAGATATTCTCATGAAATAACATATAACTATAGAACATGTGTTGCACGCAAATAATCTTATAAATAAAATATGATTGGTTATGGATCGGTCTTCTGGACTTGTACGTTGGACTTGACATGTTGCTAAGGCTCACGAGTTTATGAGATGGATCACTCATGCCACCAAGAGAGATTGGCTCACTGAAATGTGGTGAATGTGGATCGCTCATGTTTGCAAGAGAGGCTAGCTCACTGTGATCTTCTTACACACTGTTGCTGCTTAGCCAAACTACTTCAGTATCATCTTATTCAGGAGAACCATTCTCCCTCTCAATCACAAGCTCCAAATCTTGGAGGACATCGTTCGCAGTGAGAAACAGAATGGGAGTGAAAGTTCGAAATTAAGGATGAGCCATTAATTCCAAGCTTTATGAGGAGACTAGTTATCAAGGGTCTAAAGGACAATAGAGCATGATAGTTGAAGTCTCCAAAGGGTATTAGGGTTCCAAAGATAAGAAGGAAACCCTAGTGTTAACTTTGTGATGTGAAGGTTTTTTGTAGCCAATTGTTGTTGTATTGTGATTCTATTGGTCTATACTATTGTAAAGTAGCAGGTCTCATACTTCTATTCAAGTTGTTAGTTAGCTACATTTGCGCATTTGTATAACATTTCCATTATTCATTGTATGAACCAATTCCTGGGAACCGTTTTACATTTTTATGAGAAGAGGAAATGATACAAATACAACATGAACATACAAGATGTATCACGATGCACCAATTCTGTATATCCTCTTATGTTTCCACCAATAATGGTAACAAAAAATAACAATTCATAAAAGAGATTAATGGTTCCTCTTCTCTTCTTATCACTTGGTGTTCGACGCAAATAATTTCACCATGAAATCTGTTGCAAATACACCCAAAAAAATGCCTCGTTATGCCTCGAAACAATATATGTGGATGAATAACAAAATCTAGTAAGTTTGTTGATGATATTTGAGTCATTAGGGGTATGCATGAATTTAAATCGTTAAATCGGCTTACTATTTGAATGCATATGTTCACATTATTTATAAACTATCACCATGTACATTTAATGATTGAGATCATATGACATCACGGTGTAATGATAGTAACCTTCGATAACCCAAACCATTAGCACCATAATATGAACTGGAAAGAATGAACGAGTTTATTTTTACATTACCTATAATAGGTTTGTTGTAACAGGTGGTTGCGCAAGTCATTTGACAATATTCCCGGTTCTTGTAATCATGTTTCTTGTTGCAATCTTCTTCGCAAGGTATGCGGCAGCCTACAGAACCGCCTTCACTGGCGGCCGATGATTGAGTCGCCGTCGCGGCAACCATTAGCAATACTATGATTATTGCTGCTATGGTTCTGTCGCTTGCCATTTCCTCTCAAAATTTTATCCCCTTGTCCTCCTTTTTCCTCGCTGCTTCCTTTGTTTACCCAAATTCCACGAACATTTATTATGTTTTTTGGTTGTTTTGTTTTGTTTTAATTTTTATTTTAGTAGAATCTGTTTTCTTGTTTTTTTTTTTGGTGAGAGCGCAGGGGGCGCTCTAACCCTTAATCATGAATCTGTTTTCTTGTTTTAACCCAACAAAACAAAAAATTAGCCTCTAAAACTCCAATTAGTAATAGTTACAACAAACAATAGAATTGAGGGTTTTAGAAGGATCCAGTTATGATCGTTACTTTTTTAATGAAAATTAACGCGGTTTTTTGTTAATTTTGACAATTCACTTACGGGACGTGTCTATATTATACATTGTATAACCATTAGGTCAAATTTCCGCTCATAATTATATACTTCTTATTAAAGTGGTGTAGATTTAAGGGTGTTAAGTGTTATACTGAGAAGCGAAAAATTACAAGTACCATTTTAGAGAAAAGCATTATCCAATGTGGCAGTGATAAATACAAAATTTCAGGATCTTACTCAATTTTTTAATTTTTGTATGAATCTATGCGATTTCCTTCTAGTGGTTATATTTTAAAGGTGATCCAGTGTCACTACTAAAATGCTAAATGTCATCCTACAATTACTATGTGTTGTCCTAAAATTATAAGGTAATGTACATATTTGTCCAATATAAAATTTGAAATTGTAATAAAATCAAACACTTTCTAAATTAAAATTACTAGCGTGGCACCGACCATTTGGCCGGAGGAAGGTGAGGTATGAAATTTGATAATGTAATGGGGTGTATAGTTTTATTGTTGCATAGTTTTTTTTTTTTGGGAAATACGTGATAAAAATATTGAATTTTTGTAGGAAAGAGACATGAATGATGCATCGAATCAAAAATCAGCCTTATGAACCAAAATCAAGTACCTTTACCTTGTGAAACAATATTGTTTCGGGTAATATGATGAGGTGGAGTATGTTTTATAGAAACCGAATTCCAGAAAATCGAATAAAAAATCGCCTATCCCGCCGGTTTTTGGGAAATGAGCATCTCACAATCATTGCTAGCTTTTACTCGGCCCGTTGGCCGATTAATTTGCTTTATAAAACTTTCATCTTGTCATCATTGGGCTTTCTGGTTTTTTGCCAAGCCATGATAAAATCTAAAGAAATCAAGAATGAACAACACGATTTGGGATAGGAACCACCGTTCCTGTATCTCAAGAAAATGGTGGTAAACACCGACTTACCTGCCAAACTGGTTTGGATTGAGATTTTTATCGGGTATCAGGGAACCATGTGATTATAAATTAGACTTGATCAAAACGGGCCAAAACTTGAAATTAGCGGTGGTTATACGGTCCGATCCGGTTAAATTGGACCATATTGATCAGGTCCCAGTCCGGTCTTTTCGGGAATATAAGGACCAAAGATTGGATTGGATACAGTCCGGTCTTGATCCGGTCTGGTCTTGACCCGGTCCGGTCCCAATTTTATCTTGATTTTTGGTGTTGGGGTCTCTTATCCGGTCTTTATCCGGTTTTTTACCTCAAATCTAAACCCGAATATGAGATTGCATTGTTTGCTATCCGGTCCCAGTCCGGTCCCGGTCCGGGTTATACGGTCCGGTTTCGGGTAAAACCAAACAGTCCGGGACCAAATAGACAGCCTTACTAGAAATTCAGCCTGTTTGATCGACCCATACCAAACTCTAATTATTCTTTACTTTTAAACTTTCTATTTGAAAATAAAAAATAATGAAAGAAAAGAGATGATTGCAATTCGCTATTTGCACATCACTGATTCGGGAATAAAACTATAGAATTTCGAAAAGAAACTGAAAATGTTTAGGATCGTTTTAATGTTAAAAATAACCAAATAGATCTTTCTGTTTAGTTTTTTTACTAACAAATACCAAACGATTCCCTATAATATAGACTATAATTTAATCATTATGATATCAAATGATTACAAATATATATTTGAAATGATTAAAATTGGACTTATTGGGTTGGTCGAGGTTGAATCATTGAATAACTTTAAAATACATTATATTTTAGTCACTAAGATATAAAATAATAGCATAATATATATTATGCTAGAGAAAATAGCTTGTTTTAGAATGGCAAACCATGATGTTCATTTGTTTTACTTGATGGGCAAATCCTGTGTAGGTCAGGCCCATTCAACTCTTTTATTTTATGATTAGCGGTTAGCCCATTAGAATCCATGCATTAGTTTATTGTTAAATTTTTTTTCTTTTTAGCAATAAAAAGGAGTATTGTTTTTGCCTTTTCATATATATTTTACCACCACAGAGAAATAAAAGGACTTAAAGAAAAAAATTGGCACTCCTGGACTCGTTTAAATCCGCATGTGTGCGGTAAGTTGGAACGTTCCACAGAGGAAAAAGTAAAAAATTGACACTCCCTATTCTACCCTTCCTACAAACGCTCCTGGAGCAGGGAATTTGAAATGGGGGAGGGTTTTTTCCTCTCTGCGATTATATGTTTTTAATTTGAAAAGATACAACAAATGTACTTAGTGTGATTGGTTATGATCTTTGCTTTTCTTTAAAGTGGTCAAGGTTCGAATCCTATTAAGTGTCTTTTTAATGAATAAAAAAAGTAATTGTGAAGACCAAAATGTCCTTCCTACTTTCACTCTGGATGTGGAAAATTTGAAATGGGGCTTCAAGTTTTCTCATTTGGCTTTTATTTATTGTGTAGATAGATTAAAAACCACTCCTCTCTGTCCACCGCACATCTTTCTTCCGATGTCTCCTCTCCTCTCTCCCTCACACAATCTCTTCTCTCCCGCCGGCGAATGGGAACAAAGCTAATCAACCGTTAAAGTCTCTGCTGCAGCTCAGCAAGCAGCGGAAAATAACGAATCCGGAATTCCAGCCCGGAAAAAAGCAGCAAACCCGCACCTGCCACCCTCTCCCGCCGGCTTGCTCTGTTGGAAACCCAACAAAAAATTTAGGGTTATCGATCTGGCTGAGTCGCGGACTAGGTCGCTCTCTTTAAGACGTTCACGGCACTGCCTCGTTATTCGCACAACAGACTATCAGTCGGTTGCCTCCATGATAAAATAGTCATTTTGATTTGTTGCTCATCGGTTTTGTGCGAAAACCGGAGCTCTATGAGAGAGAACCGGTTTATTCATGCCATCGTCTTAGAGTCTATTTCAAATCTTACAATGATTTGTCTAACTATAGACTCCCTAAGCATGTTCAGGAATAACAACCCTATAGGTTGTCCCATGTAGATTTTCCTATCTAAATCACCATTCACAGAAACATGTTTAACAATCCATCTGACGCACAACACTAGCAATCAGAACATACATGGATGTTATTCTACATATGGTGAATAGATAACAAGAAAATTTACAATTTTTCCTTTTCGCTTAAAGCCTTAGCTATTAGGCGATCCTTATACTCATAAACTAAACCAATAAGTTTCACTTTTCTTTTAAGAATCCATTTATTACCCATGACTTCATTGCCAAGAGGTAATTCTCAAAGATGCCAAATCTTGTTCGATGCTATCGATATATTACCCAAGGCTTTTCAACCAAGAGGTAACTCTACAAGATTTTAAGTCTTATTAGACTCCAATAATTCCATTTCGTTAATAATGGATTCTCCCACAATTCTGCATCTTTATGGAAGTTCGAACTTCTAGCCGACTTGTAGGATCTTTCTTTCTTAGGGTGTAAATAACAAATTCATAACCAAAATCCTTTCATGATTTATGGTTCATTTGTCTCTTCTGAGTTCATACTCAGATTCATCATCCCCACTAGTTATCCATTATTTCTAATAGTAGGCAGGATATCACCCCAACTATTTCTTAATATAAATGAAATCTATTGGCATCAATGGTTTTCACAAACTAATGAGTATTTCGTTTCATAGGCTTATGTGTTTTACAATAACTTACACACTCATATGCTCTTCTAGTTATCATGTCACTGATTCTCTAACGCTACCACATGCATGCCACATATCGAATAATCAGTGCAATCATAATGCAACTAGGCATTTCAAACTATTTTGAATAACTAGTTAGACAATTAATCAGAGCACTCTAAAGAGCAATAAATTATTTATTGTCTTTTCCATCAAGTTTATCCATATCAACATAAATCAGATCTATTGATTCTGATTCTCTAACCACATATTTTATGGGTCATTTTGCTTGGATACAAAATTTCTCAAGCGTTCGAGAATAATATGGGAATGTGACTTTAGATATTCTAATTCTTTACAAGGACACACACGTCCCAAAAAAGAATCCATCTTAGATCGTCTATCACAGACATGTCTTGGGGCGCTAGTATCCAGCAACCATTCTCCAGAGTTACCATTAAGGCTAACCTCTGTCATCACCTAAGCGATTGTTATTGCTAAATCCACTTCTTTAATCAAGTTAACACAATACTATGTTAAACTTGCTCTAACACTTTCGTGTCATATGACCTAGTTTTCTCAAATTTAATTGAGAAACATAGCGTCATTCTTAGAGGATTGAGTGGCAATCTTATGGTTACCACGAAGGGTACCATTCTATTTGGTGTGGATCTGGTTCGGCTTGATGCTCTCATTCTTGAAACTTTAATGTTTCAGAGCAACCCCAATGGTTCATCTAGTACTGACAACAGTACTTCTTACATTACCGTCACTATGGGCAATTAACCCATTCTATTCCCATATATTCTTCATATATATGCATGCATTTAAACAAAATCATTCTAATCATCGAGGTAATACATCTCAATGTCGACATATACATGCATCAATTCTAGTTTTACTTTCTCGCATTCATAAGGTTTACAAATACCATGCATAGAATTCAATGGAATAGATTCTTATTTATCATTCATTAATGACTCATTAACAATAGAATTTCAGTTGTTACCTCTGCTCAAGAAGTCATTGCCTTATGTTCAAGCTCAACATGGTATACTCTCCTTTCTCTTTCTAGTTGCCACACCGTTTAGTGGCTGAGCTTACAACAGTAGAGCGCATGCATTTAATTTCACGTGACATTACCGAGATAATCATTCTTCTCCATCGTCCTAGTTGGCATCTTGTTTCTGGTGATACTTAAACAAGGGAAACTAGATTAAGATCCGGCCCGTTGGCCGGATAAATTTATCAATGATATAAAAAAGTATAGAAATTATTCAGGATAAATTTATCAATGATATAAAAAATTATAGAAATTATTCAAAGAAAGATATGTTTTTATTTACATACATGGAGGATTCCAAATATGGTTATTGGAAAAATAAAAAAGAGCATGTATCATAAATTTTTGTGAGATGTTAACCAATTCAACTAATGCAATTACCCAAAGTTAAAAAAATATCATGCAAGGGAACCGCTCCTAAATTGTTCAAATGAAATAACATGTTGATTAAAAATGGATGCAAATTTTATTTTGAATTTCACGATTGCTCGCCATTAACATTATCATCCTCACCAATAACAACACCTTCTCTATTCATGGCACCTCTATTTTCACAATTAGCAATATCTTCCTTCTTCTCTTGCATTTGGACATTCTCTTCCTTCTTCTCCTAAATTCCTAAATTTCATTGAAGGTAGAATTTAAAGCTAAACTTTTTGCAAATATGAAATATAATTTTACTCGAGTAGATATTACCTCTTTAAAGACTCTTCTTGTCCTACATATAATCGAAAGCAAGAACTTAGTGGTAATATATTTACAAATGCGAAACACCATTTTGTCTCAACAAAAAAAAAACTTCCTAAGACTTTTTTCTAACTGTTTTAGTTTTTACCATATGTTACAAGCATAGATGAATGGTTCTCTAATTAATAACTTCAACTTTTAAATTTAATTTGAACGGGGTCAAAACAATTTTTATATTTTCGGTTGGGGTATGCCTATGATGATTTGGTCAAACTCCAAATAAAATTTATTTGGAATCTAATGAAAATTTTTGATCGATCAGTATAGTTATGATATGTGATATGGTTTGTGTCGCTTATTTATAACTATCAATTGCATTCCTCTTTAGGTTGACCGCTTTAATGTAACATTTTTATACAAATAGAAATTTGTAGCCCTGTACTTTATATATGACCGATATAGGTCTATCAGAGTATCAAATGGCCGACTTTGTGATTGTTCAAGTCGATAAATGTGATGTGAAGGTGAAGGTTATAAAAAAAAATGTGATGTGAAGGTTAACATGTATAACTTAGATGTTGCCTTTTTGTTAGCCAACGGAATATATATATTTAATCTACTCCATATATAAGTTATTTTTTACAATTACTCTATATAAGTTTCACTTAGAGTTTAGCTAGGGTGACTATAGCATTAACAAATTACGTTAATATTTTTCTTCTTATCAGCAATAAATAATAAATACATAAAAATAAAATGGTATAACTTTAAACTAAAAATAGAAAGAGGATTATGCAAAAACAAAAGAGCCCAACCTCAGTAGGCTTCCTTCTGGCCTCGGTGGAATATCATAGAAGTAGAAAAGGTAGAAAGACGTTTACAGCCTTCCGTGAGATGCGCTTAGAGCTGCAATGTATCTTTTAACCCATTCCTCAAGTGGAATCTCTTTAAAGGCCAATACTATGGTGCCGCTATTAAAAGTGCGGCACCGGTGCCGCTAATTTTCATTGGTCCACCTTGACAATGGTAAAACTGACGTGGCTTCTTGAGTGTATTATAGGTCGGCCCAACTGCCCAAGCCCAATGGACATTAACCCAGCTAGCTCAAACCGGTCACTAAAACGGACGGAATAATGAACGTTCGATTTCCCCACCGTACAAGTATCATTTTCCCCGGTCCGGCTCGCTATCAAAACTGAAAAGCACTTCCGTAGACGATCGATCCAATCTCCTGTCTCTACCATACGCGCCTCCACTTGGTCCATCACCGTCTTCCTCATGCATTTATTCGGTAAAAAAAAAACGCACGAAACCCTCGTCCTCACCGGCCCACTATGTCCGTCGAACAGCTCTGCCGCCACCGTACCACACGATTTGAAGCAAAATAAACAGAGAATCGCCCTCCGTCTGCGTCGTCCCCTCACTCCGTATGTCCTGTTGGAATCGTTGGAATCCTTGAGGCTCCGTGGAAAAGCTCTGTCGCCACCGTACACACAATCCGAAGCCAAAGAAACAGAGAATCACCATCCGCCTAAGTCCCCCCTCAATCTGAAGCCAAAGAAACTAAGATTTGAATATTTTAGCTTTGTTGATGAATAGAAAATGTAAGGAACTTACGGAATTAATTATTCCCAATTTATTGAAGAAGACCTTCTATTCATTCCATCTGTACATGGGCAAACAGCCTTGAGTGAACTAATAAACTAATTTGGTCTAAAGCCAACTCCATAAAAGATCGAGAAGGAACATATGTTGGAACAATGGTTCCAACGTGAAGATAAGCGTTCGTTTAACACTCGAACAAGCCGGGAACTTGGTTCTTTTTCTCAAATTAATTTTCTCATTCTTATTTCATTCAATCCCCTTTATATAGAGGAGAAATCCTAAAACCCTGAGATCGAGATTATATCAAATGATTTCCCGTATCTCCTACTAATACCCGAGATTCACTTAAGGTGATCTCGTTTATCATCCAATCCTAACCGACATGGCTAGCAAGCATCTAATCTAATAATGACAAATAACAATTCAAACAAACCAAACATCCTAATCCTATTCTCCACGTAAAGGTAGCAACAGCTTGGACTTCTCTTGCTTAGCTACGTCTCTGACTTCCCTTTGCATGGAATGCATGAATCACATGGAATAGATGACCTAGTGATTCATCAACATGGAGAAAATTAAGTTGAATTAAAGAAGGAAAAGCGAAAAACATTACTGCATTAATATACTACTCTCAATTCCCGTGGAGAAGAGGAATTGACGACTGAAAAGTGATAACAGAAATCGATCACAAACTGAAATTGTCACCATCTGCTGCAAAATCCGGAGTTGAGGGGAGTGAGGAAGACAGTGAATGATTATAGTGGAGGCATGGTAGAGAGCGGTTGGATCAGCCATAGAATAGTCGACGGAATTATTTTGACAGTCAGTCGGTGGCTCCGAGCGGCCAAGCGAGAAAGACGACGCTTGATTTTACTGAATTTTCTTTTAAGTTTCCGTGGGGAGTGGCCGGTCTGAACCTGGCTCATGTCCATTGGGCTTGAGCAGACCATTAATAAACCCAAGCAGTCACGCCACTTTTACTACATTCTATGTGGACCAATCAAAAAGCAGCGGCACACCGGTGCCGCACTTTTAATAGCGGCACCATAGTATTGGCCCTCTTTAAATGAATGGGTAGATTAAATGGACCCGAGGCATTCTTTCATTGACTTGGCCCGGGACGAAATTGAAAGGCAGATAAGGGAGCTAGCTTGCTATGGACCGAATTGCCTTGGGGTTTGGCCCATTCAATTCTCGCAAACCCTCATTCCCGGGCGGCTTCTGTTGACCGACTTCCAGCAGTTGGCCGGTTCCGGAAGGCAATACGTTTTCCCTCTCTATAGATCCCACCAAAAGGCTTAGAGTTTATTGTTCCTACTCTCCGCCTTGAATTACCTTATTCAATTTCTTCTAGAAAATGGCCCAAAATCCTCTCATCCCACGCCACCGCCAAGGAGTCGGAGGGAATTAATTCACTTTTCACATGCAGACCTGCATTGCACAAAATACTCTGGACAAAATTATTTTAAAGGCCTCCCTGTCTCTTTCAATCGCCATTATTTGGCGGCTACTGCTTCCACCGTTCCACGTCATGATGCTAGGCCGGAGGAAAGGCATCCATGTCAGGATCCTGATGCAAGCGAAAGTCTCGATCTCTATTCCTCGACCTCGGCGTCAATCGATCCAATTCCAATCAAATAGGTGTGCTTATAGATCGAGGATCTCACTTGAGCCAGGTCGGCAATTTGTTCGGTCGCTATAACAGTTGCCAAACGTCTTAAAATTGTTGGAAACTGAACAGAAAATTTAGAGTTACTGATTTGGCTGAGTCGCGGACTAGGTCGCTCTCTTTAAGACGTTCGCGACACTGCCTCGTTATTCGCACAACAGACTATCAGCCGGTCGCCTCCAGGATAAAACAACCATTCTGATTTGTTGCTCATCGGTTTTGTGCGTAAACCGGAGCTCTATGAACTCTATCTCTCTCTCTCTCTCTCTCTCTCTCGTGTTTCTGCTCTTCTGAGGTGTGTTTAGAGGGTCTGGGGCGTCTCCTATTTATAGGAGCAGAAAACCCAGAATATTCCCTCTTTCTTTGGGAATAAGTCATATTTTAATTAGGGAGATAATTACTCTCATAATTAAAATATAATCTATTAAGATAATTATTCCTAATTATCTCCATAATATTTCTTTTATTAATTATTCATCTTATTTAAGTATTATGAGAAAATACTAGATAATTCATTAGGAATTTCATTTATAACTTTTCAAAGCTATTCATCCCAACATGCTCTGCCATCCCGCCGGCGAACCGAAACAGAGCGACACATCGTCATTCCTCTTAATCAGGCTTGTATGTCATACGTCCGACGAATCTGCTTCTATCCTGCTGCCTTGCTCAGCTCCCATCGCTCCCCCTTGCTCGGCTCCCAACCTGCCGTAGTTTCTACACGCCGACATCGCCTGAGAATCACAAAAAGCAGAGGTAGTTTGGAGGGAGATGAACGTGGAACAAGGGTTTGCCGGTTTTACCTTTTCCGGTTGTCTTTTCCGGCAAAAAGAGGATCGGCGGCGCAGTCGGGCGACGAGTGTCTTCTTGTCGCTGGAGGTAGGTTCGTCGTGGGTTGTGGCAGGAGGGCAGCGCATTGTTTTGTTCGTCAGCGACGGTCGGTGGAGGTGGGCCAGCGGGAGGAAGGTAATGCCGGGCTAAGGGTTCCAACGGGAATTAGCAGCGAAAGAGGAAGGTGGTATGGGTGAGGTTTGTTTGTTGATTTGGTTTAAAATTTTAAATTGGACAAAATAGTAAATATATATTAAATTTAGAACGATGGATAACAATATTAGCACGACCAATAGGAATCCCCTTAATCATATGCCCCCAAGTTTTTTTGATTGATCAGTTAGAACAGGATGATGTAATAGTCGTTATTGATTAATCCTAATACTAATATAAAGAGGTTCTCCATGGATACATGCTTAATTCTAAATTTCCTACATTCTAAGTAAATTTAGGAAGGATATTTGTGTCCTTTAATTAATAAAAGTCCAAATAAAATACTTTTATTAATTATACTAATGTAAAACGAGCTTTAGCAGGAAATTATTATTAAACCAATTATTATATTATTAATTTTAGTTAGGAAATTGGTAGTGTGAAATTTGGGCGAGGGTTGAGACGTGTGGGTATATAAGTTTAGTTTGTTCATATTATTTTATTCTATGGTTAAGTGTTTGATGCAAATTCGACTTTTGTTAATTAACTTATTTGAGTTTTTCATTGTCTCTCTTTTTATTATATAGTTACATATTAGATCAGGGTTACACCATTTGAAGAAGTACTATATATAGTTCACATACATGCGTTTTGTTCGTGATGTAAATATGTGTGTTTTTTACTTTCGTGCTATCATTGTCTTTCTTGCATTGTCGATTATCCCCACGCATCTATAAGCAAATACACAATTTTGAAGATAACGAAGGATGAAGAAAAGCAATCTCAGACAAAGTTTATGACATGTACTGGGTAAATTTAAGTTCTTGAAAATGGAGTTTTCACCATTCTAAACATTTTGCGTTTGGATTTTTGCATTCAGTGAAATGTTGGAGAAGAAGGAAGAGTATGCTAATAGTAGAGGTAGTCAATTCAGTGATGGAGGTAGAAACATTATTGAGATATGTAAATTTTAATGGTGGGAGGAAAGAGCGAATGATAATATTTATGATTTGGATGATGTGAAATTCTACTATCATGTAAAGATGTTTCACAGTTTCAAACACTTTCTCTTAAAATTTAGTTTTTGATGAAATGCAGAAGAAGTATGAGACTATTGATGATGAATATATAATTTCTTTAAGATAAAGCTATGTGGAGAAAGTGTTTTTCATAGCGGAGCAATAAAAATGAATTTTGAAGTAATTTCTAACAACAAAGAGAAAATTGCAATGCGTTTTGAATATTTTTTTTAGGAATCGGTTACTTGCATGAGTTTTGTTGTTTACTTTTGATAAAGACTTTTGTATATTAATGTCAAAATGTTGTAAAACTTATTATGTATATTATTTTTACATATTTTTAATAATCATATAAATTGCTTTCGTTCATGTACCAAATAAATAATTCTGGTAATAAATATTATTGTTTAGAACTTTTCTACGGTGACATGCATGTCACGGTGACATGCACTTTTCGGTCGACCTCATATAGGATTAGGTCGACCTAATCTGTTGTTTCAGTGTAAAAACAGTTTCCTGGTGTCTACTTTGGAGATTCATATCTTACAATTGGCTAGATGGAAATTGGAGATTAAAGGCTTGTTTTGAAGCTGAAGTGTCCCTCTACACATTAAAGTACTTGGGAGCTCAATAGAAAGTCCAGAAGACCATTTTTGAACCTGACCAAAAGGCTATGCCAAAACTAGGAAACTGCCTAAAAATGGCTAAGTCTGGCAACGTGTTTGTCAAGCCTACTTTGGAGCTCAATTTGAGAAGCATGGATGCGAGTCAAGTCCAGGGGTCTCTACCACATTAAATTACGTATTTTTTTATACAAAGGCAAGGCATTGGATGAAAGATTGAATATCTTTAAGGATTCAAACAAAAGGCTCGAAGTTGCTACGAAGGCTGTTTTTTCTGGCAGCTTGCTTGTGCTCGAAGTCTGCCAGAAAAACAGCCCTCGTAGCAACTTCGACCCTTTTGTTTGAATCCTTACCGATATCCAATCTTTCATCCAATGCCTTGAATTTCTATAAAAACATACCTAATTTAACGTGGTAGAGGCTCCTGGAATCGACTCGCATTCATGCTTCTCGAATTGAGCTCCAAAATAGCCTTCACAAACACGTTTCCAGACTTAGCCATTTCCAGGCAGTTTCCCAGTTTTGGCATAGCCTTTTGATGAGATTCAAAAATAGTCTTCTGGACTTCCTGTCGAGCTCTCTTCCACTTCAATATGTAGAGAGACACTCCAGCTTCAAAACAAGTCATTAGTCTTCAATTTCCATCTAGCCAATTGTATGATATGAATATCCAAAGTATGCACCATGAACTGTTTTGACACTGAAACAACATATTAGGTCGACCTGATCCTATGAGGTCGACCGAATCCTAAATGAGGTCGACCAGATCCTATATGAGGTCGACCGAATTCTAAATGAGGTCGACCTAATCCTAACTGAGGTCGACCGGAAAGTGCAAGTCACCGTGACATGCATGTCACCGTAGGCACACCCTATTGTTTATGATATTGACGTGATTCATCCGGCCAACGGGCGGGCCCATTCCTAGTAAAAGAGTACAGGTTTTCCATAAAAAAATACCTTCAACTTATAAATTGGCATATTGTAATACACTGAATTAAAATTCGATCATTGAAGAAAAAATTTAATTTAATAGGTGAAGACATCTAGGGATGGCAACAAAACCCAAACCCACGGGTACCCACCCGACCCAATTCGGTCAACGCGGGTAAAATCCGTGTTGACGGGTTTTAGGCCGGGTTTGGGTTTAAACCCGTTCACTATTCACCGGGTTGGGTTTGGGTTTAGGTAAACCCGACCAATGGGTACCCGCCCACACCCATATAGTTAATTTTCTCGGTATATCTAATATTCTAAACAACTAATCTTATTTATGTTTCTGGAGACATGTCTATTTTTTTCTTTCTAATTGTGTAGAATGAAGTTGATGTCATCGAGTGGAGAGTGAAGAAACTTAATTGAAAGGAAGAAGCTTTCAATTAATCATGTTATTTATGGATAATTTGTGATTTGCTTCAATTTTATTGAGTTTTCTAGATTGGTGTTGAACAATTTGTATAGTTAATTTGTGATTTGCTTGAATTTTCTAGAATGGTGTTTTATATATGGATAATTTGTATTGAGAGATTGATATTTGACTTTAATTTTGATAGGAACTTGTTATTGTAAATTTTTTACGACAAAAACCCGTGGTTACTCATGAACCCACGGATACCCAGCGGGTTGGGTTGGGTTTGAGTTTTTTAAACCCAGTGGGTTTTACCCAGGGTTTTTTTCACGAATAAACTCATGGGTTTGGGTTTGAGTTTTGAAAAATCCGACCCAACCCGACCCATTGCCATTCCTAAAGACATCATCAAATATTTGGTTGATCGATGTTTTTTTTTTTTTTTTTGCCATTCAAAACCCCAGAAGCGGGGAATGAAAAAGATACATTATCTGAAAAAGATCCAAAAGGATCCTTACATACATCGTAATCAAAAGACGAAGTCGAACCCCTTAAACATACGGGGCGACATGAACAGAGCATGACGAGCCACAGAATCAGCTTCCCTGTTGTTGGAACGAACAATGATCGATGATTGGTGTGAGCCATTGGTTTGAAGGTGCCGAAGCCCAACATGCACATTTTGGGTCAGTTATAACTTATAATCTTCGGCCCATACCTTGAAACTTTAAAGCCCAGCAGAAAAGGCAGGATGACCGAACTACCCTTCCTCCCCCCCAATTCTTTTCGTCCCTTGCTGCTTGTTGCTCAAGAAGGAACGAATAATATACCATCCCTTAGTTCTTCGCTCAACAGAAAGGATCGCAACTTTGAATCGGAAACCTCAGACCAAGCAGTAGCAGCAGCAGATCAACGACAATGGAGTGCGTGTTCGGGTTAGTCGGGAACGATTACGCAATAGTGGTGGCAGATACCTCCGCCGTGCACAGCATCTTGGTTCACAAATCCAACGAGGACAAGATCATGGTCCTCGACTCCCACAAGCTCGTCGCCGCCAGCGGCGAGCCCGGCGACAGGTTCATGATTTCAGCTCACTGCGTTCATTTTCCGGTTTGAATTGGGTCTCTTCGCTTTTTACCTCTTGTTTAGTGGTGAGACGGCGGGGTTGGTTTATTGACTTATTGGTCTGAAACGCATTGGAAATTGGCCTGCAGAGTTCAATTCACCGAGTATATCCAGAAGAATGTGGCTTTGTATCAATTCAGGAACGGGATCCCTCTGACAACAGCGGCTGCAGCCAATTTTACTCGGGGAGAGCTGGCTACTGCTTTGAGAAAGGTAAACAAAAGCTATGGGTTTCTAGGGTTTGTGATTGTTGGGTTGTTTTTGTTTCAGTTTGTTTTTCTTTCGAATGGGTGGTTTAGGATTTCGTTATGTACTTCGCCACTGGCAATTAATGGACAAAATATGAATGGGAATAATAGAAAGTCTCCTGCTTGTGTTGATGTGCCTCATTATAGATGATGGTTTCACCTGTTCTGCTTTCTGCCACTGGGAATGACACTCCTGGGAAATGCAAAATTAGATTGGCACAACCTTAGGACTTCATAGAAAAGGGCATTGATTTGGATGCTAACAGAGTGTCTCTATCTCATCATCTAATTAGTTTGTGTGTTAGTTAGTGTCCCTGTTATGCTTGCTTTTGATTACGGGTTTCCTATTCTGTTGGTATGAATGTCCTGTTGTATGATATTAAGATATTTCGGATAATAGGTCGTTTTAAGCCAACTTCTTATGATCTAATGCTCCAATCTTTAAGCGCGTTGAGACTGTATAACCTATTATGATCTACTACTCTGCAAGATTGAACCGTCCTTAGCGTGTCTGCCCCGTTGGTTTGGTTTGAAGTCCAAACCGTATTTACCTTGTTGGTTACCCAACTGCAAAAACACTTACAAATATCTTCCTCATTGGTTAGGCTTCAACTTTGAACCATATTTAGCCTGCTGGCTATCCAACTTCGGCCCATATTTACCATGTCTTCCAGATTGTTCGCCTATCATACTTCCAATAGGATATGATCTCCAACATGAAGGAGATCACGATTGGGGGGGAAATTGATCAACACTTGAGTTGAGTGAGGGATTGTAGAGATGGACCTTCGTACACCCCTCAACTTACGTGATATCACTGCTTTTCATCTACATGCATGGAAGTCTTTCATCGTCAATGCCTTGGAACTAATTTTAGCTATAAAGAGCACAAGTCATGTTTTGTACTCATGGTTGGGCACTTGGGCTGGGCTGGCTAAGTCACTTCGTGCTTTCATAGTATTGCTTTGTACAGATGGATGGCTGGACAACTTGTTTCTTTGCTTTGAACTGATGTGTCTTATGAGTTATGACAGAAGTTGTTAACCCATTGTAACTTTTCATTATTTTCAGAACCCATACCAAGTGAACGTGTTGATGGCCGGGTATGACAAGGAGATTGGTCCTTCTTTGTACTACATCGACTACATTGCTACCCTTCACAAGGTCGACAGGGGAGCATTTGGGTATGGCTCCTACTTCTGTCTGGCCATGATGGACAGACACTACCACAGTGGCATGACCGTGGAGGAAGCAATTGATCTGGTGGATAAGAGCATCCTGGAGATCCGATCGAGATTGGTCGTGGCACCACCAAACTTTGTGATTAAGATCGTTGACAAGGATGGTGCAAGGGAGTATGCCTGGCGCGAGTCGGTTAAGCCTGATGCAGCTTAAATGAGAGCTCACAACTTTATGTTGTTGTTTCTGAACCTCTCTACTGTGTTTTTAGCTGGCTCAGCTTGTATGGATCACCATGGAATTCTCAGATTTGGTTACAAAGATAATTATCTTCAAGCTTTTAACGATTTATTAATGGAGCTTTAATTTTCTTTTTGCATATAATTTCAACTTGGGTTAGAGCATAAACGTCGATGTTTAATTTCTGGCTCCTAGAGATTTTTTTTTTACAAGCTACTGAATGAGGTATGGGGTTAAAAGCAGCGTCAATCCCAACAGGTAAAGCTTTCGTTTGTTTGTTTTTAGCAAGGATTTAAATAACGGCGGTTCAACTAAAAACCTCTTACTGGAGGTTAAATTGGTAATCGGTGTGAAGCGGTTGAATCATGGTTAAACTACGGTTTTAGCATAAAATACCCTACCGTTGACTTTTCCGATACAACTTCCGGTATGGTATTTCAATATTTGGTTTTTAGTATTTTTTATGAGGGTGCCCTATATTAATGAGAATATATGACCAACTAGAAAGTTTTGAAACAATCGTGTTACATATTTCAAAAGAGGTGGATTGAGTTCGAGTGGGGTGGATTGAGTTCGAGTGGATTGAGTCGTTTGGTTAAGTGAATTTTTATTAATAGTTTTGATGACGTAGAGTGCGTGACTGGACAAAACTAACATATTGTTCAACGGAGAAGGACATAATGACCATTTTGATATACATTCAAAATGCGAGTTATCGTATCGTTACAAATTAAAGGTTTGTGACAGATTTATACTAAGTGCAAACTTTTGTGACCGTTTATTCTATTTACTCGTGATATTAGAAAAAAAATTGTTTCTTTTTATGTCATTTGCGTCTTTATCGTGTCTTTTTCTCATTATTGGGTCATTGTCAGGTCTTTTTGCTCCACAAAGCTTCTTCAAAGAGCTACCTATGTAGTGACATAGCGAGCTACCGAATTTGGTTGGAGTCAACCTTGTAATCAAATAATAGTATTGAGTATGGTCGGAGCTAATCTTGTAATCGGGTCGTTGTGCTTGTACCCATGCCCTTTGGGCTTGCCTTTAAAAAAATGTCGCAACTAGGATAGGCAAAGCTGGGTAAACGTTAAAATGGAAGAGAAAAATATAAACGACTACAACTAAACTTTTTTTGCCAGACATTTGAATAAACTGAATTGAGAATTCATTTTCTTTTAAAATATATTCATGTGGAATGAATTGTCAAATAAATTCCAATGTATGGAATGTAATATTCAAATTTTTAGAAATAAATTGAATTCTGAAATCGTGTTTGGATATGTTTCAAATTGAATTAAATACAAAGTTTTCAACTATAGCCTTATTAATTTTGAATAGAAACAATATTGTTATTATTAATTAAAAATCCATCTTCTAAAAACACAAGTGCCAAAATTATCATCCAACCAATCTGACCAAGCAAAAAATAGGAATAAGTAGAAGTAGCAGGGGATAGCAACTTAGCAGAATAATGAAATTTGGAGAGTCAATCGGAAAGTACATAAAAGACGATATAGAAGCCAAGCGATGATTATATATTAGCAATTGGGCAAGGAAGATTAGGCACACAAATTTGGAGTATTGGCGTCAAATTATATATATATGAGTAAATTACTCAATAATTCAGTAAGTTATGTTATTTTATCATAATTAGTAAAATACTTGAGGAATTTATTTGTAAATTTCACATCAATTCTCAAAATTGTTAAAACTAAATGAATTTCTTTTTAGGGTAATGTCTATTTAGTAGTCAAACCTTTTTTCAGATTCTTTTATAATAGCCAAACCTATTGAAATATTATTTATTAACCAAACATTTTGTAACATGCCAAAATGTTAACTTTCAATCTGTTTCCATTAAATATTTACTAACGATGGTCCGCCTCAACATCCACCTCAGCGTCCACCTCAAAAATAATTTTAATTAAAATAAGAATTTAAAGCGAAACGCAAAAACTCAGGTGCGAAATTTCTTTTTCCCACTCCACCCCTCACTCTGCCCGTCCGTTGTCGACGTTCAGAGCTGGCGGCTCTCCATCTCTCACTCCATCATCCTCCTCGCATCTCCTCTGCTCCCGGTCCTCCTCGCATCTCTTATGTTCCGGGTGGGGGTTGAAGATGAGTGATTCCAAACCCTAGGGAGAGCCCTCGGGTTTATTATATGATATAGACATCATTCTGTAAATAACCAAGAAGCTTGGGATTAGTATAGATAGATTAAATGTAACTAGGATCTAAATGTAATTTAGCTAGGTTGTTAGGATTGTAACGATTTTTCCCTCCTGTAGAACAGAGTATAAATTCAGCTATTCTAGCTGAACTCTGTACGATTTCTTCATTCAATTTAGAGAAACAAGAACTTCAATCAGCATACCATGGTCAGCCGAGCAAACTCTGTTGCTTCTCATGCTTTTGAAACAACTGAACCATCAGGTATTCTTTATTATGCTTTAAATGTTAATTGTCATCTACAGAATAGATGGATTCTGGAAACTGGGGCCACATATAATATTATCTGTTCTCCCAAACATTTTTCTTCTTCAAAACCAGTTTCTAACACCTATGCTCATATGCTTGATGGTAGTAAAGTTTTTGTCACATCCATAGGAACTGTCAAATATTCAGAACACTTAATCCTCTTTGATGTTCTCCTTGTTCCTGCTTTCAATTTCCATCTAGTTTCTGTTAGCAGACTAGTTCGCAGCACAACCATTTGCTTATGGTTTCATTATTCCCTGTGCTGTATTCAGGCATACCCCAGTTTGACAATGATTGGAACAGCTAGTTTGATTGATGGTCTCTACATCTTACATCATCCTTCTCAAACTGCCCACTTACAGCATAACCTCATTCTTAACAACACTGAAGCTACCTCTCCTACAATAGCTTTTTCTATCTCAAAGAATTCTATTGACATCTGGCATTATAGACTTGGTCATATTCTAGATTGTAAACTCAAACTTTTCCATAGTATAGATAGTACTATCAATGCTCTTGCTGATTTTCATTGTACTTTATGCCCAAAGGCAAAACAGAAGAGGCTCTCTTTTCCCTCTAGTATCAGTAAGACATCAGCTCCTTTTGACATTCTACATGTTGATATTTGGGGAAATGCCCCTGTCACCTCCATTCAAGGTCGTGCTTACTTTCTGACTATAGTAGATGATTTCAGTAGGCATATTTGGATCTTTACAATGAAAGCTAAGTCTGAAGCACGCCCCAATAATCATCTCATTCTTTGCTTTTGTTGAAACCCAATTTCACAGCAAGATAAAAGCCATTAGAACAGACAATGGTCTTGAATTTCACATTCCATAATTCTATAATTCTAAGGGTACCATTCATCAAACTACCTGTGTTTACACTTTCCAATAGAATGGTATTGTTGAAAGAAAGCATCAATACATTCTAGCAGTCACTAGGGCTTTACGGTTTCAGGCCTCATTGCCACCACTGTTTTGGAACTTTGCAGCCATGTATGTTGTTCATATAATAAATAGAACTCCAACTACACTTCTTCAGAACCTTACTCCTTTTGAGAAACTTCATGGTTCTCCACCCACTCTGAATCATTTAAGAGTTTTTGGTTGCCTCACTTATGCTGAAACTGTTCAGCCAACCAAAACCAAACTTGATCACAGGTCTAACCCCCGTGTTTTCCTAGGACACCCTCATGGCACAAAAGGGTTTAGACTGTACAATTTAAATACTCACAATATTTTCATATCAAGGGATGTTTCATTTCATGAAACTATTTTCCCATTTCATCAGTTACCTCAAAACTTGACCCCATCAGTTCCTCTTCCTGTGTTTCAAGTTATCTCTTCAGACCTGGGATTCACAAAATCTCATACTATTCTTCCTAATCCTATTCCACCTCAGTATCCTCCTCAGTTCCAGCAATTGATTCAACAGTATTAGCATCTGATTCATCAGTCCCAGTAACTGATACAATAAAAAATTTAAATCCTGTTACACAACCTCAGTTGAGAAGATCCACTAGACAGGTTGTCAAACCAGCTAAACTAAAAGATTACAAATGTAATCTAGTTAGTCAAGCAAACCTACTATCTTCAGTTACATACCCCATACAACATATGCTAACTTACAGATCACTCAGTTCCACTCATCGTCATTATGCATGATCAATTAACTCTGAGTTTGCTTCTCTTGAAAAGACAAAGACTTGGGTCCTTGTTGATCCTCCACCCAATGTTCCCATCATAGGTAACAAATGGGTTTTCATATTAAAGTTTAAACATTATGGATCAATTGACAAATACAAAGCTCGATTGGTAGCTAAGGGCTACACACAGACTCCTGGCATTGACTATCTGGACACATTTTCTCCAGTAGTTAAAATGACCACAATAAGGATTCTTTTAGCCCTAGCTTCCATCTATAACTGGCATCTTGAACAACTTGATGTCAACACAGCCTTCTTACATAGAGATCTTCATGAAGATGTATACATGAAGCTGCCTCCAGGCTTACAAGTCCATCCCTCAGATAAAAACAAATTCTGTAAACTCACTAAGTCACTATATGGCCTAAAACAAGCCAGTCGCTAGTGGTTTGAAAAACTAGCCACCACTCTGGAAACTCTTGGATACCAGAAATCTCAGAGTGATTACAGTCTCTTCACTAAATACTCTGGTAAATCATTTATAGCCTTGTTAGTATATGTCGATGACATTATTCTTACAGGGAACAACATGGATAAAATCAAGCATGTCAAACTTCAACTGGACATTGCTTTCACACTAAAAGATCTTGGCCCACTGAAATACTTCCTTGGCATGGAAGTATCCAGATCTGAGACTGGTATTCATTTGTGGCAAAGAAAATACACGTTTGATCTACTTTCTGATACTGGTTTTTTGGCATCAAAACCAGCTACAACACCATCCATTCTTGCAACACATCTTTCTGCTAAAGATGGCACTAAGTTAGATGAAGCTGCTCATTCTAGTTACATGAAATTAATTGGTAGATTTCAATACTTATGCAACACGCGTCCTGGCATTTGTTACACTGTAAATTAGCTAAGTTAGTTTGTAGATTTCCCTACATCAGCTCATGAACAAGCTACTCATAGGCTCCTTCGATACTTGAAAACCACCCCTGCTCGTGGATTGTTCTTTCCTTGCAATTCTTCCACTCGTCTTACTACTTTTTCAGACTCAGACTAGGTTGGCTGCCCTGATACTCGACCCTCTGTGACTGGTTTTTGTGTGTTTTTAGGCAACTCACTGATCAGTTGGCGGTCCAAGAAACAACAAACCATCTCCAGATCATCAACAAAAGCGGAATACAGAGTACTGGCAGACACGTCCCAAGAATTGCAATGGATGACTGCTTTGTTCCAGCAACTCCCGATCCAACCTGCTCAGCCTTACATGATCTACTATGATAGTCTCTCTACTGTCAAAATGACTGAAAACTCTGGTAAGCACGAAAGAACCAAACACATCGAGGTGGATTGGCATTTCACCCGAGATCAAGTCAATGCTGGGAAATTGAAAGTTCAGCACATATCGACGACTCTCCAACTTGATGGTCCTTTCACCAAAGCCTTACCAGTTCATACCTTTGTTGAACTCATTTCCAAGCTAAACATGAAAGCAATCCATGCTTAGCTTGCCGGGGGGGGGGGGGGGGGGGTAGATGATATAGGTATCATTCTGTAAATAACCAAGAAGCTTAGGATTAGTGTAGATAGATAACATTTAGCTAGGTTGTTAGGATTGTAATGGTTTTTCCCTCCTATAGAACATAGTATAAATTCAGCTATTCTAGCTGAACTCTATATGATTTCTTCAATCAATTCAAAGAAACAAGAACTTCAATCAGAATTCTAGCAGGGTTGGATTGAGGGCAAAATCACATCCACAAGTTTCCGACAGTGTACGAGGATCGATTTGCCAACAATTTGAGCGATGCAGAGACCCCATGAACAGAGGCGTAAGCGGATTTGAAGTCTTTCTTTAATGGGTGTCAAGGATGGACACAGATTGGAGTGAGGCAGATTGGTACCTCGTCATTCCGCCTCCGCTAGAATTCATTTGCTTCTGGTTCGATTGATGCTGGTGGTGAAGAGGCTGAAGATCTGGCTCCATTGAGAACATAAGAAAAAGAATTGAAAGGAGAAGAAGGGATAAAAAATAGGGATGGAAGTTTGGTACCGGTATTTAGGACATACCGAATTTATCACTATTTGCTATTACCGAACACCGACTTATTTTTTAGGGATTGGGATTGAGATTTGGAGTGCTATTCGGTGTTCGGGATTACGGTATTGGGATCGTTATATACCTAAATACCGAGAAATACCAAAAATTGAAAATTAATGAAATATAGGACACAACCTTCGGTCATTCCTCACTCTTTCACAAATTAGATGCCCTTATCCAACTCAATTTTCACTCTCCAGTTTAAGTGACTCTCGTCTCTCACCTAATCTCTTATTATTTTCATAACACCAAAAGGCAAACACTAGTATTAGTCGTCTCTCAGCCTCCAATTCGTCAAATTAAAGATTACCAATGATAATAATGTTAGATGTCATCTCTCCTCCATTCTCTTTATCCATATCCTAGCTCTAGCCAAACTCAAGACTCTTTGCTTAGTCTCTTTACCTTAAATTAAACAATAAAATCTAATTTTTATATTTAATTATTAATTTCCAAGGTAATTAATTTCGTATCAATAATATCGATTGGGATACCGAAATATTTAGAGATTGGGATTGGGAAACCGAAATTATTTAGAGAATGGGATTGATTTTAGGGTGTAATTCGGTAACTGGTATTGTGATACTGATACCGTACTGATTTCCACCTCTAATAAAAAAGATTAAAAAAAAGTTGCATCTCGTCGACCAGATCTCCCTCGTGGATAACGCCGCCACCACCACCGCCATCTCCTTCCAACACTACTCTTGATCCTTCGCATAGGGCATATTTTATCCGGGAGACACCCCGTCATGTTCCCTTGTGATTGGGGAAGAGAACGAGAGTGGGGCGACGGTGGAGGAAGGGGACGGAAGAGGGAGGAGATACCAGAGGAGGGAGAAGTCGGGGATGGGAATGGGGAGCTTTAGAGTCTTTTTTATTTTCTTATATATTTTATGATTTTTTTAGATTTAAGGGCTAATTCCAATGGAGAGCCCCAACTATCACAAATGTGTCATTTGTGGCCTCAACTATATATTTTGCATATTTTAATATGCAAAATATGGTCCGAACTAATTTTCTGTCATTGCTGACTGTAGTTGACCGTTGTAACTTAACGGTTTGACAACTCACTGCTTATGTGGTGGCCGACGTGATTGCAGCCCTCGTGTGTTTTTTAACCAAATTATCCACGTCATTTGAGCCGGTAATAAAAATGGGAAAAGGGAGTTAAAAGTAAAACCCGATTGGGTAAGTGAGAAACACCATCCACTTTCCTTTTCTTCTTTTTCTTCGTAGAGTGAGAAACACCATCGACGATGAAGAACCCTAAAATGTAAATTTGTTGAAGTTGATCTGCTCCAGCATCGAGTTCCTCGATTCACGATAGACGAAGGTTGTTAGAACCCCGGACAGCGGGCGGAGGCATCTATCTCGGCGGTCGCTGTTCTAGCATGTCTTGTCTTGGAATTGGCTATCGCAATAGAAAATTGAAGTTAGTTGAATTGTGATTACTTTAGTAAAACGGATTAAAGTAGAGAATAAGAAATGTAAAATCGTAAGTTTTTAAGTTTTAAAGCGCGATTTTGACTATCTGGATGCGCATTTAAAATTGGTTTGCTAACCATGCAGGATGGTTGATTTGCTCGAGTTGGTGGTGCATCACGGTGGCAAGATGGATTTTTCTAGAAGTGCTCCTAGGTATTTAAATGGGAAATCTGAGGTTGTGGACATGGACATCGGCTATGTCTCATTCTTCTAGCTTCAACTAATTGGGACTATACACCTTAAATACGCAAGGGTTGATCGGATGTGGTATATGTCCCCCTTAGACACTATAGAGACTGTACTCTATGAGATCAAGTCGGACATTGATGTGATGGATGACATGCTCCATGCTTTCCAAGATAGAAGCATTGTCATTTTCATGGAGGCAACGAAGACTAGAGTTAAGACAGTGAAGATTTGTGTGGTGACTCTGTCGAGGATGGTGATGAAGAAGATGGTGAACGCTCTTAATGTCGAGACATCATCCACCCTATGGATGATGATATTCGAACATCATACGATGAGTTCATTGTTGACATGGCTAATCAAGGCATTATAGGGCAAGCTAGGAATGTTCGTACTCGCATCGATGCAACCGGGGAGGAGGCGGATCAAGAATCTGACTCGGATGACTATGTTGGTGGTGATGATACTGTCAGAATTTGTGAAGGAGATTCTGGTGAAGAGGGAGGCAATGACAAATGTGGTGATGTCCAAGAGCCAGTTCAGCAGTCGTCCTATAAGGCATCTGTTGACTCTCGCCATGTTAGGGGCAACCACGATGATGAGGAGCCAGTTGATACACTTGCAGATATGCCGCATTATGACCCAAATTGTGACGGTGGGGTTGAGATTTGACAGCCCTGATCAGTTCAAGGAAGTATTTAGTCAAAGTTCCATTGCAATTGGCCCTGACATCAGATGGACTAGGAGCTCAAAGTTGAGTAAGCATGCTGAGTGTCGTCACTTGTGTGGGTAGTATGTCTACGCTAGCTGGCTCACTATTAAGAATGTTGGGAAGGATCATACATGTCCACGAAGTGTAAGAATGAAGGGTGTGCAAATGCAATGGGAGCTGCCAAGAAATACCTGGATCGTTTCAGGAGGGAGCCCAACTGGGAAGTGAAGCACATGATAGCGTAGATAAGGCAGAATGCAATGTTGTTATTACTAGGAGGCAGTGCTATATGGCAATGGCTTATGCAAAGAGGTTTATGGGTGGATCTTTAGTGGAAGAGTTTGACAAGGTACGTTCCTATGTGACTAAGTTGAAGAATGGAACCTTTGTGCTGGAGGTGGATCAATCTCCAATCCCCAACCGTGTTATGTTCAAACAACTTTATATTGGGTTTAGTGGGCTGAAGCAGGGATTTGTGAGAGCATGAAAACCCATGTTTGCATTAGATGGTTGATATCTTAAGGGCGAAGTTAAGTGAATGCTATTGTGTGCGATTGGGAAGGATGGTGACAATAGGATGTTCCCAGTTGCGTGGACTATTGTAGAAGGGAAGAATAATGATAGCTTGAAGTGGTTTGTCACTATACTGCAACAAGACTTGAGGACGGTTGATGGTCGTGGCTGGACCATCATTTCAGGCCAGCAGAAGGTGAGTTCTTTAAGCGATTTGTTTTAGCGTAACATAATCTCCATTTTGTATTAGCATCTCACGCTGTCAAGTTTTGGATCTATGTAGGGATTGGTGCAAGCCGTTGTAACTTGTCTACCCGAGGCTTCGCAGAGGAAGTGTGCACGTCATGTGTTTGCGAACTGGAAGGTGAATGATAGACCATTAATTGCACATATTTTTACCCCTATTCTTGAGCCGTTTGAGATGTTGATTCTCGTGTTTTAGACCGATTTCACACTATGTTGTGCTTGTTTGTGATATTTCAGGTCCTAGTACGTGAATGAAGGTTTGGGAGCGAGTTCGGGGTCGATTGGACGAAGATCGGACGTATAACGAGTCGCTGAGGAAGCCACACGGGCACTCCTAAAACCCACACGGCCGTGTAAGGAACCAATGTGGCCGTGTGGGATTTAGCGAGGCTTTACACGGGCATACAGGAGATTCCACACGGCCGTGTAGGTAGCCTGAAGTCCATTTATGTGAAACGCAGCGTGTTGACACTCACACGGGCATCTGGGTAATCCACACGGCCGTGTGGCCTGCCCGTGTGAGTCGGGAATTCTGGTTTTAACCCAATTTCAAGCCACAAGTGAGGAGATCGACTTTTTAGAGCAAAAACAGAGCCCTAGAGAGAGAAAGAGCAAAGAACACACCCTAGAAGCGATCTTGGAGCTGGGTTTCATCAAATCGAGCTTGGAGATCATCATAGGAGTGAGAATCATCATCCCATAGCAGATTCTTCCCATTGTTATGAGTATGACTGCTTTGTATTCTGTTTCTCTCTCTCTCTCTCTCTCTCTCTTTATGGAGTAGACCCTTCTCTCACTTGGGTATGAAGAACCCTAGTTCCATGTGTTAGGGATCATGATTGTAATGACTTGGGATTGCTATACTGTTTGGTTTTAATCGACTGATGCATGATTCATTGAATTGATTGAAGTCTGATCAGCTTTTCTTGATTTCTGCTACAACCTGAGATAGATAGAATCTGATTAGGTTGTGAGAGCTTCTTTATTCGGTAGTAGTAGATTGGCTATACGAGAGTTAGTCAGTCTACTGCTTTGTACTGGAATCCAATTCCAGTAGTGGAGTTCTGTACTTATTGCTTCAGCTTTCTATCCCGGTGAAGACTAGTAGTCTGCCGGGTAGTTAGACTGAGAGGGCTTGGTCAGCTTAAGAGATTCCAAGCTACTGTTGGATCTTTTGCAGTTTAATCAACAGTAAATCAACCCAGGGTAATTACAACTGAGACCTAACTAAGGATCTAGGGGGACTCATTCCCGAGTGACTCTTCCTTGCTTCAGAAAACCGAACCAATTCCTGCTTTCTTACTGCTTTTAGTTAAACAACAATCAATCGACTTAGTTGGCTAGATAATAGATAATCACGGAGTAGGCAGTAGATCTAGACCCCGGGTTGATAATTAGAACTTGCCACTATTCTGCATTTCCGGACTGCGATTACACTTGGTCGTAGTTTGGTGTTGTGTCGTAGCGTGTCAAGTTTTTGGCGCCGTTGCCGGGGACCCTCTAGGTTATTGGAGAAACGTGAAAGTTTGTTACTCTAGATTTTTCTTTATTGAATTTTATCTCTTCCACATGTGTGCCTTCACGGGTTGCTTCTGCTGATTGTGTGCAGGTAGTGCATGACCCGTAGCCAGTTGGGAGATCTACTACCATTAGACCAGGAGCTTGAACGAACCTACAGGAACTTCAAGCGTGCTCTAAAGGCGCGACTGGCTGCGGAGGAGGCGCTAGCACAGCTGCAACTCACCGACGAAGAAGAGATGGGTGATCCACAAGACCATGATGTGGTCCTTCCCGAGGAGCAGACCATGGGATACTACTGGACCGCTAGGGCCGCGGACATGAGGTCGCCCATTCAACACCCTCATGTGCCAGCAAATAATTTTGAGGTGAGCACCTCCGTCATCAGCATGCTGCGCGGTTCGGTGGTGTTCCGTGGCAAAGAGGGGGAGTGCCCCCGATCACATTTGAGGCGATTCCACGAGCTCATTGATGGAATCAAGATAAATGGGGTCCCAGCCGACGCCATACAGCTGAGGTACTTTCCATTTACCCTGGAGGGGCAGGCCAAGGAGTGGCTAGACACTCGACCTCCAGGCTCTATCACCACGTTTGCCAATCTGGCGGACAAGTTCCTCACTCGCTACCATCCCCGTCCAAGACGGCGGACCTGCAGAAGCAAATTACCCACTTTGCTCAGGATGAAGATGAGACCATCCGGGATGCTTGGGAGAGATACACCAGTCTCTTCCTCAAGTGTCCTAACCATGGTTTTACTGATGCCTTCAAGGTGGGCACCTTCTACCATGCCCTCTTCCTAGAAGACAAGCAGTTGATTGACTCGGTCTGTGGCGGGAATATGCTCACCAAAACACCGCCCCAGATGAATCAACGTTTTGAGGAGATGGCCGAGCAGGGCTATGATTGGGGAACTGCAAGGAGATTGAGACGAGCACCAGGGCGGGGTGTGCATTTTGTAGCCACCCAGTCATCTGATTTGGTGCAGGTGGTGTCGAAGCTGGTGTCAGCCATCGATCGCTCTGGGATGATTCCAGAGACCGGACAGCAGCAGGCGATGCTCTGCCAGTGGTGTGAGAGCACCCATCACATGGTGGAAGACTTCCAAGCGATGAGGGAGTCAACCACACCCTAGAAGCAGGTGAACTTCATCAATAATGCTAGGCGAAATGACCCCTACAGTAACACGTACAACGAGGGGTGGCGCCAGCATCCCAACTTCTCCTGGGCTGGGGCCAGTCCTAGACCACCGACCTACCAAAGGCCGCCATATCAGCCCAGACAGGGGCAATTCCAGCAACAACAGTCTCTCTACCAGCCCATGCAGGGGCATACTACTCAATCACAGTCGCGACCTTTCCAGCAGCTAGGTGCAGCCCCTGCAACCCCAGTGCAGAATGATCCGATGGCTGAATTGCGGGACTTGGTGGGTTCTCTCGCCAGTTCTAGTGCTCAGAAATTCAACACTATCGAGCAGTTCATGGAAAAGGCCTTGGGTAAATCCTGGCTCTTGAAGCTGGCCAGAGGAACACACATGCTGTCTTGCAGGATATCCAAACCCAGCTGGGGAGAGTGGCTCAAGCAGTGGCGCAAAGGGCTCTAGGTACCTTGCCAGGTCATACCATCCCTAATCCGAAGGACCCGAATGCCCACTGCAATGCTATCACAACCAGGAGTGGCAAGATGACTGCTGATCCACCTATTCGGGCACAAGAGAGAGAGCCCCCTGCCTCGGAATCTCCAACGGCTGAAGAAGAAGCGGAGCAGGAGGTTGAGATGCCTGCGCCTAAACTGCAACCAGTAGTGAAGGAGTATATCCCTCAACTCCCCTTCCCTACTCGGTTGCACAAAGACAGGCTAGAGGCAGAGTTCGGGAACTTCATGTCCATGCTTAGGAATCTGAATGTCCAAGTACCTTTCCTAGAGGCACTATCTCAAATGCCTAAGTATGCAAAGTTCCTGAAAGATCTTCTCTCAAAGAAGCAGAAGCTGAGCGAGCTGGCCACTGTGGAGCTCAGCGAGGAGTGCTCGGCCATTCTATAGAACAAGCTTCCGCCGAAGCAGAAGGACCCAGGTAGTTTTACTATCCCATGCTCTATAGGTAAGTTACATGTAGAGAGGTCCTTGGCGGATCTAGGTGCTAGTATCAATGTCATGCCATATCAATTGTTCAAGAAACTAGGCCTAGGTGAACCCCGTGCAACTAGGATGAGTCTTCAATTAGCTGACCGATCTATAGTACATCCTAGGGGCATAGTGGAAGACCTTCTGGTTAAGGTTGGCAAATTCCTTTATCCTGTGGATTTTGTTGTCTTGAACATCAATGAGGACACAGATCAAGGAGGAGTGACGGCCAAAAGAACAGATCAAGGAGGAGTGACGGCCGAAACTGCAGGCAGCTAAGCCTGCTCAAAAGAAAGCCGGAGACCACTATGAGCTGGTCCCGCCCCCTGAACCTCGACCACCTTGGCCATCCGAGTATTCACTCGCTTGCATCTTGCCGGATGGCCAAGTCGAGTTGCCGAGTGCTGGTGGGCACACCCGCCGTGTGCATGGCCACCACCTGAAGCTGTACCTCAAGAGCGATGTGGATCCGATCTTGAAGGCACCTGCTCCTACACTTCTCTAGCATCCACCTACTGGCGTCCAGCTAAAAGACGGTAAAGAATCGCTTGTGGGGAGGCAACCCCACCTAGGTTTGCATTTTATTACCCTTTTTCCTTTTGATTTTTTATGTTTTTTGAGTCTTGAGGTGTTGTCCAAGAGTCATATGTCGATTTTGAGTGAAAACAGGTCAAATTCGGAGTTCTGGCAGCCCACACGGCCAACCCTAAAAGTCACACGACCGTGTGGAAATGGATTTTGGCCTGTGGAGGCCCTGGAAATTTCACACGGGCAGGAGCGGTCCCTCACATGGCCGTGTGGATTGGCGCCCTGCCCGTGTGAAGCCTCAACAATTTCCACACGGCCAGTTTTGCTTTTCACACGGCCGTGTGGAAATCCTCGTCCTGACCGTGTCAGCCCACACGGGCACTTGTGCACCTCACACGGCCGTATGAGTATGCCCGTGTGGCCGAGCCCAGCCTTTAAAAATCGGTCGACACGGCCGCGTGGTCAGAAAATTCAAACGCCCTCGCTGGAAAACCGCGGTCTTTCGCCCTCTTTGGCGATTTTCGGCCATTTTTGGCCGGTTTTTCACCAAACCACTTCCACACCCATCCTTTTCTCCCCATTTTCGGCCTATCCCTCGACTTTGAGGCGATTTGGACCGATTTTGAGTCGCCGGAGGCGATCTCCGGCGAGGCTCCGACGAGCACTTCCGGACAGGTTTTAGCCTCTTCGTCACTTCCATTGCTTTCCCCTCATCATCCCCTACACCTCTACTTGTGTCTCCAGGTTTGATTTTGACCTTAACCTTGTGATTTATGGAGAATTGGGTGTTAGGGTGTATGTTTAGAGAACAACTTTGAATCATGTGAATTGTGTGCAATTGATTGAGGGGATGGCTTGGTTTTAGTGTGAATTGTGTTGGGCAATGTCCCCCATGCTTATTTGAGCCCTTGTGTGCAAGAAATTTTTCACTTCTATGCTTAACTCAATAGTGCACACAAGGTGTTCGATAAAATGCCTGTTTTCATGCCATGTTGTGGGCGCCGGTTGGGGCCCTTAATGATATGCTTTGAGGGTGTATTTGCTATTAATGTAAACCTTAAGTTGCCTACTTTATCGTGGATATACACCCCCACCCAGATTATGCTTGTTTGATCGAGTTTTTGACTCCCGAACTATGGATGAAACCATGGTTCGGCTGATTTTTGTTCTCAAGTGTGGGGGTGTGATTAACCTTTTCCTTGGCTCTTTTGGTTCCACTTTGGGTTGTTCTTTTGAAGGACCATGACAAAACCCGACCTCAATCACCCGTTTATTCGCGATTTGAAGAGGGGCCCCCACCAAGATCGTTTTCAGCGCGTCCTGGCCTGCTCGTTTGGGCAACATCATTGCTGGTCCAGGCGCGAGTTTGAGAAGCTGCACTGCTACGAGCACTTCTCCGCCATTGTGACCAACCGCCCCTAGTCTACTATGCATTCTTGAGAAGGTTTACCACGAGCTCGTGCTTGAGTTCTATACGACCTTCAAGCACGAAGAGACGGAGGATCGGGCAGACGGTGAAGCCGTCAAGTTCAGGCTCGGCGGTGCCCCCCGCTCCATGAGCTACCACGACTTGGCGACCGCCCTCGGCCTCGGCCTGGCTGATGATAGGGACTACGTCACCGAGCTCAGCGATCCGGTGGGGGTGAACTTCAAGACACTATACACCCGCCTCGCTCAGCCAGGCCAGCGTCCCTTCGTGGCGGGGCGGACGAAGGCCAGCGCAGCTCGACTACCGCATTCTCCACCACTTGCTGGCAAAGTCCTACACTCCAGCTGCGGACAATGCCAGCGCCATCACCAGGAGAGCCATGTAATTCATCCAGTCCATCCGCCAGGGCGATCATCTTCTCCACTTGGGTTCTGTGGTGGCAAGAACCTTTGACAAGAGTGCTTCAGAGCTAAAGAGCCTCCACTGCACTCCCCTCATCACCCGCCTGGCCACCTACTTCCAGATATCACTGCAGGGGTGCACAGAGCAGGGGGACACTAGTGTATTTGGCGAATATACGATCCATCGCATGCACTTGCTTCGAGAAGAGCGAGGAATCAAGTGGATCGAGGGGTTTCCTCAACCTCAGATCCCAGCGGAGGAACAGCCAGAGGTTCATGAGGATGCGGCTGATGAGGATGTCCACCCCGAGGATGTGGATGACGCTATTGCCCCCCGCCCACCACCTTCGAGTACAGGGGTAGCAGTTCCACTTTCCCCCGCTAGGACTACTTCACTCACTAGTTCGAGCAGATGCGTCTCCAGAATCAGCAGCTCTTTGACCATCAGCTCTAGTTCCAGCAGCAGTATTCGGCTCACCATGCCGAGTACTAGACCCGGATGGCTGCTTATGATGAGCGTCTTGATCGGATGAAGACCCAGCAGGGGGTGACCCTGGCTCGCATCGAGAGGGAGCAGGCCCGATCTCGGTGTATGCAGGAGGTCCAGCAGCACCTACTCCAGCTGCTCACGGGCGAGCAGCCAGTCTGGAGGACTCCTTGGGAGGACTCTCCCCTACCACCCCCGGTCGCCGACGATGACGCCTTCATGAATGACATCGACCTGGACAACCTTGGCGACGAGTAGGCTGTACTCGTCGCCCCTCAGAGTTTTTTTTTGTTTTAGACTTTTTATGTTTGCTCCATGTGTTTGAGGAGCTTGAATTGAGTCTGCCGTTTGTTTTTGTACTTTTGGTTTTCTTTTGTGGATTGTCGTTTGTGTAGCCATCTGGGCCAACTCTGATCCCTAACGCACAGTGTGCTAGTGTGTTCTTGTTATTTCCTTTGTGCAGAACTGCCCGTTCGTTCCATATGTTCCCCGCTGACTGGTCCACTTCCAGTCTCCCGTAGTATTTCAATCCGGTAATATCATTCCCCTTATCTCTCCCTATGCTCCATTGAGGGCAATGTCGTGCTTAAGTGTGTGTGTGGGGGGGGGGGGGGGGTGCTTTGTATCGGTTGGAATCTATATACGTGTGCTTGGAGCCTAGTCTGCTGTCCAAATCTCGAGATTTGAGGGCTCCAAGTACGGCTCTTTGATCATATTGGCACTGTGTTGTGATTGGTGAATTGAATGGTTTTCGAATTAATGCATGACAACTGGATGGTGACTAGGACAACCTATAATGATGACTGAGACGTGCAGTAGAGTTGTGTAGGGGTTCAGTTTTTCAACTGTTTGCTTGCCAACTGTGACTTGGATGGATCACTTTTTCTTGACAGTCGTTTATGCATCTAGTTCAGGGGATCAGAATGAGAGATAGAGCATATAGGTAACCATGTGAGATTTGAGCCTGCTCGTTTCTTTCTTGTGCGATAGTTCCCTCTTCCATGATGTGTAGCATTCACATTGTCATTAGCTAAGATGATGGAGGCATAGGATTATCCCACAACCAAATTGACTGTCCTAGTGTGTCATACCCCCTAGTAAGCCCCTTTGAGCCGTGTGTTCTCCTTTCTTTCGGTCTACAATGAAAAATCACCCTTTTGCATCTCTTAGAAGGTTCCGCAGAGTGGTTTTTTTTACATGTTCTCTGCTGTTTCTGCTAAATATAATGTGAGAGTTGGAGGTAGTTCTTAAAAAGTTGGGCAGGTGTTTGAAAAAAGTGCAGAATTGGTGGTTCTCTTAAGAAATGAAAGAAAAAATGAAAGAAAAACAAAGAAAAAAAAATGAAAGCAAAAGAGATCCACCACCAAAAATCTAAATAGTGCCCATTAAGTAGTGTTTCTTAGCAGTCTGGCTTGGAAATACTAACATTTTTGTGACCTCCTTCGCTCTTGTGCTCTAAAGAATTTGAGTAATGCAGAATGGCATAAGGAAAGTAAGTGGTTTGATTGACTGTGAGTTTGTTGGGTTTGGAAATGTGGAACCTTGTGCTATGAATACTTCCACCACCTAAAAGGCCTTTTCACCATGTCTGAGACCCTAGCCAGTCATTTGAACCTGTGTCTAAGACCACCGGATTGGTTAGTGATGACACCCATTAATGTGAACTCTTACATTTAGAGGCTTCCGTCATGGTGAAGAGATGTTAGGGATTGAGAGAATAAGTATGCGGATTTTTCGCATCAAATTGTCTTGGCCCCACTGGTCGAGAGTGAGTGATTCATTTTCTCATATTCTCTACATTCTTGTACCCCGGTGAGGACCTAGATTGCTCGGTTTCTATTATGATATCTTGAGTTTTATGCATGAGGTGACTGTCTTGAGTAAGTGGTTGAGTCAAGTCTATGTTGGTTGATGAACAGAAGGGAGACTCCTCATTTACTCGATTTTGCTGCACTCAAATGTCTTCTGTGGTGGTTGTCCAGGTTGCTATTGAAGTTGTTCATGTATTGATGTTTGAAAGCCAGTATGATTCACGTGTTCTGTGCCTATATGATTTGTCCCCAATGTTGGTATGATTGAAATATGTGAGCTTACCTTGTGTCTGACTTGGTTTGCTTGAGGACAAGCAAACGGTTAAGTGTGAGGGAGTTTGATAGACCGTTAATTGCACATGTTTTTACCCCTATTCTTGAGACGTTTGAGATGTTGCTTCTCGTGTTTTAGACTGATTTCACGCTAGATTTTGCTTGTTTGTGATATTTCAGGTCCTAGTACGTGAATGAAGGTTTGGGAGCGAGTTCGGGGTCGATTGGACGAAGATCGGACGTGTAGCGAGTCGCTGAGGGAGCCACACGGGCACTCTTAAACCCACACGGCCGTGTAAGGAACCAAATTGGCCGTGTGGGATTTAGCGAGGCTTCACACGGGCATTCTGGAGATTCCACACGGTCGTGTGTCCCTGGCTGTGTAGGTAGCCTGAAGTCCATTTATTTGAAACGCAGCGTTTTGACACTCACACGGGCATCTGGGTAAGCCACACGGCCGTGTGGCCTGCCCGTGTGAGTCGGGAATTCTGGTTTTAACCCAATTTCGAGACACAAGTGAGGGGATCGACTTTTTAGAGCAAAAACAGAGCCCTAGAGAGAGAAAGAGCGAAGAACACACCCTAGAAGCGATCTTGGAGTTGGGTTTCATCAAATCGAGCTTGGAGATCATCATAGGAGTGAGAATCATCATCCCAGAGCAGATTCTTCCCATTGTTATGAGTATGACTGCTTTGTATTCTGTTTTTCTCTCTCTCTATGGAGTAGACCCTTCTCTCACTTGGGTATGAAGAACCCTAGTTCCATGTGTTAGGGATCATGATTGTAATGACTTGGGATTGCTATACTGTTTGGTTTTAATCGAATGATGCATAATTCATTGAATTGATTGAAGTCTCATCAGCTTTTCTTGATTTCTGCTGCAACTTGAGATAGATAGAATCTGATTTGGTTGTGAGAGCTTCTTCATTCGGTAGTAGTAGATTGGCTATACGAGAGTTAGTCAGTCTACTGCTTTTTACTGGAATCCAATTCCAGTAGTGGAGTTCTGTGCTTATTGCTTCAGCTTTCTATCCCGGTGAAGACTAGTCGTCTGCCGGGTAGTTAGACTGAGAGGGCTTGGTCAGCTTAAGAGATTCCAAGCTACTGTCGGATCTTCCGCAGTTTAATCAACAGTAAATCAACCCAGGGTAATTACAACTGAAACCTAACTAAGGAGCTAGGGGGACTCATTCCCGAGTGACTCTTCCTTGCTTCAGAAACCGAACCAATTCCTGCTTTCTTACTGCTTTTAGTTAAACAACAATCAATCGACTTAGTTGGCTAGATAATAGATAATCACGGAGTTGGCAGTAGATCTAGACCCCGGGTTGATAATTAGAACTTGCCACTATTCTGCATTTCCGGACTGCGATTACACTTGGTCGCAGTTTGGTGTTGTGTCGTAGTGTGTCAGTGAACCACATATTCAAGGCGCTTAGGGACTTATTTTGGGCAACAGTATATGAAACTAACAAACCTGAATACAAGAGTGTCCTGAAAGTCATGGAAGGCATTCAACAAAGTGGAGTTGACATGAGTCTCTTGAAGGATTTCTTGGATAATGAGCCCGAGACATTTTGCAGGGCTTTCATGAGCCACGTACCTAGATGTGATTCTGTAGAAAGCAACATCTGCGAGACCTTTAATGGATATATTCTGGAAGAAAGGGAAGATGGGATCATTGATATGTTGGAAGGGATTCGTAAGAAGCTCATGGTGAGGTTTGTCGACAAGAACAAGCAGATTGCTAGAGTTCAAAGAGCTTTCTGCCCAAGGATAGAGAAGAGGCTTATGGTGGGTGTGGAGATGGCCAAGATGTGTACAGTGAACCCTGCCTTGAATGATAAGTTTGAAGTTGTTGTTGATCGGAAGGGATTTGTGGTAGACATGGAAGAGCACTCATGCACGTGTGGTTACTGGGGCTTGACTGGGATACCTTGCCACCATGTTGTTTGCATTCGTCTTGTTTCAGAGATTGGAGGTGGATGCATTTGTTAGTCATTTCATACAGGGTTGAGGTGTACAAGCAGGCATACAAGCATGGTATCCCCACCTTGGAAGGTCATCAAGCTTGGCTAGACGCTGAAGGGTATCCTGTCTACCCTCTCAAGTTCAAAATACAGCCTGGCCGGACCCAAAAAACAACAAAGGAAATCTCTTGGAGAAATTGAGGCAGTGAACCATGGTCCTAGTGGTGTTTCTGTAAGAAATAAAAGGGTTGTGATGCATAGCAACACGTGCAAATCACCGGATCACAATGCTAGGACTTGTCCGAATGTTCAAAATCAATAGGTAACTATTCTTTCATACATAAAAAATGTGTTTTGAGCAAAATTTTGGTATTCATAAATGCTTTTTTGGTTCGACCAGAATGTTGGTGAAAGAAATATGGATTAAAGCAAAGTTGGGGATGGAAGAAGAACTGTAGATGAAGGAAGAGCTGGACTTGAGGACAGAAGGGTTCGACATATAGGTCCTGCTCCAGCTGAGGAAGGGCAACCCTCACAAGTGAGAAGGGGCAGGAGGTTTTTCTCCAAGTGTGGAGGAGATTATCACAATGCTAGAACATGCCATCTGGTTGGGGGTATTCAGGTATGCAAAATTTTGGTTGAGATGCTTCAGATGTTGAGAATATCTAAATGGATTAATAGTTGTGCTGAATTCAGTTCATTTGGAATGCTCAAGTTAACCGTGCAGTGCAATAAACGTGCTTTAGCCATGGAGATAAGGATGGTAGGTGTTGAATTTAGGTGATTTCGATTGTGTTATTATGCAGCTTAATTTAGTACACTAATAAGTTTATGTTTTGCAGGCCAACCAAGGAGTTGGTGTGCTTCACACTGAGCTTTGTAACACTTATGTCGTCCTCAATGGTCCTACTGGAGGAGGCAGGACATTGCGGAGTGGAAGGACTCGACCAGATATAGTGGCAGCAGCTCCTCCGACAGAGATTGATCAAGGTGGATCACAGCCACCAAGGACACAACCTTTGCATCAACAATAGGATGTAGTGTGAACTAGTAGAAGTAGTAGTATATGAAAAAATGTAATATATTTTGATGCCATTGCATGCGTATTTGATGCCATTAGATCAAGGGAAATTGCAAATTTTCCATACATTGGATCTACTTTTAGGCATGGACATGAAATGGCTACCAGTGTTATGTCAAGAAAAGGATGTTGGAAATGATGTATTCAGAATGTTAGGTAAACGATGCTGAAAATGATGATGTTGAATATCAACTTTTAGGTAAACCTGTGTTGTTCGTTTTAGTCAATGATGATGTTACCCGCTTTTACAGTTAAGATAAACAGCAAGAATGACATACCAACTTGTGAATAAACAGACAGATTGTTAAATAAACAGAAACAACATTCAAGTTACACCTACAGATTGTCAAATGAACATATACAATTGTTTACAATTTGATTCAATACCTCATCCCTAAACAACCAACGCCAAACACTAATCCAACCAAAATGAGTAACACTAACGACAATCGTGTTTTAGCCAACCTCAACTCAGCAACTAGCCTAGCATTGTCCTCCCTCATACTAATTAATTCATCACACAACATTTTTTTTTTTTGCCTTCTTCCTTCGTCCAGCTTTATTTTGAGCACATGTCAGCCTCTCCTTTAAGCTCCCGACAGACAGTTATAGTGAAGAAAGTTTGGACCTGATGTAGTTGCTCTCCCCTAAATCATCAGTCTTACCATCATCCCAACGGAAAAACCGACAATCGCTGGTTACATCCTGCCATACGATGATGATTCATGGTAAGACAGAAGCCAAAAACTACCCATAATCTACCTATACAACATAGGGTTCTATTACCTTCCAATGGGGGTAGCAATAGAGCGCCCTCCCCGGATTGAGCTCAGTTCCATAAATATACTTGAGCTGGTATATGTGCACACACCTCACAACACGAGAGTTGGAGGAACTTGAATCGGAATTGTTTCGTTGGCCTCTCCTAGTAGACATATCGAAATCCCTGCCACGCCACCACCACAATACCCACAACTATAAAACAATAGATGAAGAAGAAAACAAAGAAACTCTAATTTCTGTCGAGCCCTAATATGTCGCCCAGAACCACCTTACCTACCACTACATTACCTCCAATGTGTCGAGCCCTGATATGTTGCCCAATGTCGCCGCAAATATCTCTCCTCGCCGTCAGACCTAACGCCACCGCAACTATCACTGTAGTTCCTCACGATCGCACCTAACGCCACCACAACTATCGTCGTACTTCCTTCGCAATCTAGAGTTGGGTTGCAGTTCGTGGAGGGGAGGAAAGAAGGTGAGTTTAATCACCTCGATGGGGTGATATAAAGTAAAAAAAAGGTTGACTCAGTTAATTCCCCCCCCCCCCCCCCCACCCCCACCCCCCCACAATCTGATGTGTCATTCCACGTGGATACAAAGTTGCAGCCACTTCACTTTTAGGCGACACAATTTTGACTACCGTTTGGTCAACCGTCATATCAAACGATCAAAGAAATTGTCGGAACACAAATGTCACAGAATACAGAAAGTTCGGGCCATATTTGGCATATTGAACAGTTGAGGCCACAAATAAAACATTTTTTATAGTTGGGGCTCTCTAGTGGAATTAGCCCTAAATTTAAATTAAAAATGATGGGATGGTGACTGCCACGTTGACATCCAACTCAGACTCGTGATGTTGATTCAACAATATCAACGGAACTGTTAACGGTGAGTTAACGTTTGGTTAATAATTAGTATTTCAATAGTTTTGGTTAATATAAAAGAATCCAAAAAACGTTTTGCTAATAAATAGTCATTGCCCTTATTTTTATTCATTCACAAAAAGATTTAATTTCAAAATAAATTTCAAAATTTTATAGAATTCATTTATATCAAAGAAGTAGAGGTGGCCACGATCCAGTCTACACTGGATCAAATCGTACCTTTGGACTGAATTGGACCAGATATTTTTAGATTCAGTTTTGATCCCATAAATTATTTTTATTTTAATTATGAAGAAAAATTATCCCAGATTGAATTTGGACCACATAAATTAAAACAAATGAATCAAAGCGTATCTCTATATATTTTGATCATAATTTGTTTCTTTATTTTTTATCAGGACCTATCTCGATTTTAATCCGATTGTGAGTCGAATCCACTGATGTTCAACACATACATGACTAATGGTTATTGTTTGTACCATATAGCTCGCAGCATAGAACAATGATTTGTTGTTGTGGGACTTGACTCACAATCCACTTGTCTGATCTCATCGGAAGGAATAGAATATGTGGAAAGACGGGGATACCCCCAGGTTATATTTCGGCGATCAAGTTAGTACATCATAGAGAGATATGAGTGAGAATATTTAGAGAGAGAATCAAAGTGTGAAATGAAGGTGGAGAAGTTGAGTCCCCATCTTTGGAGGGCTTAGGAGCCTTTATATACCCGTAGCGGGCGTCAAGCGTTACGCGTCGCAGTTGGATGCCACTGTTGCGCGTCTTTGTTGGGGCGAGGTTAGTTTGACTACTCTCTAAGGGGTTGGAATATTGACTTCCCCTCTTTATTAAAGTTATTTTGGATACTAAATCTATTACGCATTTATTACCCTTTGACGATAAAAAACCTCATATTAATTACATTCATTTTTCTCAAAATTAAGCTTACAATAATTAAATTTCTATCTCCCTATTTCCCACTTTTTCATTTTCCAACAACTTTGTTGCCTTTTCCCGGAAGACTCCTTTCGGTCATACTCCTGCCAACAGACCCCTTCCGACCAGAATCTAATTTCTTCGATAGACTCCCTCCAACCACCTAAAAAAAGTATACATGCATTTGAAAAGTACTATTGCACTGACAACTTTACATATACATTGATACCATTACACTGATACCACTATTATAACACGGATAACGATACCAGTACATTGATACAACTACTGTTGCACTGGTAACATTACCACTGAAGGTAAACGTGTCAGCCGTCGGTTGGGGAGGAGCGACGGTTGGAGGAGTTGCAGAGAAACGACATGAGGAGTTGCTGGAAAGGCGACCGGGGTTCGTGCTGGAGTGAGGCGGCTCGGGGAGGGAGGAGAGAGAAATGTAATTATTGTAAGTTTAATTAAAAAAAGGAATGTAATTAATATAAATTTTTAATTTTTTACAATTTTAAAAAGTTATTAAATGCAACACAAATTAATATCTTAATTAATAGGAGTGTTAAAAACCATACCCACTAGAGGTAGTAGGCATGCTATCTCGCCCCGAGACTTAAACTGAATGGCTAAAAGAAACAATAAATGTGAGGTTAATTGCATGGTTGGTCACTGAGATTACACAAAATGTTCATGTTTGATCACTGAAATATTTAAATCCAATTTTGGTCACTCAAGTTAGTTAAATGGTTCAAGTTTGGTCACTCTCCGTCCAACTCAGTTAAATACTTAAATTTATCTGATGTGGCAGTCAACTCTCAAAGTTGACCATTAACTCAGTGTCGTGGTAATTAAAAAATAATAAATAAAATAAATTTTAATCTTATATAATTTTCAACTCATTTTCACAATAAAGTAAAATAAATAAAAGAAATAAATATTATAATTACAAGTTAAAAAGGGGCGCTTCGTCCTCCGCCACCACATCCCTTCCCCGCAACCAAATCAGCTCCCAATTCCCATCCCTTGCTCCGCCCGCTGTTGTCGTTCCCGTCGCTCCCTGGCTATAATCACCTGCACCTCCTCCACGCACGACCCCGCCCGTTCCTCAAACTCTATCAACGCGCACTCGCGCAGCCGACCCCAAGCGCCCCCTTTTCAATTTGTAACTATAAATTTTTTTTGCAACGAACTCGAAGTTTTGGGCTTTGAGGTCGAGGGATCCGGTGATGGATGTGAGGAATGAGACGGGAGTTGTGTAGTTTGAATTTGGATGTGCTTTTTTAAATATGAGGCATTGCTGGAAACGGGTTACCGGAGTGGCTTCGTCGGCGGTTGTGGTGAAAGAAGAGACGAGAATGTCGAGGAAGACGAAGAGCAGTGGAGTTGGCATAGTTGCTAAGTGAAGCAAAGGTGGGAAAATGGAGGAAAAGCAAGTCAATAGCTCAAAGAAGAGACAGAACAGTCAAAGATCTTGACTTTATTGGCACCCTAGAAGAAGAATCCATGAAAGCTGCAGCAGCGGGTAGGGGTGATAATCGGTTGGCGGTTATTCGGTCAAACCGTAAACCGAACCGAAATATGCGGTTACACGGTCAACCGAAAACCGATAATTATGTTTCGGTGGCGGTGGCGGTTTGCTGAATTTGGGATTTATGGTAACCGGCAACCGACGGTTGCTAACCGAGATAAACTCGGTGGACCGCATAAAACCGACGAATTGCTCCCCCTCCCTGCTCCAAACCCCCGCTCTTCCCCTTTCGCATCGCCCCTCTCCTTGCTCCAAACCTCTCCCTCTCACCACAGTTCCCTTTCTGCATCGCCACTCTGCTCCCTCTCCCTCTCGCTGCTATTCCCCTTCCGCATCGCCACTCTCCTCCCTCTCTCTGCTCCAACCAAAAATTGATGATCTAGGCCTCCCTCCTCTGACCGCCTCCCAGTGGTTCCCAGTTCCAGACTCCCCTCCTCTCTGTTGCTAGGTTCAAGATCAGCTATTGCATGCCCTTTCTTCCTAATTTTCTTCTGCCGTCGACATTTTCCTTCCCTTCCTTGTTGATAGAGGCTGCCGCAGAGGGAGAGCATCAAGGGATTCGGTGGAATAAGATCAATCTCCACCGTCCTTGAAGCGAGAGTAATCTGCAGTACAGGTTCCTACGGAGGTGTTGGCCTGGAAAATTGAAGCAATTGGAGCCAGCAAGATTGGTCTGAAAACCAATCCCATCGATCTGCCTGACTCCTCTGACTCCGGGCGGCTCTTTCTTCCTCCTCTGCCGCCGGGTTTGTCGCCTGAACTGAGATTCGATGGGAGTGCTCTCTCTTCTCCATCTGCCGCTGGTTCAAAATTGAAATTTTCCGGTGACATGCAAAGCGATGGTGGTGGTCGGAATTGGTGTGTGTCGGTTTCGGCAAACCGCAGCCAAAAACCGAAACCGCCGGTTGAGGTTGGCAGTTAACCGAAGACCCCTTCGGTGTCGGCTTCGGTTGGCCGTCCTAGGTGATTCTCGGTCTCGGCTAACCGATGGTGCGGTTCGGTTAAACCGAAACCGCACCGACTAACAGGCCTAGCAGCGGGAAGAATGGATGAACCCTTATGGAAGTGAAGTAGAGAGAGATACAACTTCTTGGACTGAAAACTGCAACCGCCGGAGTTGATATCACCGGGGAATTGATCTTCCGTCGAGATCCCTAGCAGACGCCTTTATTCCGATCACGCTTGCTCTGGTTTTCCGATGTAAATAACTTTTTCCATTTTTAACTATAATAAAAAAATAGTTTTATTTATTTTACTTTATTGTGAAAATGAGTTGGAAATGGTAGAAGATTAAAATTTATTTTTATTTATTATTTTTTAATTGCCAAGTTGCTGAGTTAATGGTCAACTTTGAAGATTGACTGCCATATCAGACAAATTTAACGGAGTTGGACGGAGAGTAAACAAACTTGAATCATTTAATCAGATTTAAGTCTTTATAATCTCGGTGACCAACCATACCATTAACTCTATAAATGTGATAGTGACTTAATTCTAAAAGCCTTTTTATTAATTTTATAGATCATGTAATATGCGTCTTTGTTAACTCATCATAATCTCTGGCAGACCAAAACGAAAACCCTAGCTCCGAATTTTGTGGAGCGGCGATTTTTCCTTCTCAGCCTACCACCGTTTATCGTGATCGTTTTTCCTACCCATGGCAACGCCGGCGCCGGGGGTCCCTCCCCCGGACGCAGAACTTGTGGACCCATGTACGGGAGTTCGCCGCCCCGCCCCTGTAACATCTTCCCCGGACGCGAAACGCGAGAGAGAGACACAGCAGGCGAAGAAAAGAGCCAAGCCCATGCGAGACAATCCCCTCTTCGGGGATGATAGCACCAAGGTGCCTTCATCAGAACCAATGGAGGAAGAAGAGAAAAATGGCAAGACAGGAGAGTTCGAGACTGCATGGCAGGGAGGTACGCGTGGTTTATTCAACAACCTACGAAAAGAGGAGGAGTGGTACGTAGCGGACTCGGATTCCGAGGATGTAGCAGCAGCCATGAAGGAGGATGACCTGGATGACGAAATCCCAGAAGATGATGATCCCCTATGCCCCACCATTGCTTTCACGGCGATGGAGAAGCAGCAGTGGCGACGTGAATGGCGGTCTGCCCTCATCGTGAAAGTCCTCGGACGAACCTTTCCTTTCCCGGTCATCTCCCGCCGGTTGGAGATACTTTGGGCTAAGTGTGGCGCTATCCAGGTGTCAAGCTTATCGTGTGGGTTTTACGCAGTACGATTCACTAGCCAGTTTGATTATGAGCAAGCTGCTATGGGCGGGCCATGGATGATTAGTGACTTCTATATAACTGTACGTCCGTGGCGCAAGAACTTTAATCCGACATTTGCAGAGGTTGCCTCCACTATGGTCTGGGCCAGGTTTCCGGGGCTACCAAGAGAATTTATCAACAAGCATGCTGTAGAACGTATAGCGGAGAAGATTGGCCGACCAATCAGGGTGGATCGTGCTACACAATCAGGTGATCGTGGAAGATATGCACGAGTTAGCATTGAAGTTGATCTGACAAAGCCGCTACTCTCAAAATTTAAGATAGAAGGCATTACCTACTATGTGGAGTACGAGGGACTACACCGCATCTGTACAGAATGTGGGAAATATGGTCATAAGAAGGTAACGTGCCCATTGCTCGTGAAAGAATCCGTTCCGGTGCAAACGCCCACCCAGGAGGCAAACGATAGCGAGCCAAGCAGTACATATGGTGACTGGATGGTTGTAAAGCCACGGGGTAGGGAGGCGAGTAGACTCAAGCAGGGTCCGAACACTGCGTCGGCGACTGGAGGGAAGGACAAAGCCCCGAGGATGGATAACCCACAAGGGTCTCGGTTCTCAGTGCTGGATGAAGACAATAATAACACTAATGAGGAAATTGATATGGAAGGCAATAAAAGTGTTCAAATGGACGTTTCGGTTGCACAAGCAGCGAACCCACCCACCGATAATACGACTGTGGACACAGCTGAGAGGGCTGAGGAGATACAGAAGGAAACCGACCTCCCAGCTACCATGACAGCGAGATCAGAAAGTACCCCCATGGGGGTAGACCTCGGCCCTAACAGGTCTCCAGAGGGAGGACCTAGTGTGATGAAGCCCACCCATCCCACCATAGAAGACCAGGGTCGGTTGGTGCAAACCAGAAAAATGGATACGGGCCAGAAATCCACGAAGTCTACTACACAGACGAACAAGAATAAGCACATCCGGAGCAACCCGAAGAACACAGGTGCTAAGCATGGCGCGGGGAGCCCATCCCCTTCGGTCCATAGATGAAAATCTTGAGTCACAACTGCCGCGGGCTGGGGAATACGCGGTCAGTTAATGCTCTTCGTGCGTTGTTACGCCGATTATCCCCTGATGTCGTCTTCCTAATGGAGACGAAGCAAACTGAGATTGAAAATGATGCCCTTCGTGAAATGTGTGGTTATAAACATGACAGAAGTTTTCCGGCATCTCTATCTGCTCGGAGCCGGGCGGGGGGCATTAGCCTGTGGTGGAATGAGGACTCACAAATCTCAGTCATGGATGTGGGTCTCCACTTTATTGATGTAGCGGTTGATGAAGCAGCCGAGGGTAGATGGCGGTTCACAGGTATCTACGGATGGCCTGAGAGAAGTGACAAGTGGCAAACGTGGGATCTACTACGAGGCCTAAGCAACCAATGGGATGGCCCATGGTTATGTGGCGGTGACTTTAACCAAGTCCTATCGTCAGCGGAAAAAAGCGGAGGCCGAGGGGTACACGAAATGGAGATGTCTGATTTCAATGATTGCCTCAATGATGTGAGTTGTCATGATCTGGGCTTCCATGGCTACCCGTTTACTTGGGAAAACAGACGGATACGAGGGGGGTATATCGAGGAACGCCTAGACCGGTTTGTCGCAAATGGAAAATGGGGCTCTCTTTTCCCTAATGGTCGAGTGGTTCATGGGGATAGAGCCCACTCTGATCACCGACCAATTATCTGTGAAACAAGGGGCGAAGAGGATGTGGAAGTTAAGTGGGGTTTTGCTTTTCGTTTTGACCCAATGTGGGCGAAACATAAAGATTGCTCCTCCACAATTGAGAAGGCTTGGAATAGCTTGCTGGGGATGGATGTCCTGGACAAAATGGCATCTTGCCGCAACGAGCTTGAGACCTGGAGCAGAAAGACTTTCCCTGCGTTTGCCAAGCAGAAGAAGAAGATAAGTAGGGCGATCCGGGCTGTGGAAAGGAGGGAGAAGACCGAGGAAAATCTGGCCCTACTTCGTACCCTAGAAGACGAGATGGCGGACATTCTTGACAATGAAGAAAAGTATTGGAAGCAACGTTCTCGTGCAGATTGGCTACGTTCGGGAGACAAAAATTCTGGGTTTTTTCACAGGAAAGCGTCAGCACGCCGAAAAAGGAATATGATCAAGAAAATTCGGAATGAGGCTGGGCAGTGGTTTAAGAGGCAAGACGAGATCTCCCAATGCATGGTTGATTACTATGGGACGCTCTTCACTGCTGGGCCTACCCCGACAGCGTGGCCGGTCCTGGACTCAGTTGATCGGAAGGTGAGCATGGAAGACAATGAAGCGCTCTTGCGGCCCTTCGAGAAAGAGGAAGTTTGGACCGCTCTGAAACAGATGGGGAAGCGCAAAGCTCCGGGAGCTGATGGGTTATCCGTGTTCTTCTTTAGACAGTATTGGTCCATTGTGGGAGAAGAGGTGACGAAGGCAGTGCTCCAAATCCTGAACACGGGAGTTATGCCGGATGGGCTCAACCATACGCTAATCACTTTGATCCCGAAGATCAAGCAACCCGTAACACCAAGGGACTTCAGGCCGATAAGCCTGTGTAATGTACTATACAAAGTGGTCTCGAAGATTCTAGCCAATCGACTCAAACCGCTTCTTGATAAGATTATATCGCCTTCCCAAAGTGCGTTTATCCCTGGCCGTCTTATCACAGACAATATTATGGCAGCATTCGAGTGTTTCCACACCATGAAGCGCAGCAAACGATGGAAACATGGGTACTTTGCAGCAAAGATCGATATGGCCAAGGCTTACGATCGGGTGGAGTGGAGGTTCTTGGAGGGAGTAATGAGGAGGCTTGGATTTGAAGAAAAATGGATCCAGCTGGTGATGATGGGTGTGACAACAGTGTCTTACTCTGTCCTGGTGAATGGTCATCAGTCCCAGACCTTTTTTCCAGGCAGGGGGATCCGGCAGGGTGACCCGCTCTCACCATACCTTTTTCTGCTTTGTGCGGAGGGGTTATCAACTTATACAGCCAAGGCGGTCATTGAAAACAGGCTGCATGGGTTACAAGTGAGCCGGGGAGCCCCGGTGATTACCCACCTTTTTTTCGCTGACGATAGTATTTTCTTTGGCAGGGCAAATCAGCAGGAGGCGTTGACACTAAAGGAAATACTCCATGCCTATGAAGTGGAGTCTGGCCAGATGGTCAATTTCCAGAAGTCGGAGGTCTCTTTTTCAGTGAATGTGAAACCCCATGGCCGATTGATTACGAGTGGCACTCTTGGGATGCAGCCTGTCGAGAAACACCAGAAGTACTTGGGTTTGGTTACGGAAGTGGGGCGGGCGAAGAAGGACCTCTTTGCAGGCCTCAAGGAGAGAGTCAGGTTGAAACTGAAAGGGTGGAAGGAGCGTACAATGTCAGTCGCAGCGAGGGAGGTGTTGATCAAGTCAGTTGCTCAGGCCCAGCTCATCTATGCGATGTCAGTTTTCAAGATCCCAGATGGTTTGATCGATGATATCCATAGCTTGATTGTAAACTTTTGGTGGGGCCAGAAGAACGAAGAACGACGAGCCCACTGGCTTCGACGGGAAGAGCTAATGATACTTAAAGAGGACGGAGGGTTGGGTTTCAGAGATCTCCGTGGATTTAACCTGGTGCTCCTAGCAAAACAACTCTGGTCACTCTATCTTCGGCCGGAGTCGTTAATATCTAGAATACTAGCAGCCAAATATTACAGGAACTGCTCGATCCTGGACGCCCGGATTGGGAACCGGCCGAGCTACATATGGAGGAGCATACTTAGTGCTCAAGAGTTTTTGTGCGATGGATTACGTTGGAGAATAGGCAATGGTGACCGGTTGAAGATCTGGGGGGATCAGTGGCTACCGGGCGACCCAGCTTTCGTCCCATATGCTCCAACGATCCTGCCGGTAGATTCTAAGGTTCGTGAACTCATTGATCCCATAACAGAAGGGTGGAACGAGGAGCTTGTTGACATGTGTTTCCCGGCGGACATCGCCCAGACCATCCGTTCGGTACCGCTTAGGGGAGCTGCAGAGCAGGACTGTATCATTTGGAGGCACAGCGAGAATGGTCAGTTCACTGCCAAGAGCGGATATAGGAGGTGGCTTGCAAAGTTCATGGTCAACGAAGGGATTACTCCAAGTGGCGATGGGAAGCTGTGGAAGGCCATTTGGAAAATGAATGTGCCGCCAAAGGTTAGACATTTCATGTGGCGCTTCACTAAGGACATCTTGCCCGTCGGAACCAGGGTGGCGGCTAGGAATCCGAGATGGTCAGACTGCTGCCCGTTCTGCACCGAGCAGGAAACCCAACGACATCTGTTTCTCGAATGTAGTTGGAGCAGGCGGATATGGAGAGGGACGCCATGGTCGAGCGCATTTGAGAGGGCTGGAGCGATGGACTGTCTTCCTTGGGTGGCAGAGGTTTCCCAGCGGGAGAGCCAGGACACGATGGAGAGGTGGGCAACGCTATTGTGGGCACTCTGGAAGGAACGTAATGCGCAACAGTTCAATGGTTCGAAATGGCCAGAAGATGAGGTTGCTTACCGTGCTATGTCACTGCTGGAGGAGTATCGGCGCAATCAAGGCCCAAATGATGATGTCGGAGGGGATCACTCGGCGGAGGCGTGGAAGAGGCCAGCCGCGGGACTCATTAAAGTGAATACTGATGCAGGGCTCTTTGACACAGGGGGAATTGGGCTGGGTGCGGTCTTTCGGGATCACCAAGGACGATTCTTGGCAGCTGCAGCCAAGAAGGTACGAGGGACTTACTCGGTAGAGATGGCGGAGGCCCTGGCAGCTGAGTTGGGCCTTCAACTCGCACACCAGGTGAACTTTAGACATCTTCAGCTCGAAATGGATTGCCTTGCGGTAGTTGAGAAGCTCCGGAAGTCAGACGACGACCAGACAGAAGTTGGGCTCATCACCAAGCACATTGGGGACCTCCTGCGGACTACTGGATCGAACATGAACAATATAACCCACGTGAGACGCTCGGCCAACAAGGTAGCACACATTATGGCACATAGTGAGACTAGATGGGATAGTCGCGAAGTGTGGATTGATAGGCCACCGATTTTTCTCTTGGACCAGCTTAGACTGGACGATGTAACCGCAGGTTTCTGATCTATATAAATATACAGGTTACCCGTCAAAAAAAAAAAATCATAATCTCTGGCAAAAAAGAAAATTATAAAAAAACTCATCATAAAACAAACAATCTACACATAATATAATACGCCGAAGGTAAAAACGGGAGCCCCATTTCAAATTTCCTGCAACGAGAGTGAAAGTAGGAAGGACATTTTAGTCTTCACAATTACTTTTTTTATTCATTAAAAAGACACGTACTGTGATTCGAACCATGACCATTTTAAAGAAAAGCTAAGATCACAACCAATCACACTAAGTACATTTGTTGTATCTTTCTAAATTAAAAACATATAATAGCAGGGAGGAAAAAACCCTTTCCCCATTTCAAATTCTCTGCTCGAGGAGCGTTTATAGGAAAGGTAGAATAGGGAGTGTCAATTTTTTTCTCTTTCCTCTGTGGAACGGGCCAACTTACAGTATACATGCGAATTTAAACGGGCCCAGGAGTGTCAATTTTTTTCTTTAAGCCCTTTTATTTCTCTGTTGTGATAAAATATATATGAAAAGGAGTTGAATGCATGGTATCTAATGAGCTAATCGCTAACCATAAAATAAAAGAGTTGAATGGGCCTGACCTACATGGGATTTGGCCATCAAGTGAAACAAATGAACATCATTGGTTTGTCATTCTAAAACAAGCTATTTTCTCTGGCATAATATATATTATGCTATTATTCTATATCTTATTGGCTAAAATATAATGTATTTTAGAGTTATTCCATGGTTCAACCTCGACCAACCCAATTAGTCTAATTTTTATCATTTCAAATATATATTTTATAATTATTTGATATCATAATGATCAAATTATAGTGTATTTTATAGGGAGTCGTTTGGTATTTGTTAGTAAAAAACTAAACATAAAAGATCTATTTAGTTATTTTAAAAATTAAAACGATCCTAAATATTTTCAGTTCCTTTTGAATTTCTATGGTTTTATTCCCGAATAAGTGATGTGCAAATGGCGAATTGTAGTCGTCTCTTTTCTTTCACTATTTTTTATTTTCAAATATAAAGTTTAAAAGTAAAGAATAATTAGAATTTGGCATGGGTCGGTCAAACAGGCTGAATTTCAAGTTTTGGCCCGTTTGTTTTATGCATTGCAAATTTATTAGCATGTTGATGGAAATGGCTTGGAAAAAAGACATATAAGTTGTACCTTTGCAGAAATGTCCTCAAATGTTTGAATGCATTGTGAATCAGTTTTCGTGACTTTTGTGATGGTGTATGTGCTTGACGATTGCTCGATGTTGTAACTGCTTAATTTGAGAGTAAATCTTTTGATTTTCCCTATGAGTTGTGATACCAGTTCTGGTGGTTGCAGCATGTTGTCGTTGTTGGCCTGTAAAAGTTGTTCAGTCGTGATGCTAAATACCTTTCTTTCTTTTTTAACAAATTGTGTAGTAGTGCTATGAAACAAACCACCCATGAACGCGACGCTTATTATGGTCTGTTCTTACTTCCGGTGGTGAGAAATTGTGAATTGAGAATCATATTCGCCTACCGCACTGTGTCTGGCTGGTGGTTGCTTACTGTGCTCTCTAGAGTTATGAAACAGACTACCCATGAACGTTACCCTTAAGGGTCCATAACTTTGCGAAAAACCAAATTTAGGCAATCAAAGGTGGTGGATGTGTGATGATTTTTTATGGCTTAATTGTTTGTGAATTGGATATCTGATCTTTGTATGATTAGAGGGGATGTTTGCTTAATAGAATAATATATTTTAATTCATGTTTATTTTTAACATGAACTTTAGTAACTCAAAACCTTCGAGACACATATCACCTACTGCATTGTATCATTTTCCCTGGGTGCTTGATGTGTTGTCAAACTTCTTTGCTGTTGCTGCTGCTTTTATACTAACAGGGGAGTTAAGAACCCATGAATGTTTCCGTTTGACACAAACAGGAGGAATTGCTTCTAAATCGTGCACTAAAGATGATTGGAGGAAACATTTCTGTTGCAGTTGATATACTGGAGACCAGAACAAAAGCAATTTATCACATCAAAACCAACCATATGAACTATTAGCATTGTTGCTTTACTCTTTTTTCGTGGTTGAGTCTCCTTCAAAAAATTTAGTTTGATTTTAGAAAATTTTTCTTCTGCAGTCCTGTCTTGCCACCAACGCGTTCAGTAGATGGAGATGGCAGAGGCGAAGGCTATTTTTGTGTTGTTGTTGCTGGTTTAGGGATCGGTTTGTGAAGAAGAGGGAGAAGAGAGGGGGAAAGGGAAATGCAGGAGAGGGGGGTAACTCTTTTCTCCGGCAAAAATGGAGTGAAGAAAGGAATTATGATCAGTAAGAATATGGTTACCTTACATAACGGTCTCTATTCTGTTTGAAATGAGCTTGGGAGGCAGTGTTAAAGACGAGCTGCAACCAATTCATAGTGAGAAGAGAGCTATGAACTGTGATCATGTCTTATTTCAAGTTAGAAGGTAGTTTCAGTATAAGGATTATTTAATTTGACAAGTTGTTTCGTCCATGATTCTTGGTAGTTTCAGTGCCATTCTAGCCATTGTTTAGTCTGTAATTTTTGAGAATTGATGTGCGAGTAATGACTTTCACTTAGCTTCAACTATTATGTGTGTATTTATTGGCATGTGATAGAAATCTCTTTTCCTTTTCTTTGAATTCAGTTTCATACTCTAATTGTATCATTTGTACATAGGCAAATCATGCTCGAGATGACAACTCGCTAATATGGCTGGTGCAAGGAACGAAAGCTATCATTAGAATTCAGACCGACAACGGGGAGGAATGCCCAGGACTAATTTAATGATGATTGATGATGGTATAATAAAAACTGCAGTCTGCATCAGCATCAATTTCTAGGCCTAAGTAAAGTTATTCAACCCAGAACTCTGCTTAGCGCTAAAAATTTCCCTCGCCCAACCTTGATCCTGTTTGACCCACTTCTGAAGAGTCAAGATATATGACTAATCCTCTCCGTTCGTATTTTCTTATTGACTCTTACTGACCCTTTAGGTTAGGACGGGTCGGGAAGAATCAGATTAGTGGGTTGGTCCTAATAAAGTGGAATCCCAATCCCTTCATTCTCACTTGCTTTCTCTCCCATTCCACAAACAGAAACCAAAGATAACTCATGTATGCTACATTGTACGTTATCTTGACCGATGCTCTTTACTGGTGAATGAGTCTTCTTTCTTTGTCAGTGCATCATACTTTAATATTTTATAACTGTTTTGTGAAGTAGAAATTGTAGTGGTATAACTACGACAAGATGGTAAGTGGTAACTGAGAAAAAAATACCAGCTGTGATTTGATCGGGCCGTGGAACGATGTGGAAGATTACTGTGATTTGGTTGTTCTCAAGTTATTCTTGCCAATGGGTTACTGAAAGTAGTTGGTCAAAGGTCGTGGCTTTATTTATTTATGGAGTTTCTGAAGGTTTTGTGAGGCAAATATACCTTCCTTTCTTAATGTAGATATATAGTAGGCAATTATGCGTTCCTTTCTTAATTAATGTACATACATAGTAGGCAATTATACGTAGTTGTTGGATGACCCATATATTGCTAGAACTTTTGGATGGTTGAGTTGCAAACTCTTTTGGGCCATCCGGACGAGGGATTATGATAATTAGGAATTTATATGTAGGATGTGTGGCAAATAGTTTGAGCCCCCTCCAATTTACTAATGACTGTTCCAAACCCAAAATTGCACAATAGCTCAATTGTTGGGCGTGAATTAAACAATTTTGTATATGGATTACAGCTTTGGAAATGTTAATATAGTCAACTGATTCTCCTGAGTTTTGTGTTAGAGCTTATGAACTTACAGGTGATGCGGATTCAATGGTCTTCCGCAGTATGTTCGTAGGATATATGCAGTATGTTGCAGTGTGGAAGTACTTTTGCTTTATATATGTTGGTAGGATATATTATGCTTCCTTTGTTTTAAAAATTGATGTGCTCTTTTCTGTATACACCAGCAGACTTGCCATTTTCCCAACCCATATGTTCATGTCCAAATTATCTATTTGCGACATGTAGGCTGTAAAGCAAGAACCTGGAAGTGTTGACAACTAAGTTTCAGATGCATTATTTGTTTTATAAAGGGTCAAACTGCAGCTTCGGAAATGTTAATAGAGGTTAACTAATTCTCCTGGGTTTTGTGTTAGAGCTTATGAACTTACAGTTGCGGTGCGGATTCAATGGTCTTCTGGATCTCGATTTAAGATGCCCCTCCAGAAAAAGGATTCGTCTAGCATTTGTCAAGTTGTCATCCTATTAAATATTAATATTTGTTTTTTTTAATCTTGGGAAGCACATAGTATCAGGATTGCAGTTGATGTCGGGCAAGTAAATTCATGAAGAAATATGAATTGATGGACCGGGTTGTGTAAAGTGTCAATATTATTTGCCAAAAAAAATATGGTACTTCCTTACTTCATATAATTTATATGTATTTTCATCAACATTATAGTGCTTTTAAATGTATGAACTACTTCTAAATCTTTCGTGATGTAACTGTGGGTATCGATACTAATATTTTTTAAATGCAAAATGACTGACCATTACTTAATTATTACCAAAATCTATTCATAATGATTACTTCACAACAGACCAACGGGCCGAGCAAAGACGCATTCAAGACGCAAGCTGATGTGTAGATATTCGCAACAGTTCTGCGGCCAATTCTTTTGGGCTATCTCCGGCCAAGGGGCCGGGTAATAAGCTAGTTAAATTATCTATGACGGGAAAAAAAAAACAATTAAACAACGGGAAGTCAGGAACTGTGACGCTACGGCTACGTATAGAAAATCGGATGCGCAAACCACTAGTCAAGAAAGCACTCCAAGCGTGAGCGAGAGAAGAGAGAAGACGACACCAAGGGGCATCCAATGATATAGCGCCACGTCAAAAATCCCCTACCGGAAAAAGCCATTTCTCCATTTCATCAAGTGACAGAGACAGACGGAAAAACACTGCTCTGTATCAGTATCAACCCATCAGACGCACCGCAGCACCGCAACAATGGCTGCCCGATATAGATATCAGTGCTCAACAGCTCTTGATCTCTCACTCCCCTGCTTGAACTGATTAACCCACCACTCCCTCTCTTCATCTGCTTCTGGTTGTTCTTCTCTCTCGCTCGCCGCCGGTAATCATTGCCCAGGTCAGGGTCTCCTCTTAACCAACACCTACAGCTGTGGCTCACCGTTTGGATTCTCCCTTCTTACTGGGTTTTTTTTAGGTTTTCATTCGATCTCCATTTCTCTTCTCCTCAGGGGGTTTGGTTAGGGTTTTCTAGTCATGGGCTCAGTTGCCGGCAGTAAATGGGACGACGACGACGACGGCGAGTATTCCGTCATCGGGGACAAAGGCGAAATCGGGTTCATCGATTACCAGGAAGACAGATCCGTCTGCAATTTCGACCCAACGGAGGAAGGCCCCGTCGTGATCTCCGTCCCATTCCCCATGCACGACGGGAAGCCGCAGTCGGTTTCCGTAGGAGAAACAGCCGCAGCTCCCATCACCATCAAGAACACCACCGACGAAGCCGTCGAGCTGTGGGCCAAAATCTACGCCTCCACGCCGGTGGATTCCTTTCAACTCTCCCTGATGGAGCCGCTTCCTCCTTCCGCCGGAAATGCTGCCGGCGGTTTCCTCGGATGTTTTGCTCTGGAGGACAGAATGATCCAGCCCGGCGAGACGCTGAAATTGTGGCTGTCCTGCAAACCGCAGGAGATCGGAATGTACACTTCCGTCGTCCATTTCGATGTGTCCGGCGACAGGATTGAGAGGGTGGCCTTCATCCTGGCCGAGGATAAGATATCCCAGTCCTTGGCTTCCAGGAAGCCATACTCGAGAACTGTGAAGAAGAATCACTACGCCGTCACTGAATTCGTCAAGGGCACGAATCCTAGGAGGGCTGCGGGCAGGCCGGTGAAGAAGAGGCTTCCCAGGTACGAGATTCCAAAGGAGATGAGAGAAAAGATTGAGAACAAGGAGATACCTGAAGAGGTCACCTCAGGTCTAAGTAGAGAGAACTATGCTGAGTACTTCAAGACACTGTTGATCATGGAAGAAATACAGTTGGAGGTAACTAAACTAGTCTATGTGGTGAATGTTTTTGGTTGCTCGACTGGACGGATTTCGTTCTGAGTTGAAGCTGTAATGCTTTTGTTGGTTGGTTTCAGGAGGATATGAGGGCTTACGATATGGAGCGGGTTGTAATGAAGAAGAGAGGGAGCTTTCTTTCGCTCGTGGTGCCAGGGCTCGCTGAGCGAAGGCCTTCTCTCGTCCATGGAGATTATATCTTCGCAAAGCCTGCGCAATCAGATGAATCCATTGTCCCTTATCAGGTCTGGTGCCAGTATATGTATGCTTGCTGTTAACAGTCTTGATCAGTAAAATTGTCAAATGTTTGTCCAAGACTGGCTTCTGTGAAATAGCTCGTTGACACGAATGGTGGCATTCTTTGCAGGGATATGTGCACCGAGTCCAGGCTGATGAAGTATATTTGCAGTTCAACCCACAGTTTCACTTGAGCCACATGGATGGGAATCTATATGATGTGCACTTCACTTACAACAGAGTCAATATCAGGAGACAGTATCAAGCCATTGATTCAGCTCGAGATTTGGAAACCGAGTTCCTATTCCCATCTGAGGCCCTTGAACATAGGCTTATTCAACCACAGTCTCTGATCCCTATAGCAAGAAATATCAACGAGGAGCAGAAGTCTTCAATAGAGATGATTCTCGGGTGTACAGGAGGTCCTCCATATGTCATTCATGGTCCGCCAGGTACAGGCAAAACCATGACTATAGTGGAAGCGATACTTCAGCTTTATAGAAGCAGGAGAAGTGCTCGGATTCTTGTGTGTGCACCGTCAAACAGTGCAGCAGACCATTTGCTGGATAAGCTTCTCTCCCAGGAGGCTTTTAGTGTTCGTGAGAACGAGATATTTCGCCTGAATGCAACAGCCCGTTCGTTTGATGAGATTAAACAAGATCACATACGGTTTTGTTTTTTTGATGACCATGTCTTCAAGTGTCCTCCATTTGGTGCCCTCTCTCGGTACAGGATCATCATATCGACATATATGAGTGCTAGCCTTCTTTATTCTGAAGGGATTAATCGAGGTCATTTCTCCCACATTTTCTTGGATGAGGCGGGGCAAGCTTCAGAACCAGAGAGCATGATTCCAATTTCCAACCTTTGCCAGAAGGACACGGTTGTTGTTCTGGCTGGAGATCCGATGCAATTGGGTCCGGTGATACTTTCCCGAGATGCTGAATCATTTGGACTTGCCAAGTCATACTTGGAGAGGCTTTTCGAATTTGAATCTTATTTGGAAGAAGATGAAAACTACGTGACGAAGCTTGTTAGGAACTATCGCTGCCATCCTGAGATTCTGTATCTGCCTTCAAAGCTATTCTACAATGGAGAGTTGGTGGCTTGCAAAGATTCTACTGAAAGTTCTACTTCTTTGCTAAAACTGCTGAATTTCATCCCCGGCAATGAGTTTCCTACAATCTTCTTTGGTATTCAAGGGCTTGATGAAAGGGAAGGAAGTAATCCATCATGGTTCAATCGAATTGAAGCAAGCAAGGTAGTTGAGGTGATCAGGAAGCTGACGACTTGTGGAAATCTGAATGAGGGTGACATTGGAGTTATTACCCCTTATAGGCAGCAAGTTACCAAGATAAAGAAGGTCCTGGATGACTTGGACATGACTGACATCAAGGTTGGAAGCGTTGAACAGTTTCAGGGGCAGGAAAAGCAAGTCATTATAGTGTCTACTGTTCGATCGACGATTGTGCACAATGAGTTTGACAAAGTCCACTATTTGGGATTCTTGAGTAATCCAAGGAGGTTCAACGTTGCAATAACCCGTGCTATATCTTTACTTATCCTTATTGGAAACCCACATATCATCAGCAAGGTACTTTCCCTGAATTTTTGGGCCATTCATGAATCATTGACCATAATGTAAGATGCATGGGTGACCTGATTATTTTTTGCTTCTGGGTACATCAACATCCTAAACTTTGGTACTATCTGGTTTTCCCTTGTATAATCTTGACGTGTTAATATGCGGAGAATGCTGTGCCCTTTCGGTTCTAGATATGGTTTAGTTAATCTGGAATGTGCCGAGGTTACAAATGCTGGTAAGTGAAACTATGAATCTATTGTTGCAGGATGAGTACTGGAATATGCTCTTATGGCGCTGCTCAGACCATGAGTCTTACAAAGGCTGTGCTCTTCCAGAAAGGCAGGATCACAGCGATGGGTATGGAGTGCAGGATAATGGTGGTGACTATGGTGAAAGAAACAGCCATCTGGCCTCTGGAGAAGAAGGTGAATGGGGTCAAGACTCATTATCACAGGCTAGTACTCGAGCAGCAGATGTAGGTGCATGGGTTCAAGACTCGTATCAGGCCAATGCTCAAGTTCCTGGGACTGATGAAGCTGAATGGTCCGACGGTTGGAAGTAGTCAAGTAAAATGTGTTCTAATCTATGTTCTTAGGGCAGTAAACTACCTCTAGCTCTACTCAGAATCCTCAGATGTCTTTTTGTCAATTCCCCTAGTAAGTATGCACTCAGTACCATTCACATGGCAAATCACTAGAACTTGTGGAAATTTATTCAGCATTGTCGAGTTGATCCAAAGAATGTCCAGACCTTTATTAGCAAAAGAGTATGTGAAACATACAGATGATGCAAAATTCATTGGCATAGTACTTGTTCAGCCTCATGATATATGCAATGATCAGGAAATGAAACAACAGGAAGTAGTAGCTATGCACTGCAGAGATTACATGTCAACAAAGTGGCACCAAATGTCAAGAAACAGACGGGATAAACTCATCTGGTAGAGCATTAGATGAGTGATAGTAGAATCAGAAGGGCTGCTGCTACCTGGAGAAACCAAGTCTTGCTGGAGCCAACATCTGCAGCCATTGAATAATCCGGTTCTGTTGAACAATCTGTAGCCAGGACTGGAGGAGGACTAGCTGCAGTGGATGATGGAGGGGGACGTTTGCCAGATTGAGCAGGTTGGGCCATTGGTGGAGCAGGTGGCGCCATTGGAGGATGTGTCACATTGTGAAGAACTGCAGGAAATTCGATCAGATTCTACTATTCTATCGTCTGAAGCCAACAATTACTATATAGACACGAAAGAACCATGATCATAAATTTCTTCTGTACCAGATACAATAGGAACTCGAGCAGATTCAGTGGGTGGACTTGACGCAGCAGATGTATCATTATCATAACCTGCAAAAGTATTGTGTAAATTATGATACCCAAAAATAGGCTAATCGGTGAAATCTGTATGCTAAACTCAGAACGTGAATTACTTTACCGGAATCAGATGATCTCGGCGTTCCTAGTGAACCTTGCGAGCTGGGAACAGGTGGCAAAGCTGCACAAAACACGAACAATTCCCCTTCTCTCAATTGTCAAAGATCTAAGGCGGTGAAACGACTGCGTTACTCATGCCGCCATTAACTAGCTTGCGCTCTACTCGGCGTTTCTTCCATGGCGCGAAAATCACAAGATTTCGGGGGCCAATTTCCCCTTTCTAGAAACAACCACGATTTCGTTCCCAGGATCAAGCAATTGCAAATTCAGCTACATCGCTACGCTATTCAGAATCAAGAAATCGCGACTTTAGAAACAGAAATTGCGAATTCAGCTACTGATCCTCAATTCCTCATCGCTAGTTCGCTACGCTATTCAGAATCAAGAACTTGCGAATGGAGCTACTGATCATCGCTACGCTAATTCAGATCCATATCTCCGGTTCAATACTCGATTAAAGAAACGGTTTCCGAGAAACGAACCTGAACAGATCGACTCCAGAGAAGAGTCTAGGTTCGCCACGGCGGCGGAGCTCGCGTTCGCGCGACGCCTGGAGCAGAGAGCAGGGAGGGACGCGATCCTGGTTCGGTTCAACGGGAATCCAAACAGCAGCGGCTGCTTCACCAGGTGACAGTAGCAGTTGCTGCCGCCGGTACCGAACGACTCCAGGACGACGTTGCAGCACTTCGAGGAGAGTCGGTGGCGGACTCTGTTCGGCGGCGCGGAAACGAAGCCGAAGCACGGCGAGAAAGCCACCAGGTCGGTGACGCAGTCATCCGCCAGCGGTGTGGATGGAGGAGTAACCGCGACGGCGGCGTTGGCGGCGAGGAGTAGCAGTGCCGTGATGAGAATCCGCGCAAAGCCGGTAGCCATCTTGAGAGAGAAACACAGAGAGAGAGAGAGAGAGGGGGGGAAATTCTGTTTCTGACTTTCTGGTGAGTAGCGACTCTGACTCTCTGAGTCACTCCGGTTTGTTACTGATGACTGGCCGGCGAGATCTTTTATAGCAATAGCAGAAGGCGGGAAAATCCCAGAAGTTTGTTGGGCCCGAACGCTGCCGTTTTGGGAAGAATTGTCTCTGTTTCTTGCCCAATGTTCGAGAACGCAGAGGAAGAGATCAGAGGACAGAGGCAGCAAAGCAACCTTTTTGTATTAAACCCACTAATCAATCAAAACAGGTAAAATTTTCATTATTCTAATACAACTTAGAACAGGAAATCAAATACATAACAGAGGTTAACACCTTAATTACTAACCAATTTACTTCATTAATCTAATCCTATTTTGTTTTCTCCCTTTTCTTCTTCTAAACACTTACAGTCTTACACCGCCGATTTCCCATCTCTCTCTGTTCCTTCACCGGCGACAATCTTCTTCCAGAACCAGTGATTCTCCCACAGGAGGTAAACCTCCTCGATCGGAACCTGCTTCGTCTCCGGCAACAAGAAGTAGACGAAAGCGCTCATGATCACCACCAACCCACCAAACAGCAAGAAGATCCCGTACTGGAGATGGCACAACGACACCAGGAAGCACTGCGCTATTAGAGCTGTGAACACCATGTTCACGCACACCACCATGCTCTGTCCCGCTGATCTCGTCTCCAATGGGAAGATCTCGCTCGGCACCAGCCACCCGAGCGGTCCCCACGACCTCCCGTAGGCGAGCACGAACAAGCAGATCACTATCACCAGAAATATCCCCAGCCCCTTTGGCAGCATCGCTCCCTGCCCGAATTTTGCCGCCAACGTTGCCGCCACTATTATCTGCAAAACAGAGCATTTGAAGAAAATTTGAACCGAAACAGAGCATTTTCTTAACAAAACAGGGGGAGTTGATAAATTTATCTGCAAAACAGAGCATTTGAAGAAAATTTGAACAGAAACAGAGCATTCTCTCAACAAAACCGGGGAAGTTGATAAATTTATCTGCAAAACAGAGCATTTGAAGAAAGATTGAACAAAAAAAACAGAGCATTTTCTTAACAAAAACAGGGGAAGTTGATAAATTTACATTACCATGTAGCAAATCATTTCGGCGCCAGCCTCAAGGAAGAAAGCTCTCCTTCCAAACTTATCCACGAGCCCCATCGATATGAGAGCGCCGAGGCAGAGCGCGACGCTGGTGATAACAGAGGAGTACAGAGCCGCGGCAGAGCCAAACCCTAGGCTCTGAAACATGACCGGAGCGTAGAACAGGATGGAGTTCATCCCAGTGAGCTGCTGAAACGCCGGGATGCCAATAGCTCCGATGACCAATTGGGGGCGATTCTTTCTCATCATCAAGTTTCGAAACGGATGGGTGACCGCCCTGGCCGCTTCGCTGGCTTCTCTGAGATCGTCGAATTCGGCCCCGACGTTCGTCGTGCCTCTGACCTTTTCGAGCACCTTTCTTCCTTCTTCGTATCTGCCCTGTTCCACGAGGCTGTTGGGAGTTTCCGGGAGGATGATCCCGCCGATGAACATGAGGACCGCAGGGACGGTGGCGAGGCCGAGCGAGAGGCGCCACCCCCATGGATGGAGCCTCTCGGTGCCGTAGTTGATGAGGTTAGCGACTAGGATTCCCAAACAGGTTGTGAGCTGGAAGAGCTGGTTGGCTGCTCCTCGGACCTTGGCCGGCGCCATTTCTGATAAGTAAAGTGGAACTGCCTGGCCGAGTGGGGGAATACAAAAACAAAGTTATGAAGTTGGCAAAGAAGCAAGTAAGTATCAATATGTCAATTTAGCTTACTTGGTTGCCGAATCCGATGCCGAAACCGAGCAGGATTCGGCCGAAGATGAGCATGACTATGTTGACGGCACCGGCGTTGAGGATGGCTCCGAGGAAGAAGCTGATGGAGCCGACGACGATGCTGGCCTTGCGGCCGCGGGTTCTGGTGACATGGGAGGCGGCGAATGTGGATAGGAGAGCGGAGAAGTAGAGGGAGGAAGTGAAGAGGGTGAGGAGCTGGTTGTCATACTTGCAGTAATCGGTCTCGTGGAGATGTGCCTGTTTCCTTGTGTATACGTCGGGGAAGAACTCCTTCAAGAAATCGTCCATGGAAGTCACTCCCCCTTGCACACCAAATGGACACTTTTTCTTTTCAATTTTCATTGGAAAAATATTGAATCCACATTGTTACTTGAACAATTTTGACCACCTACTCAATTTTGTTAACCTTAAAGAGTTTCCAACTTGATTCATCACACATCTTAGTGAGATATTAAGTGAAATATATCATGTTTGTGATTGGTGACACCATTAAGTCACATCTATAATCTTTACCATTAAGTCACACCTATCCGATTCGGAGTCCGATTTCGTATGAGAAATAGAGAACTGGGTATGGTGTATTTCATTCTCTAATTATCTCGATTCAATCATGAAATGCAGATTGATGTTTCAAACAAGAAGGAACAAACATAAAACTCAATACTCAAGCAACAAAAACAGAGGAGAGAGCAGAGTGGCTTGAATTCTCACCGGAGACGCCGAGATCGTAGCCGAACAGGGATCCGCCAAGAGCACCAATGACACAGGTGAAGATGAAATAACCAGTGATTCTGTACTCATAGAGATGAGCCCTCTTGAGATTCTCCCCCGAGTCTCCAAATCCACCACCCGCCATGCCCCTCTGTTTCGGACAACAACACGAACGAATGCAAGAATGGATCTCTTTCTCCTAAGCTCTCGTGGCCTGAGCTGGTAGATTTATTTATCACGGAGTTACGTTGGGTTACAAAAGTGGGAGACGATGACACGAAAGTTTCATGGTCAGTGTTCTGGTAGAGAAGAGGAGGAGAGTGACGGGAGAAAAGAGTGAAAGCTTGTGGCAGTTAGCCATGGGGAGAAATGAAGCAAGATGTGCACTTGTAACTAAGCCACCTGACCAGGATTATTTGCTAAATTTGGCATCACCCAGTGGGAAGCAGATAGAGTTTGACCAGTTTGTCCTTTGTTTTCTCATTTCTTTTAGCCCTTAAAACTCGTGGTAGAAGAAGGTTTGGTTTGGTTACTTTTGTCTGGTTAGCAGTCTCTAACAAGAAGTCATCAGTTCATGCTTAGCTTGAGAAGCGCTCTCTCTGTGTCTACGTTGGCGTTTCGTGGACGAATCAATTCTCTCTTGGTACTTATTTGATGTCGATTTATGATAGAAATTAGAAAATATAATTATTTTGTATCATAAATAGTACGCTAGATTTGATTCTTCAAATTCCAGAAAATTGCAAAGAAAATAAAAATGGGGAAAGGGTAGCTAGCGCTTCACTGGTTCGACACAAAAATTCCATGTCTGTGATTCCATTAACAATGTTCAAGAACTCTTCTTGAGTTTCAGACCCGATTCAGTAACAGATGATAAGCTTGAAATGCGAAAAACAGCAGAAGAATTTGGTGCAAGGATTTCTTGATAGATCCTGCCTCATTGGCCGTCATGAGACGATTAGAAATGGCAGATGGTGGTTCCTCTGAAGGAGGTGGCTCTGTGGTACTGTTTCTTCTTCCATTGTCAGGAGGAGGAGACGGGGGCAGGAAAAATGGCCTAGGAAGTTTACGATGAGGAGTCTCAGTTGACCTGTTTGCCTGAAATGGAACAACAGCTGCACAGAATGTATGGAAAATGTTGATCAGTTAAACAATGTGACCAAAACCCAGAAGAAGCGAGTTCAAAAGGTAGGAATTTTTTTTATTACCACCGCAGTGATTCAGTGAAGGGACTTTGATGAGACAGTTCGAGAGCTTCAAAGAGAGTGCTGAAGCCAAGAGAGGTGGGGTTGAGGAACCCAGCAGCAAGCACAAGCAGTCGAACCCTGATTTCACAGCTTTGTTGAGGACTTTGCAGCACGAATCCTCGATGGAGAAGGGGACATTCGAGAGCCTGAAACATGGAGCCAGGTCCATTTCCTGGATCGAGCAGTCTTTGTTATGCTTACACATTACTGTTGGAGTTACAAGGCAGACCACTGTTGTAACAACCAGCAGATGGAAAATAGTAGCCATTTTGTTACTGCTAGAATCCAGAAGATGAAAGACCAAGCAATCAAGGCAAAAATTAGCTCTGTGATATGATCCAAATAGTCTAGAAATTCTTTTGAACTTTTCTGTTTTGAACATGAGTACTGGTTTTGTTAAAGGGAGGAGGGTTTTGGTAGATTAGGACATGGGTCATACATGTACTGTTGAGTCATGAAGAAAGTATGAAATATGGTACCATGCACCACCAGAATTTGATTTCCTTTTTGAATTTTGTGATGGTGGAAAGTTGAATTGTGATTTGCATGACATTCTGAGTATCTTAATGGACACTTGAAATTTCTCCATTCTTGGTCACCTAACTTATATTCTGGTTGGAAGGAGTAGGTCAACAATTAGCATCCATAAAAAAGAGTTAGATAGTTCTTCTTATGCAATTAGCAGAAGATAAATAAGGAATTCAATGAAGTTCAATATTATTATAAATCCATCAAATATATGTTACATCAATAAATTATCACTATGCTTCATGGACAATCAATCCTCTGCCCGAATACAATACACCAGAAACAGAACCCACAAAAGAATACTTCCCATATGAAAATGAAAACAAAAGCCAAACTCAAAAGCAATGATGGGACAAACAATGAAATTGGAGCAGGCTCTAGCTTAGTAGAACTTGCAGAGTACAAATCCCAGTGCTAGCACCACCAGAGATGGAGAGAAGCTGTAAGATGCTGCTGCTGCTGATGTGTTGATGGTCGGCGTGCTTCCAGTTGTTGACGATGGAGGAGTCAGGTCAGGTGTTGTATTTCCTGACTCTGGTGAAGGAGTCTCAGGAACAACCGAACCTGAAAAGAAGAGAGAAAACTCCTAGCTAATTAGCATCATATCAACACAACTTCAATAGTTAGGATGTGAATGCACAAGTTTTTGTCTCTCACTTGTTGGAGTGTCAGATGGAGAAACAGGAGCCAGAGACGGTGCTGAGCCTGGAGCAGGAACTGGAGCACCAGCAGCAGCTGCATACAAGAAAATCATTAGAATTTCCCGTTCTCTGCTAGAACTCAGATTTAATCTACAGGCGAAAATTCGATTGAAATGTGTCGAAAAGAGTGGCAAACCTTTGCATTGGAGAGGGACACCTGGCATGTTGCAGGCTCGGGGGAGGGAGATGGCTAAGGTTCTGTTGATGGGAATCTGGAAAGGAACACTTCCAGTGACCACAAGGCACATGCAGTCCAAGCTGGTTCCGGTGAGGTTCTTGAGCGTATCGCAGCAGCCTGCTGTCGGCGAGGAGCCGGTGCCCGAGCTGTTTGTGAGGAAGCTCATGCAAGGGGCGAGGGCCGCGATGGCTGTGGATGAGCACGAGGTGGTGATCTGGCCATGGGCGGGTGGTGTCAAGAGGGCTAAGGATGCCAACATGGAAATGAGAAGCAGAAGGGAAGTGGGCTTGAAAGATGCCATTGGGGTTTTGTTGGAAAGGGGAAAAGAGGGGTTTTGGAAGGTGATTAGGGTTTGTTTAGTGTGTGATTGGATTGGATTGGAAGGGGAAGAATGGGGGCATTTATAGATTGGGAGTGGTTTCTTGTGGAAGGGGGAAACCGGAGGGAAAGGAGGATGAGGACAGTGGGATTTGGTGTTTGAAGCTCAACTACCTTAACTAACTTGTTTGTTGAACGAGGGAAGAAGGATATGGAAGTGGGCCATGTGGCATTTTCTGTAGACCAGTTGTTTTAGTTGTCGTCAAGGTTGTCAACCCGTGGGTCGACTCACTTTAATTCTGACCTGGTGAGAAAAATGGGTCACATGCATCCGTCGGGTCGACCGCTACAAGGTATCGGGTTAGAGGTCAAATTATGTCATTTTTTTCTTTGGTTTGCGAAATGTGCCTATTTTCCGATTTTTCTTTTCGCCTAACTCAATCTTTGGAATCCTTAATTGAACATTTGAGTATTGATGTTACATAAGTGTGTGTGAATTTTCACTATATGTTGGATATAAGTACGACATGTTACTTTGGAGCAATATTACATGTTATTACTCATATGTTAGATGAGATTTGATATAATTTATCAAGATAAGTACAATATAATGACTCTTTCCATATTTCCGGGCTAAAACTGGTGACCCGGTAACCTTGACCCACTAGCTCGACGGAGTCTGGGTCAACCCGCGGTTGACAACCTTGGTTGTCGTCAATTTCTCCTCTAATTATTGGGTTTGGGCCTTCTTGTCCGTTTCATTTAACAAGCCCACAAGTTATTGGTGTTAGAAATTTCATATAAAAATTACCATCATTGATATCCTTAAAGAACTTTAAGGGTTAATTGCATGGTTGGTCACTGAGATTACAAAAAACGTTCAAGTTTGGTCACTCGAAATATTTAAATCCATTGGTGGTACGTCAGTTTACTGAAACCGTTCACGTTTGGTCACTCTCCGTCCAACTCCGTTACCTTTTGCTGATGTGACAGTCAAACTCTCAAAGTTGACCGTTAACTTAGTGACGTGGCAACTAAAAAATTATTAAAAATAAAAAAAATAATCTTTTATATTTTCCACCTCATTATTACATTCATTAAAAAATAAAAAAATAAAAAACCAACGATTCCTATTGGCAGAACTTCACTCCTGCCCAGTGAGCCCGGGGAAACCCTCCCGCGGCGGCTCCGATGCTTCCTCCGCCTCCTTCGCCCACCAATCTAGATGATGGGCCACCATTTCCGTACCCTCCATCGGGAAAAACTGCCGAGTCACTGGCCCAGGGCTCATCATCTCCAAATCCTCTTCCTCTTCTCCTTCCACCTCCTCCTCCGCCACGGAGAACCCGAAAACCTTGTAGATGTTCGAGAGGCTTGTGGCCGGGGACAAGAGGTTCGAGGTCGTCGTCCCTAACGCTGCTACACTTGTAATATCCCCTGTTTTGGAGAAAGAAACAGAGTTGAATTAGCGATAGAGTTTTTGTCCATTGAATGCTTCCCCAAACGATTATTGACGTGACTCCAAATAAGAGACAACAGAAAGGGAAAATACAGCGATTCAGTTCAATTCATTACCTTGGGTGTGGCGAGCCTTTGATTGACTTTTACCCGTATTTCCTCCACGAGTACACGTCCGACGGGATGTCAGCCATCTTGCTGCTGTTTGCCGGAACGCTCACCACTCTTTTCATTATTGATTTCCTGCAAACAATATTTCGAATCAGATTCAACAACCCCATGAAATTAACTCGAAAATTAATGTTTAAGATTTGTTGGAACTGGAAAAAAGGGCGAACCTTTTCTTGGAGCAATGGCAGCGGTCGGAGGAGTATCCGCTTTTAAGGCCGGCGGAGTCGTCCATGGAGTTGCACTTTCTCTTCAGGGAGGAAGAAGACAAAGGAGGCTTCCCGTGAGAGGGATGAGTGAACTGAAACCCGGAAGACGACATAGATCTCTGCATACTGTTCGTATCCCCTGTTACCAAAGAAATGAAAGAGGTAGCGGCGGAGATTGAAAGTGAATTCGAGAAATTGATGGTGGAAGAAGGCACTGATTCCCGTATTACAAGAGGGTTTGTAGAAGAAGGCACTGATTCGGAGCCGCCGCGGGAGGGTTTCCCCGGGCTCACTGGCCAGGAGTGAAGTTCTGCCAATCAGAATCGTTGGTTTTTTATTTTTTAATGAATGTAATAATGAGGTGGAAAATATATAACTTTATTTTTTTATTTTTAATAATTTTTTAGTTGCCACGTAACTAAGTTAACTGTCAACTTTGAGAGTTTGACTGTCACATCAGCAAAAGTTAATGGAGTTGGACGGAGAGTGACCAAACATGAACGGCTTCAGTAAACTGAAGTACCACCAATGGATTTAAATATTTCGAGTGACCAAACTTGAACGTTTTTTGTAATCTCAGTGACCAACCATGCAATTAACCCCCAACTTTAATCTAGACAATTTATGATGAGACCTGTGCGATCTTTGACCTATTTGGGGCGAAAATTATCTGACTCGAAATCGCGTGGGAGGTATGTGATTACTACTTCGCATGTATCCCACCCTATCCATCTTGATCTCAACTCGTTCTATCATGATTCACATTAATATATATTTTTATTAAGACTAATTCAACTCGTTCTATCCACCCTGATCTCTAATTAATTTATGAACTGTTTTCTTTGTCTTCTCGTAAAAAATAAATATAGACATTCTTTTCTTCAAATAATATATAAGAATACATCGACCCGCTCCATACTTATACGGGTATTACCTGATCTGTCTCGGGCTTAGTGCAAGATGGAATATAATTGATACAAAGAAATATGGTTGAACAACATACTCCGAGGTTATCCCTAGAAAATGACATGCTTCGCAGTGAGCTGCAAATTTCTTCTAACAAACAAATTTAATATTCTGTTATGTTGAATTTGAAGAGATAGTCTTATGTATTAGTATACTGAACGAACGCCATTGCCTTGACATCTGATTACTGGTTACTAACTTCACTTGCACACCTAAAAAGCAACGTGTTCACCCACATTACCACGCAACAATGCTCTTTAATAATGTTTGGAACTTCCTTGCAAGAGAATTAGAAGCTACAAGCTAGCTAGGAGAACAAAAATGCATTTGGGTTCCAACTTCACCTGCTATTACCCATAACTTGGTACCATATCATTATGATGGTGGCAAACGAGACTGCTGACTGGATCGTTGACTTAATTTCATGTCAATTAAAAAAATTACAAAAAATAAATAATTAACCCAATTATGAGAGCTCCTCATCAGGATTATGTCTTCCGAAATCCGAGTCATTGTAGGCTTTGAGTTGCAGAGGTAATGAGGAAGGGAAGAACAAACTTGGTGTAGGAACGGATTTGAGATAATTTAGGATTTCGAGTACAACCTTCTAACCTCGTTGACTAGGATTCTACATGTATTGACTCACTTGTTGAGTGGTATAACTTATGTCAAGTCAAGTAGTAGTGACTAGTGAGGTAGACATGTTTTCATGCCCGTATAATATAAGCTCAGGATATGCATTATAAATAAATAAATATATATATGCTCGGGATATGGAAATGGATAATCATGAAAAGATGTAACTTGTAGTCCATAGTGTTGAGAGTGGTTAATAATGTAATAAGTCTGGTTCAACAATACTTTCCCATGTATATTTCTTTGAGAAAGATGCATGTGCTCCTTTCCACTTCAATCTCTAAGAAATTATTCGGATTTTCCATGTCTTCGATTTTGAATGTTTTGATAACTTTTTAATTTTTTGAATTTTGGTTCACATTTTATATTAGAATTTTTTTCATAATTTTACATGATCTCTTATATTAAAAAAATACTTTTAATAGTTTTCAACCAAATACTCTAACTTCTTTTTTGTGAAAAATACTTTCCTTAAAGGCCAAGACAGAAGCTACTTCTTCAATAGATGTTGTATTTTACGTAACAATTGTAGAATAGTATGGTCGTACGTATTTTATCCGTTTAAAATTTTCGCAATAGATGTTATGTTTACGGGTGGCTACTTCGATGCACTCACTTTTTTGGTGCACTCAGTGCACCCAACTCTAAAAGTGTCCATAATACATCAAATTTTAAACTTTAATTAGTACAATTAATCTAATATGACGATATGACATAGAATCATAACAAATCAATCTATTACCCTAACCCCTTAACCTTCAATTTTGAATCCCAACCCAAAATCCCAAATTGTAAACCTAAACCCTAACCCTAAAATCCCTAAATCCTAAATCCTAAATCCTTCGAATTAAAGTAAATTTTGAATGAACTTTATTCAAATTCATGTGCTTCTTGTTCATAGTATCATAATCAACAATTGATACCGTTTTGGCATGAATCGCATGCTCATAATGACAATTATGAAGAGGATGCACTGAGTGCACCCGAAAATGTGGGTGCACCGAATACGCCACCTATGTTTACGTAACAATTATAGAATAGTATTATGTAAGACTTTTGCAATAGATGTTATTTTTCCGTAAATACTCCGTTTAATACACGTATATATGACCGTAGGTATTTTATCCGTTTAAAACTTTCATATCCGTATTATTGTCAAGTCGTTTCATTTTCTCTCGTTCATTTGATGAATCCTATACTAAACACATATATAACCCATATAACACGTTTAATATATGTATTTAATTAATTAAATTGCTAACTTAACTATTATTTATACATTAATATATTTCTAGAATAATTAAAATTATATATTTCATAAATATTGATGTACCATTAAACATACCTTTAATTTAGTGACAAAGTAAAATACATGTGCGTATTTTATACATAACTTATTCATACCATATTTTACTAACTATATTGAGTACGTATTAAGTTACATAAAGTGCAACGACATAATGAAAGTCTTACGTAACAAGATTCTACAATTATTACGTAAGACTAACAACGTTCATAATCCTATACTAAACACATATATAACTCATATAACACGTTTAATATATGTATTTAATTAATTAAATTGCTAACTTAAATATTATTTATACATTAATATATTTTTAAAATAATTAAATTATATATTTTATAAATATCGATGTACCATTAAGGATACCGTTAATTTGGAGACGAAGTAAAATACATGTGCATATTTTATACATAACTTATTCTTACCATATTTTACTAACTATATTGAGTACGTATTAAGTTACATAAAATGCAACGACATAATGAAAGTCTTACGTAACAAGATTCTACAGTTATTACGTAAGACTAACAACGTTCATAATCGTTACGTAATAACTATTAGATTTTACGTAATCCCGCCTACAATTCCCTTAAATTCAATTATTGAAAGACATCGGTCTGTCTTCCTGCCTACGTGAGCGATGAGGCTGATCGTCGGAATAATCCACAAGCTACACAAGGGCCGGCAACCTCTCCCCAGATTTCCAACACAGAAAAACACCACCTGGCATTCACCCATGCAATGCAAAGTCTGCCTCTACGACAATTTCAACAAAATAGCCCACAAATGGATTTCTTTGTAGCAATTACCAAAGTCGCATCTTTGGACCGTTCCCGGTGTTCATATCCTCCCTGGCCGCGACAAATAATTTTCAACCTCCCGCTGACTCCTTCTTCCGCCATACCTCCCTATATATCCACCACCACTCTATCAAAACTTTATTCCAAACTTCTCTGCAACAATCTCCAACACATAACAATGGCTGCCACTAGAAACGCAGCAGCATTGAGCATGGCCATCTTGCTGCTCACCGTGCAGCTTCTATGGGCCGGTGGATCGATGGCCCAGTCGTCAGACTGCACGCCCTTGCTCCTCGGTCTGCAGCCTTGCCTCCCTTACATCACCGGCAACACCTCTACTCCGGCAAAGACTTGCTGCACCCAGCTGGCCAATGTCGTCAAGGTATCGCCCACGTGCTTGTGCCAGCTCCTCGATGGCTCGTTCGGCGTCTCTGGTATCAACCGGACGCGGGCTCTGGAGTTGCCTGCTGCCTGTAACGTCCAGACTCCGCCTGCAAGCACCTGCAATTGTAAGAAGCTAAGCTTGAGTGTCGAGAACCAATTGATCCCAATAATTCGAGTTACTGCGAGAGATTCAATAATAGATCTTACCTCGCTTTTTCTGATTAATTAATTTATTATCCGGTGAATTTCACACTTGAAAACATTGGTTTTTTTCTCTCCTGACTTTGAACAATGAACTACTGCCCTTCCCTGCAGCTGCTTCCCCAAGTGCGTCCCCTGGAGGGATTCCATTACCAGCCACTCCGAGTTCTCCTGCAGGTAGGCAGTGATGCTTTTCCTCCCCAACTGCAAGTGAATGTTCTTCTCCCCTTCTTTGAGGTTAACTCTTTGATCCTTTGGAATGGAATTGTATGCAGAAGGATCAGCAGGTGTGCCTGGAACTGGGAGCTCGGATGGGAGCTCAATCAAGGTGTCAGCTTCTCTGCTGCTCTTCTCCTTCTTCTTCATCGCGGCAGCCTCGTGTTGTTCTTCTGGATCCATGAGATACTGATGTTCTTCCAGATGACCAGAAGGCTTTCAGCCATCACTACATTATCAATATATTAACTCTGTTTCTGAACCATGAGCGAGATTAGAAGTGTTCAATATAAATGAGAAAGCTGAATCCGGCAATGGTTACTTATTTCGTCTCCGCTACCATTAGCAACATGCGGTGTCTCTTTGCTTTATCAAGCGACCAAAATTTGATTAAGTATGAATGACTAACCTGTGAAGTGGTGAATTCTCGTCTTCATTGATATCGTCTCTGTGCTAAGACACAAGCGTTCTAGATTGCTCAATTACAAGAAATAAGGTCGGTGTGTAATTTTGATAAATAGTGTCCATCAAACAGTTGGTAAAAATACTGTCAAATAAAAAATAAAAAAACAGTTGGTATAAATGCATAAGAAGAATACACGGCTGCCAAAATAAACACTTCCCCCGTCCTGATGATTTTCAACCTCACCTCATAGCCGCTGACTCGTTCTTCCGCCATTAACTCCCTCCCTATATATAACCCTTTTAAAACCCCCAACCAACAAACATTCCCCTATGATCCAGTTTTCACCACTCCACAAAAAAAAAAAAAAAAAATCACTTTCTTCCAAATTCTCTGGAAACTCTGTAACAATGGCTGCCACAAGAACCGGAGCATTGAATATGGGCATCGTGTTTCTTACCATGCAGCTTCTATGGCCTGGTGGCTCCAGGGCTCAGTCGCCAGACTGCTCGACCGCGCTCACCACCTTGACCCCCTGCCTCCCATATATCACCGACAAATCCTCCACCCCCGAGGAGAATTGCTGCACCAAGCTGAAAGATGTTGTCAGCTCATCGCCGCTATGCTTGTGCCAGGTCGTCGATGGCTCGTTTGGCGTCTCTGGTATCAACCGGACACGAGCTATGGAGCTGCCTGCTGCTTGTAATCTGCAAACTCCACCTGCGAGCAGATGCAATGGTAAGAAACCGAGCTTGGCCTTTCCTCTCTTCATTGAACACTTGAAAAACGGTTTGCTAACTTTGAACAATAACCTTCTGTCTGCAGCTACTTCCCCTTCGGGAAGCCCCCTAACAGCCACTCCCAGTTCTCCAGGTAGGCAGAGATGCTTTTCCCCCAACTGCAAGTGTATGTTCTTTTCCCCTTCTCTCAGCTAACTCTTTCTTCCTTTGGAATGAATTGTTTGCAGAAGTATCAGGGAGTGTGCCCGCAACTGCTAGCTCAGATGGGAGCTCAATCAAGGCGTCATCGTCTTTGCTGCTCCTCTTCTTCTTCATCATTACAGCATCATATTGCTCTTCTGCTTCCATGATATACTAATGGTCTCCCTGATCAGACAGCTTTCAGCCATTACATGTATTACCATATAACACTAGCCATCAACTAGATTCAATTTTCTCCAATATCTCAAACTAATAACATTCATTGATGACCATATATTTTATGTGTTCAATTCATGCAAATGGTAACAGAAATTGATCATGACGATACAGAGTTTTTTTTGTCACGTCAAACATGCATGCCATAGGTCATGGTGTGAATTATCATTGCACTAACATGAAATATGCATATACCATCGGTCATGGTGTGAATTATGAATTACATTAACATAAATTGAACATGAAATATGCATGCCGTTCGTCATGGTGTGAATGATCAACAAGTTAACATAATGTTAGGAATGAACGACAATGATTGTTCCCAAACGTTTACTCATCCAATTCCGTCACTTTCACTCCATTGATTCTCAACCCTGTAAGCATGTCGAGCATACATACAAACGGCAAGCCGTCACCAGAGTACTTCATCGGAGTCAAATCGATCAAGATCAATGGCAAAGCAATTCTATTGAATAAAAGCTATGTTATCCCTAAACAAAAATGGTCATGGACGGACTAAAATTAACACAAGTTATTACCCATACACAGCTCTGCACACTTCAATATACAATTCCTTGGTCAAGGAGTTCACGAAATGGATATGATCACAGGGCATGAAAAGGGTCGGAGCCGTGGTACCGTTTGAGCCTTGAGGCATGATTTAACTCCACGGGCATTTTCAGCACCCGGGTCGAGGCAAGTGTCCCTGTGATCACCCTTGCATTGAAGGACAGTAAGCTTTTTGGAGCATGTTTGGATCGAACTCGACGGTTAAAGCGAAGAAGAGTGTACCAGTTGGAGAATGTCCTGTTGCAGTTTAATGTTGCTGGGAAAAGGTTAGGGTCCGATCCTACACTTTTGGGTGATCGCACTAGTTGTGCCCACTTCTTCAACTTTACCTCCAAAGCGTAGTGACTAAAGGGTACTATATGTTATCCCCGCGCCATGGCTTGATAGACATCCACCGCATCTCCAGTTAAAGGGATAAATAAGAATCAAATAACAGATATGCATAGCTTGATGAGCATGGTCAATCTTTTCTATAAATTTAGAGGATTGTATTATGTTTTGCTGGATTTGTACAGGCAGAGCCACGGGTTGGGAGCAGGGGATGCCATTCTCGGAAATCCCCTGTTTTTTAGTCTTATTAGTTACGGACAAATTCTTAACTCTATAGACACAGCCAGCCAGCCACAATGGTGTCGTGTGGCCTATCAGGCTGCCATTGCCATACCTCAACTTGCAAACCGATCCAGCAACCCTATGCAGGAATGATTTGATTCTCTCTGACCCTTCCGCATTAAACATGATTCCCCATGTTTCCAGCTTGTTGACCACATGATCCCAAGTCTCAATAACCAAAGTGGTTGTTAACGGGAATAAAACATGTGGAAAAAGTAGTAATGCATATTGTTTAGTATCAACTTGGTATATCTTAATGGTTGAGATGTGTGCCTACAAGCTGGCATCTCCATGGAAACCCCAATATAAATACACACTAGTTCGGAAAGCCCGCGCTGCGCGGCGGGTTGCAAAATTAACATCTTGCGATCTGAATAAATAACCAATAACAATTTGGAGAGAATTCAGTATAGCATCTGACTGTGGAAGGGCAAAATGCACTAATAAATGGAACAGAAGGGCTGTTTTTAACCTGCTTATAAAGTAATAACTAAAATACTCATATCCTATACATACAGGAAGCATCCACTCGTAGCAAGACCCAACTAAATTCACAACCCAAGAAAATTATCCCAAGAATTGAAAAAATAAAAAGATTTACATCAGTATTTAACACAGACCCAAAATGTACAATTATCATGTGAAGGAAATTTTATCAGTAAGGCATTGAAAGAAGACCATATAGATAGCATGCAATGAAGAACATTTGAAAGAACTTTAGTAGATAGCGACAGAGCAAACAACTGCTGAATTTTTTATAGCTCTAATAGGAAGTAGAGAAGGGGGGAGAGATCTCAATGAATCTGCCTTTGATATGCACCTTCAAATCCCTCAATATAACCCGTTTACTCAATAGGCTCATATCTATAAAAAATCTGGAGGGCGACAAAACTTGAACCGCGATATCAATGAAGGAATCATCTAATTCAATGAATAAGGAAAACAAAGTCAATGAAAAATGTTAGGCCATTCATCTTATGAACCCAGAAACACATGATTTCTGGGCTGTGAAGTGCGAACAACTACAGTCAGAAAAACTTGATAGAATTTTTAAAAAGATAGTAAAACAAAATAAAACACCCAAAAGCATTAAAAGGAGTACAAATACTTGTATTTTCTCTTTCTCACAACCAAAGAACATCATGAAACTCAAAATTAGAGGCAACTAAACATAAAGGAAACAAATAGATGAAACCAAGAGATTGATAGTGTCCCAATGATTGTGTTACACAATAGTTTGAGAAATAAGATCTCAAAAGGGATGGAAATTAAGAGAGATTGGAGTGACTCTTAACCTGATACCAAACACGGAATTAATTAACTGGGAATTCACAGGAAGGTAGGATTAGATGTTGAGCTAAGCGACTCAGTTCATTACCAAGAAAATGAATTGGGCTGTAATTCATGACACAAGTTAACTCAATTTCAAAACAGAACATGAGATTAGTATTGAGCTGTAGAGAACCTTAGTGTTCCTTCTTATTTCATACCTAGCAATGATCGAGAGTGAATCTGGGAGATACGTCCTTCCACAAGCTACTGAAATATCACAGAAGAAAGGGGTAGCAGTAAAGAAAAAGGAAAGCAAATCAAATAACTTATGTTTGTAAGAGTATCACACCAATTACATATAAAGTTACTCAGTTTCACTATGATAGGTTACAGTCAAGGTCTCAGACACCATGGTGTGGAAGTGTTCTTCCCTAAAATCATGAAAAAGCGTAGATTTCAGCTATGAGCATTGAATCCTCTACCCTTGAATAAAAAATCAAACCATACATTGTTCATAAGGCATGAAAGGACTTTGAAAGTGTAGCTTTTACAGGAACAACGGTAAGAATATTCTAAAGAACTCTGTAATCAAATCCTCTGTGACATTTCCAGACTTCTTGCGAAGAAGACTTCATCTTTGAGCATGGAAAAGAACATAATTGAATCCAAACATTTAAAATAAGAACACCGCAATGAGAACACAAAACTATAAGTCTGATTTGCATACCGAACATAAAGATTTGTTCTTGATGATACATCAATGATCCTTGTTTTGGAGAAGAGAACCCGAGAGCAAAAAAAAAAGGGTAGAAAGGACGTGCAGATTCAGCAGCGAACACATACATTAAGAATGACGGTAATGGGTCGCCAACAACATCAGTAAGTTTCCAAAATGGCTATATTCATCCATTCAATAACAGTTTGTAGGCTATCGAATTCAATCAATTAATAGGATTACTTTTCTGTTTGTTTACATGTAGATAAAATGGGGTGGATGACTTCTACTCAACACAGTAAAAGCAAAGAAGGCTGTTTGGAAAGTAGGGGCACCCTTTGTTCTAAAAAAGGATACAAAACCACAATTGAAGCTTCAGAAAAAAGTGAACAAACCATTTTGAGGAAGGAAGGAAGAGAAAGAACTTAGCTACTGAAAATACGAAAGTAAACTAAACGGGAAGAGATAACAATAACCTCGATCGAAAATGCAGTTTGGTGGGTCTGCTTGTTCTCATTACTCACTCTAAACTCTGAAATATAGAAAAAAACTTAACTCGCCGATGTGGAACTCGTGGACCTGGGTCCTCTCAGAATCCTCTATGTTAGGTTGCAGCACCCGACACCTGTTCGGTTGGAGCTCCTCTTACCTCCTAAACCAAGATGGAAGAAACCAACACAGACAGGAGTTAGAGGGAAAAGCCAAATGAATTGAGTGAAATGAAAAAACAATGGAGACCATATACTTCAGAATAACAAAGAAAGACAAAATAGAAGACCCATCTTTATTGAAGGTTGAAGAAAGCAGAGGAATATCAACCATATATGATAACAACCATATATGATAACAACCACTATTTGGGCAACATACCGGCTGGGGAGCTGACTGAGGGTTGTTTTTTTTGTTGCATTCCTGCAAGGCTTCCCATCGAACTCAGAATCCTAACCTGGAACTAACAAATACAGATCCAATTATAAGGGATGAACAATTGATTCACCATTGTAATCATCATAAGCTAGATAGGATAAATTATATAAACTCTGAAAACGAAGAATGAAAATCAAGAAGAGATCAGAAACCGCCTTTAGACCCATACCTGTTCGAGATTCTCAGAAAGGAGTCAAACCGGTTATTCCGGTATGCCGGTTTTATAAGTGGAATGGTCTGACCGTGGTACAACCAGTATTCATGCCGGTTGTGCCGGTTTTAATAAAATACATGAGGAAAATGAAAATCCTCAATTCCAAATAAATTATTCATAAAAAAGCAATTAGAAGAATTATTTCACACAAAATAATTTATAGCTAAGAATTGGTAACTAATACTAAACAATTAGATGCTTAAAAATAAAATTTTATTAATGTTTATAATGATTTGGGTAAAATTTAGTATTAGATATATAACATATAAGGTTAATATAGACAACAAAATTGCTTGTAGCCTACTGGTATACAAGTTATGCTAAAATGAACAAGAGGTCCTTGGTTCAAATCCTATGGAAGATGTTTATTTTTGGATATAATATGAGTAACATTAAATTCCGGTTTCTGGTCTAACCAGCCGGAATGTCCGGATTTGAGCGGATCTGACCGGCATTGACTGGATTTGACCACAGTTAAATACCGGCCCCTTTTCAGCCGGTTTGCTGACCGGTACCGGTTGAACCCGGTTGAACCAGCCGGCATGAAACCGGTTTGACAACCATGGAAAAAATCTTCTTGTTCCATCGCCTACTGTTCAAGCACCACTTCCGCCACTGCCGGCACCTACAAAAGACGATTCCAATCATAATCAACAAAAACCCAGGAATATCCCCGCCACCCACGGCCGCCGAAGACCACGCACAGATCCAATTATAAGGGATGAACAATTGATTCACCATTGTAATCATCATAAGCTAGATAGGATAAATTATATAAACTCTGAAAACAAAGAATGAAAATCAAGAAGAGATCAGAAACAGCCTTTAGCCCATACCTGTTCGAGATTCTCAGAAAAGGAAAAAAAATCTTCTTGTTCCGTCACCTAGTGTTCAAGCACCGCTTCTGCCGTTGCCGGCACCTACAAAAGATGATTCCAATCATAACCAACAAAAACCCAGGAATATCCCCATCACCCACGGCCGCCGAAGACCACACCCTGGTTCCTCTGCTCACTCTTCTTCTTCTTCCTCCTATTCCAACGAAGAAAATGGAGAGATTGAGATAGAGTGGTGGATGGGCGGGTACAGTAAAGAGATGAATATGAGTGGATGGGAGCAAAATTAGGAGAGAGAAGCAGGAAAAAAGTTCCATTTAGGTCATCAAAATTTTGTAATGTCACCAACAAGTCACCCCTTTGGATGAGACACTAAGAAACAGTAAACTTTTGACATGTCTTATGGTAGATAGAATATGCTCAGGATTAATAATTGAGGTACTGTTCTCAGGAGTGTGAGCTAATTGTGTTTTTGAATCATGTACGAGATTAGAAGTTCCCATATTTATACGAGGAAGCTAATTCAGTATTTCTACTCCGCCAACATGAGCATATACTGCAGTTTGATAATTTGCTGTTTCTTGCTTGTTAAGCGACTGAAATGCTACTTAAAGTATGACTGATTAACCTGCGAAGTGGTGAATTACTATCTTGTTGTGCTAAAGATAAAAGCCTACAATAAAAGGAGAGAAGATAAAACAGATCCCACCAGTTAGTTAGCAATATGATCAACCTATCTACCACCACAAGCAACCTTGGTAAAGAAGGGAAAACAAGGAGATGGAGTAAGGAACCCACCTCTAGCAATGCAACCAAGTGATTGCCGTTGGAAGAGATTGATAAAAACAATGACATCTCTCCTCGATGACAAATCCACATGACAGGAGGCAGCTTCTGAAATCGTCTCTGTTCTAAATAAGAATGAAAGCGAATATTTCAATCAATGTGCTGAGACATATAGTTCCAGATTGCTCAAAAACATGAAATCAGATCAGTGTCTAACTTTGCTAAGTAGGGAAAATCACACAAAGTTGGTAAAAAGACAACAATTGTAGCTGAAGTGAAGAGGACTTGGCTGCACTGTGTCCCAGTAAACAAGTACTGTAGAATTCAGATTACCTTGTGATGGCATGAATCTTGACTTCATAGTTCAAATGGCAAGTAGAGACTACATACCGTTCGCGAATTCAACAAGGAAATTAACCAACATTCTAACCAACAATTGTAGGGCTATGTATCTAACTAGAAGTGTCCCCATACAGTTAGATCGAGGATCACTCTACCCCATGATAAATAAACTCGGCCTCAAGTTAGATTAAACATTGTATGCACCAATCGCTTCTAACGATTTTTTCCGATGAAGTAGCCGCTGCCTCATAATCATAGCATTTCACTAATGTCAAGCCAATCCTTATGTGCCTGGAGCTTCCACGCAGTTAGGGATCCAAACATCACAGATGGGGAAAAGAGTTGCCCCAAAGGATAACTTGAGAAAAAAGCTCTAGTGAGTATACACTGCAAACCAATTCATGTGTTCAAACGCAAAGCACCATGGATTTTACTCTACTGTGATCTGTTCCTGAAGCGACACTACGAGCCAATGTCTCATGCAACTTTATATTCAGGCATAAATATGGGCACAGGATCCACCCCCACAATGCACGCCTCAAAAAAGCATCAATTGCATTCCGACAATCGTAAATGGGGAAAACTACAGCTAGTAATCACCGGAGCTCACACATATCTCGATTACTATATGTTTTACACAACAAATATGCGATCATGCGAACTTTCAGCATTGATGCACCTTTTTCGAGAATGTGAGATTGAATGCAGGAATTCTTCCATTCTGTCCCACACCTCCAATGCAGCTGCCCTGTTCTGATGCCTCTAGTTCTTACTAATCTGCAAGTTCAATTTTTTTACAATGCCATTGTCAAGCCACAATGTAGAAGTAAACAGAGATGCTTTGAACGAAGAACAGCTCACCGAGTTAATCTTTACATTCCACTATTAAACCGTTTTTGCAGACTCTATGTTGTCATCTTACAATCGCGTGAAGAGACCAATAACTACTTTACCAATAATAAGCACAACAAGGTTAGCCAAAATCTGTACCTGATCCTTGTAAGGCCAATCCTTGAACTGCCATTCCTTCCTCAACACAAAAACCGCCACAACCCGGTCCCAATCATCAGACTTTAGGGCAGAAGGTTTATCCCTAACCTCATAAGCAGTCATCACCTTGCTCCTATCAGTACTAAACTTCTTTTGCACAGTCAAGCTGGCTTCGCCCCTTTCATTTGCTTCACCTTCACATCCGGAGGTATGTACACCCCATCCTCCAGAAACTCTTTCACATTGTAAATCGTTATCAAAGTCTGGAACGCACTCCTTCCCCAATTTTTCCCTCTTAGTTTCGGCTTCATCTCTGAATTGTAACCACCTCATATCGTCGCCATAGCCAGCCCCTTGTCATCAATCAATCTGCTCTTCACGACCTAGATTTCTAGCCGAATTAGGGTTTTGCTTTTGCGGCAGCAGGTATGATGGAGGGAAAACGATGGCATCGGAATGGGTGATTACCCCCTTCAATTAGTCGAGAAGCGGCCTCCGGTCGTAGGAAACGCCATGTGCGTGGCAGCTCCGGAGATAGTCGGTGTGTTTAAGATTCGCGCACTGAAGTAAATGGACCAGCGTTTCAAGGGTTGCTTGGTTTAGAGCTCTCTGTAGGGTTGAATATGCCGCCGGCGACAATGTTGGGAGGTTGATAACGGAGTTGCCGTCACGCTGAGCTAACCGGCGCTATTTGGAACCGAAGGGGAGAATCGGAGGAGAAAAAATGTATGATTTTATAAATAGCGAGACAGTGATCCCCCAGGGGAGAAAACAGAGCATCTTACAAACTGCAATTCTCAACGTCGCTACACAAAATGCTGAACAACACCATATCCCGACTCCTACCCTTGAACACCACATATCTCCTCAGCAAACCTTCCCGGTAAAACCCAGCTTTCTCCAAAACCCTCTGCGACCCAACATTCTCCACATCCACCAAACCCTCAACCCGCTCCAGCTCCGTCCCCCACTCCTCAAACACCGCCTTCACGGCCATCTTCACCGCCTTGGTCGCGATCCCTTTCCCCCAATGTTCCCAGGCCAGGTTGTACCCGATCTCCCCGCGGCAAGCGTCGTTCCCGGAGTTCTTCGTCACCAAAATCGACCCAATCGGCTTGCCGTTGAGGCAGATCGCCCTGAGCCACGGGTGAGGGATGGCCCTGTTTATTATGAAATCGAGCCCTTGTTCTCTTTTGGTGTTGGGCTCCCACGGGCAGAATCGTGCCACTCTCTCGTCGCTAGCCCACACCATGAGATCGTCCACGTCGGACACTTCCAGTGGCCGGAGGGTGATGATTTCTGAAAAGTTGCTGTTTTTCATTTCTGGGTCCATTTTCAATTTGTTAATCTATGCTAAGCATGCATCTTGTTTCTTTGTTTTGCTAAATAAATAGGAGATGAATGAATACAAAGTGGAATTACCTGGAAATTGGGTAGTAGCCCGCCGCTGACCTTGTCTTTGTTCGGTTTAAAGACATTAACAAGTAATCAGATGGCAACTTGGGGCGCAGAAGTTATTCTGCTAACAGGGCAAAGTGTTAGTAGATACTAACAGGGCAGGATGAAGGCCCACGTCGGCCCATGTTTGATCCAACGGAGGAGCTCTCGGCGTGGTGGTGGCTCACTTAAGTGAGCTGAAGGTGGGCCAACAAGCAAAATCCGGCCCAGCGTGCGGCGGCAGCGGAGCTGAGGGAGTGGCGTGGTGGGCCCGGCTTGATTTTGGGCGGGAGAATGGAGAGGAGTGGAAAGAGAACCAAATTTTATGGGCCCATGTTAGTATTATGTATGTGTTGTTTGTGTGGATATTTATTTGTTCTCAGTCGATATTAATTTATGTTATGTTGATATTGCTTTGTATCATTGTTGAAATTTTGGGCCGTATTATTCGTTTGCAAAACAATATCCTACACACTATCAAGTCCTAACACGTAAGGCTTGCAACCTTAGTTAGGGCTGCCCGCCGAGGGCCCATGGGCCGAAGGCCCATTAAATAATATTAGTTTTTATTGACGAGCGGTTTATTTTTTAGGGTTGATTGTTTAGGTTTGGTTTATGGTTTACGGTATAGAGGTTAGGGTTAAGGTTTCAACATAAGGGTTTGGGTTCTCTTTAGGGTTTAGGGTTTTGTCTGGTCAGTATGAATATCTATTATTTCAACCGAAGGAGTCTCCACCATTTCGATCGGCCAAAGGAAACGACACAATTTTTTTTTTTACAATGGAAACGACACAAAGGGAACCGCTATGAGCGGTTTACTTCTAGGGTTCTAGCTGGGCTTACTTGAATCGGGCTTTGAAAGAAACACCAAACCAAACCCAACTCCCTCGACCCAATAGTAAATATTATTTTGTGTGTTGTGGATATTTTTTGAAAAGATCTTAATACTTTTTACTAAGGAACTGATAGTTATTTTGAATAAGTTGATATTTGTCTGGGTTGTATGGATACTTGTCTTTCCTAGTCATAATATATGTTTCTCACATACTGATATTTATTCAAAATATTTTGATTTGTTTCCTGGTTGTGTGGATATTTATTTGAACCTAATGAAATATTCCCTTAGTTCATGTGTTTGGATATTTGAATTGAATCTGAGGAAATATTAACTTAGTTCATGTGTTTGGATATTTGTGTGGAACCTTAAAATATTCTCGGATTGGGCACATCTTGATAGTTTTATTGTTTTAGTGTTTAGTGGTTAGGGTGATAGAGTTTAAAGTTTAGGGTTTAGGGTTTAGGGTTAGGGTTAGGGTTTAGGGTAAGGGTTAGGGTTTAGGGTTTAGGGTTTAGGGTTTAGGGTTAGGGTTTATGTATGTTTGGTTGTTTGTTTGTGTAATATTTATTTGTTTTCAGTCGATATTATTTTGTGTTGTGTTGATATTACTTTGCATCATTGTTGAAATGAATTAGTATTCTACCTTCGCAAACCAATATCCATCATTAAACTAATGTGAAGGATTGGAATATTGTGTCTTACGTCAAATTAAACACACTATCAAGTCCTACACACTATCAAGTCCTAACACATAAGGCTTGCAACCTTAGTTAGGGCTGCCCGCCGAGGGCCCATGGGCCGATGGCCCATTAAATAGTAATAGTTTTTATTTTTTGTAGTTTATTTTTTACGGTTTATGGTTTAGGGTTTAGGGCAAATGATATTTATTTGTGTGGCAACTTTGAATATTCTCGGCTTGGGCAAACAATAATAGTTTTATTTTTTTTAGTGTTTAGTGATTAGGGTTTTAGAGTTTAGGGTTTAGAGTTAGGATAAAATAATAGATATTAGTTGGTGTATTGTGGATACTTTACTTTCCTAGTTTTAATACTTTTTATGAACCACAAGATATTTCTTACAATTAATATGATTTTTTCCCGAATTGTGTGGATATTTATTAGAATCTGACGAAATATTTCTTTAGTTCATGTGTTTGGATATTTGTGTTGAACCTTTGAATATTCTCGGCTTGGGCAAACAATAATAGTTTAATTGTTTTAGTGTTTAGAGATTAGGGTGATAGAGTTCAGGGTTTAGGGTTTAGGGTTAGGAAGAGGCTACAAATAATAGATATTAGTTGGTGTATTGTGGATACTTTACTTTCCTAGTTTTAATACTTTTTATGAACCACAAGATATTTCTTCAAATTAATTTGATATTGTCCCGAATTGTGTGGATATTTATTGGAATCTGAGGAAATATTTCCTTAGTTGATGTGTTTGGATATTTGTGTTGAACCTTTGAATATTCTCGGCTTGGGCAAACAATAATAGTTTAATTGTTTTAGTGTTTAGAGATTAGGGTGATAGAGTTCAGGGTTTAGGGTTTAGGGTTAGGAAGAGGCTACAAATAATAGATATTAGTTGGTGTATTGTGGATACTTGTCTTTCCTAGTAGTAATACTTTTTATGAACCACAAGATATTTCTTCAAATTAATTTGATATTTTCCCGAATTGTGTGGATATTTATTGGAATCTGAGGAAATATTTCTTTAGTTCATGTGTTTGGATATTTGTGTTGAACCTTTGAATATTCTCGGCTTGGGCAAACAATAATAGTTTAATTGTTTTAGTGTTTAGAGATTAGGGTGATAGAGTTCAGGGTTTAGGGTTTAGGGTTAGGAAGAGGCTACAAATAATAGATATTAGTTGGTGTATTGTGGATACTTGTCTTTCCTAGTTGTAATACTTTTTATGAACCACAAGATATTTCTTACAATTAATTTGATTTTTTCCCGAATTGTGTGGATATTTATTAGAATCTGAGGAAATATTTTCTTAGTTCATGTGTTTGGATATTTGTGTGGAACCTTTGAATATTCTCGGCTTGGGCAAACAATAATAGTTTTATTGTTTTAGTGTTTAGAGATTAGGGTTTAGAGTTCAGGGTTTAGGGTTTAGGGTTAGGAAGAGGCTACAAATAATAGATATTAGTTGGTGTATTGTCGATACTTGTCTTTCCTAGTTGTAATACTTTTTATGAACCACAAGATATTTATTCAAATTAATTTGATTTTTTCCCTAATTGTGTCGATATTTATTGGAATCTGAGGAAATATTTCCTTAGTTCATGTGTTTGGATATTTGTGTGGAATCTTTGTACGGGTTGTTTGGATATTTATTTTAACCTGATGAAATATTCCTTTAGTACATGTGTTTAGGGTTTAGGGTTAGGGTACAAATATTTGATATTAGTTGGGCTGTTGTGGATATTTGTCAGTATTTGTTGTAATGTGTTTTACTTATTTTTTGATGTTTGTTTGTATTATTGTGATACATGTTTGGGTTTCTTGGATATTTATTTGAACCTAAAGAATATTCATTTATTTCTTCTGTTGGATATTTGTATGGATTTTTGAGATACTATTCGGTGTGGCGTGGATACTTGACAAAAAGAATATCTTAGTATGGGTGGGCCCGAATCAGTTTTGGGTGGGCTTTTGTGTCTTTTCAAAAAATTGGGGAAAGAATAGAAGTGATAGGGCAATAAATGCCACAACCACTTCTTTGGCAAAAAAAAAAAATGCCACAACCACTTTTTCTCTCTCAACTCTCCCAACCCCTCCTCTCTTCTTTTCTCTGAATCCCCTCTTCTTTTCTCTGACGGAAAAGTCGTCGGCGGCGGCCTCCTCTTTCCTCTTCATCCTCCGGCGATCAGGAAACGTTGCTGATGATGATCCATGATGAGGCCGAGTTAGATCGTCCATCAACGAGCTCGTCCCATGAAGAAGAAGAGTTTGTTGATGGTGTATTAGAAGGTTTGACTCAAATAGATGGTGGTTGTGGGTTTGGCTTCGATGCAACAGTACAAGAAGAAGAAGAAGGTGATTGTGGATTGACATATTTATAAGTTTGTGTTGTTGAGTTTTGGTTGGGAGCATTGAATGAAATTTAATGTGTTTGGTGTGAGTTTAATGTTAGTTGGTCTTCTGGGATTCTACTATGAGCTAGTTGGATACTAGTTACCTACTGTTTGTTGGACGTAGTTTGTAGCCTATGTTTAATTTGTGTGGATACTAGTCTGGGCATATTGGATATTCATTTAATTATTGTGGATACTAGTAAGTCAGATTATAGTGTGGATGCATATTTGGAGCAATCAGATACTATTTTAAGATTCATGGATATTACTGTTTACGGATATTTGTTACACTTATTCTGGGAATTACTCTGGGCACATTGGATACTAACTGGCAATGGAAATATCTCGCAGCTCACAACACTTCCGACCTAGAAGATGATGAAGCAAGGAATAACATCTTTTTTCGTACTAAGGAAGAGTGTGTTCGTTTCTACGAACGCTATGCTCACAAAAAAGGGTTTGGTGTTCGAGTAGATTCGCAACATTTGAGAAAAAGGAAGAATTCTGAAGGAGAGGTGGTGAAAATTTATGCCTACCTTTATTATGTTTGTAATAAGCAAGGGTCAACGGAAGAATTCAATGTTGAGAAACAGAAACATGGAGAGGATTCCGTTGTAGAGAGAAGCCGCCCTAAAAGAAAGAGGTCTCGAATTAGGGCTGAATGCCCCGCCCTTGTTCGTTTCCGATGGGATGAGAATAGGGATGGATATGTGGTGCACAATTTCATTGGAGCTCACAATCATGATTTGCACCCCACCAAGCATGCTCACCTATTAAAGTCAAACAAGTCCGTGAGCGTTCCTCAAGGACTTGTTGCTGAAGCAAATCGCAATGCCGGGATGAGTCTTAGGTCATCGTATCAACTACTGGCTGAGTGTGCCGGAGGGTATGAGAACTTGACTTTTACCAAATGTGATCAGAAGAACCATTTGAACAAGAACAGACAAAAGACTATGTCTCGTGGCGAAGCGACTTTCTTGCTTGACTACTTTCAAGACCAAAAGGAGAAGTATCCCGGCTTCTTTTATGCTGTAGAGGTAGATTGTGAGGAGAAAGTTGCCAATATTTTTTGGGAAGATAGTAGGATGCGTGAAGATTATGCACTTTTCGGAGACTGTCTCCTTCGACACCACCTTCCGAACCAATAAACACTTTCGGCCATTGGGTATGTTGACCACTTATTTTCCTTATTTTTTTGGACACGCAAGCGGTTATGCATTGTTTTAAATACCAAGTCTTTTGCAGGGATGTTTGTAGGTTTCAATCATCACCGACAAACTTGTGTGTTTGGCGCTTGTTTGTTATATGACGAGACAACTCCTTCTTTTGAATGGTTGTTTGAAGCATTTAGTAGGTGCATGAAGAGGAAACCGCCAGTGACCATCTTCACAGATCAGGACGCCGGTATGGCAGCTGCCCTTAGAAAGGAGTGGCCAGATGTGTTTCATGCCCTCTGTACTTGGCACATCTTGATGAATGCGAAGAAGAATCTTCGTAAGAGCAAGAAATTTTGGCATAAGTTCCAAAATCATCTTGCTTATCTTTTCTACTACGTCGACAGCGAGGCCGAGTTTGATGAGGCATGGAGCAGCATGATTTCTGATTGTTTTCCCGGTAGTGAAACTATCGATGGCCACCAATGGATGCAATATTTGAAGAAATTTCGTAGGCAATGGTGTTCCTTATATCTGAGAGATCAATTCACAGCAGGAATGTTGACAACGCAAGCCAGTGAGTCGTGCAATTCACAAGTGCGACTCTTCTTGAAACCGAAACATAATCTCGACGAGTTTTTCATCCACTTTACCTGGTACGTTATCTAAATACTATGTGGACATTTATGGATATTACTTAACACCTTAAGGATATTTGTAGATGCTTTTCTGGTATTTGTAAGTGATGGTGTGATACATTTTTGTGTTGGTTGGATATTTGCTCTGTTTGTCAATGGATATCAGTCTGGGCAATTTGGTTTTCTTCATACATGCAGTTTGTTGGCTGACAAAAGGCGCAAAGAGACTGAGTCCGACTATGATGGGAAACAATCAGCCCCTTACATAGTGTTGGAGAAAAGTTCCATCCTCCAACATGCTGCCAAGATCTTCACGAAAAACATATTCAACCGGATTCAAGAGCAGTATCTGGAAATTGAAGACTATATAATTGAGCTTGTCCGAGATAATAGGGATGATGGATTCATTAGCTACCGTACATATAAGATGGAGGATGATGAGCGTAGCGATGAACGTGTCATTCTTGTCGATACTTCTACGGCCACATTGGTATGCGATTGTAGGATGTTTAGAACATTCGGGGTCTTATGTCGGCATATGCTTAAGGTGATGCGATTGCTTGGAGAGTTTGGGAACGATAGTATGAGAACTATTCCAGATCATTACATACTAAAGCGATGGACGTTGGAGGCGAGAAGGAAAGAAGTTGGTGATGCTGATGCTTCAGGCGATACTTCACATAGTCAGGAGAACGAGACTGGAAAAGGAGATATAGCAATGAGGTACCGAGAAACCACCGCAATGTTTAATCAGCTCGCAACAAAATTGTCAATGGCGGATGAGAAAGTGTACAACAGGTGGATGGGAGCATTGCAGAAAGTGTGTAAGGAGGCAAACAAGGCATTGTCAAAGACTATAACTAGTGAGGACGGTAAGTGTATCGAATATTATTTGTAAATTAGTATAAGTTAATATCATGCGACGTATTACTTAAGCCACTAACATTGTAGGGAATAATGTACCGACAAGTGGCCTCTCTCTCAAGGAGAAGAGTAATCCAAGGAAGCACGGCAAGGAACGTTATAAGTCCACGAATGAGAAAGAGCGTCGTCGAAAGAAGATTGTCTATGGAAAGAGATTGAAAGCATTGGAAGTGCTCACGCAGGAAAACCATTTTCAACATGATGACCATCTCACTGACTTGGAAGACGACCTTGCTGAATTTGGGTGTGGATATTAGTTTGTCAAACTCGGATATTTTGTAAGCAGGCTACGATATTTGTCTACGTTGTAAGGATATCTGTATGCATGGTAGGGATATGTGTTTTGGTTCTACAAATATTATCTCTAAACATTCGGATATTTTTGTTATATTTTATGTATGTGGTTGTGTGGATTTTATGTATTTTCATAAAATATTATCAGATTTTGGATATCACTTTGTGTCATATGCTATACTTTTGTTGAATGAAAGATATTCTTAATCCATCCTTGATAAAAGACTATGTCTCCTTCTCTCCAAAACTTCCCAAAATAACCCAATCACCTTAAACTAATAAGAATAGCAATTAGGATAGAGTTAGTGTCTCCTTTTCTCCAAAACTTCCCAAAATAACCCAATCACCTTAAACTAATAAGAATAACAATCAAGATAGAGTTAGTGTCTCCTTTTCTCCAAAACTTCCCAAAATAACCCAATCACATAGTTTCAGCTCCTCTTCCCTTTCTCCTTATATGCTGCCCACTCATTTGCCTCCTCAAGTATGACATTCCTCACTTTGTTGTATTTCCATTGAAGGAGACTGCCTGCAATAGATGCTCGCTGGTGCTCCACGTGCGGTTCCAAGTGCCAAGTTTCCTTGTATTCCGATGGAATGTGACCCGCCCAGTGCTCCATGAACATGCATGCAAACACTCCACAATCATCGTTTCCTTTTTGTTGAGGAACATCCGCAATTAAGAATTCCTAATCATGCAAGGGAAAATCGATGTTATGCTTTGCAAGGAAAGCAGCCCCATACTCAAATATCAATTTCCCCATGGGAGAGTGATCCACCTTGGCCATTGCTGGCTTGGGTTTCATGCTGTCCAGAAGGAAAGTCTTCCGACTCCTTAGATCAGCAGCGTAGACCCGGTAGTGTTTGTCTGTATGCACAGGGAAAAAAATCTGAAACATAGAAAAAAATCAGTTATTCTCTCGGATAAATATCCAATAAACCCAGACTAGTATCCAAAACTAACATTTCAGATATTCACAGGCAAATCTTCAAACAAATCAGTTATTCTCTAGGATAAATATCCAATAAACCCAGACTAGTATCCAAAACTAACATTTCAGATATTCACAGGCAAATCTTCAAACAAATCAGTTATTCTCTCGAATAAATATCCAATAAACCCAGACTAGTATCCAAAACCACGTAAATCAGTATCGACATAGAATAAGTCTTCACTTACATATTCTACTTTGTCCCATGCAACTTGTTTGGAGACTGGAAACCGCCGCTGGGTCAGTTCAATGACACCATCGAGTCTCTCCTTGGACGGGGGCACATTCGTCTGAGAATTAAGTATGGCAAGTTGCTGTTTGCAAAGTAAAATAATAGCTAATTAGTTACTGAATATCTAAAAATTGTAAGGTGTGAGTGAAGAGCCTACTTACTCCAAAAGTGAACGGAAAGATAACTCGTTTCTTGTCACCGGCAAGTGCTTTGTCGTTCAAGAAATGACCATAAGCCTCAATCACTTGTACATTGACCCACTCTAATCGCTTCAATGTCAACAGATGAAGACGGGCAAGTTTAACTGAAGGAGTGTGCACCACCAAGCCCTTACCCTCAGGGGTACGGAAGACGAACTCAACCATAAGACGAGCAACTGGGTCGAGCTTTGGCGACACTTCCTTCGACAAATAATATACTGATGAAGAAGCATATGGGTTCTTCTTCGACCTCTCAAACTCGGGGGTCTTTAGTGTTGCAAGCCATTCCTCAGGTGTGTAGCTGTACAGACGGTCTCTCTCCTCGTCATTCATATTCCTCTCATCCGTGATAATCAGATCTGGACTCCTCTCAGCGCTCTTACAAGCCGATTCTACCAACTCCTCGTCTGTAGGCAACATTCCCATCTCTGCAAGTTGAGAGAACGACTCCACCACATCTGTAGGTGGGTCTTCTTCCTCGGCATTAGCAGCGCTAGTAGCCTCATGAGCTATCTGCAAAATGTCCCCAAAAGAGGTATCTGGGACTGTATAGTGTATCACCATAGGGACTGGCGACTCAAACACCTCCTCGTCCGGTGTCTCTACAGTCTTCTCAGCTTGATTCTCCACCACCTCAAATCTATTCTTCTCTTCAGGATCTTCTGCACACATCTCTCCAGTTTTCTCCACTTGTGGCTCGACCTGCTCCTCACTCTTTTCTACCATCTGTCCCAGTTTTTTGGCAAAGTCCACCAATTTTCCCAAATGTCGGTCAATCGAACCACCTAGTACCTTAAGCTGGAAGACAACGAACATTTTGCGCAAATTAAAAACAATCAACGCACATGTATCCAGTATAGTATCCAAACTGCTTGTGCAATAATCACATGTACCCAGAACAGAATCACAAGAGAGCGTACAAATATTCAAGTTGGCATTAATATCCAAAAAAATAACATTAATATCCAAACCTCACACAACAGTATTCTAAACTGAAAAGAAACCACAAGCTCATATCCAAATTAAACCAACAAATATTCCAGAGCAACAAACTAAAATCCGACTAATATCCAAAGCCATTCCAACATGGCAACAAATTCCAGGAAAAAAGTACAACCCCCCACCAAACAACAGAAAACAGTAGATCAAATTCACTCTTGCTCTTCCAAAATCTGGACAATCGTTTGGACCTTGTCCCTTCGAGCCACCCACTTTTCAATCATGCTCTCAGTCATTTCCTTCAATCCCTTAAGCTACACATATGTGGTGAAATATTTAGGTTACTATATCATCCAAGTCTACCAATGCACTATCTTAGTTAGGGAGGAAGAAAACATTTTACCTGCCCTAGCGAAAGGCTAGTCAAATCTTCAATCTCCCACCATTCCGCGGTGGGCATCGGTGCACGATGTGGAGGAGGAGCTGAACTGCTGGCAGCTGCTGCACTAGTACCCCCAATAGCCACCGGTTGGAGCTGTCTGCGAGAGGCCATTTCTTCCCTGCTCAGCAGAGCGGCAGCTAGGTCATATCTTCCCTTGACTAAGGGGATAGATGAGCTTGCCCTCTCGACATTTTGCTTCCACCAAAACCGGCAGCTAGGTATGGTCTTTGTGTGCAACCCGCCTAGTTTTAGAGAGTCCAGCAGATGGAGCTGTAAAAAAAATACAATTAATAAATGTTAAGCGCCATTTCTAGCAATTTAATCAACAAATATCCAGTCTCAACACAAATAGTATCTTATGTGACTAAACTGATAGCCAGAAATCATTTCAAGCTAATTTCTTACAAAACAAAGAGTATCCGAGTTTAGTTAAATGATACCCAATACGAAATTCACTAGTTTTCATGCAATTGAACCAACAATTGGAAGAAAAGTTTAGGACTTACTATCAAGAAGTAGCAATCTCCGAGAACCCACACGCACGGCGAGCCCAACACCCTTGACCTATATTCTTTCTTCTTGGCAACTGTCAACTCTACTTTCAGTTCACGGACAATAAATGTACACCAATCGTACACCCTCACGTCCTCAACACTCCCACCTAGGTAAAGGGCAAAGTCCAGCTTGCACCTCCGAGCAAATGTTGGCACGAGCATCGAACCAGTAGCTAGCAACAAGAATTGCTTGACAGCAACTGCAACAGGTGTTCTGGGACCGTTTGCTGGAATGGCCAACTCCCGCAGCTTCTTGATAGGAACCATGCGAGCCCTGTTAGGAATCATGCCAACTTCCTCGCTAAAACTGTCGAGCATCCCCCCCTCAACGTTCTTCAAATCAATCACAGCACCACCGAGAGGAAGGTTGTACACACGTGCCACATCCTCAGCTGTGAAGTCGAACACCTTCTTCGATTCACCTTCCCCAAAAACAAAAGTACTGGTTGAGGGGTCATAAGCAGCCATCAAATCATCCATGAAGACATTGGGAATCGTCGGCATGCGAAGTTCCAATAGGCCCCCGAATCCCGCCTTCTCGACTTCTTTCTTGCAGGCTTCATAATATCCAGCATCTTGTTTCCAGTAGCTTATAATTTTGAAGAGGGAATAGGTGGAGCCACGAAATCTGAAATATGAGCCGCAAGGACCCTCTCCCTCATCATCTTCTTCCTGATCTTCCTCCTCAACTTCTGGAATAGCAGGCGGCGGCTGCTTTGATCCTTCTCCTTGATGAGATCTCGGTGCAACCATTTTCGTTCTCTTCGTCGGAGAATCCTGAAACACAGTTATATATTAAGCAAAATATCCATAATCATTGGACAAATAACTAAAACGCACACTTAAATATCGACACTAACAGAACTGATATCCACACATCAGAGTAGATTTTTAAGCCAATATATACAATTATTATCGTAGTAAACCAAAATTGTATCCAAACGAAGATAACTGATATCCATGACAAACAATCCATAATACCCAGAAAATTAACTAAAACGAACAGATAAGTATCCACCTTAACAGAACTGATATCCATGAAAACAAATCCATAATACCCAGAAAAATAACTAAAACGAATAGATAAGTATCCACCTTAACAGAACTGATATCCATGAAAAACAATCAATAATACCCAGAAAAATAACTAAAACGACCGGATAAGTATCCACCTTAACAGAACTGATATCCATGAAAAAAAATCCATAATACCCAGAAAAATAACTAAAACGAATAGATAAGTATCCACCTTAACAGAACTGATATCCATTAAAAACAATCAATAATACCCTGAAAAATAACTATAACGACCAGATAAGTATCCACCTTAACGGAACTGATATCCATGAAAAAATATCCATAATACCCAGAAAAATAACTAAAACGAATAGATAAGTATCCACCTTAACAGAACTGATATCCATGAAAACAATCAATAATACCCAGAAAAATAACTAAAACGACCAGATAAGTATCCACCTTAACAGAACTGATATCCATGAAAAAATATCCATAATACCCAGAAAAATAACTAAAACGAATAGATAAGTATCCACCTTAACAGAACTGATATCCATGAAAACAATCAATAATACCCAGAAAAATAACTAAAACGACCAGATAAGTATCCACCTTAACAGAACTGATATCCATGAAAAAACATCCATAATACCCAGAAAAATAACTAAAACGAACAGATAAGTATCCACCTTAACATAACTGATATCCACGCATCAGACACATCAGATTGTTTTTTTTAGCCAATATAACTAATCGAGAAACGAATTGAGAAATCAAACCTTTGGTGGTTGTTCAACCGCCGGCTGTCGTGATGATTCAGCTGCTTCACGAGAATTTGCTGCAGATTTTGGTGCAACAGTTTTGGATTTCTTCCTCACGGGTTGTTCCTGAAACATAGTTAGATATTAAGAAAACTATCCAGCCAAGGATAATATTAAAATGCATCCGACTAGTAATTTTTAGTTAACATAACCAATCGAGAAACGAAGTAAGAAATGAAACCTGTGGTTGTTGTTCATCTGATGGCTGCTTTGATGGTATCCACGATAAGTTTAGGCCACTGTTGGAGTTCTTTTTCGGTCTCCCCATAACCTGAAACAGTATAAAAAATGACCACAATAAGTATCAAAAGTGACAAAACTGACATCCATGTAACCTTTAATCAAGGAATCGACAAACGATACCCAGATTCAACAAAATCGTATCCAACAAACCCCCAAAATGGAATTCGAGAAACCATAATCAAACAATATATAAAATGACCAGAATAAGTATCGGAAGTGACAAAACTGATATCCATGTAACCTTTAATCAAGGAATCAACAAACAATACCTACATTCCCCAAAATCGTATCCAACAAACCCCCAAAATGGAATTCGACATACCATAAATCTGCTAACTAGAAAAAAAAAAACCAGAGCCCCAAAATTCGAATCCCACGGACCCAGAATCTGGTAATCTGCAAAAAAAACCCTAAACACCCATATTCGAATCCATGAAACCCTAAATCTACAAATCGAAAAACGAAACCCTAAACCCCCAAAACGAAACCCTAAACCCCAAATTCGAATCCCACCAACACAATATCTGGAAATCTAGAATCAAAACCCTAAACACCCTAAATCGAATTGTATGAACCATAAATTATCAAATCCATAAACAAAACCGAGATTTCCACAAAAAAATTCATGAAACCGAAACCCTAACATAAATTTTGAAATCCACAAACAAAATGAACAATACAGAAGTTGAACTACCTCAGCGTCTTCTTCTACCTCCCACGGCGGCGACGGCGAAGTCGGCTCCCTCTTCTTCTTTCTTCTCGTCGGCGGCGGCTTCTTCCTCGTCGAGCGGTCCAGCGTCAACGTCGTCGGCGGCGGGAGATCCAACAACCAGTCGCCGACCTCGCAGCCGTCGTCGCCGTAGCTTTCCTCGTCGGCGTCGCCTCTCTCGTCGCCACTCTCGTCTCTGTTCTGCGATTTTCGGGTTCGAAGAGGGAGAGGGTTCGAAGAGAGAGGGGAGAAAGTTGGAGACAGGGGAGAGAGAATGGCTGAGCGGGTTTGTTGGGTTTTGGGTTTCAAATTTGGGGTTTTTTTTTTCCTGTCCCCACTTTTCCCAAATGTGGCTCGGCTTGGCCCAAAAATCCCTCCCCCCTCACAGAACAGCGCCGGCGATCCTCACCCCTCCGATGGTGGCTCGCCTACGTGGCCCCTCATCCCACCGTGTTAGTATATGCTAACCACTAATAGCGTTAGCAGAATAACGCTATTGAACTTGGGGCACAAGAAATTTTGAATTTTTTGCCCACTAAAATATGATTTCGTTAGCTTGTTATATGCCTGCAACAAAACCTATAAAATTGAAAATGAAAACTTTTTTTATTGAAAATTTTGTTTAATTCTGCAACCGAAACATGAATAATAGTAGATTGTTTGAAATAGGAAAGAAATCTACGGGAGCAATTTTTTCTCTCCTTTGGAATTAACAAAGAAATAGCTACTCAATGAATTTGACTAAAAAGTGGGTAAAATGCACACCATGACACCTAACATTTTGCTACTTTCGAATGTATCACTTTACTAGTTAATGAAGTTGATGCGCATATAAACCACTACAGAAAAGTGAAAGTGTGTAGATCTCTCGAACTCTTTTTTTATCAAAACTAAGAAAAAGCAATAAAACTACTATTAATTTCTACTACTACTTGACTTCTGATTCATGAATAAAAACGTAAAGGCAAAGGACATATTTATAGGACCAATCTCATAAATCCAGTCTCTCTCAAACAACATACAATAACTTCCTCAACAAGACAAAATATAAATAATTATAATCTTATTAGAACTCATTCGAATAATGCAAAGTAACCCAATATCACACAATTAATTAATAAGAAATTCCTAATTACTAAACCCAAACTCAGCCAAAAAGGCTATAATGCATCAGAAAAGCCTCAAATTCAAGGTCAATAGCCTTCTTCAGCCAATGAGCAGAGGAAAAGAAACAACAAACAACTGTGTCTAAGTCTAACGAGGAACCACCAAATATGTAGACAGAATACTAAACATCACCATATCACAAGTCCTTCCCTTGATAACACGATACTTCCTTTGCAAACCTTCCCTGCAAAACCCAGCTTTCTTCAAAACCCTCTGCGACCCAACATTCTCCACGTCCACCAACGCCTCCACACGCTCCAGCTTCGACCCCCACTCCTCAAATACGGCCTTCACGGCAATCTTCACCGCCGCCGTCGCGATACCTTTCCCCCAATGCTGCCACGCCAAGAGGTACCCGACCTCCGCAAGGCAAGCACTGCCATTGCTGCAGGAACTATTAGAGCATATTGAAGATGATTGTGGAGAAGAAGCAGAGCTTAAGAGTGAAAGGGAAAGGAAGATGAAGATGAAAGTTGCAGAAGACTGAACCGACGTCGTTTGCTTGTTTTCCGTTTCCTACTAGCCGTTAGTCAATGGTCATTCAGTTAGTCCCACCTGTTAGGCACAAAGTAATTTATTTAATTTACAGTTTAACTTCCTTTCAACTTTTACTGTAGATGAATTTTGTTTGTTTAAATAGCAATAGAGAAGCACACTGCTCTCTCTGGGTTTTCCCCCTCCAATTCATAGGTGCTTAACCTAGCAGCTCGTTTCTCTTTCTTCTCCTTCTACTTCTTATGGTATCAGAGGGGCATTGATCCATTTCTCCACTTCATAGTATGCTATGGCGAAAAATCCACCTCCACAGACACCACCGGGTTCTCAAGGCTCAGGCCCCATACCATTTGGTAGCTTCCATTCTTCGTCCAGTGGTGTTGGTGGCCAGATCTAAAACAATCCCGGTGGTGATGCTCGCCAACATGAGAATGGTAACAATACTCATCTGGGTCTTGTGTTTGGTAGTCCATACTACATTATTCCTAGTGAAAACCTAGGTCAATCCATCATTTCTGAGATATTGGATGGATCTAACTACCAGACCTGGCAGAGAGCTGTGGGAATGGATCTTAAGACCAAACAAAAGCTGGGTTTCATTGATGGCTCACTTCCGATGCCTGATCGTACTCATCCCGATTTTGTTTTGTGGGATGCATCAAACACTATGGTTCTCTGTTGGATTTTAAATTCTGTGCACAAGGACATAAGTATAAGTGTATTACAACATGGGAATGCTATGGTTGTATGGGATGAGCTGAAAGCACGCTTTGGTAGATCCAATGCCATTAAGCTATCCAATTTACAGATGAAATGGATGCTTGCAAGCAGGGTAACATGAGTGTGACCCACTACTATATCACACTTAAGGGTTTATGGGAAGAGATTCAATAGTATAGTCCTGTTGTTGAGTGTGATTGTGTAGCTGTGAGAGTTAGGCCATGTGCAGCAGTGGTTGCCTATCGACAGAAACTTGAAACTGACTATCTCATCAAATTTTTGAAGGGATTAAAATCTGTTTTTGATGTGGTTCAAACCCAGTTACTCATGTTGAAACCCTTACCTGCTGTGGAAGTTGCTTTGGATGATATTTTACAGCATGAACAGAAATTACAGGGTGACAAGGGTAAGAGTACTAGGGGTATCCAGTCTGTTGCATTGGCTGCACAAGGACAAGGTGAGCAGAATAAGGGTTTTATCCCTAACAAAGACAACAAGTATGAGCCTGCCAAGGAAGGAAAATTCTGTCGGTATTGCAAAATGGGTGGACATCTAAAAGAAGAATGCTATCGATTGAAGAACAAGAAGGCACGAATGCTGAAGGGGGCACTTTTGCTGGTTCAGTATCTCAATCAGACTCACAATATGGTGATTTCACTTCTTCAGGGCAGAGTATTAGCTATGAGAGCAAATCTTCTTCAACTAGCTCTCTCAACTTTACCACTGAAGAACTGAACAAGCTAAGGCTGCTTCTTCAACAACCTGATAGCATGAGTCCATCACCACCATTGTCTCCTTCTATTAAGCATGCCTCATACTTAGTCTCACAGCACCTTCCATCTCATCCTACCTATGCTGGTAAATATGTACTCTCTTCCTATGCTCAACATGGCCTGATGGATTTAACTCAAGTTTGGATCTTAGATACTGGTGCCTTAGATCACATAGCATGTACTCTTGCTGTGTTCATACAAGCTAAGCCTGTTTCCAACCAGTTTGTGTATCTACCTAATGGCTCTAAGGTAGAAGTGATTCGTATAGGTTCAGTTAACATATCACAAGGATTAGTCTTACACAATGTTCTCTTAGTCCCAAGTTTTACTTTTAACCTGGTCTCCATTAGTAAACTTACCCATGACCTGCCCATTTCCTTGCTTTTTGAATCTGACTCTTGTCATATTCAGGACCAAACAACCAAGAACCTGATTGGTTCATCAAGACAGGATAGGGGCCTCTACCATCTCACTACCACACCAAGACCACCTTCTGACATTTCACCACATCAAGTAGCTACCACCTACAATTTCCTTCCTCACCACATAGACCTTTGGCACTGGAGACTGGGGCATCCAAGTAGAGAGATAGAACATCAAGCTACAGGTTGTAATAGGATTTCCATTAAGCATTGTTCCACTTGCCACTTAGCAAAACAGAAGAAACTTCCTTTTTCACTTAGTGACAGTAGGGCAATTTCTGCCTTAGATTTAGTTCATATTGATATTTGGGGACCCCTTGCTGTTAAGTCCCATGATGGATATTCTTATTTCCTTTCAATTGTGGATGATTATACACAAAGTGTTTGGGTGTTTTTAATGAAGCTAAAGTCAGAAGCTTCTCATCTTTTGGAATCATTTTGTGTTATGATCAAAAACCAGTTCAACATATCAATTAAGATTATTAGAAGTGATCAATGAAATGAATTCCACATGTCTGACTTCTACAACACATATGGAATTGAACATCAACTTTCATGTGTGGAAACTCCTGATCAGAATGCTCGGGTTGAGAGAAAGCATCAGCATATCCTCAACGTTGCAAGGGCACTTCGTTTTCAATCAAGATTGCCACTTCACTTTTGGAGTGATTGCATCCTTCATGCATTCTTTCTGATTAACAGGTTGCCTTCACCAGTGACTGATGGTGTTTCACCTTTTGAGTTGTTGTATCATAAACAACCAGCATTGAATCTACTTAAAGTTTTGGTTGTTTGTGTTATGCATCTACTTTGTTAAGAGATAGAACCAAGTTCAGTCCTAGAGCTAGGCAATTTGTCTTTCTTGGATTTCCTTATGGAATTAAAGGTTACAAACTACTTGACCTTAACACTCATCAAACTTTCATTTCTAGACATGTGGTCTTCTATGAGACCATCATTCCCTTCTTACATCCTTCTTCTTCCACATCTGTCCTTATATCTCTACCACCACAGTCACTTCTACCACCACTGCACCTCTTTTTCCCGACAATCCTCTTCCTCCTGATCCATTTCCCTCTTCTTTCACACCTTCTCAGACTCCATCTCCTTCCCTCATACCTTGTCAGACTTCATCTCCTTCTTCTTCCACTTCTTTTCCTCCTTCCCCAGACACATTGGCTACCACTTCTGTTGGTGAAGCAGTAGAGTCCTCAAGAGTGAACTCTGAAGGGGAGGATGATGAGTTAGTTGCACAACTAGACTTTGAGGATGGAGAAGGTGTCGGCCCCGAGTTAAGAAGGTCAGACAGATTCAGGTCAGTTCCAGTTTGGCATAAGGATTATAAAGTGGGAGCAGTCCATAAATACTCTATGGACAAGTATGTGACATTTGACAAGTTACCAACTCCACATAAAGCTTATGTGATGAGAGCCATGGCTGTTATTGAACCAAGGTCTTATGAAGAGGCCTGCAAAGAACTGTGTTGGAGAGAGGCAATGGAGGATGAATCTGATGCTCTTTAAGCAAATCAAACTTGGGAACCAGCTTATCTACCACCTGGTAAGAAGGCTATTGGATGCAAATGGGTGTATAAGGTAAAGCTCAGGGTTGATGGTACTATAGAGAGATTCAAGGCCAGATTAGTAGCTAAGGGATTTACTCAGATTTATGGGATAGATTTCTTAGACACATTTTCACCAGTTGCCAAAATTAACTCTGTGAAAGTGTTGTTAGCAGTGGCTGCTGCCAATGAATAGCTCATACATCAGATGGATGTATCAAATGCTTTCCTCCATGGAGAGTTAAATGAAGAAGTCTACATGAAACCACCACCAGGCATGGAACTACCTGACAAAAAGATGGTTCTGAAGTTGAAGAAGTCTCTTTATGGACTAAAACAGGCTAGCAGGAAATGGTTTGCCAAGTTAGCCAGTTCATTGTTGAAAAATGGTTTTGCTCAAGCTACTTCAGACTATTCAATGTTTGTTAAAAGAATTCAGGGGAAGGATACTTGTTGTGTTGGTGTATGTAGATGATATATTGACTGCAGGAAGCTCTCCAGGAGATATAGAACAGTTAAAAATGTTCTTGGGAAGAGAATTCAAAGTGAAGGATCTTGGTAAGTGAAGTATACAGAGATGTTAAAGGGATTCATGTGAATCAAAGGAAGTATTGCATGGAATTGTTAGAAGACACTGGATATTTGGAGGCAAAAGACTGTCTAGCACCAATTGATTACAAGCTAAAGTTAATTGCTAAGCAGGGGGAGCCTCTTCCTAATCCAGAGGTTTAAAAAGGTTAGTAGGAAGATTACATTACCTCACTGTCACCAGGCCAGACCTAGCCTTTGCTATTCAGCAGTTATGTCAATTTCAGAAAGATCCATATACTGAGCACTTGTAGGCTGCTTATAGGATCTTGAGGTATTTGAAACATGCTCCAGGACAAGGATTAATCTTTAAGGGGTCGTTTGGATGGAATATTGTGATGGATCAATTGTACAAAATTGTCTCATTATGAGTCAATTGGGCCTAATTAACCCGTTTGGCATACAAAAAGAGGAACGAAGCAATTTGGGGCCGGGACAATTAGCTTTGGCGCGTTATGGGGTAATTGTAATTACCTGGTGGGGGGGGGGGGAGAAATTTCAGATTGTCCCGTTGTGTGCTTTTTTTCCAAAGTTGTCCCTGGCTTTTCAGGCTCTCTTTCTTGCTGTCATTTTATTTCCATCGTATCTTGTTGTTGCTGAAGGAAGAAGGAGTAAGCTACTGTTCCCGCGACGATCTTCTTGCGGTTTCTAGATCAGTTGGAGGATAAGCTACAGATTCTACTCATCAAAGATTGAGCCTGGTACTTTAATTATCTTTACCCTTATTCACTTTGTCCTTGTTAGAATTCCAAACCCCACTCGTAAACCCTAATAAAGAAATTGATGATGAACCTTTAGTTTGTGTACCTGGGAATATAAGGGGGTCAACCACAAAGCTTTCCTTCTTTTTTCCTTAATGATGTAGACAAAGTCCAACCCTAATTGGGTTTATTTATTGAATCCAACAAAAATCATTGATTTTCTACTGATTTGGACACTTATGAGAATGCTAAGTGTACCCTTCCATGCTCCTGCTTAGCCTGCTTACACTTCATGCTGAACATAACTGTTTCCGTCTTTTTGCTTCTATAACCGACATGGGTTTCTGGAATTGGTGTGTTGTACTTGTTTTATCCACTGATAATGCATTTTTTAACTATTTTATAGAGGATGTCTCGACTATCAAGTTTAGCTCCAGCCCGTGAACGCCAGGTGGTTGCAGCAATTTGCTCGTTCTCCAACCTTCTTATGATTTATGTTAGTTTAGGTATCAAACTAGCTGACTTAGTACAAAAACATTACCTGAATCCACGACTTAGTAGGCAACAAGTGGACACCTACTTGCAGAGACACTATGATAGACAAAGGCACCTTAGGAATGCAACTAAAATGACTGATATTGATACTTTCGACCAAGTCAGGATGAATCGTAGCTTATTTAGAAAGTTTTGTGAACTTCTTGTTAGTGAAGGTGGCCTGAAAAGAACTAGGAATGTAGATATAGACGAGATGGTTTATATCTTTCTTCGAATTATTTCATAGAACGAGAAAAATAGAACGTTACGCCTGAATTTACGTCGTTGGGGAGAGACAATATCTCGAACAATTCACTGCGTACTGCGGGCTGTTATTAGGCTCAACAACTTACTTATGAAGAAGCCGCTTCCCATTCCCGACAATTGTACCAATAGTAGGTGGAAACATTTCAAGGTCAGCCCTTGATTTCTTTCTCCAATAAATTCCACCTTTTATTTTGTTTCTGTCAATCAACCCTTGAGAGTCTTGTTTCAATGTTGCATTAGGAATGTCTTGGAGCTCTAGATGGAACTCATATTGATGTCCGGCCATTAAAATAGGATCGAACTAGGTAACGCGATAGGAAGGGTGATCTTTCCATTAATGTCTTGGGTGTTTGCACACCCAACTTGGAATTTATCTATTGTTTATCTGGATGGGAGGGGTCTGCCCATGACGGAAGAGTTTTGCGTGATGCCCTTACTAGGGAAAATGGTCTTACTGTGGCAGCAGGTAATACTATAGTTAAGTTTAACAGTTAGATACAAAATTACAGTCCTAAATGAACCGCTTAATAACATTTAAAATTGTTCATGTATTGAAGGTTGTTATTATCTATGTGATGCTGGGTACGCAAATAGCCCGGGATTTTTAACCCCCTATCATGGTCAGCGGTATCATCTAAAAGAATGGGGTGCAAATCGACCAGAAACAGCCGAGGAATACTATAATATGAAGCATGCTTTGGCTAGAAACGTCATTGAGCGTATTTTTGGGATTATGAAAATGCGTTGGGCAATACTTAGAGGGTCATCTTGGTTCACTCCAAGAGAGATGACTCGTATTGTTGTTGCATGTTGCATAATTCATAATTTTATAAAGAGGGAACACGGGGCTGATTCGTGCGAGCTGTGTTATGAAGACGAAGAACCAGAACTACATGAAGCAATTGAGGTGGAGACTATTGAGATTTCTGGCTTGCAACCATGTGCAGCTTGGACACAATTTAGGAATGACAAAGCAGTGGCAATGTGAGAAAATAGGTCACAGATGTGATTGTAATCATGTGTTATGAATGTTGTTGTTGCACTTTTAGCATTTTGGAAAAGCATTCGAACATCAGTAATTGATGATGAATCATGTATGGTTGTATTTTTGCCAAAATGTTGTCTATATTTCGGAAACAGTGATGATTGTGATTCATCTCAATATATTTTGCTATTGTTTTTTACCTAGGTCTTTGTGGGTGCTGCTATTTTGTTCTTTCTTCGCGTGTCTACCCTCTTTAATTGCAAGAGTGGTTAAGTTTGCACTTTTATTTTTTGGAAACAGTGATGAATCATGTATGATAAAGTTGGTATCATACTTGCAGGCATGGATCCGAGAAGAAAGAATGACGTCAATGCACTACCTAGGTCTTAAACCTTTTGGGATTCCAGACACGATGAACCATTTCTTCGATGCCTTCTGGAGCTGACTGAGAAGGGCCATATTGATGATGGGATATGCAAGAATGGTGTGTTTAAGGAGATCGAGAGGATGATGGAAAAGCTGGTACCCGGATGCGGTTTGAAGGCAAAAGGGAATGTTAAGACCAGGGTGAAGAAGCTGAAGCACTGGTATCATTCGACTGTGATGATGCGGCAGCAGAGTGGTTTCGGGTGGAACGAGGAGCACTCTTATCTAGATGCACCTGAAGATGTATGGGAAAAGTTTCTGAAGGTTAGTTGAGCTTACCTACATTTTTTAATAGCTTGGATGAGGCAATTAATGAGGCTGGATGACTTATGATGATGGTGACTTGCATTACATCACTTACTCAAGTAGAATGCCATTAACTGTGCTGTCTTTTTGTGACTTGTTCTTTCTTTACAGTCACATGCTGATTGTAAAACATATAAACGAGTCCCTTTCCCACAGTTCTTTGAACTAAGATCTATTTTCGGGAAAGGACGTGCTACTGGTGAAGCCAGATTCTCAGGACATTATCCAAACGTATCAGAGTTGGGAGATGACAGCTCCGATGATGATGACAGCCCGGCTTACCCTCTCGACCCACTGAACAACTCCACAATGGATGAAGAAATTATGAATATGATCAATGATGGTGTGGAAGCTCATGTGAACAAGAAACGCCCAAAAACTAGTTCAGAACCGGCTCCTTCTCGGAAAAAGAAGCAGAAGAAGAAGAAGAAGAAGAAGAAGAAGAAGAAGAAGAAGAAAGGGAGACACTGAAGAGGGCATTGGTGAAGTCTGCACTGAATTGGGTGGACTTAGGCCCCTCATTAGAGAGTCTGTGGACACCATTTCAAGGGCTTTGGGGCAGAGCGAGGACTACAACATTATGCGTAAGGAATTGCTGAAGAACTTGGAAAAAATGGAAGGACTAACTAGAGCTCAAATGATCATTGCTATGAGGAAGTTTTCTAACAATTCAGATGACCTGAAGTGCTTCTATGAGCTGGAGAAGGAAGAGGACAGGCTGACCCTTGTTCTTAATCTACTCAAGGATGAATGAGGGTGTGTTTCCAATATGTATGTAGTTGTATAGTAAGTCCACTAGGTTGTAAGCTATTAGGTAGTTGTCCAGTTTGCAAAGAGGCCTTTCTTTTTGTCTATCTGTCATTGTGAAGTACACTCAATGACAGTCTTTGCAAATGTAGGACAACCTGTATTTTGTGAAGTTATATGGTTAGCTTACTAGGATCGTAAACTTCGATGGAGGTAAATCCATAATCAGGCTGTTTTTTTGTAAAGTTCACATGATGTACCAAGCTGTAGGATGAAGCTGTCTCATGTAAGTACCATATAGTAATTGCAAGACAGCTTGTGAGAACTTGATTGTAAAGTGCACATTGGGAACCTCTGATCTATGATGAATGTAATGTTATATTTTTTTTTTTTTTGATAATGGTGATTGAATGTAATGTTATATTGAAGCTTATACTTTTCCCTCTAACTACTTAGTTTCTGTCATATATAAATGGTCTTACAAACATTGTTTCTGCCATAAATGGTCATACAAACAAGCTCTCTGGTCTTTTGATAGTTGATTACAACAGCTAGAACATCGTTTCTTCTTACAATTTTCATTTGCTTTCCTGAAACATTGTTCCTGGACAATACAGGTTTTGCAAGTACAACATAACTGCTACTGGAACAGTCAAAATACAAGTTACAGGTTCACCTATACAAAAGCCAGCCTATACAAAAACCAGCTTCTCTCCTACCACAAAAAAAACCCCCAGCTTCTCCAGCGTAGGTGACCATATCAAAGATCAGAAGTTACACAATTGTCGCTAACCGAACTACCACAACTACACAAGATTGCCATAAACAAGTACTGATTTAGCTAATCACCACTCTACTGAGTTGTCTCTCCACTGCAAGCAATCTTTGTTTCACCACTTGAAGCTCCTTTGTGGCGAAATCATTACACTGCTCACAAGCAAGAGCTGGAGATGGTGGAGTGACAGCAACCAACTGAGCAAGCCGCTTATTCTCTTCTTCTAGTTCACAGACTCTGCTTTGCAAATTGACAATAAAATCCAGAAGCCTTTGTTCCTGTTTTGCATAGCTCTCAAATCACACCAAGCAAAGAAGTCACACCCGACCTTACTCTGTAAAGAAATCAATCTAAATATTAAAATACGAAATATGAAACATATAAGAACTATTGATTTGAACACCCAAATGGCCAAGGAAAACTCCACATTCTCAAGCTCCTTGCGTTCAAGAAATTCTATAACAACACTATATGAGTTGTAAACAGGTTACCTTTGAGTGGTAAAGAGAGCAAGACCAGAATATGCGATTAGGGTTGTCGGAAGTTCTGGAAGTTCTCACTACAGCTTCCAATCCACACTCGCAGTATACCCCTTCATCCGTCAAATCATCGATGAAGAAGCCGGCGGCCATTTCAGAAAAGATAGCCTCTTGCAGGACCCAGCGGCCAGCAAGGTGGAGATCGACAATGGAAAAGATAACAGAAGCTCTTCTATGGTTTCTTCGATCTCTTTTCTTCAATCTCCTACTTTAGGGATTGTTCTGTTTAGTGGAATGGGGGAGGGAGAGACAAAATGGGAATGATAATAGTTGGGTTTTTTTTTTGTGGAGATGGGTCACGACTAAGGAGAAGAAAAGAATAAAATAATCAAAAAGAAGGACAATTTGGTAGTTTCAATTTCTCTCCAAATAAGACAAAGAAGAATTGCCTACATTACAGAAACCTAACCAAACAAGGCAATCTCGGCAGAATATCTCAGGGTCAATATTAATCATTTCTCAAATGAGTCTTTTTGTCAAATTGACTCGTTGGGTAATTGGCCCATCCAAACGACCCCTAAAGCTAATTCAAAATTGAAGTTGAGTGGTTTTTCAGATTCTGATTGGGCAAGTTGCCCTGATACAAGAAGGTCAATTACAGGTTATTGTAATTTGTTTGGAGATAGTTTGATAACCTGGAAGTCTAAGAAACAAAGCATTTTTCTAGATCATCCTCTGAGGCTGAGTATAGGACTTTGGCACACTTGGTTTGTGAATTGCAGTGGCTAAGAGATTTACTTGCAGAAATGGGTGTGAAGATTCCCTTACCTATTCAGGTTTACTGTGACAACAAATCAGCTATCCACATAGCTGAAAATCCTGTATTTCATGAGAAAACGAAACACATTGAAATAAACTGTCACATTACAAGGGAAGGGCTGAAGTCTGGGTTGATCAAGTTGGAACATGTCAGAACAGATGATCAGTTAGTTGATCTCTTTACCAAAGGTATGACAAGATACAGGTTGAAGTTTTTACTTAGCAAGTTGGGAGTTTTGGATATGCACTCGCCAACTTGTGGGGGCGTATTAGAGCAGATTCAAGATGATTGTAGAGAAGAAGCATAGCTTAAGAGTGAAAGGGAAAGGAAGATGAAGATGAAAGTTACAGAAGACTGAACCGATGTCATTTGCTTGTTTTCCGTTTCCTACTAGCCGTTAGTCAATGGTCATTCAGTTAGTGCCACCTGTTAGGCACACAGTAATTTATTTAATTTACAGTTTAACTTCCTTTCAACTTTTACTATAGATGAATTCTGTTTGTTTAAATAGCAACAGAGAAGCACACTGCTCTCTCTGAGTTTTTCCCCTCCAATTCATAGCTGCTTAACCTAGTAGCTCGTTTCTCTTTCTTCTCCTTCTATTTCTTAGGAACCCCTGCGCATCGTGATCGTACCAATCGGCTTGCCGTCGAGAGAGATTGCCCTGTGCCACGGGTGAGGGACGACCAGCTGTTGATGAAATAGATGGCTTCTTCTCTGCTTGTGCAGGGCTCCCCGTCGCAGAATTTCGTCACTCTCTCGTCTCCGTCCCATACCATGAAATCTTCCACGTCGGAGACTTTCAGTCGCCGGAGGGTGATGGTTCTGTTTCCAACTTCTGGATCCATTTTTTTTCTTAATTTTGTTTTGGCTGTTTAGTGATTTCTATTGAGGTTTTATGTGTGAGGTTATCAACCGTGAATCGTGATGACGAGGTTATATTTATATAAAGGTTGTCAACCCGCAGGTCGACTCACTTTGATCCTGACCCGGTGAGAAAAATGGGTCGACCGCTACAAGGTATCGGGTAGGAGGTCAAATTGTGTCATTTTTTTCTTTGGTTTGCGAAATGCGCTTATTTTCCGATTTTTCTTTTCGCCTAACTCAATCTTTGGAATCCTTAATTGAACATTTGAACATTGATGTTATGTAAATGTGTGTGAATTTTTACTATATGTTGGATATAAGTACGACATGTTACTTTGGTATAATGTTATTACTTATATTTTAGATGAGATTTGATCTAATTTATCAGGATAAGTACAATATAATGACTCTTTCCATATTTCCGGGTTAAAACGGGATAAAAAGGGTGACCCGTTAACCCTTGACCCACTAGCTCGACCGGGTCCGGGTCAACCAGCGGGTTGACAACCTTGATTTATACCCAAACGACTGCAAGGCTCAAGATAGGGTGCATAACCCATGGTTATGCAACTATCAATAACTAAATATGGACCCTTCTTTTAGAAAATCCAGATCTAAGGATGGGGAATTAATGGTCATTTTTATTTTCCCTAACTTTTTTAATCGACTCATATCTTCTTCGTTTTAACTCGGATTTTAATTTTTTTTGCACAGATAGAACGATTTCGTTGTGCTCTACAAAATGAGACCCATTTTCAATATTTTTTTAGGAAAAAAAAATTATTGCCTCTCGGTACTAACTGCATAATATATGGTATCTTCTTCGTTTTTAATTCGTTTTTGAAAACGTTTGCACAGAAGGAACGAGTTCATCATGATCTATTGGATCTAAAAATTTCTGGGTGAACAAATTACAGGACCAAAAAATACCACACAATATCATACAATACCACCCTAGTACGGGGTGGTATCTTGTGGTACACAATGTTAAAAGTCATGAATGACAGTTAATATTAGTCTACTATCATGTATTCAACCATCCTACAGTCTTGGTTTGTTCATACCACCATGGTACGCTTTTCAAACCATAGGTAAGCTCTTATTTCAATACGAGTCAATACCATATGGTATAGACTGGTAAAAAATGACTCAATTTTTTTTGTTCGAAAAATATATCAAAGTGGATATCATTTTGAAGAGCACAATTAATCTTATCTAACTGTGCAAAAAAATTAATTTTCGACTTAAAACGAGTGAGAAATCGTCCGTCAAAGATCAATGAGGGGAAATTAAAGACTTTCCAGGAGAGAGAAGGATGCTGATGTGAACGGATTACTCATAGTTACTCACCATAAGCTTACTGACCTGATCCATTCTCAATTACAATGTACAAATATGAAAAGAAATAGAAGACCTAAAGCTAAACGAACAAAGACTTGTCACTAATATTATGGCGATGAATAAGTAGAAGATACGAGTAGGGGTGGGATTCGGTCGGTAAACAATTTATCGTTTACCGAATTTACCGGTTTTGGTATACCGAAATTGGCCAAACTGGTTACCGATTACCGATACCGGTTTGTAACCGGTTTACCGATTACCGAATTACCGGTAAACGGTTACAAACCGGTATTACCGAAATATAGTGAGAAGCAATTTCGGGCAGTTTTTCGGTCGGTTTACCGAACCGAATTTCTGGAAGTGGGGTGATGTTGTAATATTTTGATTTTTTTGAGTTTTTTTTCATCATTTTTGTAATTAATAATTTATTATTAACTCTTATTTACAATATTTTTGAGGCCTATACTTACATTCATGTATGTAATATTTTATATTTTTGGGGGTAAAGCGCCAAAACGCAGCATAGCACTAGGGAGTAGGAAGGGGGGATTCGGTATCGGTAATACCGATTTACCGTCGGTATTTACCGATACCGTGTCCGGTAAACCGACTCCCCCAACTTCCCGCTCGACTGCCGATACCGCCGGTACCGTTTACCGCCATTTACCGGATTACCGTTTACCACCCCTAGATACGATTGCACCCAAAGTGAAACAACAAGGAGTGAACTGAAATAACTAATTTATACTTCTTCATGTGTAAAACACAGAAGTACATATTTATAGATGTAAAACTAATTTTTTTCTTTCTCTAATAAGGTAAAAAAATATTCTTCTAATGCTAGAACAATTAAACTACTTCTCATACAAGAAACAATTAGTTAATAATCTCACAGACAATTAATAGGAAAATTGTTTTGATATATAAAAATAAGAGTTTGTCATTTACTATTTATTAAGCGGGTCTTTTGTAATTAATCTCAACAAGAAAACATCTCGCGCTATGTTGCGGATGATGACATACTAGCATTGACATTAGTTGTTCCATTTTGAATTTTCGTGACCTATGTCGGATTTTCTCTTGATGGTGTATTATTTGATAAAATCAATAATTTTGTAAGTTAGACATGAAAATTTATAATTAGACTATATAAGAAAATGTCAAAAGTGGACTTTTCATGTGCACTTAGTAGTCTTGGTCTCCTTGAATAATTAGCCTAGCCCAAATCATCAAAGTTGAGGTCCAAAATTTCATCTCAATTTACTAACGCAACTGGGTTTTGTTTGTACTGATTGGTATTGTCGTGATGAGTGTCGCCTCCACCCATGGTTGTCAAGTCAATGGAATATCGGTCGAATAAATCTAGAATAATTGGTGCTAGTCGTGAAACTGGCTGGGATACCATCGATATGACCGATTTCCGACCTCTAAACAAAATTATGTTATTTTGGTAAATTTAATTATAAAAATATTGTTTTTATTTATTCATGAATTTGAAAGTTAAACATTGATGTTATTTGTTGGAATTTAAGTAAAAATATTCGGGTGTTGACCTTAAATAATGTATTTAAATATAATTATTTATTATTTTATTTGGAATATTATATTTTATTTATATATGAATGTAGATTGTATTCAAATATGTTTTTATATATGATTATTAAATTCGTTTTTTTAATAATAATTTCATTCATTCAAGCCCAAAGGAGGTAGAGAAGCTACAACATGCTGGAAATTACAACCAAAACAGAGAGTCAATTGGCATGAAGGGTATCTTGTCTACAGTTGCGAGCGACCTAGCTAGCTTCTTTGTTGTTCTATCTACTAGTGAAGGAGATATGGATCCAAGGAGATCTGCGAAGGATGTTGGTGATAGAACAGAGGGAAGCATAACAACGCCATGGCCAACATGCAGGGCTGTTGTAAATGGCATCCACCAATGTTTTGCAATCTAAATGGATCGATGAGAGAACACGGTCACTGGTTTCAATAAGGCTTGCTTCAAGAATGGTTGTAGCTTCCGCTTCAATTGGGGAAGAGCAAATGATCTTCCAGCCTTCCCATCGCAAATCTGTCCGTTGGAGTCGGTAATAACCACTACAAAAGCCACCCTCAGTGAATCACTTTCGTAGGAGCCGTCAAAGTGAATCTGTTGAAGATTGCTAGGTGGTGGACATGATTGAGATGGGAGAACCCGAGGCTGAGGAGAAGGGAAGGGATGGTGCGGTGTGTAATGGGGTTCTGCCGCTTCCTGGAAGGCACATATCGAAGTATTTGTTGGGAACAAAGTTGTTCCTCTAAAGATACTCTCGTTATGGGCCTTCCAAATCTTCCAAATGCAGAAGATGTGGCGGCGGATAGAAGAAAGATCGGACTAACGTTTCAAGGCGAAAATTCAGTGAGTGAGGTTTTGTGGGGGAGAAAAAGATGGAAGAACCTTAGTCCAAGTTTCGGATGCATGAGGTAAAAGGAAAAGGCAGTGAATGGGGGTTTCTTCCGTCGATCGGCAGAGTTGACAAAGGGGGGAAGGTGCACACTTGCGCCAGAAAAGATTGAGGTTTGTTGCAAGGGGCGTTTCGAATGCACCTCCACATGAAAATTTTGATCTTTGGAGGAAGCTTGAGAGACCAAAGCCATTTCCAGCTGTCATCTGAGGTTTGGCATGTTGAGATCGTGTGGATGGTTATGATGACGGAAATGGTTACGCAAACCATGGTAAGCAGAGCGGACAGAGAATTCTCCAGTAGGGCAGAATTTACATGCCCAAAAATTCTATGTTCCCTCAAGGGAAATCTGGATATGTGAAATAGCCTCGACTTCCTCTGATGTGCAATGTCTTCTAAGGAGGTCAAAGTTCCAGCTTGTACCTTCTTGATTCATCCAGTCTTTCACACGGGAGGGAGGGTCAAGATTGGAGGAGATATTGTGCCCTTGATTGTGGAGTGGGTGGACCCAAGGATCTTTGTGAAACCAAGTGTTCTCCCCCGATCCGATGACCCGAATAGCTCCAATGTCAAGAGCCTGCTTTGCATAACAGAAGCTCTCCCAAATCCAAGATGAGGAACTACCTTTTCGGGAAGAAGAGAACACTCCATTCGGGAAGTAAAGGCCACGGAGAACTCTTACCCATAAGGCTTCCGGTTCGTTGAGGAGACGCCAACACTGCTTAGCAAGCAAGGAGAGATTAAACAAGTGAAAATTCTGAAAACCCAACCCACCTTCCGATTTCGGGTCGTTGAGGACTTCTCCTTTCCGCCAAGGGATGGCTTTCTTTTTTATCGAACCCAACCAAAAGAACCGGTAGAGTAGAGAGTCCATTTTCTTCGTGAGAGAGGCAGGAAGAAGAAAAACACTTATGATGAAGGTTGGGATTGCTTGGATAACAGCTTTGAGCAAAGTTTCCTTTCCCCCATGCGGGAGTGTGAGACTCTTCCAAGATTCTCCCTTAATCTCCATCCTCTCGATTAGGAAGGAAAAATTTTCCTTCTTAACGACCCCATTCTGTCGGGACCCCCAGGTACTTATCATGGTGGATGGAAGAAGGAAAGCTCAAAGAGCTCGTGATAAGGTGACGAAGGTCCTCTGGGTATTCTTGCTCGAAAAAAACTAAGGATTTATCCATGTTGACTGACTCGACTCTACTATCACCCTAGGAATTGGCCAAGTGAAACCACTTCCTAAAGCGTAGTATAGCGGGTTTAGGTTTAATTATCAACCCGGGTCCTAGATTTGATGACTACTCGGTGAATTCTTGTTATCTAGCAATGAAACTGGAATGCAAGTCTAAACTACCACACAAACAAAGCAAGTAAACTGTTGTATTCAGGTTAAGAGAGGTCACCCGGATATGGTTCCCCCTAGACTGCAGTTAAGCCGAATTGTAATTGCCAAGTTCAAGTTCTATGATAGTTATACTGCGGAAGGTTCTTAAACAACCTGAAGTCTCGACTAAAGGTCTTCAGACCCTCTCAATCTGAATCTCTAGCGGGCGACTAACCTCCACCGGAGTAAACAGATTGAGGCCCTAAGAACAAAACCTCCACTACCGGAGTAAATCCGGTACAGAATAGTGAGTTGGCTCCTCGACTAAAGTCACCACTCCCTACCTTTAATCAAGGATACTCTATTAACCTAGGCAGATATTCTCATTCTAGGTTAAAGCAGAAACAACAGGAATTTGATCAGGATTCAAGTCATTCAATCATTCAAACCTCAATCGAATATAATCAATCATAGAATTAGTACTTGGGTTCATACAATCAAAGCCTAACATACAAATCTAGGGTTCTCCATACCCAGATGAATGGGAGAACTACTCCATGGAGAAGAAAGCAAAAGCAGAATCAGACGCGGAATTCATACTGTGAAGGATGGATTCCTGCTTCTGGACGTTGATCGGAACTTCTCCAAGCTCAAACTGGCCTCCAATGGTGATGAAGATCAAGCTAGGGCACTTGGAGACTCTTGTTCGTCGCTTTCTCTCTCTAGGAATCGTTCTCTCTCTCAAAAACTCGAATCCCCCTCTGTTTGGCTGAAAATCTGCTTAAAAAGGCATCAGTGGCCAAAGCACGGTCGAGAGCACGGTCGAGGGCACGGCCGTGCTTTGCCTCAGCCCGCCCGTGCTTTGGCTAGGGTTAATTACACGGCCATTGTGTTGGTGCAAACACGGCCGTGCTTTGGGAGAACACGCCCGTGCTTTGGTGAAGCACGCCCGTGTTCTATCTCAGCCCTGCCCGTGTTTTGGCCAATGTGGTCCAAACTCGAATTAGCTCTCGGCAGTAAAAGCACGGTCACAGAACACGGCCGTGTAATGATTTAGGTGTGCCCGTGTTTTGGCTCCAGCTCACCGAAATGACTTCCGAATGCCCCGAAACTCGCGCTTAGCCTTCCCTTTGACACCTGGGACCTGAAACATGACAAAATAGCACAACCCGGCGTAAAATAGGCCAAAACACACGACTATGCCCCTCAAACGGATAAGAACTAGGGGCGCAAATATGTGCAATTACATCGTTATCATTGACCTCTTGTCCTGTCAGGGATTTGTAAGTTTCGATGATCGCCATAATTGCTTGAGCCTCCTCTCTCGAAGCTTTGCCAAAAATGACAGTATCATCTACAAACAGACAATGGGACAGATGTGGGCAATTACGTTTCATTTTGAGCCCTTGAATAGCGCCTTGGGAGACACTCTTGTCAAGCAAGAAGGAAAGAGCATTAGACATTAGGATGAAGAGGAAAGGGGAGAGGGGTCTTTCTGACGAATCCCTCTTGTGGGGGTGAAGAAGTCGGTCGGTTCTCTATTGAAAAGAATGGAAAATCGAACCGTGCGAATACATTCCATGACCCAACCACACCGTGCATGATTAAAACCATAGGCCTTCAAGAGCTCTCCTAAACTGTCCCAATCAACAAGGTCGAAGGCCTTTCTCATGTCCATCTTGAGCATCATATCAAATCTTTACCCCTTTTTTCGTTTCTTGAAATGATGAAGAACCTCATGAACAATAGTGATGTTGTCCCGAATCAAATGAACTCCGGTGAAGGCAGCTTGCATTTCTGAAATGAGACATGGCATGAACCTCTTGATTCTAGTTGACATGATCTTAGAAACCACTTTGTACTTGAAATTGCAGGAGCTAATTGGATGGAATTGGGAAGCAGATTCAAGCGAAGGGATCTTTGGGATGAGGGCTATATGTGTGTCATTCCATCCGGGAGGAAGGGAAGACGTTGCAAAGAAGGATTCCACCTCTTTACACAAATCTTCCCCAACAATGTTCTAGTACTTCCGGAAGAAAATCCTAGAGAAGCCATCAGGGCCAGGCGATTTATGCGGTCCCAAAGAGAAAACCACATTCTTGATCTCCTACCTATAAAGTGGCTTACTCAGTTCCGCAATCATATCGTCAGTTACAATGCAAGGAAAGTCGGTGAGAAAATTCACGTCGAGCCTTGTATCTTTGGCTTTGAACAACTCCTTGTGAAAATCAGATAAGTGGGCCGAAAGGATGTTCGGCTGCTTAATCCAATTCCCATACACATCTTTGAGGCCCATAATCCTGTTGAAATGCTTCCGGTAAACATTAGAGTTGTGGAAAAAAAATTGTTTTGATCGCCTTCCGCCAACCAATTAATCCTCGATCTTTGCCTCCACATTCTTTCTTCATTCCTCCAAATGACATCAATCTCCTCCAACAATTTTGTTTCCTCCTCCAAAACCTCATCTGATCAGAAAGTTTGGGCGAGAATCTCAAGCTGATTTTTTATTTCTGTTTCCCTTTGTTGTTGAACTTCTCTCAGCCCCTTCGCCCAAGCTTTCAAATTTTCTTCACGTCTCTTAAGTCTTTGGTCATGGGTTCCTTCCGTTGCCCAAGCATTAAGCACCACTTGGTCACATTCCTCCTTCCCAAGCCAACGGTCGTCAAAATGAAAGGGCCTTCTCTTTCTAGAATCGGGCGCATGGAACTCGAGTCTTATCGCTCGATGATCAGATCTGACCATCACTGTCATGGAAGAGAACAGCTTCGTCAAAAATTGCACGCCATGATGGGGTGCAAAGAGCACGATCAAGGTGCCCTTTGATAAGCTGACGTCCTCTTCTTTTGTTGTTCCATGTAAAATGTGGTCCTTTGTGGCCCATGTCAATTAATCCGTTATTGAAGATAAAGTTCTTGAATGGTACCACGGATTCTCTTCTTGGCGCCCCTCCCCCACACTTCTCATAGTCAAATAACATAGCATTCAAGTCACCAATTACAACCCAAGGAACATAGGATCACTTCTAATACTAAACAAACTATCCCAAAACGTCCTCCTCTCACTAGGAACCGAGGGGGCGTAAACAAAAGTAAGGTAAAAACCTCCACCATAGTCAATAAAAACATCAAAAAAATTCTGTCCGCAATCCAAAATTCAAAGAGGAAGACCCGCTGCCCACCAAATTGCAAGTCCGCCCAATGTCCCCTCCGGATTGACATATTCTCCCTTGTAAAAATTGTTGATGATTCTAAGCTTCTCCATAGTCTCTCTTGAGTTCATAGTTTCCATGAGGAACACAATGGAGGGGCGAAATCTTCTAATCATTCTTCGAATATGATTTTCTGTCGCGTTTGCCCAATTCCCCGGCAGTTCCAGCTAATACAACTCATTCTAACCCCGGTGGCTTAAGGTTGGCCACCTTCACCTCAGAGTTAGAAGCCTGTGGGTGCTTCAAAAGTTCTTCAGCTTCTTCGAAGAGTTATGGTTTGTCTTCCCCTGCCATTTCCTGCTGCTTGCGTCCTTTAATCCTAATTCTGGCATTTCGCCCTCACCTGGAGTGAACATAGGCCTTGAGAAATCTAGGGCTGTCCTTGTTTTCTATTCTTTGGTTCAGGTTGGCCTTCTTCAAGTCTATCTCCAGGGAAGGAGAAATCATAATCATTGGGCCTTCTGTTGAGGTCCAACTTATCACCCAGATCTTCCACAATTTGAGAGACATGATGCTGGTTGGGATGGAAGCCGCCTCCATTTCAGCCGCTAGGTTACGAGCAATGATGGTGGGGCGGACGTTGACAGGAGGAGTGAGATGAGGCGCTGCTCCATAGACCATCAGATGTTGTGGATAGTTCCGTTGGGTGGCAAGCCCCGAGGCTGTTCTTGGGCTTGCTGTAGAGGGTTCCGTTGGGAACTGGTGGGGTGTGAATCCCGGTGGGCCCCGGATTCCCAGATTGCATCCTTCGGTGGAGGGAGTCACTGGAGATCCTGGAATGAAATTTCCTGTGGCAGACGAGTATCTTCCTAGAATCCTGATAAGTCAAAAGCGTATAGCTTCAATTCCTATCTTGTAGTAAAACCGGAAAGTCCGGGTATCGTCTCTCAGGGACTGGTACAACCTTATGATTTATCAATTCTTTCGAGCAAACTATATGTGAAAATGTTTAAGAGATGAAATTATTAACTATTAGCAAAATAATTAAACTAATTAAACAAAGCAAACTTGTCGAGGAAAATTCAATGGGAGAAAGCTCTGGGAGAAACACCGGGATTCACTACCTATCCTATCCAGATTAATTCACCTATTCCAATCAATTTAATCCATACATCTACAGCCAGGATATCACGAATGTGCTAGCTATCCCTGTCGGGAATTACTACGTACTAAACAATTAAATCAAATCCTACTGTCGTAGCTCAATGACCTAATTATTCAGCCTGAAGATCGATATCCTATTGAAGACCGCATAGCACCTTATTTAATCCACTGTCGCTTCGATAAGTTACTATGTCACATGAAATATGTTCAGTTAATAGGATTTCACTGTCGCTAATAACCTAATTAACTACAAATCGTTGTGTTGGTGGCCAGTCAACACAAAGCATTAAGCAATTCCATGCAATAGAGATTGGAAGAAAAGAATCATAAATCAATCCATCAAATCAAGAAATAGCTACATCCTATGGTGTTTCCCCCAGAAATTGGGGTTTAGTTCATGATGAAACTAAGATAAATCGATAGGATTTTGTTCATCATGTTACGAAGCAAAGCAAAAGAAAAACAAATACTGAAATTTTCTTCCCTGCCCTGCACTCGATCGCTCGCGCAAGCTGCTTCTCCGCTGCGCCTGCTCCCTGTCGCCTTCGCTTTAATTCCGTTCCTTTCTCCAAGAGAATTCCCCCCCCGGAATTCAATTGCCTCTGTCCCTTTCTTTTTATTCTCTCTTCCCTGGACTCTCCTTCCAAATCCAAAACCTCCACCCCCGACTAATTCACTTCGGCCGCTTCTAAAAAGTGTCCCAGAGCCCAAATCCAGTTCCATGCCGCCCATTCCAGCCAAGTCCTCTGGGCCTTGAGCCCAAGTGAGTAGTCCACCAGTAATTCGACCCCGATTTATTGTTTGTGCACTCGCTCCTTTTTCGTGCTTTCTCCACCTGTATCATATCAAACTCATGGCACTAGGCAGTAATGGTTTTTCAACCATTCTCGGGTTAGCGAGCCCTAAAATAGCACCAATTGACTAAAACATACCACGAATAATCACATAAAGTCTAAGAATTCAATATGTTAAAGCCGATTATCAAATCCAGAGCTGATTTTGGATGAATCCCGGGAATCCAATGTTGGATTCGGCGTCACCAGGTGAGCTATGGACGATTCTTCCTCTGGGAGGAGGGGGTGGACGAGCAGTTTTGGTCCCGGCTTTCATCCATGGGGTGAATCTGCCTTCGGGTGCCGCCACTGCTCCTTGCTCAATATCGGGTTTCCTCCTTGGACATTACTGTTTGTCGTGCCCTTGTCTCCCACAGTAGCAACAAAGGATGTAAAGCTTTTCAAATCTGAATCCAAGCCACTCTCTGACTCCGTTAGTAGTACAGGAAGAGCCAGGGGGAAGGGGACGGGTGATATCAGCCTGTATGAACACCCTTACAAATTCCATGTACTTATCTGAATTCAGACCCCTCATGTCGATGCCATGAATTTTGGGGAACATTGCAACTATAGCTTCAACATTAGAGACTGTTCCCTTGTGGTCAAGTATACCATGGACTTGGATCTAAAAATCGGCCAAGTCAAAGTTGACATTTTGTGGGCGGATTGATTCTTCCCATTGCTTCAGTTGGAGAGTGTTTCCAAAAACCTGCCATGGCCTCCCTTCCCAAGCACGATCCAATTCTTCCTTGAGATTGAAGATGAAGACGAAGGTGTTCCTGATTTTTGGCACTTCTCGGATGGTTGGCTCACATAAATGGGACCAGGCTCCATTAATCATACCCACCATGGCACGCTTGCTGACTTCTCTATCCCCGAAGATACGTCCCACAAGGCGAAGAAGAGTTCCTCCAGTAGATTGAGGGGTCTCGTCTGGGAAAAATCGCCTCATAATCCTCATCCCCACAGTCCAGATCTTGGCTTAACTAGTTATTCATTGTTGGATTTGCCATCGGGGGAATAAGAGCCGAGGCTTTTCTGATTTGGATGGGATAAATCTCGAGAGGGTAAGTTTTGGATGGGGGTGTGGTAGCTGGTAACTGGTGTTGGGGAACAGGAGGTTAAATAGAACTGACGGGGAAGAGTGGTTTGCCATCCAGACCTTCATTGATAGTAGGGAATCTTTTGGTAAGATTAGAAGTATAGGAGTTATTATCATCTGATTTTGGGGCTCGAGAGATTTGTGGCAGCTGGGGGATCTTTGGCTAGATTTTGGTGGTTTAAAGAGGTTGAAATTCTTCCTCTTCTCTTCGTTCTCTGACAGATTGATGGGGCTATACTTGTTTGAGGACAGGATCTTTGAATAGGAAGGATGAAGAAGGACTAGGTAGTTGGGAGGCAGCTGTTGTGTGTATAGAGCAGAGCAAGTTACATTAACTCCATGGATGAGTTGTTGAGTAGGAGATCTGCTCACATTAATCAGCAAGACATAATCTCTGATGGGATCTTTCACTGTGTTGAGGCAGCAGATATTAATCATCTCCATTAGTGGAACTAAGGAGGAAGAAAGAGCACCTTCATTGAAGGATGCATCTAGGTTTCCATATCTGTGCTTTGAGAAAACAGAGAGAGGATTTTCTAGAGAGAGACATTTTTGTGTTTCCTGGCCCTTAAGTTATTAAATTCATTTGGTGGTTGGAAACTTTAACTCTTATATTCCATAGACTTGTGAAGCTAACCTCTCTTGGGCCATTCAGAGGTTTGGGGGCAGTTTTCTTGTGCTTTGACAGGTAGACTCATATGGAAATCTCTGTTGAGCCATACTGAGAGGGAGCGATGCAAGAGAGCTTTTGGGGGGCAAGGACATGATGTTGCTGGATTTGTGGCTCAGGTTAAGAGGGAGGTTGTGGTGCTGGTACAGGAGCCCAGGGATCTAATGCAATTCTGGTATGCTAAAGTTTTCTAACAGCTGGTCTTTTATCATAGGCTTAGTTTGGATTTTAGGTTTCCTTTGTTATTTGTGTTGTATTAGCAACTGATCGATTTCATTCCTAGCAGATAAGGACGTCATCAGCACCCCATTTTTCGATACAATGAAAGTACCAGATTCATAAAAAAATCATTTGATGTTAATAATTTTTACATATTTACATATTTTATTAAATCGACATAAATAAATTGTATTCCAATCAAAACATACTACTTGCTAAATTGGTTTTACAAATACTCAAAACTATATTCTATTTTATTCTATGGTTTTCCTTTACTTTTTTCTGAGAGTTGCCCCGTTAGGAAACCTTTATGCTTAAGGGCAACCAAACTAAATATAATTCTTTGTTTCATTGGTCACAAATGTAAAAAGGGGCTCATCAAAGTATGATAGGAGCCCATAAACTTAGGTCCAATCTAAGGGAATTATTAGTTAACAGTAAACATGGTTTTGCTTTATATATATATATATATATATATATATATATAAAAATTAGGTGGCGCTGCTGCGCCTTGGTGCGCGGGGAAGTTTGCGTATGGATATGTATTATGTGATTCGTAATAGTGTTTTGTTAGTATTATTAGTCTAAAATGAATTTTTTGTTAGCATTTTTGTTAGTAATATTGACTTTACAATATGATATTGTCTGTTATTGACTAAGAAGAGATATATGGTGATCAACATCCAATTTAAAAAAAAAAATTTGGCTAATAAATTATATTTACCTAAACCAAGTAGACCCATTAATTATGGGTAGGGTATGGATGACGTATATATGGCTTTGGAAGTTTGTAAATGGGTTTAGGTAGGGTGTGGATATTTACGTCCATAATCTAAATGTGTATGAGTTGGGTATGGATACTCATTTATACGAGGGTGTTTTAATCAGTGTTATTAAAGCCGAGCCGAGCCGCTCGGCCCGACCGGTAAAACCGCCACCTGGTCATAAAATCGGCTCGAAACAGTCTAAAAGCCTCTCCAGTTTTATGTAGCGGTTGGCGAGCGGCCGAGGTGGTTAACCGTTCGAGCCGATCGAGCCGCTCGTCCGGTTTTTGCCATTAAGCCACTAAATTTAATTAAAAAAATTGTAGAAAATTGAAATAAACCAAAAACATTGGGCTCTCAAATTGAATCCTTATTTCCATTTCACAATTTCGAAGGAAAGAGATGAGCTCTGATTAAGAAATGTCCACTATTTATACTGATAACGTTTATTAGATACCGGTTCTCTAACGGTTTTTAACTGGTCTAATGCCGGTTGGACCGCTAAAGTGCAAGCCGTTCGCATTACCGGGTCATGCTCTGGTTCGGTTCTGACAACATTGGTTTTAATTATACATACAAAAATTAGACCTATTTGTAGAAGTTTAAAAATTTAGGTACCAAAATATAATACATAAAAAAATTCAGGTACTAAAATATATTGTTTCATCAATATTTTGAGGACTTATATACCAAAAGAATAAATTTATGTTATAAATCTACAGATCTATTAAGTTTAGATACCGAACTTTAATTTGCATAGTTGATGCTTAATTCTTTTTATGGTGAAGTATTTATGATGATTATTATTTATTATTTTATAAAAAATGAAAACTATTTATTTTATATGTGTAGATACCTAGCCAAACATTCCATGTATAATTGTAGAAAATTCTAGCCCGAGTGAAAAAGAAAAACTCTAGAGAGAAGCAAAATGAATACAAACTGGAACTCGCTTAAAATTTCACGTCTTCAAATACCATAGTGGAAAATGACAATTTTCTAATACATAACCATATATATTTATTTTTACTTGGATTCGACATTGAGTTGAAAAAATTAGTGGTTCATGGTTCAATTATTAATTCTCTATACTGTGCATGAGTCGTATATGGACCTGTTCATAATTGTGAATAGAATACATAAAAATAGTATACTAATTAGGATTAGACGAAGAAAGTAAAGAAAGACATAAAGAAAGGGTATGGAAGGCGAGTGAAAAATGAAACGAATAGGAAGTAGATGATGGAAAGGTTTTGACCAACTCCTTTAGTTGGCCGTCAATAAAACAATCAACCCTTTTCACCAAAATAATTTATTGACACTTGCTTATTTAGATGTCTAGGGGTGTGCAATGATCCGGTCCAGGACCAGACCGAGTATAATGCGGTCTGGTCCTTGGTCTACATGAATTTTGCAATTACTGAAGAAATGATGGATCGAACTGATATTTGGATCAGACCAAACCGAACCAAATGGACCGAATGCAATGATGGTCCGGTTCTTGGTCCTAAGATGTCTTTTCACTAATGGACTACGGTTCTCATGAGTTAGGTCTGGGCCGGGTCGAACCGAACCGTTGCACAGCCCTATAGATGTCGCATATTTTGTTATAGGGAGTTAGTGGAAGTTTGTTTAGTACCCCGTAAATATACTAAATGAGTTTATAAATTCACTCTTACAATATTTTAGTGTTGTCTCTCTTTTATCATTTATTTAATGTTTCACGTAATGAGCAATTATAAAATGGCCGAATCTTCTCTTACAGTTGAGTGATACAACATCTTGTATGATACAAACTAAATTTATACTCTTATGTTATGGTGGATTGGATTCATGGATTGGTTCAAAAGGATTGGTGAATTGGATTCATGGATTCAAGTGAAATCTAGACATTGAACCAATATGTAAATTAAAAAAATTGTAGGTACCAAAATCTCATAAAATTTAGTTAAAAACATATTTAATCAATGATATTACATTAAAATTAAATTTGGGGTATCAAAATATAAAATGTTATAGTGACTAATTTGTAATTTGTTAGGCAATACCGCAATAGTAAAACTACTTCAGCTTTATATATAAGAACTGTAGAGGGCAAAAGTCTGTAGGATGGGACCCATTCAATTTTCCCCGTTGATTTAATTGGAAATGTTTTTGGTCATTCTTTCTCTTAGGGTTCGTTTGATTTTGGTGATAGTTAAATTGATGCATAGTTATGAATGAATGCATAATAATATACATGTATATAAGAAAATTAATGTATTGTAGTTTACATCGTTTGGTTTCTGCGATAGTTATTGTAATATTTAAATAAGATATATTACTTTTTGGATGAAATGTCACTTTTATCCTTTATTTTTAATATAAAAAAGCCAAACATATCAAAAGGTAGAGACATAGTTGGAAGAAGAAAAAACTCCAACAATCTGAAACAAACAATCTCAACAATCTAACAAAAATTGAGTGATAGTTTGTGTCACATCAAGCAAACAATGCATGAATTGTTTGTGCAGAAAATTCAAAAAAAACGATGCATTGTGAACAATACATGCATGGTAACTTCCCAACCAAATGACCCTTACATTTCTTTTTGTTTTTGTTATTATAAAATTGGCCTATTTGTTAAGTCGGGATAAAAGTATTTGGAGTGAGGATTCATCAGGAGTTGATTCTGTTAAGTCAGGATACCACTTAGCGATGCAATCACATAGAGCGATGTCAAAATGTCGAGAGAAAGTGCCGATTCAGATGCTCTTTTTTGGAGACTGGTATGGAATTTTTTGATACCACCTAAGCTAAAATTCTTTTTGTAACAACTTCTTTCGTCGTATGTTGCCGCTAATAGAGGTCTTGCAAAGGAATGGGGTTCAATGCTTGGCTCGATGTCCGACCTGCTAGGCTGAATCGAAAACATTTGAGCAATTGTTTTTGGAATGTCCGGTCATCCTGGCTTTGTGGTATCACTCGGGTCTTCGGCTGACTACTTTGGGATTGGAGTGTCGGATGTTTGGGATACTTTTCAGGCGATGGACGGAATGGGATTCCTCACCGGAACGTGTTATGCGAGTGATCTCTTTGTTTTGGAGGATTTGGAAGTCAAGAAATTGGGTGGTGTATGAGGACAAGCAAGTTTCGATAGCCCATTTGTCGTGTCACTATACTATGCAGGTCGAGGAGTGGTTAGCTGTACCTGCGAGGGTGGCTGTAACTCCAGCTTAGGTTGGTGCTCGTGCTGCGCATCGTGCTAAGGAGTTGGGTGAAGGACGACCCGTGGTCTGTACGGTTGATGGGGGGTTTTGCTCATGATTCGTATGTTGCGGTTGGATTGGTGAATGTTCGATGCAACCGGAAATGTGGCAAGGGTGTCGGGACAGCAATATCCGGGGATCCAAGATCCTTTCCTCGCTGAGCTTTTGGCGATACGGGATGTGTGTCATTGGTGTAGCCAAATGAGTCTTGCAGAGGTGCTGATTCAGGGGGATGCTAAGTTGTTGTTGAGAAGATTCATGGGTTTGAGATGTGGGATCGCCGAGGTGGTGCTATACTTCAAGAGGTGGAGGAGTTTGCAAGAGCACACCCTGGTTCTGAGTTTTGGTTTGTAGGTAGGGATAGCAGCAGGGTAATCCATTTGGTTGGTAAGAAGGTCCTTTCTTTGTGCCCTAAAATGTTGTGTGGGTTTGATTTCTATGTTTAGCTTCGGTCTTTGATGTAAACACTGTTATCTTGTTAATCTTGCTAATTCCATGAGCTTATGACAAAAAAAATTGACCTATTTGTTCGTATTAGGTTTTGCATCATTCTTCATTTTCTCTCGATCGAGCTCAAATAGGAAAAAAAAATTCATTCTCAATTTCGACTAAAAGTAATTAGTGATTTACTAGATCTTATAACACTTGTACGGTGGGAGAACCGTGTCGTTACACTAGTACTCATTAAAGTAGATCCGAAGACACCCATAAGGTGGGAGAACCATGCGCTACGGTAGTACTCATTAAAGAACAAGAGAACCACAATAATGAAGTCATTCTTCATTTCTCTCTATCGAGCTCAAATAGAATGACAATAGGGAAATCTTTCATTGCCACATTCAATTAAAAATAATTAGTGATTTGCATTTGCTAGTTCCGATGACACTCACAAGCTGAGAGAACCGTGTCGTTATAATAGTACTCATTAAAAAATAAGAGAATCGCAATAATAATGTCTTAACGATTCATTTTAGGTTTTCTCACACTACTCACTTGACGGAAAGCGCATCGAGTGGACTTATCCGGTAATAATAAACTAAGGAGTAGAAAGCCCAAACATTGACTTGACACTCTCACAAGATTGTTCCCTTCGCATTACAGGGGGGAAACAGAGGAACCCTAAAAGAACAAACAAACAAACAATCCCAACGGACTCAGTTCACTGCCTTCCCTCCCTACAAGATCCCAACATCGGTAGACAAAAGGCTAAACATCACCATATCACGAGTCCTTCCTTTCAAAACCACATATCTCCTCAGCAAACCTTCCCTGCAAAACCCAGCTTTCTCCAAAACCCTCTGCGACCCAACATTGTCCACATCCACCAATGCCTCCACCCGCTCCAACTTCTCCCCACGCTCCTCAAACACCGCCTTCACCGCCATCTTCACCGCCGTCGTCGTGATCCCTTTCCCCCAGTACTCCGACGCCAGCACGTAGCCCAGCTCCCCGCGGCAGGCGTCGCCCCCTGAATTCTCCGTCACGGAAATGGCGCCGATCGGCCTGCCGTTGAGGCAGATTGCTTTGAACCACGGGTGGGGAACGACCGTGTTCTGAATGTAATTCAGACCATCTTCTCTGCTGGTGTACGGCTCCCACGTGCAGAATCGGGCCACTCTCGCATCCATCGCCCACACCATGAAATCGTCGACGTCGGCGACGCCCAACGGCCGGAGGGTGATTTGGGGAAGGTTTTCGATTTTCAGTTCTGGGTCCATTTTCTTGTTTCTAATTTGTTTGCTCTGTCTGGTCAATTTGGGGTGTGAATAAATAGGATTGCTGTGGGAGATGAGATGAAGGTAATTGGAGTATGAGAGGAATTGCCTGGAAAGATGGACAGAGTGGCTGTGGCGGCCCTGTCAATGACGGACTGCCATGATCTTTGGCTTTATTCCATTACAATAATGTGCAGCATAGTTTAGCCGCCTTGCTTGACCTTTTACGATGGCAACTTGGGGAGCAAGAAACTATGGATTTCGCAATAATGGGCGCCACCGCAGAGTGAGAACTACATTTTCTTATCTGGTTGATTGTTGAGGTGACCCATATGGAAGTTAGGCGGCATAGTATAAGAATATTGAGAAATTTTACAATGCTATATAGTATTGGTGCTATAGGTATTTATCTTTATGGTATAATTTAAAATTGTACATTTACGTTATGGTACAACTTTATATTGTACTTATACTTTTTGTACAAATTCTTTTATCGTACAACATGAACTTGTACCTTTATGTGATGGTACAACTTCAAGTTGTAAAATTGTACCATAACATAATGGTACAAATTGCTTTATGGTACAACCTAAACTTATACATTTAATGTTATGGAACAATTTTGAGTTGTACATTAAAGCACCAATGCTATATAGCATAGTAGAAGTGCTCTAAGACTATAAGGGATAGTACTAAACATTTCGTCATAAGATAGCTCATAAAATGAGAGAATATTTGGATAAGTGTAGCACCCCAAAGAGAGTGATCATTGAACAATCTTTCATTCATTATTCAACCACATGTCTTTGCTAAACCATATTTTTCTACAAATAATGGACCCATGGATGCTTACTAGTCGTTAATCACTCTCCGAATGCATAATTATGGTCTCCAAATGCTTGTTGCCGAAGGACCCATGCATGCTTACTAATTATGTCATAAACCAGTTGGTTCCAATAACTCGAGTTATGGGGAGAAAGTTATGTTGGATCTTATACCACTCTCTAACAAATTATAATCGAATACTTATCGATGATCTCAAAATACTTACTAAACTGTCCTTCCAATGTTTGCTATTAACGCTAGAATGTTTGTTAACCAACATACATATCGTAAACACTCAAATCCTTATTCGCCAAGGATCAATCATAACTAATTAACCAACCTCTATTGAGTTGGACCTTCTTGTTCCCTCTCTCCCAAGCAATCTTCAATCCCTCAATCGCACCTTTAAGTTCAGCACTCGTGATAGAACACGAGCCAAGGTTGCAGACGAAGACATCAGGGCATCTTCCCAAATGGTCTCGAAGAAGACCACCTGCAACAACTCTTCCTGAGGAAGAAATAACTGATATATCCGTGTGAACTTGAATCCATCCAACATCAGGTAGTTTCCAAGAAATGAGCTCAATATGGTATTGCTTTGTTAGTTTGTTGGTTCATAGCAGTCATTTGTGTCTCTGTGTTGGGCTTGCTCGATGATGTTAAACCAAGCATCAATTCTGCAATATAAGCCTTGATTCTTGATGATGATGTCCAATTCTGCAGTGTAAGCCAAGCATCCACGGCTGCAATTGACATCGTTAGAAACTATTTTGATGATGATCATCTTCACATGATACTTGCAAGACAATTCTACGTCCTTCTTAATCTTGATTATGAGGTTAGAATAGGACATGTGCTTAGAGAAGCTAATTTTGCAGCTGAGTTTTTAGCTAACAAGAGTCGCTTTGTTAATTTTGACACACACCACTTCAATGTGTGTGCCCCCAGTCTTGAACAATGGTTGTTACATGACATTATGGGTATTGCTCATGATCGTTCGATCCTTAATACCAATTAGATGCTAAGACGTCAATTAAAAAAAAACTAACCAACCTCTACTACAATACCACCATAAACAAAAATGACAAATTTGTTGATCTTTTAGGTGGAGACCTCATATTTCTGACTAAACAAGACGACTTTGATTATCTTTTTAATAGACACAATAATAATGAGGATTGCATAGACTTTGTGTAAGTAGTAATTAAACTTCATTACTATTTCAGTGTCAATCACCAATTTACTTATGGAAATTTGAACCAGTTGGGGCACGGCAATGTGTACTACTTTAGCTCTGGTTCACAACGTCCCTCGTCCTTGACTTATTGTACTTCGATTGCTCTCAATATTATGTTTCTATTTGTCCCATTCTGGTTTATCTTAACTCATATTTTCATCCAATGATACTTTAAATAAGTGCAAAACTTCAACTTTCAATTGATTGTCTAGAGGAAGTGAAGTTTAATCGAAGATTAATTAATATGTATATCTAATAAAAATGACCTGACATTATTAATCTAACTATTATTTCTAATTCATTTATAGCATATTTTCTCTATGTTTCATCAATAAAAATAAAATATCTTCTTCAAATAATATATAATAATGATTCGACCTACTATGATCTCGACCCATGCGAATGTTACCTAACTTTATCAGTATTTGATTCGAAACGAGTATGAATATTGAAGTACCATCCCACCCCACCATTGATATCAATGACTTAATCAAGCCATCTTCCTCCACTAACACCAACCAATTCCCCACAAGCTTCTTTCATTTAACTGAACAGGAACTACATAGAAACACCCTCGAAATTGCTAAGAACAGTAGCAAAAATAAATTCATTCTTAAGAAGGAAATAACAAAGAACAAGTCCACAAATTCTCCACATATTCAGTCTATAAAAATCGAAAGTTGACCGAGACAGAGCTCTGCTCTGCCACTGAAACGCAACAACTGCCCGCCTAACTTCTGATCTGCTTCTTTCCCAAGCAACCCTTTTTTTAACCATCCAATCATTGACCCTCCAAGAATCAATCACCCTCCTCCCATTCAAGATCACCGACGTTGACGACTTCCTGAAATACGCCGGCGGCGACAGAGAAACCGGGTACATTCTGGCGGCAGAGCAGTGGCCGCCCTCAAAATCGCCGTGTCCGCCGTCTTCACTAATCTTCCAGAAGTCGTCAGTCTGCAAGCCCTGGTGGAAGTCGAACACAGAGCTTCTCAAAGGGTGCTGTAAAAAGTAGGGTTCTTGAGAGAAGGGCTGCTAGCTAGGAGATATGGCTATTGTGTGAACAGGGGATCTTGTCGTTTACAGATTTGATGTCCACGGATAGTCGCCATCTTCTCGAATGATTCTTCAACTTGTTGCTGTTTGGAATTCCGATTATCCCCCTCGTACGGGTCCGTTGATTGTTACCCGTCGGCGAATCGGAATCTGGCTGGCGGGCCGCCTTATAATTGGAGTGAAAGTCTAGAATTCCACAGTTGGGTGTTTCTTTGGAGCGACATGGGTGTTTTTTATTTTTTTCCTCTTGAATGACTTGGAATTCGGATGCCAATTGTTCGTCTAGTTTCGGTTCAGAGATCTCAATCCTTTCCTTCCCCCACCTGCAAAAAATGGTCCTGGTTTTGCATTATTGCAGCCCTATCTCATGGCCCTGAATCTCGTTAGTTTACATTACTTGTCGCAATCCGTGTCACCCACGGATACGAAACTTATTAAATGGGGATGCTCTCTCCTATAGGAAATTGCATTTTAAGCAGCTAGGTTTTACATATTGGTCACGAAAGTTTCAGTTTGTGGCAATTTGGTTTTTTTTTAATGGTCAATTCATTAAAAATCAAGGAACAAAGGTCTGAAACTGTAACAAAATAAAACAAACAGAAAAAACAGCTCCTTCGTCAAGACGGTAGACGAGCCGAGGACAAAAGCCGAACAGAGTTTTCGAACCCAAACAGAAAGACTCAAACTCGGACGAAACGAAAGAAACAACAAGGAGAAAACACACTGCAAGCAAGCAAAAACAAAAATCAAACCAAATATTCATTTCAATTTTTGTTTTGTTTAATCACAATTTCAACCAATTTATTATTATTTTTATACGAGAGGAAATCGGCAAACCTCGACTCCATAGATACCCGGCAAACAAAGATTATACAACATACTCGCTACCATTTTAAAAATTTCATCAACTTTCTACAAAAAAAAAAGCCCTCAACTTCCAAACCTCAAGATGACAAATCAACTAAAATTTAGAAAATCAATAGCAACAAGCTAAGTACGAAATATAAGATTGAGTTAAGTATGATTCTCAATCCAACGACGAGGCGAGTTTGCATGACTAGGCCAACATCCTCAAATCGACAACTTATGTGTGTAACTTTTGTAAAACCCTTATATGAAGTCAGTATGCGGTACTAGTATGTATACATGTACGTAAGTCTATACGGAGAAAATTCATCTCTCACTCATAGATGTAAGTCCATTCTTATCGAATGACAGGAAACACATAAGTCCATATTGATCGAGTGACTGGTTAATTGAGTACTTCGTCTGGATCCCGCCGCATCTCGAAACAATGAGGGTCTAAATTGTCACAATAATAAGTCTAATGGCCGATAACAAACTAAGCAAAAACAAGAGTGGCATCCAACTCAATTAACCAAAGGCGCCGGCACCAATCATGCATATGGACAGCACCAAAACAGAGCATTTAAATAGAACCCACAAGAAAGACAAAGACTACACATTTCGAAAAAACAGAGCACCCCAAAAACAGAGTACCCAAAACAAACAGCAAAATGGCAAACACCAATATTGGCGGCGACATCCGATCAAGGATAACCCTCCGGCCCTTCCGGCGAACAGACGCCGCCGACATCTGGAACTACTCGAAGAACCCGGAAACGACCCGATACACGCCCTGGAGGCAATTCAATTCAGAGGAAGAAGTCGCCGCCTACATAGAGACCTACTGCATTCCCCACCCCTATTGCAGGTCCGTGTGCATTGAAGACAGGTCAATCGGGCTGGTGATCGTCACGCCGGGGACCCGCCCAGACGAGGCGCGGCGCAGGGAGTTGGGATTGGTGGTGTCGCCGGAGTATTGGTCGAGAGGGGTGGGGACGAGAGTGGTGGAGATGGTGGCGGAGGAATCGTTCAGGATTTTCCCGGAGATGGTGAGGCTGCAGGCGGGGACGGATGTGGGGAACATAAGGGCCAGGAAGGTGCTGGAGAAGAATGGGTTTAGGAAAGATGGGGTGATGAGGAAGTACTTGTTCCACCGCGGGGAGGATCGAGATGTGGTGTTTTATAGCCTTCTGGATTCTGATCGCCGGCAACCGGCTCCGCCGGAGGAAATGTGGCGGCCGCTGGTGTCGTTGTTGCGGTTATTGAGGTTCAGTTTCTTGCTGAATTTTCTTTGCTCGTTGTGTTGCTTACTTGGTGACTCAGTCAAACCTTTGCGATGAATATCGTTTTGGAATTTGGGGTTTCTCTGTTTTGGTAATTGTTTATACTGTTGAGTGAGGGAGTGGAATCGGTAGTTAGCGCACGGTTGGAAGTTGTTCAGAGATTTTAGTTTCTTGCTGGGGGCGTAGGTAGCGGTGGAGACAAAGTAAAGTTGCATGTACTCTATATTGTTGCTTTGTTGGTGGAAACATGTAATCTAATGTTGGTTCGTAGTTTTCTTTCTGGTAACATAGATAGCTTACATGTCATAATGTTCAATCAGGCGCGGCAGTCGACAAGTAGTCGGACTGTCAATGAAGGACGTTTTGTGCCATTAAGTGGGCAACCCTATTACCCCAAATCAGAATAGAAGTACATGAAAAAGAAACAAAAGATAGGAATAGACATGAACTTTCTCTAGAAGAGCATCCCTAGACCCTCCTATAGAAAACCTTCCCCTTGATCTGTTGTTGGTTTGGGTTAGGCAATGTGGATCACCATGCTTCGTGCTGGAAGTAACAACCACCTTGGGAGCACGTGCTAACAGGTGTCTGGCGTTGTTGGATTGTGCGCAAAACGCTTATGAAGATTGGAAGGATAACGTGACAATTTTAGAAATAAATATCATCACTTCATATCTAATGATCAAGATGCATTTTGTGGTCGATCTGACGGCTCACAGATTTTGATGTGAGCACAGTAATCAGATCTCACAGTTTTCTTAGAGCCGCCCGTCCGCCAGGGTATAATAAAGGTGGTCTTTTTTGGATCAAAATGAACAAACTCATGCCGAGTTATACAAAAGTTAGTAGGCTAAATTGTAACTAGAGATGACAATTGGATTGGGTCTATGGATTGGATCAAGTGGATTGGATAAAATGGATTGGATAATATGGATTGGTTGATTGATTCCATGAATCAATCCATGGATTCAAATGACATCCAAGTCTTGGACCAAAATGTAAATTTTGAAAAGTTTAGGTACTAAAATATGATAATAAATATTTTTGGATACCAAAATGTAATATTCCAAAGACATTTTTGTCAAAAAAAAATTAAATTTAGGGATGGGAGGCAGAGTGGTGTGGGTGAAAAATTGGATTTTTTTTTTCAAGCAATTTGCGGGGAATTGAACCATTGACCTCATTGATGGAGGTGTGCCTACTTAAAAATTAGACAACATGGGCTTCCTCGGTAAAACGTAGGTCTTGCGAGAGGCGGACCTAAATTGGTGCCCCCACAACCTCGTTGTGAACTCCACGACATCAGGTTTCTCCACCATCTCTCCTAGTGGGTTTGACGTTGACAATGATAATTTGTAAAAAATTTCACCGGGCTCCATAGCAAGCGCAAATTGTTGATGGAACTTTTCATCAAGGCTCACTATAAGTGCCAATTGTTGATGTCAGGGCGCCATTCCATGAGAGGACTTGAGGATCCTATGATTTCGCGGCAAATCGACGGAGAAACTAGTGGGGTTGAGGGCCCGCAGTTCCACATAAAAGATTGACACAGCTCAATCTTGGTCGAGAGATCCTCAATTCTTGGAGATAACAAATTGATTGATGTTTGGAGTTGTATCTTGACGAATCCCTTCTTCGGGTTGCATATCCTGCTTGCCCATCTCTTTGGGATCTCGATTCTTGAAGATAGCAACTTGATTGATGTTTGGAGTTGCATCTTGACGAATCCCATCTTCGGTTTGCACATCCTGCATGTTCATCTCGTTAGGATCCTCGATTCTTTGAGATAGAACCTTGATTGGTGTTTAGAGTTGCATCTTGACGAATTCCTTCTTCGGGTTGCAGATCCTGCATGCCCATCTCGTTGGGATCCTCATTTCTTGAGGATAGCGACTTGATTGATGTTTGAAGTTGCATCTTGACGAATCTCATCTTTAGTTTGCAGATCATGCATGCTCATCTCGTTGGGATCCTCGATTCTTGGAGATAGCAACTTGATTGATGTTAGAGTTGCATCTTGATAAATCCCTTCTTCGGGTTGTAGATCCTGCATTTCCATCTCGTTGGGATCCTCGATTCTTGGAGATAGCAACTTGATTTATATTTGGAAATTCATCTTGACGAATCCCAACTTCGGGTTGCAGATCCTGTGTGTCCACCTCGTCTTGTTGGATTGACGATTTGTTGGTATTAATCTCACCGGGCCCCACGGTGGGTGCCATTTGTTGATGCCAAGCTCCGAGGAGCCTGCTTCAATGTGTTTGAGGTCCGGTGAGCGCCGATCTTCCTGGCCAACGTCCGACACCGGCCTCCGAGATGGACACCTTCAAAACAAAAGGACCCGCCGGAGGTGGTCGGCGGGGACCTGCTCTGAAGTTCAAGTCAGTATTTGAGAGGAGTGTAACTAGGAGCAGCATAGTAAGCCGGCTCTAGAGAGAGTTTTAGAAGTTCAAATCGAGAATGAACTGCCAAGAAAGCATAAATGAGCGTCCTATTTATAGGTGTCTCATGCTTCTGGCGTGGATAGCGTGTGATAAATAAATTAATATAAAAAATACTTTTATCTCACCACCAACCTAATGTGCAATGGTTGGCGTGAGTAACACAAACACATTTCAAACAAACTTATTACCTCAATTAACTTATTTGGTGGCACAAAAAAGAACATATGAACCCCAAACCAATTTACCTTCCTCTTCTCTCTGTCCGCGCGTAGTACCTAGGGCAAAAAGGGATTTGGGATTTGGTGGTTTGAGTGGCGTGTGAAGAATAAAATAATAATATAAAAATATATTTGTCTCCCAACCATCCAATGTGCAATGGATGGTCGGGTCAAGCAAATAGACCTAAAGAAACAGGGCTAAGATCAGGTGACTAAGGGGGGTCCCTTAGTCACATGACTAAGTCAATCTTAGCCATTGAGCCTCATTAAAATCTAAGGGTTGTAATTGATTTCATTTAATGAAGGGTAATCTAGTAATTACAAATTGATTTAATTTAATTATTAAAAATTTAAAAAACTTGCCTGCTTGCTTACGGGTTTTTTTTCCTGTTCCGACGACAGACAACCTCCGAAGGCTGCTGCGTTTCCGGAGGACTTTCCATCCCGACACTCGTCGTCGATTTGTCATCCGCCGCCTCCTTACTGCCGCCGGCCAGCAATATAATGGCCCTGGCCTGCATCTCCGTCACGTCGCAGACGCTGTCCCTCTGCCCTCCCACCGCCGGTCCTTTACTTGGGAATTCGCCGGTGGCATTTTTCCCAGGGAGGGTTGCAATTTTTCCTGAGGGAATTATCCCTTGAGAGAGAGAGAGAGGCGCCAGTGGGTCTGTTGGTGAGAGAGAGAGAGAGAGAGAGAGAGAGAGAGATATTTTGTACTGTTAGTATGCTTTGTATTGTTTGTCGGTTTATTTTGTAATGTTTGTACGCTTTGTTATTTTGTAATGTTTGTCGGGTTTTTTTTGTAATGTTTGTACGCTTTGTTATTTTGTAATGTTTGTCGGTTTTTTTGTAATGTTTGTAAACTTTGTTATTTTTGTGTATCGTGTTTATCATTTTTGTCAACCATGTTTGTAATGTTTTTTTATGTCTAAAAAACACCCGGGTTGACTTTGGGAAGGAGCCCCTCTATATAGGGATGGAGCCTCCAAAGTCAACCCGGGTGTTTTTTCAGTTCGTATGGATTGTCGGTATAGTTTGTCATTTTTGTCCACCATGTTCGTACTGTTTGTATGTCTAAAAAATACACAGGTTGACTTTGGGAAGGAGCCCCTCTATATAGGGATGGAGCCTCCAAAGTCAACCCGTGTGTTTTTTCAGTTCGTATGGATTGTCGGTATAGTTTCTCATTTTTGTCCACCATGTTCGTACTGTTTGTATGTCTAAAAAACACCCGGGTTGACTTTGGGAAGGAGCCCCTCTATATAGGGATGGAACCTCCAAAGTCAACCCGGGTGTTTTTTCTTTTTGTATGGTTTGTATTGTTTGTCGGTCTAGTTTGTATTGTTTGTACAGTTCATACGTTTGTAATGTTTGTATGTTTTGTCGCTCTAGTTTGTACTGTTCGTATGTTTGTATGGTTTGTACTGATTGTAAATCGAGTTTGTATACTTTGTAATTTTCCATAATACCCAAACTACCCCTGTCATTAATTAAATAGCCCTTTCCACTTTTTAACCATTAGATTGATGTGTCCAGATCTAAGGGCTGGGAGGGGCTTAGTCAAGTGACTAAGCACCCCCTTAGTCACCAGATCCGCTATCAAAGAAACATATATCGCCACCAAATAACCTTACCTCTCTTCTCCTTTTCTCTTTTTCCCGCGTGTAGCCAAAGGGTGAAATGACTTGGTTATAATGAAAACAATTATGCCACCTCATTTTCACGTGTAATGATATGGGGAAGGTGTGCTTTGGCGGCTTGGTGGAAAACCAATTACCAAGGGTTAATTGGTGGAGAAGCTATAATTTAGCATTCTTAACCTTTCTCCACCAATCAAAAGAGAATACCCTCCTTTCCTCTGTACATGTGGGCATGGAGGTGGCAATTTTGGTGAGATACAATTAGTCACTCACATTACAGAAAGTGAGATGGCAAAGTATATTATCCTTTCTCGCCCACATGTAATTAGAAGAGCCCTTTGTCATTGTATTTGTTGAAGTAGGACAAACCCTCTTCTCAACCAATTAAACGAGACAAATAATGAAACACACTTGCCCACCTTCCATCTTCCTCTCCTATACGTGGCAGTGATATGGAAAGGAAATCGATGAGGTGTTAAGTGTGTATGATCTCATGTGAATGGGATGGTGAATGGTGGCAGTGATATGGAAAGGAAATCGATGAGGTGTTAAGTGTGTATGATCTCATGTAAATGGGATGGTGAATGGTGAAATACAGTTCCATCAGGACCGAATTGATAATTGGATCGGACCAAATGAACCAAATACAATGATGGGTCTGGTCTTTGGTTCTAAGATATCTTTTACTAATGGACCGCGAACCAGACCGAATCGTTGCACACCCCTATATATATGAGACTATGGATGCAATGGAGCGGGTTTGCCTAAACCATCCCCATCCTCGTATTCAAATACTCAAACCCATACCCACCCCATACCCATGTGGGGAAATGTTTTGCAAACCCATCTCCATACCCGTGGGATTTGGGTACCCATGGATAATACCCGTCTCATACATCCAACATTATTATACCTAAAACTTTATAAAAAAAAATTAATTATAACACTAAACGAACCTATTATATCATGAAGTCAACAAAACACGATCATTTTCTTAATACGGTTCAAAGAATATGATCCAAAAACATGCATTAATACATAATATAGAGTACAATATTTTTCAAATTATTATGCTCCAATTCTTGATACATCTACTATATGATAAATAACTAAAATATTTTTTCTGTAAAATAACAATAATCTTATTGACAAGGGGGAAAGTGAAAGAATGAAGGGAGAATTAAGAGAAATGAATTAGGTTTTGATTAGGATGGTCACTCAATTGCATTATCATTGATAGGTTACAATTTGATTGCACATATTTTCTTATATGTGAAGAAGTTCTCTTGGTGGGGCGGGTATGGGTATGGGGTGGAGGAGGCTAAAAGCATACCTGTTCCATACCCATCAAACTTTTTGTCGGTTTTACCCATACTCAGTAAAAGCGGGAATTTCCCGCGTTGACTGGGTCAAGGGCGGTCGAATACCCGAGATTATGGAGTTGATTGCCATAGGTCTTTGATAATCATATCAAGTCCAATCCAATGAATACTTATTCTTGTTTGTTTCGGGCAATCCAATTTTTCCTTCATTTGGAGTAGCAAGAGAAAAAAATATAATTCACATTCATTTTATATACAAATTTGTTTGAGCTCTATTTCATTACGATTTTGTCAATGAGTCAGGAGATACCACTTTCTAAAGAGAGGACCAATGAATCCTTTATTTGCATTGCCCAATTCCTTATTGACCTAACTCCAAGTTAAGGACTGTCTCATTATATGCTCGGTGAAGGATAGCTAAAACATAGATAGAAGCATGTTATTAATTCTTAGATATGTAATTTCCTTTCGAACTTTTTTCAAATGTGGAACTTTGATGTGTATAACAACTATGTGGGTCACTTGATTCTAACTTCTAAAATCATTGTGTTCATTCAACTAAGGTTATGCAATGGAGGAGCTCTTATCACAAGTATAAAGATAATTAAGGACTTTGTTATGGTGGCATGCATGTCACCGTAACATGGACTTTTCGGTCGACCTAATTTGTTGTTTCAGTTTTGTGAGATTCAACGACGCGATTGACCTTTATATCAAATGGTCCACCTATTTAGGAAGCGAACAGAATGAAAGGTCGACCCAAATACCTCATAGGCAGACCATTTTGCACTTAATAGGTCGACCGCATAAGTACGAGGTCGACCGCGTGCACACTTTATCCGTATTGGATAAGGATTTAAACACTAGAAAGGTAACCCTAACTTATCTACCACTAAATTCGAACCATTCACGTCCTAAATATCTATAAATACGAATATATGTACGACTACATGGGGCATATGTCCTCCCAGATAACTGACATGTACGACTACATGTGCCAAATGACTACCCAGATGAGCACACTGCAGGTGATCGTGAATGAGATGCGAGATGAGTTCCGATCTTTCAGGGGAAGATACATGCATCCCACCACATCCGACTACCATAATGCTAGCACCACCAATGAAGAAAATGCGGATGAGGGAGAGAGGAGTAGGAACTCGACGATTTTAGATTTTGTGTTTTTGTTGTTAAGTCTTGAAAACGATTGTGGAATGATATTATGTAGTTTTAGATTTGAGTTATGTGAACAATTATGACGTGTGTTTTATTGTATTTCTTGTTAGTTTGTTTACTTGTTATGTTATGAAGTTATTAGTCCTTGCTATCATTATTTAGGACCGATTCTGTTGGTTTGAAACGTAATTTGTACGAGCAAAATAATCACCCACATCAACATACATAAGCCAAAAAGACGCAGGTCATAGATTGATTTTCCTGTATTCGGTCGACCTCTTACCGGATTAGGTCGACCTCGAAATCAACACTCTTGATCTGCATTTTACGTCAATTGGTGATGGATTAATGGATACAACACTTCTCTTCTATATGGTCGACCTCTTTCTGCAAATGGTCAACCATTTTGTTAGTGACCGCCATGAAGTGGTCGACCTATATACCGTTACGGTCGACCATTTTGCTTCTGATGCCAATGAAAAGGGCGACCGATGTTTTATTGTGGTTGACTCATAATAAGAATTTAAACTAAAAATAGTCGAGCAATACATTTTAAAGGTCGACCGTGATAAGTCATAAGGGTGCCCACATTACTGAATTCGATCGACCTCTATTAAAATTAGGTCGACAGAAAAGTGCATATTATGGTGACATGCATGTCATCAAAGGCATACCGGAAAGATAATATGACTGATGTAAACTCAATAAACAGTAGTGTCACCGTATACGTTATTGCTCATTGTACTCATCCATCCAAATATCAAACCAATTGGACCCGACCAACCAATGTCCACCTACTCATACGCCACATATTTGGGCCTCCTTCACCCAAATTTCAGAAAGGAGTGCGGGCTTCTACCGTAATAGAAGATCAAAATTATTTGGACTGTTGGATTTGGACCTGGACTCAATTGGCCAACTCAACCCAGCATAATTCTACAATTTGCTATACGGATCGGGAAATTGCAGGAATCGATAAAGCAAGAATACGAGAGCGAGAATCGAAAACACAGACACACGATTTACGTGGTTCACTAACACGATGTGTGTTAGCTATGTCCACGGGAGAGAGAGAGCCAGTTTCACTATATCAAGGAGATTACAGATTACAGAAGAGTATGAGAAGTATTTATAGTACTTTTCCATGTGGGTTTAAACCTAATCCAATCTGGCAAAGGAAACGGTTACAGACCAGGCCCAGAACCCGAACCCAAATAATATTGAGCCCATACACTGTGCCCCTGGACCCCACTCACTGACCGGGCAGCGAGACCCCCGATTACCAGTCGTAACGGCTGATAGTCCGATTCAAGTCACATCAACAGCTACGACTAGTCAAGTCAAATCCATCAATGCGAAGACGTTCTGTCCTTTTACAATATTAGAAGTCAATAGTACTAGATACCACTTAACAATAACTTTTGTTGCATGCTAATTACAGTCCAATAAAGTAAAATCAATATTAGAAGTCAATAGTACTAGATACCACTTAACAATAACTTTTGTTGCATGCTAATTATCTAACTATTTTTAGTATGTAACAATAGTAATACTTAAGTAGTATTTGGTGCAATTAACCCAATAAGTGTCCTTTAAGTATAATAGTATCGTGGAAAGCGGGCTAGGAAGATGAGCTTATATATGAGTTTAGATTAATTAAACAGTTTGGTCATTTGATTTATTGTTAACTATTCAAAATAATTAGAGACGAAATAGTAGACATTTATATTGAAAATCAATGTAGAAATCGCTTTGCACTTCCTAATGATGAACACCAGAATATCCAAATATGAACGAAAAAGGTATGTGAGAAAAGCAAATCGACTAATAATTCCAAAAACGAACTGAGAATGTCTCATCAACCTCTAACTAAGTTAGAATTTTGGAGTACAATGTTATCATAAAACAAATAAGTTGTTTTGTTAAGGAGAGATAGTAATTCACAATATAAGTAATAATTAGTGATAACAAGATAAGATAGCATGAAAGTGTTGTTTTAATTGTTTGAAGAGAAAGGGAACAAAGGATGTCTAGTCGCAAGTTGCAACCACCCCATGACGCTGACAAAGTTGAGTGAAAGGACAATTGAGAGGGTGGAAACTATTTGGCAGCAACAGAAACAAATTGACAAGTAACAACGTAAAGAATCGGTACTAGGGAAGGAGAAAGCGTTTTTCTCCATATCTGAGCAAACAATTTGCACTCCGTTTTAGGATGGCAATAAGGCGGGTTAGGAGCAGGTTTGTCTAAATCATACTCATTCCCGATTTCAAATATTCAAATTCATACCCGCCCCATACTCATGCGGTGATATTTTTCAAACCATCCCCATACTCGCGGGTTTCGGGTACCCATGGGTAATACCCGCTCCGTAAATTCAACATTATAATATCTAAAATTTTACATGTAAATTTTCAATTATAACATTAAACACACATACTATATCATGAAGTCAACAAAGTGACAATCATTCTTAATATGGTTCAAAGCATCTTATCCTAAAACATCCATTGATCCATAAAATAGGGTACAATTTAATCCAAATCATTATTCCCTCACTCTAATACATCTACTAAGCAATAACTAACTAACTAACATAATCTTGCTTACAAGAAGGAAAAAGTGAAAGAGTGAAGGGAGAGTTGAGGAAAAAGAATTAGATTTTGATTTGGGTGGCCACTCAATTGTATTTATACTAATTATTTGTTGAGTTACCCTCACTATCATTGATAGATTACTATTTGATCCATGTATTTTTTATATGAAAACAAATATTCTTGGTGGGGTGGGTATGGGTATGGGGCGGGAGGCTAAAACCATACCCGCTCATACCCATCAAACATTTTGCGGGTTTTACACATACCCGCCCTTACCCAGTCAAAGCGGGGATTCCCCACGTTGACTGGGTCGGAGGCGGTCGGGTACCCGCGGTCATGTGTTTGATTGTCATCCCTACTCGGTTCTAGGGATGGCAATAGGTCGGGGCTGGTTTTGCCAAATCCAAACCCAAATCCATGGGTTTATCCGTAAAAAATATCTGAGGTAAAAACCAATGGGTTTGGAAAACTCAATCCCAGCCCAACCCGTTGGGTATCCGCGGGTTCATGGGTATCCCTGGGTTCTTGTTATAAAAAAATTTACAATGACAAGTTCCTATCAAAATAAAATTCAAACATCAATTCTCCATTCAAATTATTCATACATAAAATACGAGTTTAGAAAATTCAAACAAATCACAAATTATCCATACAAATTGTAAATTAGATTGGAGAAATTGGAATTAGGGTAGGGTTTGGAGAGAGTAGGCAACTAAATAAGTGAGGGCGGGTATCCATGAGTCGGGTACGCTAAACCCAAACCCAACCCAATCCGGTGAAAGTGTAACAAGTTTAAACCCGAAATCGGGTTGGGTCGAGTAGGGTACCCGTGGGTTCGGGTTTTGTTGACATCCCTACTTGGTTCTCCATCATACGTTTTCTTTTCTCATCTCGGCCTTTTACATACCTCACAAACAATAAATTCTTTCAAATCGATAATACAAAAAAGAGTGAACCATGTGAGTCGTGAATCTTTCCCTTGATCAACAGTTGTTCGCTTTCGAGCCGTATAATCACGTGCCCCACGTCGCGCATCGCATTAGCTCATAGCAATATGTGCCTTACGATATGGACCAATCGCGTTGCTACAGCGTGAACTATGTAAACCGCTCTATTTTTAGACGAGCAACTCGTTGTTGGTGCAGACGAGCGCGAGGATGCAGTGGCTTTTCGAGTTTTTCCTACAAGAACCCTAGTCTGTTGTAAATTGTGCAGAGAAGAATAGCAATGAAAGATAACAACACCAAGTGCCATTGTTTGATCTGAAATGAAGTGGAACTAAGAGATCGAATTTGTTGTTGGGCTTAAAGCCCAGACTTTTCTTGATACGGCCTGTTGACAAGCTTAAGCTCAAAACGACTGCGTTGAGATTTGCTTCTCCAACACCAGTGCAACTCTTCTTTTTGTAACCTGCAAAACAGAGTATGCTGCAAAACAGAGTCAAGTTATAGAACAAACTGAATTGAAATGAGAAAGCTTGACGCCGAGATTTTTACGTGGTTTCCGATACTGAGAAATCAGTATCGACTGGTCCACGGTCAAAGGAACTCTGATTTGAGTCCTTTAACGTTACTATGATGTTATGATTCGGATTACAGTTTACAATCGATCTCGTAGTAACTCCCCGTTACTAGATCAGAGTTCGTGATCAGAATTCAGCTCCCTGCCAGAATTTAGATCGCTAACTTCTCACACTATCTCCCTGACAGCTACCTCTCCTTTTCTTTTCCAAAACACAGTCAATACCCTTTGTTTCTGCTTTTGAAAATTGATTCGAAAAGGATACCTATGCTACTGAAATTCTTCTCTTTTATATTCTGCCTTTTCCCAGCCGTTGCCTTCTGATTTGGAGAATCAATCTCATATCTTGATTTCCTTCAATTACTCGTTTCATTAGGCCTTCCCTCTTCTGGCTCTAGCTCAGCATTTTCCGGCCCTCTTTCCTAAAGTTTACGATGCCAGTGGACATAGCTTCACCCAACAAACTCCCCCTAAGCTTTTCACTGGCTCGTTTCCTTCCTGCACACATGTAACAAACAATCGGTGCAGTCTATTCCAAGAGAATATAACACAAATAGATGATCACATACATTGGATATTCAAAAACCTTAAATTTCTTATTCATGGACTCATTATTCAACCTTTTAATCAAACATCCTGTCACAAGCTCTTAATGAACATCCACTTATGTACATTTTCTATCCTAGAATGGATTGCGGTGGGGACTCGTATTCAGACACAACATCATCATCACTAGACTCTGAATCAGAACTAATTGGATCATTTATGGCTCCATATTCATATATAAACTAGGGCCACATCAGATATTCCTTCCGAAGTTTCTTCACTTTGGCAGACTGCTCCCTTTCACCTGATGATTCACGTTTGATAACAGTAACATCAGCATCAACAAGTGCTCCAACTAGTCTCCCTGATGCATAAGATACTGGACCAACTCCCCTTGAGCCAGTGAGAGGCTTACGGGGCTTAACTAATGCATCCAACTTAGCGAGCACATGCTGGGGACGAATGTCATCCAGAACTTTGCATTGATGCAGCTTGTCATGCAATTCAATGCGTAAGAAAGAGAGAAGTCTAGTGATTTGGGGGCCAAAAGGCAAAGGACCTTCAAAGTATTCCATCCCAAACCGGATCATATGGTGGAACATGAGAGAAGCATAACTGATGGCAGTACCAGCTCGAGCATGAGATAGAACCCATAAGTCAGAGGTGTGAAGAACATCTGTGCTAGAGAGGTCACGAGGCAGAAAACTCCTAGTGAGGAAGAAATGAAGAACCTTAAGATCATCAGGCAATCGACCAGCAGCAAGACGAGAGGGAAAATATTGACCTATGTCACAAGTGACAGATTTCAAGGAATCCAGAAGGTCAAACCCCAGTGCTCCAAATTCACTGTCAGTGCTAGCACGAAGGCCAGTATGAGGGAGATCAAGAGTTGTTGCCAACAGCTCCGGAGTGGCCTTGATCTCAAAGTTGAAGACCATTGTGGTGAAAAAGGTCGGGACTGTCCCAGGGCCTTTCTGAATGTTTACATAAAACAAACGAACAGCTTCTGGACAGTAGCTGAACCTCATATTTTCCACCAACGATTCCCATCCAATACCATGAAGGAGAGAAGGAATATTCATGTCATAGTTTGAGAAGCCAGATGGATGGATGGAAAGTGATGGATAAATGGGATGATCACGAAATCGTCTGAGATATCTAGAATAGACCGCAGCATTGCAAAACCCTTTGTTGTTGAAAACAACAGAGTGTCGCAATTGAGCATTGGTCGGAGCCATGTTGATCAGTTGTATGAGATATTTTGAGCTGAGCAGAATGAGTTGAAGCTCTAGAGAACCCTAAGCATCTTATAGGAGGGGGAGGACTAGAGATAAGGAAGGTGTATCATTGTTCTGAGGTTAACCAGAGAATGGAGGGAGATCCTATTTTAAGGCCATAGTCCTGTAGTTGGTATTTTAACCAGAGAAGTTGGGTGCAACCGAGTCCAGCTGCTATGTATTCTGCTTCAGCAGTTGACAAGGCAACTGAACTCTGCTTTTTACTAGTCCAAGGGACTAATGAGGTTCCAAGGAAATGACAGGTGCCAGAGGTGCTTTTACGATCAAGAACACATCCAACATAGTCAGAATCACTATAGTTGAGGAGTTCTAAGCTGGATTCTCTAGAATACCATAAACCTAGAGACTTTGAACCTGATAGATAGCGAAATATTCTTTTTACTGCAGTTAGGTGACTCATTTTTGGATAACTTTGAAAACGGGCACAAACCCCTACACTATAGACAATATCAGGTCGACTTGCAGTAAGATACAATAAAGAACCAATCATGCCTCGATACAACCTGACATCTACTGATACTCCACTGTCATCTTTGGTTAATTTTGAGGTTGATCCCATTGTAGTTTGTGCTGACTTAAGGTTGTTTAATTCAAATCTGTTAAGCATGTTTGAAAGATATTTTGATTGACTAATGAAGATGCCATTTTTATTCTGTTTAACTTCTAGCCCTAGAAAGTGTTTTAACTCACCCATAAGACTCATCTCAAACGCCCCTTTCATAGTTGCTTCGAAATCCTTACATAAGGTTGTATTAGAAGACCCAAAGATTATATCATCGGCATATACTTGGACCAAGATTGTGTTACCTTTATCAGATTTTATGAAAAGTGTTTTATCGCTGATCCTCTGTGAAATCCATCACTGATCAGAAAACTACTTAACTTTTCATACCAAGCTCAAGGAGCCTGTTTTAAACCATATAAAGCCTTATTTAATCTGTATACATGATTTGGGTATTTGTGATTTTTAAAACCGGGTGGTTGAGCCACATATACCTCTTCTTTAAGCTCACCATTTAAGAAAGCACTTTTAACATCCATTTGAAATAGTTTAAAACCTTTAGAGGCAGCAATAGCACATAGTAAACTGATGGCTTCTAATCTTGCTACAGGAGCAAATAATTCATCAAAGTCTATGCCTTCTTCTTGACTATAACCCTGAGCTACCAGTCTAGATTTGTTTTTAGCTATCTCCCCCCAATTCGTCAGTTTTATTGGTTTGTCTACAGGCTTAGGTACCAAATCCCATAAATTTAATTGTTCAAAATATCCTAATTCATCTTGCATTGATTCTGTCCAAAACTCATCCTCTAAGGCTTCCTGTATGTTTCTAGGCTCAATCAAGGAGACAAAGGCCGTGTGATAGACCATTGATTACACATGTTTTTACCCATATTCTTGAGCCTTTGGAGATGTTGATTCTCATGTTTTAAGCCAATTTCACGATAGGTTCTGCGTTTATGTCATATTTCAGGGCTTAGCGTTGTCATCGAGGCGAAGAAACGAGTTTCGGGTCCAAAGGAGCACGTTTTGGGTGAAGTGTGTTGGAGGAGCAAAATACCCGGCCATGAGCAGAAATACCCGGCCGGTATTATTTGGAGCAGACGGGGATTTGATGTTTTGGGAGTCTCTGAGAAGCAGAAGGGGGCCCAGGCAATGAGCAGAAATCCCCGGTCGGGGATTCTTGGACTTGACCGGGGATTTTCCCCTATTACTCGACGGTGCGTTTTGAAAATGCCCGGTCGCCACCCAAAATAACCGACCGGGTATTCAGGCCGGGGATCGCGACATGACAGCTTCTTAAGGGAAAAGAAGGGAAAAAGTGAAGGGTTCCGAGTTTTAGAGAGAAAAAGCGATACCTAGAGAGAGAAAGTGACGAACCTGATTCTGCAAGTGTCCTTGATCGATCTCCATCACCATTGGAGCGCGGCTTGAGCTTGGAGAAGAGCTGATTGAGTGCCAGAAGCAGATTCTCATCCTTCACAATATGGTTTCCGCATCTGAGCTATATTTCCCATCTCTCTCTATGAAGTAACTTTCTTATTCACCTAGGTATGAAGAACCCTAGATTTGTATGTTAGGTCTGATTGTATGAACCCAAGTACTGATTTCGTGGTATGATTATGTTCAATTGAGGTTTGATTTGTTGAATGGCATGAATCCTGATCAAATTCCTGTTGTTTCTGCTTTAACTTAGAAAGAGAATATTTGCCTAGGTTGATAGAGCACCCTTGATTGAAGGTAGTGAATTGGCGACTTTAGTCGAGGAGTCAATTCACTATTCTATACCGAATTTACTTCGGTAGTGGAGGTTTTCTTCGTTAGGGCCTCATTCTGTTTACTCCGGTGGAGGTTAGTCGCCCGCTGGAGACTCAGATTAAGAGGGTCTGGAGACCTTTAGTCGAGACTTCAGACTGTTTAAGAATCTCCTGCAGTATAACTATCATTGAACCTGAAACACCCTAACCCGGTCAGGTACTACTTTTACTAAAATGCCATTGACAAATAAAATACTCAAATCTTAAATTGCAGCGGGAAAAATTTTCATAAACAAAATACTGAAAAACACACTTGTAGTTCCGAGCAAAGCCCTAACACGTGGGCAAATTAAACTCAAACTTTAAATCTCAATCTGATCTCCAATCTATACTCATAATCATAAATGTAAATAACTGATAATCTCTAATGTTGTTGCTACTGAAACCTTGGCTAAGCATCCTCTGTGACGCTTATAATGCCCTCCTCTGGCTGGCTGCCCTTGAACTTTTCCTCTCGAACTCGCTGCTCTCTAACTGCTCCTCTAGCTAGCTGTTACCGAACTGGTTCTCGCTCATTCCCTTACTAAGGCCTGGTGAATGAGTTGTGTTCAGTCTACGCCCTTGCGTTTTTAACTTTCTACTAATTTTGTACTTCTTCTCAAACACTTAAACTCAAACTGAGGGAAGTTGTTTGTACTTCCATTCTTTAAAATCTTAACTCTTAAAATTGTATGGGAGTAACTGCTACTCTCCATTCTTAAAGCTTAAATCTCAACTTAAATACTTGACTGACACTGGGATCCCCCACTAGCTAGTCCGGTTGCCAACTCATACGTATGAGAAGCCATCAAGGCTTTCCTTAAACTTAAACTTAGTTAGGGAAGTCGTAACGATTCATCCCCCCTAACATCTTAAACTTATCGTGGTGGCTCTTCACCACGAATCTCAAGAGCATAACTGTTGCTATATCTCAAAGATCTCAAGAGCATTACTGTTGCGCTATCTGAAAAACTCAAATGGCAACGGACTGGCGCTAGTGACTAAAAACACTTAAAACGACTTCACCTTCTTGAAGGTGACTTCTTAAACTTTAACAATAAATTAAACATAACTCTTTAAGGTAAATAGCACAAAATCACCTCAAATCACATCAAATAGCACAAACTCACCTCAAACCATAACTCAAGCAAAGCACACATAATCAATCATACACATAACCAAGCAACGGTAACCAATTCGCTAAAATACGTAAGGCGTAGAATTTACCCCCTTTACACTCACCTTAATATCCAATTGATTTACTTGAACTGACCATCATCCAAGGGTTGATCGCCTTAAGCTCGGCCCTCCTTTACTTGAAATGTGCACAGAATCTCCATCCTGGGTGCTTTTAAAAATTGTCTTTACATAATCATCCATCTCTTGGTTCAATCCCCGATGCTTAATTGATAATTACATACCTTGTACATTGCTACCTGAACAACTCCATATACCAACGACCATCATCCCATTGGATGATGATGACCGACCACTTCCTTCAATCAATGACTCACAGCAAGCTCCCAAACCATTCTCCAATCCCGACCAATCACAACAACCTCCACCAGTATAGATTATTGAATAATCATGATCCTCGTGTTTACCATTTTGAAAACACGGAACACAAATGGCACAAGTTGGACCATGTTCACAAGTACGGCACCTATAGGCTATATCATTAGTACCCCAAACAACCCCACAGACACCACGTCCTGAACTCAACCTAGACAAGTTTAATAGAGCAACATCAGGGTCGCCCAAGAACATCAGCCACTGCAACCAATTCGTGCATTCCTTAAAACGATTACTCATTGTCGGGCTCACTACCTTCTTCGAACCGACCTTGGATTTTTGAACTATCTCCTCCACTTCCTCTTCTTGATCCCGAACATTGCTTGCTTCCTTTTGCTTGACCCGCCACCGAGAGACTACCGCACCGATTACTTTCATGCAAAAGATTCGCGGACACCCATAACATATATATTAATACAACTCATGAATATTGCCAACGAATGCCCACCATCTTGATTTTCCATCGATCTTCTCCTCGTCTTCCTTACTGCTCTCTCCAATTGCTGCTCTGGAAAGCTTCTGCTTGTTGATTCTACCTGCGCTCCCTTCCTCGATGATTTGGATTTTCTTGTGGACTCAATATTTGATGGAGATGGATTGGTGGTTCTGGGGAAAAGGAAGAAGATCAAGCGGTAGGGTTTTTGTTTCTTCTTGGGAGATGCCGACTAAGGAGGAGAACGAGCTCCCTTTTTTATACTAGAAATAATAATAGTAATAATAGTTATTATTATTATACTATTATTCTTAATCCCTGGTTGCAACTCTTCATACATACTCGTTAAACCAACCGTCCACGTATTATGGTCGAACCTAACCCAAAATTCGGGGTGTTACATTTCCTCCACCCTTATCAAAATTTCGTCCCCGAAATTTGCTTGAAACTCATTGCTCATTCTACACCATCTTTGTACTTCCTTGCCTCAAGAATTTACTCTAGCTAAATGTTTTTAGATGATGTTCGTTGCTTGTCCGATGTCCGTTGCTTGTCCCGTATAGTTTACCTCACTTCTTATATTTCCTCTTGACCATAGGAGGGATTCTCACCAAGCTCGTTAGCATTGGGCAGCTTTGGGTGACTCATTGCCCTTTTCAAAATTTTCCAACTTGGGCCCCAGGTGCGATGGGACAAAACTTCGGCTCAATTTATTTGATCCAACTGATTCAGTTCTTGATGTTGAACCTAAATCGAAGCGAGGTATCACATTTCCTCCCCACTTATAGAAATTTCGCCCTCGAAATTCATGCACTGTGATTTCCCTAAGCATCTCTTGTGGTACTCCTTTTCACTTCGAGGATTTTTTTTTCCATTTAACTTATACGACATGACCTAAAATCCTTCTCTCCATTCCCTGCAACTTCAATGTTGTTGTGGCTTCTTAACCCTTCACATTACCTCGGCTACACCTTGTACATATATAGGAACGATAACTATCCATTCGGTACATGAGAAGTTAGTGCCCCTCTCCAACCACCGGGTCACTGATGGTGGCTTATCTTCCATCTAGTCAGATGGTAAAACCCTTTTAACGTAACTCTCGTCTAGGGTTGACCTCATAGGTCACCTAGGACCTTGTATCTCATAACTTTGTATCTCTTACTTTCTTCCTTAATGCCTCGTCTTATCCATTAATCATAAACTGAACGGTCACCTCCTCGTTACCTCTTTCTTAATGCCGAGACCTCGTACTACCTCTTTTACTTTCTGTATGCATCAGAGGCATCCATTGCATCTCACCCCTAACCTGCATTCAAATTAATGCTTCTTTCAAGAATCATGACATCCTCCTTGGCTTGCTTGTTCACCACTGGCTGCCTAACTAAATACTCACTTATTGTCGCTTGAATTTGCAATTCTCGTACTATCTATTCTGCTACTCTTAGACCCTAGCTGAAATTCCTCGTACGGCTTCCCCGACCAAGAAATTTTCTCCCAAGAGATTTCCACCTTTCACCAGGATACGCGACCTTGGTTTCACTTTGGGGTATTCCAGCAGGTTCCCTTAATGCATATCCCTACTACTTCTTTATACGCGACCCTTCTTCTTGAGGTTCCTTGCTAGATCTAGTTATCCCTTGTTCTCGATGTAGTCCCGTAGGTTCCTATATACTCTTCTCACTTATGTACTTTGACTGATAAGGTTTTCCCTTCGACCGTTCTGGACCACCACACTTCTACTTTAAAGTTGACCATTGAGCTTCTCAGTTCTTGATGGGCTTCCTATGGTCCAACTTATTCTCCACTGGCAATCACCTTAATGCCTCCTTGTTGACCTTTGTATTCTTTCGCCGCCTCTTCCTAACTATCCTTCTCCCTGAATTTGTCGTTATATCAACTACCACCCTCTTCACCATAACCTTTATTATAGCCTTGTGGTTCCCTCCTTACTTCCACAACTCCTTCATCCTTCAACGATTTAGGTACAACATCCTTCATCGATGCTTGGTACTAGCTTTGATCTACTCAGTTTAGTAGCTCCTCGCCATACCTCCGAGCCAACATTTCCACTAGAAACTTTCTCTAGGTAGACTTGCCAGATGACACCCACGACATCTACTCACGATGATGCTTGACCATGTCGCAACTATCTTCCTTCACGCATTCATTGTCCGGTCGACAACCACTTTTTTTATTTTATTTCCTATAGCTTTCTATGGTGTTCTCCTTGCTTCTTTACTTTTACTACCCTTCCGTTGATACTTTGTACTATTTTCGGTCACCAAACTCTGTTGAGTATCTTCTCGTTGTTGTTTTGGGTCAAGCTTCCAATAGTGGCTTGCCTTTGGTAGGCTTGAACATACCTCATCCGCATCTTTTGTCTTGACTGATGCTTGTACATAGCCTTAATCTCTTAGTCATGGCTCTTAGTGGCTTAACTAAGCGTGCATGTTTCATCCTTAACTAGTTGTCTCCTCTGGAGCCCTCCTACCATGTCGCGCCCACTCAGAGTGGGGCACCTTGGATAATGTAACTTCTCTTTTTCCTCCTTCTCGGTAATGCTTTCCCTCATCGTACCTCTTTGTGCAGCTTCTTGACCTCGAGTCACCTGAGACATGAGCCAATGACTTTTTGAAATCTCGTCAAACTCCCTCTGGCCTTTTTGCTCTTCCTTGGTATTGTTCGCAAACTCTCTTCATTACAACCGTTTAGACTCTTCCTCGAATTCTCCAACCTTCATTAGAATTTCTAATGAACGTTGTACTTGCTTGTCTATACCTGGTTGATTGAATGATTTACTCCTACGGATGGTTCCGTGACTCCCGCTCTTGGCCCTCTAGTTCCCACTTTAGACTTTCCTAATGGATTCCTTGAAATTCCACGATTTTCTGATTCTCCTTGATCATGGTAATTTGCAGGGTCTCTCGACCCCTTCTCATACCTTGTCCTCTAGCTTGCGCTTGACAGGTGTATAGCATGCCTGATCTAACCTCAACCTCTACATCATTTATCTCGTTGCTTGTCTTGTTCCTTTTAAAGGCTTGCTATCAGCCTAACTACCCAGGGTTATGTACCCTCTTCTCTAGATGACATAGTTTATCTACAAGGGTTCCTTCATCGTCATATGTAAATGACCATGCCTCCTCTCCTCCTCAATCTATTGACTTCTTGACATCCTTTCAGACCCCCTCTAACCTACTTATTTCCTCATTTAGTTCATTTATACTACTCTAGCTTTTCTTGAAGTCTAAGCTTCCCGCTGCTCCTTATCACGGTGTTGTAATAGCGGTGACCACTAAAACTAGGTTAGGGACTTCTAGTGGTACCTCTTTGTTTCTTGGCTCATTGCTTCCTCGCCACTTCTTAGGGTCAAGGACCCTGAAATCCTTGCATCATTATAGCTACTGACATCTAGTGGTTGTAGCTCTTTCTTCGGAGATTCATAGTTCTCTTTTTTGTTTGCTTTTGCTTATTAGATCCTCTCCTTGCTGCCTAGTAGTAGAATCCTCGTACTACTCCTTCAACTCTTTCAAAATCCTAGAGGTATTCCCTTACGATTGGAACCTCTTCTATTAGAACTTTAGTTATTTACCTTAATACGATTAGAGTAGACTGGAGATTCTATAAACTCTTAAAAGAAGATCCTTGAATCGTTTTCCTTTCCTTTAAAACAAAAGCCTTTAAAACTGAGACCGACATTCCAGTATTCCTTGGAGACCAAGGAACAGAGGAAGACCGGCTCTGATACCAAAATGAAACACCCTAACCCGGCCGGGTACTACTTTTACTAAAATTCCCTTGACAAATAAAATACTCAAATCTTAAATGGCAGCGGGAAAAATTTTCATAAACAAAATACTGAAAAACACACTTGTAGTTCCGAGCAAAGCCCTAACACGTGGGCAAATTAAACTCAAACTTTAAATCTCAATCTGATCTCCAGTCTATACTCATAATCATAAATGTAAATAACTGATAATCTCTAATGTTGTGGCTACTGAAACCTTGGCTAAGCATCCTCTGTGACGCTTATACTGCCCTCCTCTAGCTGGCTGCCCTTGAACTTTTCCTCTCGAACTCCCTGCTCTCTAACTGCTCCTCTAGCTAGCTGCTACTGAACTGGTTCTCGCTCATTCCCTTACTAAGGCCTGGTGAGTGAGTTGGGGTCAGTCTACGCCCTTACGTTTTTAACTTTCTACTAATTTTGTACTTCTTCTCAAACACTTAAACTCAAACTGAGGGAAGTTGTTTGTACTTCCATTCTTTAAAATCTTAAATCTTAAAACTGTATGGGAGTAACTGTTACTCTCCATTCTTAAAGCTTAAATCTCAACTTTAATACTTGACTGACACTGGGATCCCCCACTAGCTAGTCCGGTTGCAAACTCATACGTATGAGAAGCCATCAAGGCTTTCCTTAAACTTAAACTTAGTTAGGGAAGTCGTAACGATTCATCCCCCTAACATCTTAAACTTATCGTGGTGGCTCTTCACCACGAATCTCAAGAGCATAACTGTTGCTCATCTTAAAAGTCTCAAGAGCATAACTGCTGCTCTATCTCAAAGATCTCAAGAGCATAACTGCTGCTCTATCTGAAAATATCAAATGGCAACGGAATGGCGCTAGTGACTAAAAACACTTAAAACGACTTCACCTTCTTGAAGGTGAGTTACTTCTTAAAAAGAACTTGTTTCTTAAACTTTAACAGTAAATTAAACAAAACGCTTTAAGGTAAATAGCACAAAATCACCTCAAATCACATCAAATAGCACAAACTCACCTCAAACCATAACTCAAGCAAAGCACACATAATCAATCATACACGTAACCAAGCAACGGTAACCAATTCGCTAAAATACGTAAGGCATAGAATTTACCCCCTTTACACCCACCTTAATATCCAGTTGATTTACTTGAACTGACCATCATCCAAGGGTTGATCGCCTTAAGCTCGGCCCTCCTTTACTTGAAATGTGCACAGAATCTCCATCCTGGGTGCTTTTAAAAATTGTCTTTACATAATCATCCATCTCTTGGTTCACTCCCCGATGATTAATTGATAATTCCATACCTTGTACATTGCTACCTGAACAACTCCATATACCAACGACCATCATCCCATTGGATGATGATGACCGACCACTTCCTTCAATCAATGACTCACAGCAAGCTCCCAAACCATTCTCCAATCCCGACCAATCACAACAACCTCCACCAGTATAGATTATTGAATAATCATGATCCTCGTGTTTACCATTTTGAAAACACGGAACACAAATGGCACAAGTTGGACCATGTTCACAAGTACGGCACCTATAGGATATATCATTAGTACCCCAAACAGCCCCACAGACACCACGTCCTGAACTCAACCTAGACAAGTTTAATAGAGCAACATCAGGGTCGCCCAAGAACATCAGCCACTGGAACCAATTCGTGCATTCCTTAAAACGATTTCTCATTGTCGGGCTCACTACCTCCTTTGAACCGGCCTTGGATTTTTGAACTATCTCCTCCACTTCCTCTTCTTGATCCCGAACATTGCTTGCTTCCTTTCGCTTGACCCGCCATCGAGAGACTACCGCACCGATTGCTTTCATGCAAAAGATTCGCGGACACCCATAACATATATATTAATACAACTCATGAATATTGCCAACAAATGCCCACCATCTTGATTTTCCATCGATCTTCTCCTCGTCTTCCTTATTGCACTCTCCAATTGGTGCTCTGAAAAGCTTCTGCTTGTTGATTCTACCTGCGCTCCCTTCCTCGATGATTTGGATTTTTTTGTGGAATCAATATTTGATGGCGATGGATTGGTGGTTCTGGGGAAAAGGAAGAAGATCAAGAGGTAGGGTTTTTGTTTCTTCTTGGGAGATGCCGACTAAGGAAGGGAACGAGCTCCCTTTTTATACTAGTAATAATAATAATAATAATAGTTGTTATTATTATTATTATTATATTATTATTCTTAATCCCCGGTTGCAACTCTTCGTACATACTCGTTAAACCAACCGTCCACGTATTATGGTCGAACCTAACCCAAAATTCGGGGTGTTACAGAACCTGAACTTGGTAAATTACAATCCGGCTTAACTGTAGTCTAGGGGGAACCATATCCGGGTGACCTCTCTCGACTTGAAAACAATCTTTTTACTTGCTTTGCTTGTTTGGACCTTCACTAAAGTTTCACTGCTAAATAATAAGAACTCACGGAGTAGTCATCACATCTAGGACCCGGGTTGACGTTAAAACCCAATCCTGCTATACTACGCTTTAGGAGGTGGTTACACTTGGCCATTTTCTAGAGTGACGATAGGAGCGAGTCACTGTGTGTACATTGGCTTTTTGAGATCTAGTAGTCATACCTTGATTCATGTTGCCTATGATAAGAGAAGGAGGATGCATCTTCTGAATGTGTTGTTGGGCTTGCATAGTGTGTTCTTCACTTTCTTTTTCCTTGTTGGGACTCTGCACTATTTCAATTGTGTTATCCTCTTCTGTTGACGTCTTTTGATGAATTCTAGAATGATGTCCAAGTCCTAGATCATCATCCTCATTAATTATATATGCATACTTGCTGAAAGATTCATCAAATACCACATGTATGGACTCTTCTACCTTGAGAGTCCGTTTATTGTACACTCTGTAAGCTCTACTGTGAATTGAATAGCCCAAAAAGATTGACTTATCCAATCTATAGTCAAACTTTCCCAGATTATTTTTTGTATTAAGCACAAAGCATTTACATCCAAATGAATGAAAATACCCCAGATTTGGCTTCCTATCTTTCCATAACTCGTAAGGTGTCTTGTTAAGTTTGGATCTGATTAGAGCACGATTGATAGTATAGCATGCTGTATTTACAGCCTCTGTCCAAAAAAATTTAGGAAGACTATACTCATTCAGCATTGTTCTAGCAATCTCTATCAATGTTCTACTCTTCCTTTCCACCACACCATTCTGCTGAGGTGTTCTATGGGCTGAAAAATTGTGTGCTATACTAGCCTTCTCACAGAATTTATCGAATTTCTCTGATATAAATTCACCACCGTGATCACTTCTAATATTAATTACCTTAGTTTCCTTCTCATTTTCCAATCGCCTGACTAGATTTTTAAAGTTTTTATAGGCCTAATCTTTACTTCCCAGAAACATCACCCATGTAAATCTTGAAAAGTCATCAACTATTACAAATGCATAGGACTTCCCTCCTATACTCATTACGTTGCTTGGACCAAATAAGTCTAAGTGCAACAGTTCCAAAGTTTTTGTTGTAGAAATGACTTGTTTAGATTTAAATGAAGATCTTACTTGTTTTCCTTTAGTGCAGGCTTCACAGAAAAACTCTTTCTTGCAGTTAACCTTAGGAATGCCAGTTACTAAGTTTAAACTTACAAGTTTGGATAGAGTACCTACACTAACATGTCCAAGTCTCCTGTGCCATTCTAATTGATCATTTTTATCAACAGTTACTAGACACATTTCACTAAATAGACCTTTATCACTTAAGTTTATGCAAAACTGTTTTCCTTTCCTTTTTCCAGAAAACAGAATTTTTCCACTTTCAATGTTTTCTACATAGCATGCAGTTGGTTCAAATACTACTCTATTTGATTCTCCACAAACTTGACTAATTGAGAACATATTATGTTTTAGTCCATCAACTAACATCACATTTCTTATTTTAGGTGTAGTTCCAACTTCCCCTTTACCAAGAACGTCAGTACTATAGTTATCACCAAAATAAACTTTACCTTTCTTTCCTTTAATCAGTTTTGTGAAGAGTTTTTCATTTCCAGTCATATTATGTGAGCATCCACTATCCAGAATCCACTCGTTGTCTTCCATGCTCACTTGGAAGCAGACCTAATTACACAAATGTTTTACTTTGTTTTAGGTAACCAAATCAGCTTAAAACTAACATCTTTTGGTTTTGGATTTTGACACTTATAGCTCATATGGCCAGTTTTATGACAGCTATAACATATTGTCACTCTCAGTCTAGCTTCTTTAGCTATTCTCCTTTCACAATTAGCAATGTAGTGACCTTTTAAATGACAGTAAAAACATTCAACATTTTCTAAATCGTGCTTATGAGGTGTATGTCGTGACCTAGCAGACTGATTTCCTTTTGTGTTGGAGGTTTCATATCTTTTACCATGTTCTGTTAGCTTGACTTCTAGTTCACTATTTCTTTTCAATACTTCATTCATTTGCTTATCTAGAACTGACTTTTCTTTCTTTAGATTAGCGTATTGCTCAGTTAATTTGTCGAATTCTAGCTTAAGTTTTGAGTACTTGTTCTTAACATTCTTGACTTCTAATTGTATATCCCTGATAGTCTCATTTATTTGATCATTTTCACTACCAATATCAGAGTAATAGCTTAGAGTCCTTACCTGAGACGAGAGGCATTCATCGTCACTATCCCCAATAGCCATAAAAGCTTATTGCCTTCTACCGGATTCTCCATCTTCGTCTTCATCTTCACTGCAGCTCCAGGTGGCTGCATGTGCCTTGTCTTTCTTTATTTGAGGACAGTCCACCTTAATGTGTCCATTTCTTCCACACTTAAAGCATCCTTCTTGTGATGTATTCTTCTCAGCTAACTCTTTTCTGAATCTTGAGTTCTGTTTGGATTGCCTAAATTGATCCTTGTCTGAGTCAGCTTCCTTTGCACGGCCATTGATGTTTCTTCTTCTTTCCTTCCTTAACCTTAGTAACTTGGCCACATGTTTACTTAACATGGCCAATTCATCGTCCTCCATATCATCCAAACTATCAAATTCCTCTTCATGTTCTGAGACTTTGAAAGCAATACTCTGTTTTTCTTTTCTTGGTTCCTCACTTTCTTCTCGTCTCAACTTATCTTCGTGTGTAACTACAGATCCCATCAGCTCATCTAAGCTTAGCTTGGTTAAATCTTTAGATTCCTCTATTGTTGTAACTTTGGGCGTCCATTTCCTTGGCAGAGCCCAGACTACCTTTCTGACCAGATCAGCACTAGTGTACTCAACTTCCAGATTTTCCTCAGGCTGTTGACTATAGTTGTAAACCTATCATGCATCTCCTTGATAGTCTCATCCGATTTCATCCCAAAAGCTTCGAACTCTTGCTTGAGAACATTAATCCTTGAAATCTTGACATGAGTAGTACCTTCGTGAGCAATCTGGAGTTTGCCCCAGATTTCTTTCTCGGTTTTGCATCCAGAGACACGATGATATTCCTCTGGCCCTAGTGTGCAGTACATCAAGTTTGTGGCCTTCGAATTCAGTTGAAAATTCTTCTTATCCTCATCGGTCCATTTTCCTCTAGCCTCCTTTTCTTGATACGGCCTGTTAACAAGCTTAAGCTCAAAACGACTGCGTTGAGCTTTGCTTCTCCAACATCAGTGCAGCTCTTCTTTCTGTAACCTGCAAAACAGAGTATGCTGCAAAAACAGAGGCAAGTTATAGAACAAACTGAATTGAAATGAGAAAGCTTGACACCGAGATTTTTACGTGGTTTCCGATACTGAGAAATCAGTATCGACTAGTCCACGGTCAAAGGAACTCTGATTTGAGTCCTTTAACATTACTATGATGTTATGATTCGGATTACAGTTTACAATCGATCTCGTAGTAACTCCTCGTTACTAGATCAGAGTTCCTGATCAGAATTCAGCTCCCTGCCAGAATTCAGATCGCTAACTACTCACACTATCTCCCTGACAGCTACCTCTCCTTTTCTTTTCCAAAACACAGTCAATACCCTTTGTTTCTGCTTTTGAAAATTGATTTGAAAAGGATACCTATGCTACTGAAATTCTTCTCTTTTATATTCTGCCTTTCCCCAGCCGTTGCCTTCTGATTTGGAGAATCAATCTCATATCTTGATTTCCTTCAATTACTTGTTTCATTAGGCCTTTACTCTTCTGGCACTAGCTCAGCATTTTTCGGCCCTCTTTCCTAAAGTTTACGATGCCAGTGGACATAGCTTCACCCAACACTCGTAATTTGCTTTTCTTTCCAGCAAGCAGCTTAAATCGCTTCTCTATGGCGCGACCCACAACTTTATTCACTCTTGAATCAAATGAGTCAGTCACCCCAAACTCTGGTATTTCGAGAAAATACTAGTAATAAGTATTGTAGGCAACATCTTTTTTAGAATAAGTGGGCATAACCCCCGTTTAGACATCTTGTGCACTTAACCCCGTTGATGCACATCATAGGGCTAGCTGCAGGTGGAGTAAGTAGAGTTAGCTTCGAATGATAAGAACTTTCGTTTTGTTGTGACAGGGGAGCTGGTACGTATGTACGTAGGGTCTCCTGATCATTGTCTAGTGGGCTCTGTTGTACGTATGCATTGTAAAATCGTGTCGTATCCGCGGTCCAATCAAAAACACGTAATATAAAGTCAAAATTGATAGGACAAAAAACGGCTAAACCACGATTTCGTAGTAAGCTACCTTATTGCTGACTTTTCCGGTACAACATTCAGCATGGTTTTATAATTCCTGCCCAACTCCTTATGAATAGACTAATGGTGGTGAAGTTCTATACGGTAGCTAGTATATATGGTTGTAATTGAAACTGAAATTGTTCGAGGATAATATGAGCAACCATGATCAGCCTACGGAGAATAAGCTAAAAAAAAAGACTATATCGACAATTACAGTCAGAGAAGGATGCTACAAACATCCAAATGACTCTTCCAACTCGTCGAGGTATTGAGTGCATTTTAGGGTTAGGCGGGATTCAGTCGGGTTCACCCCATCTGATTCATTAGCATGGTTGACAGATTCGGTTAATCGGCCATGTCGCATTTTCTATATAAAAAAAAAGTCTAGTTGATCAGGAGCAAATGAATTGTGTATTTTGGATGGAGAAATGAATGGATTAGATGAAAAACCAGCTCTTAAGTAAACCATTGTATGAACCTGTAAAATTGAGTGATCATTTTTTGTTATCGATTTAAGCTAAAGTCATAATTTTCATTTATAATACTGCAATTGTCAAATACGTATATCCCTCTTCTTATGTTTTTTTTTTTTTTTTACATTCCTGTAGATAGTAGGGGTAGTCCTAAGATGTAGTCTAAATAGTAAATACCACACTAGGGACTACTAGTTCCTTTGCCAATGCAAATTATGATACAAAACTGTGTAACTGACTCTTTCACCTTTGCACATAAATTTCAACATTATCTTGTAACACATTAGCCCTACCAAAACTGAACCATACGACTGCATCTCATATTCATGATGACAATGGCAATGAAAAGAACCTCAATGGGACTTTAATAATATCACTCAAGAGTGTGGCATCATTGTCCTTTTTTCCATGGATCATTAATAATTGGAGAGGAAAACAATAAAATATTTTTTCCCATATAAGTTTTGTAATTATAATTGATCTAGACATTATCATTATTCATATTTGTACAGGTATATATATTTGATTTCTCATAACTTGACATGTTGGGTGTTGGATGAGCAAAAAATCAATTTTCAAGATTTGCTTCTATTTCTAGTCGATTAACAATAATGAAAAAGGATGAGATTATCTGAAATTCCAGTAGTTAAATAATCTTTCTTCTGTTGCCATCATTATAAGTATCATTACTACTACTATTATTATTATTATTATTATTATTATTATTATTACTATTATTATTATTATTATTATTATTATAGGCACTGATTGGTTCCAAAGTTAATGGTGATGAACTAGAGTAGGTTAAGCCTAACCATTGGATCAAGTCACTGTCCTCTTCTGTTGGGTCTACATAGATACCTCTTCTACATAATTGAACCTTTTTTTTAAGAAACTGGAACGCTGTTTCAATAATACTAGAGCAGAGTTACAAGGTGGATCAAAAAATATATTCTTCCAGGAATAACGAGTCCTAACAAAGTAAGGTAATCACTAATCAACCATAAAATTAACTTCATGATAAATATATTTTAGGAAGACCAGTTAATCTTTTGTCAGGAGGTACGACAGATCTCTACAAGAAGTAAGTAGTATATATGGTGGTCTAAGTGGCATATAATTGCAATTATAGATTCATATATACCCATTCTTTGCAGCGGAAAGTTCGCGGTGTTGATTTGATTGATAGAACCTCTCAATTATGTAAACCAAAGATGATTGTTTTTCGGTTTCCACCTCTTTAAAAAATGTTCTGAAAAGGGTGTTTGATTTTGTGGGAATTTACATTAAATTATACCTACTACTTCAATGGAGATTTCTCTAGAGAGCTTAATGATTAAGACAACAATTACGATTATGGAGAATCCTTCATGGAAGGGGCTCCTCAGCTAAGAGTTACAGAGGAAAAAATGAAATCGAAACATCGCTTGATTCATGATGTTGTTTATGATGGAATATCGCTACTACTTGACCATGCGACCTTGGTGGACTCACTACATCGTTCGATTCACTTGGACTCGTGACTTTGTTAACCACCGGTGTGTTGTTGACCTCGCAATGCTGATTCATTCGCGACATTATAGATCTTGCAATCTTGTCGAGATCCCGACTTTGTTGGGTCGCGACATAGGTTACTACTGCGATGTTGTCGATAGTGGGGCCCAAAATAAACTAGAGTCTGAAACTCCTCCGGCCCAACCCACTTATTTGTAATCAACTAGGTAGCCTCATTTAAACCCAATCAAGACTCCACACACGTCAATTAGGCCAAATAATTTTAGGTGTAAACAATCTCATAGTAAGAAGGAACAAGAATTGTCAAATGTCAAATTCAAACCTTAATGGAGACAATACCGGAAAAGTCCATAGCATTATATTTTGTACCGTGATTTGATCATAGTTCAACCATTTTCTATCGCTAAAAGGCTGAAACTGTCTACCGATTTGTATCTGATATTTTCTCTTCGACCGACCGGTATCGTAGGGTTTCTTTAAAACAAAAATTTCACCCCTTTCTTTAGTGGGCCGGATTCTGTCTCTCTCTTTATGGACTGTTATAATAGGGCATCATTGTAAGAAATCATTACCCGGGTCCCTGAGTTACTCCCACTTGCCCTCCCTAGGGTCCAGGCAAAGGCAGATAAGTCCTTTTGCATATTTCAACATAGGCTGAGATCAGCAGTCCAAAGTCATTATTTTGACAACTACTTCCACATTATTATTACTTTATGAATAGATGACCAATTCCATATTGTTAAAAATGTGGCCATAGTCACTCTTCGGGTCTCGATAAGGTTGTTAACAATAAATGTTAGTTGTCACTAGTAATCTTAACGATAAAGAGGTTAAATTTTTATTCTTGTATAATTTTGATTTTGAGGTTTACTTGGTTGATGGTGTTTGACTTGGGCGTTTATGAATTGGTTTCACTTTGTCTGGGGCATTTGGCTTAATCTTGAGCTTTACTAGGATTCATTGGTGTATTGTAAATCAATTAATTGTCAATTACTATTAGCGTGGATTACAATTACTTAGTTGAATGTGATCGAAATGGTTATATGTGACACTCAATCTCTTAACGTGGATGAAAAGTCTTTTGAGTTACTCATGTTTTGGATTTTTCATTTCAGTATGTTCCTAAACAAATTATCTAAATTTCGGAAAAACCTCATCAATGAACGAAATCGATTTCCACTGAAATACGTCATTTACCTCGTATAAATTTTGACGGTTAACAAATATACATGTATGAGAAACCGTTTGCTATCTTTTGTTATTTATTCGCCTTCCGACGTTAGATGGATTTTAGTACAACTACCCCACTGAGAAAGTTGTCCGGGAAAAACGACTGCATGGGATTCGTCCAGCTGCGGGGGCGCCAGAAATCTCGCACTTGTTTTTCGCAGACGACAATATTTTTTTCGGGCGAGCCACTGTGTAGGAGTGTGATACGTTGAAAAGAATTTTGGCAGATTACGAACGCGAGTCCGGGCAACTGGTTAGCTTCTAGAAATCGGAAGTCTCGTTCAGCAAGAAGGTAACCCCTCATACTAAGTTTATTGTGGCTGGAACCCTGGGGATGACGATTGTTGAGAAGCATAAAAAGTATCTTGGCCTTGCTACCACAGTTGGCAGATCGAAGAAGGAAATCTTTGCAGGACTAGTTGATCGGGTTAGGAAGAAGTTGAAGGGTTGGAAAGAGCGAGTGATGTATGTTGCAGCAAGAGAAGTTCTGATCAAATCAGTTGCCCAAGCACAAATGTCATACGCTATGTCAGTTTTCAAAATTCCGGATGGAATTATTGACCAGGTATATAGTCTGATCACTACATTCTGGTGGGGACAACGGGGTTCTGAGAGGCGCTTTCACTGGATTAAGAGGGAGGAGCTAGCATGCCCAAAGTTGAAGGGAGGTAAGGGTTTTCGTGACTTGACGGGGTTCAATATGGCGCTCCTAGGCAAGCAACTATGGAATCTTTACCAGAGGCCATACTCGCTTATTGCGCAGATACTCAGGGCCAAATATCATAAGCATTCGACCATCCTTGAGGCGAACGTGGGCTATAACCCGAGCTATGTTTGGCGTAGCTTGATGTCGGCACAGGATTTCATCCATAGGGGCACAAGGTGGAGGATTGGAAATGGCGATCAGGTTCGCATTTGGGGAGACAAATGGCTGTCGAACAGTGCTGAGGGTTTTATCCCATCACCGCCAAAGGGTTTGCCTGTGGAATCCCGAGTTAGCGAGCTTATAGACACAATTACAGAAGGGTGGGACCCTTTAGTGCTGGACCAATGTTTCCCCAACGATCTAATTCAGACTATTCTGCAGATCCCTTTGCGCGGTTTACAAGAAAGGACAGACTCATTTGGAGTGGAAGTGTGAACGGCAACTACTCGATTCAGGAAGGATATCGTTTTTGGCTTGAGGAGTGTAAGGCAGAGCTAGGAATTTTTCCGGTGGGCGAGGAGGCTCTTTGGAAAAAACTTTGGGCGATGGCTGTAGCCCCAAAAATTAAACACTTCTTGTGGAAATTTGCGAGAGAGGCACTCCGCACTGGCGATCATATAAGCAGCAAAAGCTTAAGGAGGGGAGATAAGTGTCCCTTTTGTGATCTAAGGGAGACCCAAATTCATCTGTTTGGAGAGTGCTCATGGATGAGTCGCATCTGGCGGACTTCGGAGGTAGCTGATTGCTTCGCGGTCCAACCGGCAACAAACAGCTTGCAATGGGTAAAGCGGGTAATGGATCTTGGGGACGAGGATAAGCTGGAAAAGTGGAGCGTACTCATGTGGTTCCTGTGGAAAGAACGAAACGCACAAATGTTTAATGGAAATAATTTGCCCGAGGATGAGATTGTTATGCGAGCCAAATACTACCTGGATGATTACAGGACACACCAGCAGCGTGAGCATACAACACCTCTAAACCAGGAGCCCGAGGTTTGGGAACAGTCAGGACCGGGGCAGTTCAAGATTAATAAGGATGCAAGTTTTGCTGAGCCGGAGGGGATGGTTCTGGGCGCTGTCATACGAGGTCAGGGAGGAGATTTTTTACTGGCAGCTGCGAAGAAGGTGGTCGGTGGACAGAGTGTTGAAATGGGAGAGTCGTTGGCGGCGGAGTTCGACATGCAGCTGGCAAAGCATTTTAATGTTCAGAACCCGTGCCTTGAATCCGACTGTCTTTCCTTTATTCAAAAGCTTTCGAGGTCCGATGAGATACAGAAGGAGATGGGAATTATTTGCCGAAGTGTTCATCGAATGCTGAAGGAACTTGGAAATGGGTCCTCGAGACACGTCCGCAGGACAGCAAATGAAGCTGCTCACTTGACAGCCCAGGCAAAGCCGAAGATGAATGAAACTGTTGTTTGGCTGGACAGCCCTCCCGCCTTTTTGCTTAATGAGTTACAACTTGATTGTATAATGGCCAACGCTGATTAATAGGAATTACAGGTTTTCCTGTTAAAAAAAATATATAGCGAAAGACCACAAATAAAATAAATTACAGTGTATCTGCTTCAATACTCGAAACTAGTGTACAAGCCTAGTTGTTGCAATTTGGTACATGTCGACATGATATCATAACCTATTCACATTTAACTTGGAAACCGTTAGGGTAGTTTGGTTTTGGTGATAGTTAAATAAATGCATATAAGAAAATTGATGTATTGTAGTTTACATCTTTTTGTTTCTGTGATAGTTATTCCAATATTTAAACAAGATATATTGCTTTCTTGGTGAAATGTCAGTTTTACCCTTTGTTTTTAAAATAAAAAAGCAAAACACATCAAAAGGTAGGGACATATATATGTCAATTTTTTTGCTCAATACATGTAATGATAAGATTAAGTCGTTTTTTTGGTTCAATTTGAGTTAGAATGCATGTATTACCTTTTTCCTGGCCCACCCACAATCACTCAAAATGAATGATTGTCAATCTCTACAAAAAGTAGAGATTGTTAACAAGGGATTGTCTACCCTACTTTTTGCTCAATCATTATCTTTCCAAACAAGGTGTTTTCATAATACATGCATTGAATCAATACATCAAATAACAATACATGAATTGATTAAATGCATCTATTTGGAGAATCTCAACTTCCAAACATGCAAACACTCCAACAATCTCAAACAAACAATCTCAACAATCACACAAAAAAAGTTGAGATATTAGGGGTTGTTTGGAGGTAGAGATTCTCCAAATTGAAGTATTTAATCAATTTGTTTATTGTAATTTGATGTATTGATAAAATGTATGAATTTGAAAAATACCTTGTTTGGAAGTTTACATTGTGCTTTGTTATAAATAAATAAAAAATAGAGGGAAGACAATCCCTTGATCACAATCTCACCTTTTGGTAGAGATTGATAATCACTCATTTTGAGTGATTGTTGGTGGGCCCAGAAAAAAGTAATACATGTATTCTGTCACAAATTTAAGCAAAAAAACGACTTATTAATCTTGACATTACATGCATTGTTTAAATACATTGCTTGAAATCCCAACCTCCAAACGACCCCAAATGAGTGATAGTTTTTATCACATCAAACAAACAATGCATGTATAGTTTGTGCAGAAAATAAAAGAAAAACAATGCATTGTGGACAATGCATGCATAGTAACTATCTCAACCATGGTTGTCAAACCGGTGGTATGTCGGCCGGTTGAACCTGGTGCCGATCATAAAACCGACTGGAATACCCCCAGTATGATGTTGTGGTCAACACCGGTCAATGCCGGTCAAATCCGATCAGACCCGAGAATTCCGATGGTTCAACCGGAATGTTAAAGTGTCGGTATCTGAAGTCTGAACACATATATATTCATCACTGTCGGAGAATGGGTGGCCAGAGCTTGGTAGTTTATCTTCTAGTGCGTTTCATCTCATTCCCCTGCATTGCGGAGTTATCATAAATCGCCTTGCTGCTAGGAGACGAGAAGTGAAGATGAGGGCCAAATGGAGGGTCATAAGAAAGAGATTGACCTCCCATTGCAGTGTTTATTTCATCGGAGAGAAGAGGGCAAATCAATTGAGAGTAGGAAAGAGAGATATTTCCCCTTTCGAGCGGATGTGGAACAGAAATAAGGAGAGCGAGGGAGAGGGATATAGGCGGCTAGGGTTGGGGAAAGGTGCACTGGGGGATTTTGGGAGGAAGGGTATTACGTAGCTCTCTCCCTCTTTTCCCTTCTTTATCTTTTTTTTGTTTGTATATTTTATTTACTTTTTATAATTTTATTTTTCTTACAAATTACTGCAACCGGTATAAACTGGCATACTTATCGGTTGTACCACGATCAAATCAATCAACTTACTAAACTGGCATAACGGTATAAACCGATTTGACAACCTTGATAACGGTCACCACAACCAAATGACCCCTTAATTTCAAATATAAGAGTCCAGATCTCTCATCAAATTTGGGATTAACTCAAAATCAGTCCCAAAACAACATGAAAATTAAAAAAAAAAATACCACAAAAAACTATTTTAATGGGGAGTAAGTTGAAAGGGACAGTCATTATGGGACAATTAAGAAGAAGGTCATTATTTGAGCGAGGAACGGGGAAATTCTAATATGTGTAGGTTTGCCATCAAATATATAGAATTAGATCAATAGATTATAGGTTAGCGGGGTAGGGGATGACACAAGCCTTGGCCCTAGCTAGGGCAGTCAGTATTTTAGACTTATTATTGGCGTTAGCGTGGGGCCCGCCCGATGGCCTTTAGTCGGTGGGTCCCAGTCAAACCAGGAACCCCGGGGGCCCTTTTGAACTGCGAGTTAAAGCGGGACCTTTTTTTACCAGTTTCCCCACTCACATTATAGTTAAATAAAGGTAAATCGTAAATGTAAAAAAAAATTAAAAAAAAAAGGGCGATGACGTGGTGAGAAACGGGAATGGCACAGGCCGGCTTTGTGCTCTCGCTGGGTTCATAGACCATAGTCCACTCCTGCACGGTCCGTGAACTCCCTACAGAAAGACCCCCCAGGGTCCGGGCCCACTTTTCTCATAGACCATATATATGCATTTAGGGTTGCAAATGAGTCAAGCCGAGCGGGGAGCAACTCGTCGTTCGAATTGGAAAAAAAACTCAATCGACACTCGGCTCTTTATTTAACAAGCCGACTCGCATAAACGAGTCAAGGTTGAGCTAGACCATGCTCAGCTTGATAAGCTCGTGAGCTAGCTTGACTCGATGATTTATTGAGCTAAGCTCGCGAGCTGGCTTGTTTAGAGTTTGTGGATTGATTAATTACTCTTCTGCGCTGAACATGAGCATTATCTTGTTAATACGTATGTGTATGGAACTTAGCTGGTATTTTTAGTTTATAGTGTTTCTTTTTATTATCACTTAAAATTCTTTTGTTTACACCTTTTTCGGCAAGAATGATTTCAAATCGAGCTCATCTCGATTCGAGCTTGTATTCAGTTTGACAAGCTGTGTTAATGAGCATTTACCGAGCTCTATCGTGTCGAGCTGAAAAATTTATAAACGAACAGAACTCGAGCTGAGAAAAACTCTACTCGACTATGTTCCTTTGCAGCCCTATATGCATTGCTTGGCATTTGTAAGAGGTAATGAGTGAACCAAAGTTCCAATAGTAAGTGAAATGAAATATCATCATCACTCTTATCGAATTAACAAATCCAACGATTAATCCTCAATTAGCTCTAGCCTCTATGTAAATGATCTCAAGAAAGAATAACGGGAGAGGACAACGAAAGTAAGAGGGAGAGGGAACCGCCCGTGGCCGAGCGGAGGGAAACAGAGCAGAGCAGAGCTGCCTGAAATTCCAGAAAATAGCTCCCCACTACTGACTTTCATGCGCAGGCACCAGCCTGAAAAGACCTGCGACTGCTTTTATTTTTGTTTTTTCCCCCCTTCTTTCAAGCAAAAGAAAAGCGAAAGCACCCTCTCTTTATGTATTTTTTACAAAAATAATTCATTAATTTATTATTCATTTGTCTTAGTTCACTTCCCACTTCCCACAAATCGACGATCCCAACAACCTGCTCCTGAAAAGTGAAAACCACCCCTTCCTTCTTAGCTTAACCTCCCACTCCCTCTCCCACTCAGTCACAGACTCGCTCAATTTCATCAGTCCATTGGCGAAGTTTCAGGCCGGTTGGGTAGTGAAATGGGAACATGGCAGCATCAGGTAGTTTAAGGCCGAAAAATAGCGTAGTGAGTAGTGACACTGCCTTTTCTCGTCGTCATATCGACCGAAAACTTTTGAAGAACGTCTAAATCATAATACAATATGAACATTATAAAACGATTGAACCATAACTAAACCATAAAATACCATATTATTATGCAACTTCAAATTTTACAACCATTGCTTTTTTGCCCGTTTTTTCTTCCCAAACGGGTCCAGCGGCCAGTACTACCTGAAGGCCACTACCCGCCAAAACCAAAGACGAAAAAAAAAAGTTACCAACCCACTCACTCACCGGTTAAAACCAAATAAAAAAAAGGCTAGAGAGTTATTGAACATTATTAATCATCATTATTCTTTTCTTTTTTCCATTGTTTTTACAGTCACCAGTTTCACCTTTTTCTTTCTCCCTCCCTCTAAATCGCCCTGTCCTTTTCCTCCACTCTCTCTCTCCATCGCTGATAATCATAATAGAGTACTGGGGGCAAAAACATAATGGAGCAGGCCATAAAAAGGACTGGGCGAGAGTCCTCAAGAGGGAACTAACTAGATTCCAAACCCACAGACTGCAACCCAACACAGAGCTTTTCTCTTCGCTTTGGCTTGATTCATCTCTCTTCTTCCTTCATATGTTCATGCTCCACTCCTCCTTTCTTCCTGAATATGACTGGTGAGTGAGTGTGTCCTTCTGTTGTGCTTGGAGTGGCCGGAGAGAATTTTACAGAGCTACCTAGCAAAAAGGGCCGGGAAAGTCAGGGATATAAAGTTCACTGCTTTTTTCACCCCCCTCTCTTTTCTTCTTCCTTCCGTCCCCTGCTGCTACTTCTGAGAGAATGGAGTTCATGGAGTTATAGCAGCAGAAGCAGCAGTACCCAACAAAACCAAACAACAGGGTAGCAAAATATCAAAGACAAATGGATCCCTTCAATTCCTGGCTGCTTTCTCGTTACCTGGTTGGGTAAAATCATGAATGGTTTTGACTGTTACCCTGCTTCTGCTTCTTCTTCTTCTTCCAGTACACGCCATTAACAGCCATCTGGTTCAGAATCATCAGTCCCTTTTTTTGGAATGGGTAAATTTCTGACTCTCTCTCTCTCTTCCTCTGTTTCTTTTCTCAATTCTGGAAGCTGCTGTAATTTCGTCTCTGTATTCCGACTTTAACTCTTCCTCTTCCTTTTCCAGCTATGCTGCCTTGACTCGTTTCCAGAGTTTGCGATCAGAGGGATCATAAGTGAAAAAACAGAGAGAGGAAGATAGCTTGACGATGGGGGAGTACAGTTCTTCAAGCAAGTCCAATTCCATTCCGCGGTTATTCACTGCCTTCGCCTCCTTCAAGAATGAAACCATCGAAGCTGCCGCGATGATGAGCCCGACTTCCATCCTAGACAGCAAGTCCTTCTCGGGCCTCAAAAACCCATTCTCCCCTGAACTCGCTTCTCCCGCCGCCGCCGACACTCCCAAGAGGAGCCAGTACTGGGAAAACCTCGACTCCCCTAAAATCGGTCTCGGCTTAGTCGACGTTCTCTTCTCCGATCAGAACAAGAAGAGCCCTCCGAACTCATCAACAAAATTACCCGCCGATAGTCGAATGGTTCTGTTCGGGTCCCAGCTCAAGATCCAGATCCCTTCTTCCTTGCTCTCCCTCCCGCCTTCTTCCCCAGCAGCAGGGTCTTCCCCCAGATCTCCGGCCGATTTCGGGATCAAGACGAGGAACTCTCAATTGGGAAGCTCTTTCTCCTCCTCCGGTCTATCCCCATCCCCCGTACTGAAATCCACGACGTTCGGGTCGGACAATTCGGGTCTGGACGCCTCGAACTCGCCGCCGCAGCGGGTCTTCACCGCCGGCGAAATGGAGCTTTCCGAGGACTATACCTGCGTCATCTCCCACGGCCCCATCCCGAAAACCACTCACATATTCGACGATTGCATCGTCGACGCCTGCTGCGGCGTGTTTAGCCTCGATCCCTCGGTCAAAGAAGCATCCGGCGATTTCTACCCTTCTGAGAGCTTCTTGAGCTACTGCGACAATTGCCGCAAGGATCTCGGCCAGGGGAAAGACATCTACATGTACAGGTTAGTCGGTCTCTTTTTTTTCTTCCCTGCTCCTCTAATTTGCATATTTCCGCCATTGAAGCTTAATGGGTTCTTTGGGTTATAATTTTTGCAGGGGAGAGAAGGCATTCTGCAGCAGGGAATGCAGGTACCAGGAGATGCTGATGGAAGGAGATGAAATGGATCGTGAGGAAATCTATGGAAATTGTTCCTGACAATAGTAGTCATTGGTTAGCTGTAGAAAGAATCCAGTCAGTCTCTCTCTCTCTCCTGGCCTGGGAATTATGAGGGCAAAGAGGTCTCCGGCATCCAAAGTGGAGACAGATTGATTGTTTTAAACAATATAAAGACGATGATCAATGGCGATATGTTTAATTAGATAATATAGATATATAAATATGGAGAACCAAATTGTATATTTGGATCTGTTTTTGCAGGAAGTTTCTTTTCCTTCGTGTATTTCTCACTTTTTCTTCTTCGTCTTCTTCTTCTTTCTGCTGTATGTCATCAGTAGTGGTTTTGGTTCCCCTTTTGTTGAAACGAACAGAGGGAATCAACAGAGTAATGGAGAAAAGAAAAAGAAAAGGTGGGGGGAAGAAAAATAATTGTAGAATTAATTTTGGTGAAATGAAATGAAATGGACTGAAGGTTTGAATATTGATCGTTTCTTTTGTTTGTTTCTGGATTTCTGTTTTTTTTGCTCGCAAAGTTGGTGCAATAATGATGCATGACGATGGATATAAGCTTTAACAGTGTTAATTATTATCTTATTTTGCGTTGTTTTAGTAGAGATAATGATTGCAGCAGTGTGTGTTATTCAATATTTGTAATCGCCCGGCAATGAAGATAATGAAGTGTGATTGAAAATAGTAGGTATCATTTGGTACCATTTCTCTCTCTTTCTGTGTTTGGTAACAGGGGGTAGATGATAACATTCAAATTGATGTTATTTAGCTCTTATATTTTAGGTGTTTTTATACCGTTTGTTGTTTTTTTTTTATTATCAAATTTGTGACAAGCTTTATTAATCAGAAGTTGTGGTTACATTGTCCAACATAATCTGATCAACAAGAAATATCGGTGGTCTATCATACCAAACTTCCCTCTTATTCCATCGAGTCTCTATGCGAGCCATAATGTGAGCAGCCTTGTTACTTTCTCTAGGGACATACCGCCATGATCCTTCTCCCATCTCCCGAAGTAGTCTCAATATATTACGACATATAACACCAATCTCAGTGTGGATGGTGTCCGCCTCCTCCAGCTTATGGGTAAGCGATAAACAGTCTGTTTCCAGAATCATGCTCGTCATGTGGGACTCATAGGCTAGCTGCAAACCAAACTCCGCCGCTAATGCTTCAGCCATATCATACTCACAGTTCCCCAGAATTTCTTAGCTCCCGCCATCATACACTGTCCCTCGGCATTACGTATCACAACGCCCAGTCCAATGCCTCTCGCTGGCAAAACTACAGCATCCGTATTCACCTTCGGTAATCCTTCCTGGGGTTTTTGTCATTTCGTTAGGTGGATACTTTCTTCCTTGTCCCCTTCGCGGTCTTGGTGCTCCCTGTAATTAGCAATCCACAGCTTTGCTCGAGGGACAATCTCGTGCTCTCGTTAGGTGGATACTTTCTTCCTTGTCCCCTTCGCGGTCTTGGTGCTCCCTGTAATTAGCAATCCACAGCTTTGCTCGAGGGACAATCTCGTGCTCAGCCAATCTAAATCCATTGAAAAGATGGCCGTTGTGTTCCTTCCGTAGAAACTAGAGGAGTACCACCCAGTCTTCCAGCTCCCGCTCGGTCTTTGTTTCCATAACCGTCTTCAGCCATTCATAGCAGCATTCTGATTTGCAGCACAGAAAGCAGTCCGCCAGCTCCGATTCGCGCCATAATCTGGACGACCATTCACACTCACCAAATCTATGTGCTTGAGTCTCCCTTATATCACAAAAAGGGCAAGCATCACTCCAACTTTTGCTCTTCACACTCGTGTGATCCCTAGTTGGTAAAATACCCCGGGCAAATCGCCAGAGAAAATGCTTGACCTTTGGCGGAATCTTCATGCCCCATATTCGCTTCCACACCCGAGTTTCGCCTACCATTGTAATATTCTCCCTGGTCTTGAACTCCTCCAGCTAGAGCCGGTAGGCTTCCTTCACGCTATATTCCCTAACGAGCTTCCTTTCCACACAAGCCTATCTTGTTCCCTCGGGTCCCGGAGTGGGATGGTGCGGATGGTCTTCGTTGTTTCCATGCAGGGGAAGTCCCACCCACTACCCTAGTCCTTGATGCTATCGAAAGAACCATCACTGAAGAACAACACGTGATGCTAACTCGGCCATGTGAGCGAGATGAAGTTGTGAGGGCGCTGAAGGAGATGGGCAAACGAAAGGCTCCAGGAGCTGACGGAATGACTGTCTTGTTTTTTCGCAGGTACTAGAGCATTATTGGAGCATTATTGCAATGCTTGGTCAGTGCCGACACACCAGCCTCCGCCACCGTCCTTCAATTTTCGGATTGTGTTCCGCCTTCTTCGGGATGTTGCTTTCCTGTGAAAGAAGTTAGTATTCTTGTCTCCCGAGTGCAACCAATCCATCCTCGATCGCTGCTGCCAATATAATTCTTCGTTTCCTTCCAGCTCCAGCAGTTCCGCTTCTTGTTGCTTAATTTGTGCAACCACTTGCGACACCTTTCTCACCCGATCCAGTGCACGCAGCGCCCTCCTAATGCGGTCATTCTGTTTGCCAAACTGGGGAAAAGTAGCCCTGCTCCACTTGTCCAATTCATTCTTGCAAAATCAAGTTTGGTTAGAGCATCACCTCGGCCTCCCTGCCTCCAGGCTTCCTCGATCACCGCAGGGCATTCTGTGTGTTTTGTCCAATGGGCCTCTAACCGGAACATCCATCCCCATTTTGGACAACATCTTCATCGCCATTTGTATCACAAACAATTGGGTGATGATCCAACTTGAATTTGTCAAGATGTCGCTCCTTCACCTTGGGGTATAAGTCTCCCCACTCTAGTGATGCCAGAAAATGGTCCAGGCGTTCCTCGATAAACCACCGGTCGCTCTATTGTTAACCCATGTGAATTTATGTCCTTGGAAACCCAGATCCTGGAGCCCTGTCACCAACAAACAATCTTTGAAAGCTGCCATGGCCGCGACGTTTACCGCCCTGCCTCCTTCCTTCTCGTCGCTATCAAGGACCTCATTAAAATCACCTCCGCAGAGCCAAGGCCCCTCCCATTGGTGTGAAAGGGTCGCCATTAGCTCCCATGTTCTATATTTTTCACCATCTTCTGGCCATCCATAGAGGCCCGTAAATCACCAAACTTTGTTATTTTGATCAACCACTTTTGCATCAATATGGTGGAGAGGCCGCGTCATAACCTCAATCTTAGTTTCCTCTCGCCACCATAGACTAACTCCGCCGGCTCTCCCACCTCTAGCCCTATCTGTGGAAAAGCTCTTGCCATACTTATAGTCCAGTTCGAGACGTGTTACTTCACTCTCCTCTTCAGTTTGTTTGGTTTCCATAAGAAAAACATCTGGGGAAATCAATCGCAGTAGCGACTTCACTGACTTCACTGCTCGCGTACTCCCCAATCCGCGACAGTTGTAGCTGAGAATCCTCATCTATGACCTGAAGGGGATGGGCTCCCCGCGCCATTTCGTTGTGAAGTATTATTTCACCGACCGTCACCTTCTCTAAACCTTTCGCGGTTACTCTCCTTACCCATCTTTCCACCTTGCTTAGGTATGCATTGTTTCTGCGGGGGGTTTTCTCGTATTTTTGCTGGGGTGCAACTTCATATCATTTCCCAAATGGCATATTGTTCTTCTTTATAGCTGTTCCACGGCTCTGACCCACTGTTCTTTGTTCTTCTCCCCTGGATGTATCCGCTTTCTGTGCTTCTTTATTATTAATCGGTTTTGCATGGCTCGTTTGCAAAGTTTCAGCCTTATTTGTCCTTTGCGCATCTTGATTACACACTACCTCTTCATGGCATTGGTTGGTGGTCCTGTTCAGGCTTTGTTCGACGTCATAGAACCTGTCCACTTGCTTGTCATCTCCCAGCACCTCAAAGCGGTTATGTTCTTCTCCCGTATTACCCACTTGTTGTTTAAATTCTGCCCTCATACCAAAACTATTACCTCGTTTGTGCATCCGCCGGTCCCTTCGCTTCACCATCATCCAATCTCCATAGACAGGTCCCTTCTCTGGCTCAACAACTTGAGTTTCCGGCACCATCTCAACCGACTCCACTACTATCTCTGTAGGAGTCTTACATTGGCATATTTCCCACAGTCTGTGCATATGTTATCAATTCCCTCATACTGGATGAGGTACTCAACGCCTTCAATCTTGTATTTCGATAGCAACGGCCGCATGAGGTTCACCTCCACACATACTCGGGCAAAATTGCCCCTTGCGCCCTCCTCTGTAGCTCTCTCAACCCGTATTGGTTTTTCGATCAGCTTACCGATCTTCATAGCTGCTTCCTTATTGATGAACTCTATCGGTAGCTCTGGAAGCTGTACCCATACTAGCGTTGACGTCACTTCAGTCTTCCATGGGTTAAAACCCTTAAACCATCGCATCACTGTCAAGTAGGTCTCTCCCATCATTCACGACCCACCATTTGTGGCTATCTCATAATCCTCCGTTCTCCTAAATCGAACAAGTTAGTAGTTGTTCTTTATGTCCGATATCTGAATATCAACATGCTTGGCCCATAGGAAGTTTAGTCGACGAGATAAAGCCAGGTACGCAACCTTCCTTCCCAGGCCTTTCACCACCAATGCCGAGCGCCATTCTCTTCTCCACCTTATCTTCTCCGCTGCCGTAAATGGGATAGTTGGGCATAGGGGGTCGTTATCCATCTCATCAAGAAGGTCATCTTCTTCCCTGTCCGCCTGCACCACATCTTTTGTGTCGGACTCAGCTATGTACCAAGTATCATGTTGAACAACATCACTGAAACGTTTCCTTGTGCCATCTTGCCACGCTGGGATCCCCGACTTGGGAGCACCGTTTCATCTCTATTGGCGGACTTGCTTCTGCTTCCATCTCCTTAGCTGTGATATCTTCAACGAACCCTTCTGGCTGGTCGAGGTTTAGGGCACTGACTTTCTTTTTTGGCTGGACCGCCTCTTTTTCACTTTTTGTATTCGGGGAAGAGGAGACTTCCAGGTGACGTCGGACTCCACTTGTAGTATCCGGTGGCTTTTCCGTCAGGTCCGGCGCCCCGATCGGCGGTGTCGCCACCATTGAAGTTACTAACCCTAGCTCAGAACGTAGATCGCTTTTCCTATTGCTCCGCAAAACTCGGAGCCTTTTTTTACTTTTTATTTTTTATTCTCGGTATTTGATCTAGTTATTCACAGTTTGTTGGTCATTATTGTCAATATATTATCATTTGCATCCTAAATTCGTTCCTCAGAGCATTTCATGTTATTTTAGGATGGATTCCGCAATACTTGCGTTTCAGACATAAAAAAGGGTAACCAATGTAGAATTTGGAGCCAAATTGGAAGATCACGGCAGAAGGGTCAAAAATTATGACCGAGAAGTGGAGCCCACATACTTCAATTAAAGATTGCGACCTCTTTAGAAAGATCACGCTCTCGATCTTGGAGAATTCAACCATGAACTTGGAGAAGCGGCAACCAAGGAAGATAGAAGGTTTCGACAGTTGACTTGCAGCCTTCCACTTTCGAGACAATAATAAAAATAGGGGTATCCCCCCCCCCCCCCCCCCCAAATTCATAAATCATAAGTGACTTTTGACAGATTTTTTATTCTAGAGTGAGGTTAGAGCGAGAAGTAGAAAGTTGGAGAAGAAGAAGTGAAGGAGAGCTTTGGATGAGGATTTTCCAGCAGAAGAATACCCTTCTTTTTTATTTCTTCCCCTCTATTCATGTCCCTTTTTTCCGCCTTCACGAGGTAGTTCCTCAAGGTATTTTGGGGCTTAGTCCCCCCAAACCCTAGGTCCCAAACCCTAACCTAGGATTTGATATGTAATTTGATATTTTGACTTAATTTGTGGATGCTTATGAACCTATTTATCTATGTCTATTTGCTGATTTTTGTTACATCAAGTAGTGTGAGACTGTCTGTATCCCATTCGCCCTAGTTACAACTTAGGTGGTAGGAGATTTATTATCCTCTTTCATGTGATTTATCAATTAATTGTGTTTTGCTAGAGTTTTTATGCTCGATCTATGATTATTATGCTTTCTATTTGTCTCTCCATGGGTTATCTATGATTGTCTAGTTAGGGTTTGATCTAGGATAGGTGTGGATTGAGTAGTCTTAGCATGATTTGTTTGAATGGTTGATCTAGGAGTCTAGTATGGTGTACGAGGCGATCGTACCCCTGCTATTAGGTGTTCACCTAGACAATGCTAGCGTCGAGTGCGTGCCCATCGACTTAACGCCTAGTATGCGGATGGGTAGAACCCATTTAGACGAGATAGGTTATATTCCTGCATCGTGAAGCTAGCTGAAGTGACATTGCGCTAATGGATCGGTGTAGGAGGGAGATTGGTTGCATGACCATTGAGTCAATCCCCATGTAATACACAAAAATTTTAGTTACTAAAATATAATTTCTTAATGATATTTTGAGGACTTATATACAAAACAATTAGGGCTAATACCACTAGGAAAACCCAAACTATCAAGAATGTGTCATTTATGTCCCGAACTATTCAATATGACATTTGTGTCCTGACGTATAATAGTTGTGTGTCATTTATGTTCTGACGGACGGTTGACCTAACGGTCATTAGTGAAATGTTGATCGTTGGTTACGTGGCACATATGTGACAGCCACGTCAGCTGACACATCAGATTATTTATGAAAAAAAAATTCTTAACAAAAAGAAGAGAAAAAGAAGAACAACAATTTTCTTAACAAAAATCTTCTTCCCCGCTCTACTTCTTCCCCAACACTTCCGCCGTCCTCTACCGAATATGACCTTTGCAAAATCTTCTTCCCCGCTGCAATTCTTCCCCAACACTTAATCCGGAAATCCCGCAAATCCATCCTCTGCTGCACTTCTTCCCCTTCATTTCAGTTCGGCCTCGCAAATCCCCTGCCATTCGGCGAAAGAATCATAGAGTAGAGCCCCTGTCATTCAGGCCGGGAGGGAAGAAGGTTACTCGCAGGGATGTGAGGAATTACCGGGTGCCAATTGCGTCGAGTACCGTGAGTGCTCGATTGCAGGGATGTGAGGAATTCCAGGGTACCTAGCGTCTGGAAAGAGAAGAGAAGGCGATGAAACCCCGACGTCAAGAGATTCTTGGTGTTGTATCCGGACGTGGAATCCCGGCGAAGATTGTGTTAAAGAGACGCGAGGAAGATGGAGCTGAGGCTCCCATTGGTGCCTCCTTCATCGTCTTCCTAACATTCCATGACGACCGATTTTCACCTAGAGATGCAGATCTATAGATCTGAATTTTTCTTTTTAATTTCCTTGTTAGTTTATTCATTTTTTATTGAAAAATAAATAATAAAATTCCACGTCAGATGTCATACAACGCTGAGTAGACTAACGGTCTACGCTGGTAAATTCTAAGGGAAAATAGTTTAGGACATAAATGACATATTAAATAGTTTGGGACACAAATGACACATTCTTCATAGTTTGGGTTTCGTAGTGGCATTAGCCCAAAAAATTAACTTTATATACTAAATCTAAATAGCTATTATACCAAATTATTATTTGCATACGGGTATAAATATAAACTCAAATCCATAGATTACAAACCCAACCCAACTCAAATAAATGAGTATGAGTACAAAGCACAAACTCTAAATTTCATACCCAACCTAATCGAATTGAATAATAAAATACACATGGATATGAGCAAACTGATCATCCTATAAGCGAGGGGAAATCTAACATTGTGATTTGGGGTTTGCGAGTTCTAGAGCTCAAGAAGAGGATGCAGAATGAAGTTTCAGGCGGTTGATTTTGGCCCAGAGAAAGAACAAACTAATACGAGGGCAAAAATGAAAATTGGCCAATACTAAAATTTTAGCATCCTAAATTGTGAATTTGTGACACATGCTCAAACACGAATTTTAAACCAAACCCATATATAAATTAGTTGGTTATTTGATTGAAAAGTTTGAGCCACAATCCCTCATTTTTACATTCCCTCGTCGAAACAAACAGTTAATATTATTGCAGGATTCAACAAAACCAAATATAGGCCACTCGTTTAAATTAGGCACACTTTTATTCCATAGTAATAACCCAATTGCCGTGCAATTAATCTTTCATCATATACTGTTTATACATGGCCACGATTGACTGGTGAAACATAGATTAAACAGGACAGAGACTCTGAAGCCATCAAGGCGGCATTCAGCTCAACATGGCATAGCAGTTGGCACCAATCAACGGTGAAATTCATGAAAGCAAGAACAATGAGTAGCAGTTGGGCAAAGCTGAAACTAGCAAATTGTTTTATACACAGAGAAAAGAAAAGGAAAGGAAAGGAAAAGAAGCTAGCTAGGAAACCCACTTCTCCACTCACTGCTGTCAAAATCAAACAACACACACAACACAAAGATAAAAAAAAGGTACGTAAGATCCTTAAACAAGGGTAAAAAAGCCGACCCCTCAAAGCCCTCACGAACCATTAAGAACCCTTTTATATTTAAGCTTTGATTCTCCCCTCCCAAATTAAAGCTTCAATCATGGCGCATTGGCGTATCAGATTAAACCAGAAAGAAAAGAGAGAGAGAGAGAGAGAGAGATGAATCGGTGGATGGGTTTGATGAAAAATAAGAAAGATTTGGAGCAAAGGGGAGAAAGGAGAAGAGGAGTGTAACTTTGTTCCTACCACCACCAAGTTATGCTGGTTTGAGGCAGACAAGGTATTCAGGCGGTCCCTGGACCCTCTCAGCCCAAAAGAAGAGAAAACCCTAGCTTTAACCCTCCTCCTCGAACTCTATAGTAGCTCTTGGTACTTGGTAGTGGTGGATGGAATGGAACCAAAACTTGGGAATCAATTTGGGACCAGAGCTTTCAAAAGTGAACTCAATTTTTCTCTCTTGTTTTCATTGATTCTATGATCCCCCACCCAACCCTACCACATTTCCCCCCTTTCAATTCAACTGTTTGCATTTGGATAGTATGTGAGTAATGACTAACGACTAAAATTGGGTTCTTGTTGTTTTCTCATGCATATCTATCTACCATAATATCTCGTGTTATTATCTTCAAGAAACAAGTAAATAGAATGTCATTTTATTAATTTTGAAGTCCTTTATTTTGTTATATCTAGTGAACACATAATTGACTCGCATAGTCGCATGCCATATAAATAGTATTGTCTTCATTTGTCCCTCAATTAAACTTGATCACTTGAATCCGTGCAGGTTATTGTCAGAGGTTAGTACGTATCAACAACTATCCCATCATAGGCCAAGTTTAACTTAGGACGACATTGCCTTATAGTGGTAATCAATGTCGTATTCTACTCGGGTCATGGTACGCTAACCTACTTCCCACTTAGTTGCTAATTAGTTAATCGGGTTTTGAGGTTTTGAGTGGAGGATATGAGTAAACAATAGTCTAGAGATTGATCAAAGCTAAAAGCGGGTACTTCGGGTAACTATCCCTCCCCCTAGTTTAGGGTTAATATGCATGTCTAGATACTTAGTGTCATTGAATGTAGTGAGTGAGTTTTTTTCCGTGGGCCTTCGTCGTTATCCACACGCCGCCTCCCTAAACCCATATATAGTCACCTCGATTTAGGCTATCGTATCTGAGGCATTAAGCTTATGGCTCATTTCAATGGACACTATCCACCGTCCACACCGAGGTTTCATCCCGGGTTTCATCTAGGAAGGCTACCTATAGCAGGAGTTCGGTCGCCTCGACCACTATAGGCCCCCATTCACACATCTATTCTAAACTCGCCAGATGGCGCTTACCCGTCTAATCTTAGAACTCCATACCCAGCGCGGTAGCATAAAGTAGGCTAAGAGGGAAAATTAGGGCGACTTACCCAAGCATCATCATTTAGTAAAGAGTGGCATTAAAATCAACTAGACAAACACATTCATTCATTCAAACCCTAAAATATCCATACATACATAGTAAACCCTAAAACTAGGGTTTGGGGTTTAGAACCCCTAGTACCTTAGAGGACTACTCCATAAAGGAGGGAAGAAGATACATGGTAGAAATAGAAGAAGACTTGGGGTTGAAGAAGATGCCTCCTTGCTCCTTGCTCCTAGCTCCTCCTCATTCTATTCTACTTCCTGTATCTTCTCTCTCTCTCTCTAGAACCAGAAAATTTCTCTCAAAACCAGCTCTCCTCAAAAGGGGGAATGAGTCTTGTATTTATAGGCATTCTAGATTCGGGAAAGTTCCCGACCTGAGGTAAGGAGATCGCAGGCGGGATCTTTGGTTTCTGGGCCGTGATCTCAAAACGCAGTCGTCGAGGCCTTCGGGAAGGGGAAAATCGCGGGCTGACTTCGCGATCGCGATCCGCGAGTCACGGCAGCGATCTTCCTCGCGGTCAATGTGAACGTTGGTTGTGACTTGACTGAGGAGACTCTCTGCTTCTCCAAGGCTCCTTCCTTGCGAAGTTCGAGCCCTGAGCCTCCAAGATCGCGGTCGCGATCTATGGCTTCTGGGCCGCTATCTTCACCTGGACTTTGCGGCTTGTGATCCCGACTGTGATCTTCGGCTTCTAGGCCACGATCTTCAATTCCTGCCACTTTTCTACACTTGTGACCTTGTTTTGTACCTAATTCCTACATATCGACTAATACACTCTAAAATTACATCGAAATCAAATAGGAACACAATAGAGATGTATATGACGATGTTTAAAAATTTAAATGCATGAATTGACACAAATCATACCTGGATATGTAGGGTAAATAACATCAGGGTGTTATCAAAACTACCACAACATCTTTTTCTTCTCTCATGTTTTATAACATTTTGACAATGTTGTAAAAATCAAATCGGAGTACGAACCGAGATAGCGAGTGGTTCACACTTTCATGGTTTCCCCGATTTTTATTTTAAACCGTTAGAAAACTTTAGCAAATAAGTGCCTTATAAATGAAAGTATCATAAGTAGAATACACATAACAATAACACATTAAATCATAAATTCCAAATTCCAAATTAGAATACATTACTCATAAACAAACATGAGTGTAAAAGTTCAAATTTCAAACTCAAGATACTAATGTTCTTCAAAATAAAATCATGTTTTCCTACAAACCTTTATAAGTTTCAACCATGTCTTGATTCTTTTTGAAAGAAAAATACTTTGAGCCAAGTACATTAATATCTTCATCAATAATATTTTAAACGGTCTGCACATAGGCACAAAATATTTTTATCAATAATATTATAGTAACACTTTTACCTATGTCTTGACTCTTTTTTGAAAATAAGAAACACTTGCAAGTTTTGAATATTAATATATTATTTGTGAACAAAGGTTTGACATAGTGGTAACATCACTAGTTTTGAATTCAGAGGATTCAGAATCAAATATCTTAATTAGCATCTAATTACCAAAACAATCTATGTCACCTTAACAAAAACTATTAATATATTCCTACAAACCTTTTAAGTTTTAACTATATCTTGATTCTTTGTCGAAAATAGAAAATAATTTTATAATATTTTAAGTTGTATGCGCATAGTGGTGGCATAGTTTAGAGAACATTAATTTTTGAAATTAGGAGTTTTTTTTATAATTGTGATATAGGTTTTTAGTTTTAGTACTGTGTGTTATTGAAATGATTGAAACCTGAAACTTACAGGTCCTAGACTAACGGTTTAACCAATAACTACTAACATACGTTTCAAGTTTCAACAAGTACAAATATACCTAATCAAATGAATAACTTCTATTTTCTTTCGTGAAATATAATAAACGAAATAATAACCACTTGTAATACCCAAATCATCATCCAATTAAATTTAACAAGTGTCATTCCTAACATAAATTTAAAAATAATCAAATGTCTTCATCAATTAGTGAATACCAACTACAACGACATCAAACACTAGAATCACAAGATCTTCATGATTCACAAACATCAAAGAAACAAAGACTACTAGGGTGTGATGTTCCCTCTGTCGATTGCAAAAGGGAGCCAGGGAGGATGACTTTTGGGTTCTAACTCTTAAATACATTAAAGACTTTGGGCGGAGAGATGTTTGCAATAAGTGAAAATTGGAATGTCTGGAATTGTGATTTTGGTTGGTTTTGAACTTTGATTGGTTGGTTATACTAGTAAGCGGTTATTGATTTTCTTATCGGTTAACCACTAACCGATTAGTTGGTTAGAGGTTAACCAGTAAGCAAGATACAGCTAACCGAAACCCAACCACTAAAAAAATTAGCGGTTATCGATTAACCATTTAACTACCTTTATCGGTTCGACTATCGATTAACCATTTAACTACCTTTATCGGTTCGATTATTGATTAAAACCGATAATCGACTAATCATTTAACACCCCTAATTGTGTTTTGGCTTTGGTTCCCCAAGAATAGGCTATCAAATATGTGCATGTTTTCTTATTGTGGTAGCTGGATTGATTCCATTTGAGCATCTCAAAAGTCAAATCTAAACATATTTGACATAACTAAGAGGGGTCTGACTGGGCTCACCGATGGGCCTTAGATTCTACAGGCTATTAAATACCGGAAAAATAGATGGGCTGCGATGTGGCTTTCGGAGTCTCTATTGGCCCAGAAAGGATTATGGTTTCCCCTTCCCTTCTTCTTTCATTTCTAAAAAAAAATCTTCAAACCACCCAAAATATCAGCACCCTCTCTCCTGACAGTTCGCCGGAGCTATTAGCCGCCGTATGAAGAAGACGAGCTTCACCGCAACGCAGGCTTTCGTCAGCCTAATCATTTACGCCATCGCACATCCTTCTTTTTAGATACCAACCGAATTTTGAGCACAATACACAGTAAGTTGCATCCTGACTCTCTCTTTCTTCGGCCGCCGTCGTCCCGATACGCGGCGGCGGAGCACATGCCAGGTTTCAAGTTCCTGCAACTTCTGCTCTTCGATTGGCTCCGTAAGTTTATGAACTGAAGGATGAGTTTGATTTCGTAGTTTCATCAGTTTTGAAAAGAAAGAGCTTCTGAAAATGGCGGTTACGGTGTTGGCACCCTCGCAAACTGATTGCTTCTTCAAGTCCAGTTTCCTTCCTCTGCCGATTCCCTGTAGGAAATCAGGGATTCAACTATCAAACCCCAGAAGGAAAATTGCTAACCCATCGGTTTCAATTTCCTGTGCTGCACCCAAAATTGTTCGAAGCCGGCCGCTAGACAATCTCGTCGTGAAGCAGAACAGTATTCGATTTGTTCAAAAGCTCAGAACCCTACTCCTCTCCAAGCCAAAGCACTATCTCCCTGTCCACATTCTCGCCAAATGTCGTTCTTATCTCGGTCTCCCCGACCGTCGTCCCATCAGAAGCATGATTCACAGGTACCCTTCTATATTCGAGTTCTTTGCAATCCCAACACATCCATCTCCATTCAATGCCACGAAGCCCTACAATCAGCTCTGTGTTCGTTTGACCCCAGCAGCAGAAGCACTAGCTGCTGAGGAGTCCAGGCTCCAATCTGCCATTTCCATCAAACAGGCAGAGAAACTGCAGAAGCTGCTGATGCTTGCTTCCCACCGCCGGCTGCTTTTAACAAAGCTGGTTCACCTAGCACCTGATCTCGGCCTCCCGCCAAACTTCCGGTCTCGCCTCTGCAACGATCATCCGGATAAGTTCAAGATTGTGGAGACTTCGTATGGTCGTGCCCTGGAGCTTGTGTCATGGGATGATCAGTTAGCTGTTGCTATACCTCCTCGGGTTGTTTCCCGTGATTTGATAGTGGATAGGCCGTTGAAATTCAAGAGGTTGCAGCTTAGAAAGGGGTTGAATCTGAAGAGGCGGCATGAGGGTTTCCTGATTAAGTTTTCTGAACTGCCTGATGTGTGCCCTTATCATACAACCATGGAGGAATTCAGTAAAGAGTCCATGGAAGCGGAGAAGAGAGCCTGTGCTCTGGTGAGGGAGGTGTTAGGATTAACAGTTGAGAAGAGGACTTTGCTAGACCATTTGACACATTTCAGGAAGGAATTCGGGCTCCCCAACAAGTTGAAGGGTTTGATACTAAGGCACCCGGAGGTGTTCTATATGAGCTTGAAAGGAGTGAGACATTCTGTGTTCTTGGTGGAGGGGTTCAGTGAGAAAGGTAAACTCTTTGAGAGAGATGATACTTCGGTCATCAAGGATAAGTTGATGCATTTGGTCAGGGAATCGAAAAGAATAAGGCAAGAGAGGCGTAAGGCTGCAATGAACCGAAGTGTTGCTGGAGTCTCAAATGATGTCAGTAGCAGTGATGGATTTCATTATGTGAATGGTGACGAGTACGATGATGGGTTTGAGAATATTTTTGAAGATTCGGATCTCGAGGATTTTGATGTGGACTCATTTGAAGGCATCGGGGATTGGGGCAATAGAGAGAACATGGAGTTCTGGGCTGCAGATGCTACCTTTCTTTCTGATCATGATGCCGGAGGATCTCCCCCTGAACCATGGTAGTGAAACATGGCCATCCATCAGATGTTGTATCGAGTCATTTCGTCATTTCTACAGGTTAGTATAGGCTTATACTTGGTCTTCTTTCCCTGTTGTGTTATGCAGGATATCACAACTCCAACAAGTTACATATGAATGTACATCTAAAGCCCCATCTTTAGTATTCCATGAACTGTTTCGTCGATAGTCTGACCAATAGTTTAGCCATCTGGTTCTAGGCGAGCTCAATCTGAATAGCTTCACTCACTCCTGATCATTGTGAAGTTGTTGCTAAACTGAAAGGGCTAAGCTGGGACGAGCTTTAATCCGCAACTGAGAGTGATGGTAGCCGTGCTTAAACCTGGAAGATGATGCGAGAATCCATCAAGCTCCACGGTCTTTTCGTTTTCTATATTACGAGTATGTAGTGATGGATGTATTATTTGGCTGCTAACTAAAATCAATTCGAAATCACTCAGAGCCTCGTTATGAGTTGGAGTCGGGCGCAGTGGGTTGGGCTTGGGCATATATATACCCTTCTTTTATCCGCTTCTTCCCAGAGTGAAAAAACGCGACTTCCCTTTCCTGTTTTCGAAGAGAGCAGAGCACGTCTCCAGGTGAGGTCTCCAAGTAAAAGGGTTCACAATTTGACTCGGAATCCTTCTTCAATTTATGTTCCGAATGTAGAAAACCAGATCCACCCTAAAACAAGTCTCCAGGTAAAAGGGTTCACACCCCGCATAAAGTCCAGTACCTTGATTGTGGGTTTGTTTCTTCTTTTTGGTTAATTTAAGGAAATTTGTGGTCTGTTTTAAGTATTCTGATATACTTTATGAATTTTGTAGTATAATTAGGCTTTTTTATAAGCTTTCTGGTATGTTTTATGGTTTTGTGGTGTGTTTGTTGTGTTTCTAGTATGTGTTTTGTTGTATGCACAACACTACATGGATGTGCTATATTTTAATTTTTAATAATGACTAGTGCTCCCCTTTATAAATATGTATTAATTATGATCAACCCCTTAGAATAAAAAGCCATTAAAACAAAATATGCATATTTGTTTGGGCTAGTTACAAAACTGACTGCACGAGTTGATGATTGCGTGGTTGGTGAAGGACTCGCAAAGTTGTGTGGGTGTAGGGATTGTGACTTGGGCGCTGCTATGGCATGAGAGTAGGACAGTCGTTCTAAAACTTTTGCCAAGTGCACTCCTCGCACACGGTACAACTTTGCGACATGAAGAGTGATCGTTTGATGATTGCGTTCATGTCAAGCTCCACTTAGAGATGACAATTAAACCCATGACTGCGGGTACCCGTCCGTTCCCAACCCATTCAACGTGGGGAATCCCTGCTTTGACCGGGTATGGGTAAAACCCGCAAAACGTTTGATGGGAATGTGGCAGGTATGGTTTTAGCCTCTCCCGCCACATACACATACCCATACCCGCCCCATTAGGATAATTTCTTCACATATAAAAAATAAATTGATTAAATTATAACCTATCTATAATAGTGAGGGTAACTCAAGAAAATATAGAGTAGAAATGTAATCGGGTGGCTACCCAAATCAAAACTGAATTCTTTTTTCTCAACTTTCCCTTCACTCTTTCATTGTTTCGATTGTTAATAAGATTATGTTAGTTAGTTATTGGGTAAATGACAAGTTTGGTCACTGGAATTACTACATAATTACCGACCCGGAATCTGAATCCGTCCTCGATCAGTTCAACTCCTTCTACCCAGTTACGGGGAGGCGGTTCTCTCCGAGCCCTTCTCCGTCGAGTACAAATGGGAGAAGAAAGGGTGGGGCGATCTGCTTATGCTCTCCCATCCCCTGCATCTCAAGCTTTTATCCGGCGATGACTGCAATGTCACCTTCATCGAAGAAAGACGGCGGAGGTGTAACGAATCGGCGTCTTTTGAGCACAGAAAAAGAAGAAGAAAGAAGAAACCACGAAAGGGAAGGCAGAATAAGAACGGAAGAATTCCCAGAATACAGTAAAAATTATACATAATTTTTGGAATACATAAGTTTTATAAAATTTTCCCAAACTACCCAAGTTTCAAAGGGTTCGAGTCCCATAAACTCGAACTAGTCACCAGTTCGACGATGAAGAACTCGAACTAAATTAGGATCGAGTTTTTAAAACTCGATCAACATTAGTTCGATTTTGGAGAACTCGAACAACGTATATCGATGACAAAAGACTCGATCTTAGTAGATCGAGTATGGACAACTCGATCCAGTTAGATCGACGCTTAAAACCTCGATGTAGTGCAACGGCTTTAATGCACTCGATCATTATATGCACTAGATCGATGCCCTCTAACTCGAACTATCAAAATCGATTCCAATGGGCTCGAACTACTGGCCCACCGACATGCTTCAGGATAGGGTTGCAGGGATAAGATTCTTTGTAGTCCTAGATCGAGGTTTAGGGACTCGAACTAGTGTAGTTCGATTACACTAAACTCGAACTACTTCCTCAATCATTCTGTTCAGTTGCTTTCGGTCCGACATGCTCCAGAATAGGGTGCAGGGGGAAATTATTGGTTGACATAGATCGAGTTTAATGAACTCGAACTAGTGTAGTTCGAGTGTTTTGGACTCGAACCACTCCATCAGTTTACGATAATAAAAAGCCATCACTTAGCACATTCTGGCAGCTCTCTTCCTTTCTATCTTCTTTCTTCCAAACACAAACTGCAGCTGCTGGAGCACCATAGCTGAGCAAAGAAGAAAATTTTTGGAGGTAAGTTCTGCTTACTTTGTTTAAATGAGCATATTAGAATTTTGGATTAATTCAGTATTGTTTGTACTGTATGTAATGGGCGGCTTGTATAAACTGCAGAAATGGGTAGAAAATTTCGAAAATTCGACTTAAAGATTCGGTGGAATGGTCGAATTACACACTTTCATGATAGTATTGACTACGAAGATGGTGAATCAAGTATTGTCCGGATTGAGAGCATATTTACTTGGCAAGAACTCAGCCATATTTGTGCGGAACGATGTTGCATAGGAGGGCGAAGAGTATGCAAGATGACTTACCGTATGCCGGTTTACAAGGATTATGCACTTGTATATGAAGGATCAGTTTTGTCTGACGATGATGACATTAATATGATGGTGAGATTTATTGCAGAGAACAGATTTCCAACTGCTGAGGTGTATGTCGAGACAGAAGTTTTTGGCCAATATGGTGGCGGCGGTTATACCGAACACGGTGAAGGATCGGGAGGGTTTTCCGGTTCAGGAGATTTCAGAGTGCGGCATGATGCACCATGGCCAACATACGAGGATCGAACTGCAACTGGTCCATTGCTGGAACATGACGAACAGGAGTGGCCAGTATGGGGTGAAGAATGGGATTACATAAGGGCACCCAGACAGTCACCCAGACAAGCATCTACACCAGCATCTGGCATCAATAGTGATCCATATGTGGATAAACCAAGTCCTCCGTACACTAGCGAGGCAAGCGACGTGGAAGATGAAGAGTTAGAATCAATGAGTAGTTCAGATGGTGAAGATCTGGAAGTTGATGAGGGGGAATTTGAGTCCCCCACACCTCACTACATGATGGTGCCACAACATCCTTTCTATGCTCACAACGACGATCATGACCTCCCTCCTATACCAATCTGGACTCCTGACTCTGGATTCGTGGTTGGCAAAACATTTGGAGGAAAGCCTCAGGTGGTCAATGCATTGAAAGAAACTGCTATGCGAAGAAGCTTTTAATATCGTGTCATCACTTCTGACACTAAACAAATTCATGTTCGTTGCGAGAACCATGGCGACGAATGCATGTGGCATGTTAGGGCGGCATATGTTAAAAGAAATGGGGCTTGGCTCATTCGTAAGACAGACAACAACCACACTTGTAGGTCGTCACTGATTTCTCTAGATCACCGACAATTGAGTGCAAGGAAGGTTGCACAAACAATCAAACATCTGATTGAGGCACAACCTGGGATCACCTGTGCTCACCAATGAACCGATCACGGTGCCACGTTTGGTTACCCATCTTTTTGTGAACTTGCGGTACCAAACCATGTATTCATCTTGGTACCCCATTGGCCTCGTCATTGGGATCCCATCAATTGCATACGTCTGACGAGACTCCCACATTTCGATCCATCTATGGTGCTTGGTTGGCCAATCACTTATTGTACCTCGCAGATCCTTGCTGTACTTGTGGAGTGACTTATGTACGTCCGGTGGTGGGAGAGGAATCGGTTGCGCCCAATTATATTGTCGGACACATCTATCCGGGAGGTGCCACTCGACAATGTTGTGGCAAATCACAGGCAACTTGCACGACCAGAGTCGGCGATCCTCAGGGTATCGCAACTCGTACAAATCCTTTGCTCTGTTCGGATACGGATCCCACTCCACCTAAGTTTCAACACAACATATAAATTAAAATCGAAGCAAATAATTTCAACAAATAAAATAGGATTCATAATCATAAAAATAAATAATGGGTTAAGACAAATAATTTCAACAAATAAAATAGAATTCGTAATCATAAAAATAAATCATAGGCCAAGACTAACACAAATAATTTCAACAAATAAAATAGAATTCGTAATCATAAAAATAAATCATAGGCTAAGACTAAGACAAATAATTTCAACAAATAAAAACTTATTCATAATCGTAAAAATAAATCATGGGCTAAGACAAATAACTTCAACAAATAAATTAGAAATAAATAATCATAAGCTAGAATGTTACCTCGTTGAATTCTATACGGTCAAGATGTTGGCGGTACCCGTCTAGAGAGGTGAGTCTCGTGATAGCTCCAATCCATCTAGCACCATAAGCCCATTGTCGTAGTGGTTCATCGGGACCCCAACTGTTGGCAGGGCAGATTGGAGCGAAAGTAGGAAGGTGCTCCCAAACCCCATAGTTGGAGGATGAACATGAGACCACCCGCTTGCTTTGTTTTCGGATCCGTACACTTGCACAACTCTGAATATATCATCGCCAAACAAGCAGATCCCCAACTTTTTCTCCCAATCTCGTCCCAATCTTCCAAAAGAACTCGAAGCCACATACAATGCATATTTCCACCAGACTTGTTCGGAAACAAAAATCCTCCAACCAAACAAATAAGGTAGATGCGAGCATACCTCTCTATCTGAGCATCTGTGGCATCCTCCGGTAATTCCCCAACGGTCCTCACTAGCCAAGGTATCAATAGCATAGACTTGTGTAGAGGTGGTACACGACGACCTTCTTGTGCTTCCTCTGGGATGTTGATACCTAAACGCTCGCTTATAAATTGGCCCCAACCATTCAATGGTTTGTGTGAACTTTCTATTATTGCATCACCATCGATTGGAAGCTCTGTCAACATGGCTACGTTCTTCAACGTAATCGTCATCTCTCCCTCTAGAAGGTGGAATGTGTGCGTTTCTTTTCTCCATCTTTCCACCATTGCCGTAAGAAGGTTGTTGTCCATCTCCATCCCCACAAACTTTCGCACCCTCAGCAATCGCGCTCTTTCAATGAAGGGCTCGATACGATCATCTCATTTAGGCAAGCGAGATAGCGACCGATGGGTGATTACGTCAAGTTGTTCCTGTAGAAAAAAAAATATTAATTATTATACAAAAAAATTAGATGAATACTATCACATTTAAAAAAAAAGTACATGAGGAAGTGCCTACCGGATCTGCCGCCCAAACACTTTAGACCGATGGTAAGGTTGCTCGTCCAACAAATCGGTTTCTCGCGGTCCACCTTGAATGTATAATCTAGGATCGTAAATACTCGGATCCATCTCGACAATTTTGAGTGATTGAAGTACCAAACTAAAGAAAAAAAATCTGATGCGGAAGATAGGGCTTAGCCGCAACCACAGAGCATATTTTTTTCTTCAAGAGAGGTGGGAGGAAGAGAGGAAGAAGAATGGAGTGGTGTGAGTTTTGGTGGAATGGGGGAGGGGTATTTATAGGTTTTGTGGGAGAGTGGATCAAGTTTACAAAACTCGAACTAGTGCTACGATTTTTGGGCACTCGATCCGCGTCAAAAGCAGTTCGTGGTTAGGCGCATCGAACGACCCAGATCGAGGTTAGGGTAATCGATCAACGGTAGATCGAGCCTGACATCAGCGATCCGTGTCAAAGAGATCGATTAAAGGAAAATCGATCCACTACATCGAGTTTTACCGACTCGATCCGCGTCATCCCTGCTTCGCGGATTTGACAATCGAACGACCTAGATCGAGTTTAGACCACTCGATCAATGGTAGGGCGCGCCTGACGTCATCGATCCGCGTCAATCAGATCGATTAAAGATGACTCGATCCACTTACCTCGAGTTTACCGCACTCGATCCGGGTCATCACTGCTTCGCTGGTTGAGAAATCGAACGACCGTGATCGCTTCCTGGTACATCGATCAAGGGTGGAGCACTGCACAGGTCATCGATCCAGGTCATGCAGTTCGAGTTTCCCATCCTCGATGCACGTGGATCGTTTTTTTGCCAGTCGATCCGGTACTAGTTCGAGTTTGGTGAACTCGAACTGTGTCAAACTTTGGTAGTTTGGGAATGTTTTTTAAAATTTATGTATTCTGGAAATTATTTTTAATTATTACTGTATTTAGGGAATTAATCCAATAAGAACCGACAATGGAGGAAACGAGTTCCTCCTGGCTACGGCGGACCAAGTCGCTAAATGGGCGCTTCTTTCGTGGAGAAATCGCCTTTGAAGAAGAAAACAAAGTAAATCAATCACCTTTGGGGGTCGTTTGGATCCAGTAATAAGGTGAGAGATTTGGCCCAATTCCGGGCCCGTCCCGGATTTTAACCCATTTCTTTGTTTGGATAACTATAAAAAAAAACCGCAGGATTTGGGCTACCAGGAATTTTAAATTCGGCACAAACAAGTATTTTCAAATCCGGCCCAAGGTTTTTGTTTCTGCCAAACGTGCCCCTGCTGCTATCACCTCTCCAGATCCCTAATCTTCTTCGACGTCACCCAACTCGTACCCAGCCATCTTCTCCTCTCTTCTCTTCCTCGTCCCCTTCCTCCTTCTCAAATTCCACCGCAATCAAACCCCTCCACCGCCGTTGCAGCCTCGCCGGACTCCGCCTCCGGGATCCACAAAGCTGCCCATAATCGGAAACCTTCACAACCTCGACGACGGCTCCCTGCCCCACCACCGCCTCCGAGACCACGCAAAGGAGTAGGGCGGCATTGCTACAACCCCAAACCTCTCGATCATGACGACAACAAGCTCATCGTCGACCAATTCTTGTTCGCCGTATCCGAATCCAGATCCGCCGTCCGTGTCCGCCGCTGAAGTCAACGATAAATGGTAAGGAAGAATGATGTTGGCTTCAAAGGATATAATTATAATTTAGGAAATTGCTTCAGAATTAATTTTCCTAACTACTAAATCTCTCCTTCCTAAACAAACAATATATTTAACCCAAATTTTGGGTTTAAAATACCAGATTTTTAATTGAGTGATTGTGGGTCAAATTCCTCATTAACTCAACTCTTAATCCAAACGACCCCTTGGAGTAGGGAGTTGAGAAGGGTTTTCCTCACAGCCAAATTCTCCAGGTTTGCTGCACCCATGTAGTCAATTAACACTGCCGCCCTGGCCGTCGTCGGAGGTCGCCGGAAGTGGCTGTAGCAGCAACAGCAAGAGGAGGAGGACTGACGAAGTCACCATGGATCCCAACATTGTGGTTGTGACGAAGGAATCAAAGAGGGTAGCTAGCTAGCTAGTAACAATTAATGATCTCTTTCTGTGGTAGCGATTATATGAAATCATGTTATGTTCTGATTACCCTCTTTATAGTGCTTGGAGGTTGGAGGGATATATGGATTAGAGAACGTAAGGTAACCAACTCCGTTGTGTATCTTGTGCAGGGACAAAGCGCGTGCATGTACATAAGTAGATAATTGGACTTCGATATATTAGCTCCAACTATTGTGCCTATGTCTATATGGAAGAAACATGCTGATCTTGCCGGCCGGTCCCCGCTTGCAGTTGCGTTTACCTTTGTTGAAACCGTGAAACGGCATGCATCATCGTGTTGGTATTAGTTATGCTCACTCACTGCTGGCACTGGCAGATTATAATATTAGGGTTGGGTTCACCCGCTGGATTTGGACCCGAAAACTGACCGAAAAATTGGCAAGTGGGTGCAGGGCAGACGCACGGAGGTTTAGGGATGTCCTGGAACACCTTCTAAATTTTGGGAAATGATTATTCAATCCACGATAGTAATTTACGTATGGATAAAAAATTTATAATTGGTAGTGAGGGACACTCCTGAAATTTGAAAAAATGATTATTCTAATGTCATTTTTTAAATTTGTGTATGAGAATATAAGTGATAGGTTGGGCAATTCAAACCTAGAGCACTATTATTATTAACAAACTTAATTTCCATTAAACTACAAATCATTTGTTGTTTGATTTTGAACACTGTATCATAGTAAAATATCATTCTCTATTTCTAATTATTTTCAAAACATAGCAATTAAACTAATTTCAACCTACCCTTAATTTGTATTGATTTTATGGTTGTACAACAAGTGTTGAAAGATTTTTTCAGCTTTGGGTTACATCAAGAACAAGTTTACAAATCGAATATGTGATAAGTTCGTGAATGATTGTCTAGTAGAGTATATAGAGACAATTTTTTAACACTCTAGGCACCAAGTGTATTCTACAATTATTTCAGAATATGAAAACACATAATTGACTTTTTTAACCTGTACGAGTAAGGTATTTTCTAATTTACAATTTTATTTTTATTAATTATTTTATTTTTAATTTTACTAAATTTGTTTTTTAAAAGAGGACACTCCTATGAAAAATTTCTGAGTCCGCCACTGAGTGGGTGTGTCGATTGGTTGGGTCATGAACTCATGATGAAGCCTAGAGGTACCCTACGGTAATTGATGTGACCGACTTCCAAATCAAATTACCTTCAATACAAGATGATTATGACATTTTTCCATCCATCAATTTCATTCCTCGAGTCCTGAAAACACTTTGATACTAGTTTATAACCCGGTCATTGGCCGGAATGTTTATATTTTATTATTTTTATTTTTATTTTATGTATAGTTTATCAACCTGTTTAATTTTATTGACAATTCTTCAATCGAAATTATACATAAAGAACGAATATAATGTCGACCATTCGGAAAAATATCACAATCATTTAAAAGATATGAAATATAAAAATGTGTCATTGATCTCATTTTCATAGTTATAACTAAGCCCCCGTTAAAATGTTTTTGGTTAGTTGATTGTCAAGAAAGATAGACTATAAAACCTCACAAAATTCCCACAAGGCCCATAGATAGTTTGAATGCTCTCTTTTTCGGAAAAATATGTCACTAATCAAAAAGAAATGAAGAGTAGTTGATCAAGTCAAATATATACTAACAACTCCGCTAAGAGGGGACCATCAAAATTTGAAAGCAAACGACAAAATTAGAATTACCTCCAATGTACTAATAGACTCGTTCAAAGTAATAAGGCACTAAATTAGACACTCCTTGTCTATCAGTTCTAGTAGGTTGAATAAAGAGCTGACCTACTTCAGTAAATCAATCAATGATTCCTCATTTTAAGATAGAAATAGGTTGTGATAGCTGCAAAACCATAAACCTAACGATCCAATAACCACCACTCTCCGTCATACAACCAAATTTTTATCCACTCTATCTTCAATCTCAATTAGCATATGTTTCAATTAAAAATTCAATTTCTAATCCTCCTCTTGCAACTCCATTTACTGAACTCTATATAACTCTCCATGAATTGATATCAGAGTTAAAATCTTCTACTTGCCCAGTTTAAATCCCCAACAATAAAACTGTAGTGCCAAGAGATACCGGAAGATTGATTTTCAAAGGCAACCTTGTAACGGGAATTGAAAGGGGCGCAAACTGTTGCATGATGTAGGAAATTTCGGAGGAAGTAAGAAAGAGATAATAAATAAGCACAAATTTTATATTTAAATTGAAAAATACATACGGTAGACTTAGTGGGCTTGCTAATCATGATGGCAAGTTCTCAGATTTTCGGAGTTTAACTTCATTTATGTTTTGTATTAGAAAATATACAACAAACTTGTTTAGTGTAATTGGTTGTGATTGTTATCTTTCTTTAAAGAGATCTGATTTCAAATCTTGATATTAATATTTTTTATATGATTAATTGTAAAGACCAAATTGTCCTTCCTACTTTCACTATCGTTAAAGAAAATTTGAAATGAAGAAAAATACACAGAACTCTACTATATATTATTAGAATAAATATATACTTCCTATCGAGTTTCACAATGATTTCGACAATATTTTTTTCTCTTTCCAACCTCTTCCTCTGACAATCCTGTCCACATGATAATCTTGCCGATTGAAATCAATCTCGAATTTGTCTGGTCATCGACATCTAACCAAGTCCATCCACATCCTAATTTGATTCAATTTTCATAGTGGGAGAGAAATTTACTTATGAATATAACAATGTAAAACTTAATCTTGTATGTAGTCAATTTTGTACCTTCGACAGATGAAGCTTACTAGCCACCATCGAGAGAGAAGTTGATTGCCCCCACTGCATGTAAGCAGTAGTTAGGATGCTAACATCCAATTTATCGGGAGCCGGTCATGTCAGTAACTGATGGGTCAGTAACTGTTAGATACCGAACAGATAAATTAGGGTTACCGAATCTGGCTAAGTCGCGGACTAGGTCGCTCTCTTTAAGACGTTCGCGGCACTGCCTCGTAATGCGCACAGCAGACTATCAGCCGGTCGCCTTCAGGATAAAACAGTCATTCTGATTTTGTTGCTCATCGGTTTTGTGCGAAAAACCGGAGCTCTATGAATTCACTCTCTCTCGTGTTTTTGCTCTTCTAAGGTGTGTTTAGAGGGTCTGGGGCGCCTCCTATTTATAGGAGCAGAAAACCCAGAATATTCCCTCTTTCTTTGGGAATAAGTCATATTTTAATTAGGGAGATAATTACTCCCATAATTAAAATATAATCTATTAAGATAATTATTCCTAATTATCTCCATAATATTCCTTTTATTAATTATCCATCTTATTTAAGTATTATGGAAAATACTGGACAATTAATTAGGAATTTCATTTATAGCTTTTCAAAGCTATTCATCCCAACAATCCCCCACTTGAATAGTTTTGAAACTATCTCTGAGCATCAACAGTTCCATAAGATCGGGCATAAGCTAAGGTATCGCGAAGATTTGAACCTTAGCATAGTGGTTACACTTCCGATTTCATAAGGGTGACTCGTAGTCTTGAACCCTATCTCAGACAATGTAGCACACCGGATCTTTTCATTGAGTGATATTCTCTCATAGGCCGTGCGTTTATGGCCATGCACGTTATCCCGGTTTAGTGAACGCTCTAGCAAATTTGTGCCTCCAAAGTTCCATAGGGAGCGGCCCCACTCCCACATTCACATAGGTGAGTCTATCAGAAGTACCCCCAAAGTAAAGTACTTCACTCCACATAGAGTATAGATCTCATTAAGAGTTTAACTCAACCTCTAAGGCTTTGGGATTCATGCTTCACTATGCATGAACTTTTCGCATACTACTCATGACTTGTTATTACCCATTGAACCCATTTCTTGGGATCTCCAGTCTATTGGGTCGGGTTACCATCACTTGTAGTCCGTGGTTCGGTAGGCATAAGTGTCATACCCTTGGCGGTACTTTGGACTTTCTCTCTAGATAATCCTTTCGTCAAAGGATCAGCTAGATTCTGTTAGGATCTCACATGATCCACCCTCATTGCTCCTATCGTTAGGATTTCTCTTACAGTACTGTGCTTACGACGAATTTGTCGTCTCTTTTGGTTCTAGAACCGGTTCCCTTCTTTAGTAATAGCTGCGACGCTATCACAATGAATCAACTACCGGAGGGATCGGTCTTTCCCATAAGGGAATCTCTAGTAATGACCCTCTCAATCAACTTTTCTTTTTACTAGCCATTGCTAGCTCTATCATTTCTGATTTCTTAGTTGATTGAGCCAGGATCGTTTACTTCTTAGACTTCCAAGACATAGCTTCTCTATCGATGTTTTAAAACACATCCTCTTGTTGTCTTGGAGTCCTCTATAGGGTATTCTAATCCGCATCACTATACCCTACCAATACAGCAAAACCATTGATAACAAATACCAAGGTTTTCTGTTCTTTTAAGGTGTCTCATGACCCCTTTCAATAGCATTTCAATGCTTCATACTAGGACAATCAATAAGCCTGCCAAGTACCCCCCACTATATCGGGTCTCATGTTTATCAGCTGCCTCTCGCAGACTGTAAATGCTAGTATATTCTAACTTTCTTACACCGTCTTAGGGGTTCTTTAAATATTTATACTAGCATCATCAAACATGTATGCAGGTGTACATCTTGTATTTTCCTAGTTATTAGGATCTCTAAGCATAACATTTGTTTCAAACAGATCCTTCACATTCAAAATTCTCAACCATCATGGTTTTTCAATATTGACATCACGAGTCTTTGTACCAAAGATCGACATGTCATTCATAATGCAAGTGTCATTCTCAAATTTGTACTAAATGCACTTGTCACTTTCACTTTTAAAACCATGAGAGAGAACCAGTTTATTCGTGCCATCATTTTAGAGTCTATTTCAAATCTTACAATGATTTGTCTAACTATAGACTCCCTAAGCATGTTCATGAATAACAACCCTATAGGTTGTCCCATGTAGATTTTCCTATCTAAATCACCATTCACGGAAACTTGTTTAACAATCCATCCGACGCACAACACTAGCAATCAAAACATATATGGATGTTATTCTACATATGGTGAATAGATAACGAGAAAATTTACAATTTTTACTTTTCGTTTAAAGCCTTAGCTATTAGGCGATCCTTATACTCATAAACTAAACCAATAGGTTTTACTTTTCTTTTAAGAATCCATTTATTACCCATGACTTCATTGCCAAGAGGTAATTCTCAAAGATGCCAAATCTTGTTCGATTCTATCGATATATTACCCAAGGCTTTTCAACCAAGAGGTAACTCTACAAGGTTTTAAGTCTTATTAGACTCCAATAATTCCATTTCGTGAATAATAGATTCTCCCACAATTCTGCATCTTTATGGAAGTTCGAACTTCTAGCAGACTTGTAGGATCTTTCTTTCTTAGTGTGTAAATAACAAATTCATAACCAAAATCCTTTCGTGATTTATGGTTCATTTGTCTCTTTTGAGTTCATACTCAGATTCATCACCCCCACTAGTTATCCATTATTTCTAATAGTAGGCAGGATATCACCCCCACTATTTCTTGATATAACCACATATTTTATGGATCATTTTGCTTGGATACAAAAATTTTATTTATCTCAAGCGATCGAGAATAATATGGAATGTGACTTTAGATATTCTAGTTCTTTACAAGGACACACACGTCCAAAAAAGAATCCATCTTAGATCGTCTAGCACAGACATGCCTGGGGCGCTAGTATCCAACAACCATTCTCCAGAGTTGCCAATAAGGCTAACCTCTGTCATCACCTAAGCGATTATTATTGCCAAATCCTCTTCTTTAATCAAGTTAACACAATACTATGTTAAACTTGCTCTAACACTTTCGTGTCAAATGACCTGGTTCTTCTCAAATTTAATTGAGAAACATCGCGTCATTCTTAGAGAATTGTGTGACAATCTTATGGTTACCACGATAGGTACCATTCTAATTGGTATGGATCTGGTTCAGCTTGCTGCTCACATTCTTGAAACTTTAATGTTTCACAACAACCTAAGTGGTTCGTGTAGTACTGATAATAGTACTTCTTATAATATCGTTATTATGGGCAATAAACCCATTCTATTCCCATATATTCTTCACATATATGCATGCACAAAATCATTATACTCCACAACATGTATTCAATTTCTAATCATCGAGGTACTAAATCTCAATGTCAACATGCATCAATTCTAGATTTTCATTTCTAGCATTCATAATGATTCTCAATTCCATGCATATGGTAGATTCTAATTTGTCATTAATAAATGACTCATAAGTAAGGTTTCAGTTCTTACCTCTTTTCCGAGAAGCCATTGGCTCAAGCTCTGAGAATCAATTTCCAGGAACTCTGTTTCTGAGTTATTCAAGTGCTCCAAATTGATTATTGTTTCCCTGATCGTGATTTTCTGAACATGACCCTTCCTACCGAGATTAACTCCACCACAGGCAGAGGAGCTTGTCCAGGTTCCTTGATCGACTCGGTTGTCTAGCTGAAGTAGGCTATTTATATAGCTTCACTCCTCTTTCCAGCTGCGTACCTTTAGATTTAGTGGTTCATCAACACTTCTTTCATAGTTCCATTCTTCTGCTCCGTCTTTGACCCAAAGAGGAGGAGTACCAGAAGCATTTTGCCACAACCATAGACATTGCAATATCTTCACAATTTATCTCTCTAGCTAGGTAATCTTGCAACGGTGGAGGCATTTCATTGGTATACAAATCCAAGTACTTGTGAAAGAATGCAGCCTTGGACAGAGCCATTCTGTAGCTCCCCATCCACCAAACTGACAGCCATCCTCCATATCTATGGTACACTCCACCACTCTTCAAAAGCTCTAAATCAAGCCAATGCATACGTGGAACAAACCCAACCACGGTCAGGGGAGCAGTCTTCCACACCGAGAAAGCGACTTCCAGAGACAAACACGGCACAATCACGTCATCGTCCACAGAGAAAATCGCATCCGTTCTAACTCCATCAATCGGCTTAAACCTGCCGCTCCCAACGCCGCCGTTCTCCTCAATCTCGACCCGGATATCAGGTCTTCACGACTTCGACTTCACGGCTCTGTCGAGATCCGATTTCAACCTCTCCGATGGCGGTTCAATCTCTCTCCACACAACAAGGATCACGTCCGCCCCGACGCACGAAGCGTAATGAGCGGCTGTTCTTTTCAACGGCGAATTCAGCCTCCAGGTGTTGATCAGCACTGTGTAGGATCCCGATAAGTGGACGTTACGAAGGAAGGCTGGTCGGGGATCCAGCCCATGAAAGAGCTGAGACTTGAGGACAGGAAAATTGCGAGGCATAGCAGCGAAAAGGCGAGGAGCAGCTTGAATTTGACTGCGGCGAGAAGCTCCGGAGCTCAAAGGAGGAAGAGCACCGATCGGCTAGCGTAGTTACCTCGATTGGTGGCCTTCTGCTTCGCCGGAGAGTATAGACCGTCAATAAGCGGCCACCCCGATCCGTAAGTAAAGGCACAAGATCCTTTTTTCTTTCGACGGCAGGGTTGAGATTTGTTCAAGCCAGACCCGATAATCGATCTGTTCGGTAAACATAGCAGCAACACAACGTCTTAAAATTGTTAGATATCGAACAGATAAATTAGGGTTACCGAATCTGGCTGAGTCGCGGACTAGGTCGCTCTCTTTAAGACGTTCGCGGCACTGCCTCGTAATGCGCACAGCAGACTATCAGCCGGTCGCCTCAAGGATAAAACAGCCATTCTGATTTTGTTGCTCATCGGTTTTGTGCGAAAAACCGGAGCTCTATGAATTCACTCTCTCTCGTGTTTCTGCTCTTCTGAGGTGTGTTTAGAGGGTCTGGGGCGCCTCCTATTTATAGGAGCAGAAAACCCAGAATATTCCCTCTTTCTTTGGGAATAAGTCATATTTTAATTAGGGAGATAATTACTCCCATAATTAAAATATAATCTATTAAGATAATTATTCCTAATTACCTCCATAATATTCCTTTTATTAATTATCCATCTTATTTAAGTATTATGGAAAATACTGAATAATTAATTAGGAATTTCATTTATAGCTTTTCAAAGCTATTCATCCCAACAGTAACCCATCAGTAACCCCTTCACTTGTCTCCACGTGTTAGTCCTTTTTTTATTTAAATTAAATGCAAAATGGCAGTAAGGTACAATTGCACTTATGCTATTTATTGCTAACGCTGACTTTTGACCATACCACATCAGTGCCTTCTTCTCTCTCCTCGAAAAACCTTTAATCTTCCTTCCATTAATCTTTAACGGACGATTTCTCACTCGTTTTAAGTCGAAATTAAAAAAAAAATTCACAATTAGATCAGATTAATTGTGATCTTCAAGATGATATCCACTTTGTTTTTTTTTTTACAAAAAAAATTTGTCAGTTATTACCAGTCTGTACCATATGGTATTGACTGGTATTAAATAAGACTATACTATATGGTATGAAAAAATTTTGTCACATCAATATATATTTCGTTACCACCCAATATCATATGGTATAGTGTGGTAATATCAATATATATTTCGTTTACCACACAATACTATACATTATCATATGGTATAGTGTGGTAATATCAATATATATTTCGTTACCACCCAATACCATATGTATAGAGTCATAATATTAATATATATTATCTAAAAGGAAAAAAATAGAAGGAGGGAGAGAAAAAAATCGTCTTTTGTCACCTCTCATTTCCTCTTCCGCAATCAAGAACACCAAAATGCCAAAAAAATGAGAAAGATCGGAATTTAGGCCAACGAGTTGATGAAGAGAATAAATACAACGAAAGAGAGTGACTGCAATTTTTATTCGTCAATTGCTGGAGAAAAAAATGGAGAAGAAGAGAAGGGACAAATCTAGATTTGAAAAAGAAAAAGAAAGAAAGAAGGAAGAGAGAAAGAGAACGAATCTGAAAAGGAGATTGAGAGAGAAAAAGGAGGAGAAAAGAAAGAGAAATGACAATTGCAGAGTTCTTTTTTAAAAAAAAAGGTAGTCATTAAATGTAGGATAAAATAAAAAAACAATATATAAATGGACAAAAATATCCTTCCCCACCCCATATCCAGTCCTACCGCATGATTGCTCCGCCCCTAGATCTAAGGTCCCTATTTATTACTGACAGATCAGTAACCAAGTAATTACTGACTCTATCCCAAGCCCAATTTATTAGCATGTCATCTTTCTTATTCTTTTCTGCTACAGGTTTTTGAGAATTATTACAATTATGTTAAAAATAATGAGTTATTTTGCAGATAAAATGGAACTTATGAATTAGCTACGTTCATGGTGGAGACAAAATTGAATCTATCATATCCATAGGTCTATTTGCTCCTTAAAATTGTATTGATTTTACTAGTTGCAACTCCAAGTGTTTTTTTTAATGGTGAAAATGCATTACCAAGAAAATACACCAGAGGTGTATACAAAGTACACAAAACATAAGGAAAAATGAGAAATGAGGGGACACCGCCAGTTCGCCGAGGGAAAAGAAAAACAAAGGAAGAAAGTGCAGGGAAAAACATAACTGGAAAAGCAACACAAATAAAACAAAACAAAGATGTTCAAGAAGAGGGACATGTCTGAAGTGCAGGGGGTTGCAACTCCAAGTGTTGAGAGAGATTTTTCAGCTTTGGGTTACATGAAGAACAAGTTTCAGAATTGAATAGACAATAAGTTCGTGAATAATTGTCTAGTGTGATAAATTGAAAGAGATTTATTGAACACTATAGACAATGAGTATATTTTACCAATTTTTTCAAAATATAATAATACTTCATGAATTTTTGTTGTAACTTGTACTAGTCAGATATTTTCTTATTTAAGATTTTTTCAAATTTTAATTATTATTATAATTTAATAATTGAAAGGGACACCGTGTATACATTTCATGGGTCTGCCACTGACGACATAAGCCTTCCTCCTGTCATGTCAGCAAAATACCACTATGTTGAGAAATAGTTGTAAAATACCGCTATTTAAAAAAAATATTTTAAAAACGTTTATTTTTAATATAAATCCCCAAACAAGGCATTCATAAAAAGTACCCTTAATTAACTGAGAGAAAGCTTAAAAAAAGCAATTAAAGAAGGAAAATCAAACACAGCATTTGGAAAATGTAACTGTCCGTCAAATAATTAGAATTAAATAAACGAAAGTTAAGGAATGCAATAGTCATATATAGATGCGATAATAATTTACGGAATATCATTTCTCGCCTATAATCAAGGAGAAGTTATGATTTACATGAGTATGTTAACAAATTCTCTTCTATATATATAGAAAAGTTGATACCCTAGTTATCATATCACCCTACCTCGGCGAATACCATACCACACACACTAGGAAAAAAAACAAGTTCAGCGAGAAATCAATTACGATGAAGACCTCATCAACATCGACGGCAATTTTCTTTGTCATTACACTGATGTGCCTCTGTCTTGGTGATTATCTATATCGCTTTATATATTATTTAAGTTCGATGATGTTATTTCTTATATGTGATTGTTAATGTTTGTAATGTAAAAAAAAAAAAACAGGGAACGAGGTAGTAGCTTGGCCCCGTCATAATCCAGATGAGCCTTGGGATCCAAAGCATTACTGCAAATTCACCTCTTTCCCTGAATATTTCGTGCGCGGCCACCACTGCAAGGAGGACCGGATTTGCGACATCGCGTGCAACGATAAGTTTGGTGATGAACTTGGGCTGGTAGTTGTTGGAAAATGCGAGAAACAGCAGTGTGCATGCTTCGCGTTATGTGCAGTGCCGTACGGCCATCACTAAATTACGTACCAAGTGTCCATGCCATGCGGCGGCTAAATAATTTATGTGGCGGCCTAGTTATAGGAGTTATTTGTTGGTAGGGTATTTCATGTGTTCCTGCTATTTTTATTTATTGGTGAAAATATTGACAAAGTGAGATCCTAGCTAGCTAGTTAGCTAGTCAAAGAAAACGTTTAGTAAAAGTTCAGTTAGTTTATAAGGAAAGCTTCGGTTCTGTGAAGGCTGAGATTGAGATGTTATTCATCCATTTATTATAAAAAAAAAAAAAAAAAAATTGGGTTCTGTAATTTCTAACGATCTTGTTAATTATTTCATTTTTATGGATCGGATTGAGTGCGTGGTTGGATAATATGATATGGATGTGTAATGGATTGATTATTGGATAGTATGATCCAATTATTATGATTTACATAATATTTGGTTGTGCTCAAACAAATATGGGTTGGTTTTGCAAGTTGGGTCACTATAATTATTGAAAACATTCACGTTTTGGTTGCTAAAAATATTTGATTACATTCAACGTTCCAAAAAATTTTGGAATCCCCTTGAATTGTTGACAGGGCAGTACGATGGTGATTGTCGAAAGGTACTTCAAAGGCAATGTACAGAATCGGACAGAGGAGGGAATGGAAAATCGAACTCAGCTAGCTATTATTTTAATTTTGTGCCTGTATCTATAAGGTGGTTTCTAAGTTTGAGATGATATTTATTGCATTAATATTATTTGTGGTGTTTTTAGAAGTTCTGGTTATCAAAATGTAATTAAGGGCTCGTTTGGAGAATTGGAGTCTAAATTTATAGATTCTAGACAATCCAAAGATTTTAACTCTCAGGATTGTTGAAAAAAGATTTGAAAATGTTCATTGTTTGGTAACTATGATTGTTAACATCCAATAAAAAAAGAAATTCTATTTTTTTATCACATAACATGTTTATCCTTAACCAAAATAATTAGACTGGCTCGAAAAATATTGAGAATTCATTTGTAAGGGAATTTAGTGAGATAAATGAAAAAAAACAAGAGATATAATAGGAGGGAGAAAATCACCAAAATCAAGATATAGAATCTCTCTAACTATGAGAGATTTGATATCTCTAGATTTTATAGATTTAAAATCTCTGAAGTTACAATCCACGATACAAAAAGTAACAAAAAAAATAACATTTTTCTAAATCTATGGATTCAATAAATCCACGATCCAAATCTTGTTCTCCAAACGGCCCCTAAAAGTAAGAAAAAAAATAGAAAGGTCATTTTCCTTAGATTTTGAAGGGTGCAGATCACGGATTCAGCCTGAGACTATTCTTTAGGGACGAATAAGTCTATTAACACCGATTCGGGCGAAAAATATCCGGGGCAAATTTTGCCAGATTCCAAAGGGGTAAGTACCATCACCGATTTCAGGCGATTTATTGGAAATGCCATTTTCCTTGGATTTTGAAGGCGATGGATCACAGATTCGGCCTTAGGGAACTCTCCACCAATGATGAAGTCTAGTAATGGCCGATTTGGATAAAAATTTTGTCGAATTTTTCCGGAGGGCATTTTCGTAATTTTTATTCGATATTTTCGAAAGGCCATTTTCCTTAGATTTTGAAAGGTGCAGATCACAGATTTAGCCTGACACTATTCTTTAGGGACGAATAAGTCTATTAAACATCGATTCGGGCGAAAAATATCCGGCGCAAATTTTTCCAGATTCCAAAGGGGTACCATCACCGATTTCGGGCGATTTATTGGAAATGTCATTTTCCTTGGATTTTGAAGGCGATGGATCACAGATTCGGCCTTAGGGAACTCTCCACCAACGACGAAGCCTGGTAATGGCCGATTTGGACAGAAATTTGGTCGAATTTTTCCGGCGGGCATTTTCGTAATTTTTATTCGATATTTTCGAAAGGCCATTTTCCTTAGATTTTGAAAGGTGCAGATCACAGATTCAGCCTGACACTATTCTTTAGGGACGAATAAGTCTATTAAACACCGATTCGGGCGAAAAATATCCGGCGCAAATTTTTCCAGATTCCAAAGGGGTACCATCACCGATTTCGGGCGATTTATTGGAAATGCCATTTTCCTTGGATTTTGAAGGCGATGGGTCACAGATTCGGCCTTAGGGAACTCTCCACCAATGAGGAAGTCTAGTAATGGCCGATTTGGAAGAAATTTTGTCGAATTTTTCCGGAGGGCATTTTCGTAATTTTTATTCGATATTTTCGAAAGGCCATTTTCCTTAGATTTTGAAAGGTGCAGATCACAGATTCAGCCTGCCACTATTCTTTAGGGACGAATAAGTCTATTAAACACCGATTCGTGCGAAAAATATCCGGCGCAAATTTTTCCAGATTCCAAAGGGGTACCATCACCGATTTCGGGCGATTTATTGGAAATGCCATTTTCCTTGGATTTTGAAGGCGATGGATCACAGATTCGGCCTTAGGGAACTCTCCACCAACGACGAAGCCTGGTAATGGCCGATTTGGACAGAAATTTGGTCGAATTTTTCCGGCGGGCATTTTCGTAATTTTTATTCGATATTTTCGAAAGGCCATTTTCCTTAGATTTTGAAAGGTGCAGATCACAGATTCAGCCTGACACTATTCTTTAGGGACGAATAAGTCTATTAAACACCGATTCGGGCGAAAAATATCCGGCGCAAATTTTTCCAGATTCCAAAGGGGTACCATCACCGATTTCGGGCGATTTATTGGAAATGCCATTTTCCTTGGATTTTGAAGGCGATGGATCACAGATTCGGCCTTAGGGAACTCTCCACCAACGACGAAGCCTGGTAATGGCCGATTTGGACAGAAATTTGGTCGAATTTTTCCGGCGGGCATTTTCGTAATTTTTAGGCGATATTTTCGGAAGGCCAATTTCCTTAGATTTTGAAAGGTGCAGATCACGGATTCAGCTTGAGACTATTCTTTAGGGACGAATAAGTCTATTAAACACCGATTCGGGCGAAAAATATCCGGGGCAAATTTTGCCAGATTTCAAAGAGGTACGTACCATCACCGATTTCGGGCGATTTATTGGAAATGCCATTTTCCTTGGATTTTGAAGGCGATGGATCACAGATTCGGCCTTAGGGAACTCTCCACCAATGATGAAGTCTAGTAATGGCCGATTTGGACAGAAATTTGGTTGAATTTTTCCGGAGTGCATTTTCGTAATTTTTATGCAATATTTTCGAAAGGCCATTTTCCTTAGATTTTGAAAGGTGCAGATCACGGATTCAGCCTGAGACTATTCTTTAGGGACGAATAAGTCTATTAAACACCGATTCCGGCGAAAAATATCCGGGGCAAATTTTGCCAGATTCCAAAGGGGTACGTACCATCACCGATTTCGGGCGATTTATTGGAAATGCCATTTTCCTTGGATTTTGAAGGCGATGGATCACAGATTCGGCCTTAGGGAACTCTCCACCAACGACGAAGCCTGGTAATGGCCGATTTGGACAGAAATTTGGTCGAATTTTTCCGGCGGGCATTTTCGTAATTTTTATTCGATATTTTCGAAAGGCCATTTTCCTTAGATTTTGAAAGGTGCAGATCACAGATTCAGCCTGACACTATTTTTTAGGGACGAATAAGTCTATTAAACCCCGATTCGGGCGAAAAATATCCGGCGCAAATTTTTCCAGATTCCAAAGGGGTACCATCACCGATTTCGGGCGATTTATTGGAAATGCCATTTTCCTTGGATTTTGAAGGCGATGGATCACAGATTCGGCCTTAGGGAACTCTCCACCAATGATGAAGTCTTGTAATGGCCGATTTGGACTGAAATTTGGTCGAATTTTTCCAGAAGGCATTTTCTTAATTTTTAGGCGATATTTTCGAAAGGCCATTTTTCTTAGATTTTGAAGGGTGCAGATCACGGATTCAGCCTGAGACTATTCTTTAGGGATGAATAAGTCTATTAAACACCGATTCGGGCGAAAAATATCCTGGTCAAATTTTGCCAGATTCCAAAAGGGTAACATCACCGATTTCGGGCGATTTATTGATATGTCATTTTCCTTGGATTTTGAAGGCGATGGATCACAGATTCGGCCTTAGGGAACTCTCCACCAACGACGAAGTCTAGTAATAGACAATTTGGACAGAAATTTGTTCGAATTTTTCCTGAGGTCGTTTTCGTAATTTTTAGGCGATATTTTCGAAACGCCATTTTCCTTAGATTTTGAAGGGTGCAGATCACGGATTCAGTCTGAGACTATTCTTTAGGGACGAATAAGTCTATTAAACACCGATTCGGGCGAAAAATATCCGGGGCAAATTTTGCCAGATTCCAAAAGGGTACCATCAACGATTTCGGGCGATTTATTGGAAATGCCATTTTCCTTTGATTTTGAAGGCGATGGATCACAGATTCGGCCTTAGTGAACTCTCCACCAACGACGAAGTCTAGTAATAGCCGATTTGGACAGAAATTTGGTCGAATTTTTCATGAGGTCATTTTCGTAATTTTTAGGCGATATTTTCGAAAGGCCATTTTCCTTAGATTTTGAAGGGTGCAGATCACGGATTCAGCCTGAGACTATTATTTAGGGACGAAGAAGTCTATTAAACACCGATTCGGGCGAAAAATATCCGGGGCAAATTTTGCCAGATTCCAACATCACCGATTTTTATTGGAAATGCCATTTTCCTTGGATTTTGAAGGCGATGGATCACAGATTCGGCCTTAGGGAACTCTCCACCAACGATTAAGTCTAGTTATGCCCGATTTGGACAAAAATTTGTTCGAATTTTTCTGGAGGGCATTTTCGTAATTTTTAGGCAATATTTTCGAAATACCATTTTCCTTAGATTTTGAAAGGTGCAGATCACGGATTCAACCTAAGACTATTCTTTAGAGAAGAATAAGTCTATTAAACACCAATTCGGGCTAAAAATATCCGGGGCAAATTTTGCCAAATTCCAAAGGGGTACCATCATCGATTTCGGGCGATTTATTGGAAATGCCATTTTCCTTGGATTTTGAAGGCGATGGATCACAGATTCGGCATTAGGGAACTCTCCACCAACGACGAAGTCTAGTAATGGCCGATTTGGACTGAAATTTGGTCGAATTATTCCGGAGGGCATTTTCGTAATTTTTAGGCGATATTTTCGAAAGGCCATTTTCCTTAGATTTTGAAAGGTGCAGATCACAGATTCAGCCTGAGACTATTCTTTAGCGAGGAATAAGTCTATTAAACACCGATTCGGGCGAAAAATATCCGGGGCAAATTTTGCCAGATTCCAACATCACCGATTTTTATTGGAAATGCCATTTTCCGTGGATTTTGAAGGCGATGGATCACAGATTTGGCCTTAGGGAACTCTCCACCAACAATGAAGTCTAGTAATGCCCGATTTGGACATAAATTTGGTCGAATTTTTCCGGAGGGCATTTTCGTAATTTTTAGGCGATATTTTCGAATGGCCATTTTCCTTAGATTTTGAAGGGTGCAGATCACGGATTCAGCCTGAGACTATTATTTAGGGACGAATAAGTCTATTAAACACCGATTCGGGCGAAAAATATCCGGGGCAAATTTTGCCAGATTCCAACATCACCGATTTTTATTGGAAATGCCATTTTCCTTGGATTTTGAAGGCGATGGATCACAGATTCGGCCTTAGGGAACTCTCCACCAATGATGAAGTCTAGTAATGGCCGATTTGGACTGAAATTTGGTCGAATTTTTCCAGAAGTCATTTTCGTAATTTTTAGGCGATATTTTCGAAATGCCATTTTTCTTAGATTTTGAAGGGTGCAGATCACGGAATGTCTATTAAACACCGATTCGGGCGAAAAATATCCGGTCAAATTTTGCCAGATTCCAAAGGCGTAACATCACCGATTTCGGGCGATTTATTGGAAATGCCATTTTCCTTGGATTTTGAAGGCGATGGATCACAGATTCGGCCTAAGTGAACTCTCCACCAACTACGAAGTCTAGTAATAGCCGATTTGGACAGAAATTTTTTCGAATTTTTCACCAGGTCATTTTCTTAATTTTTAGGCGATATTTTCGAAAGGCCATTTTCCTTAGATTTTGAAGGGTGCAGATCACGGATTCAGCCTGAGACTATTATTTAGGGACGAATAAGTCTATTAAACAACGATTCGGGCGAAAAATATCCAGGGCAAATTTTGCCAGATTCCAACATCACCGATTTTTATTGGAAATGCTATTTTCCTTGGATTTTGAAGGCGATGGAACACAGATTCGGCCTTAGGGAACTCTCCACCAACGATGAAGTCTAGTTATGCCCGATTTGGACAAAAATTTGGTCGAATTTTTCCGGAGGGCATTTTCGTAATTTTTAGGCGATATTTTCGAAAGACCATTTTCCTTAGATTTTGAAAGGTGAAGATCACGGATTCAGCCTGAGACTATTCTTTAGAGACGAAAAAGTCTATTAAACACCAATTCGGGCTAAAAATATCCCGGGCAAATTTTGCCAAATTCCAAAGGCGTACCATCACCGATTTCGGGCGATTTAATGGAAATGCCATTTTCCTTGGATTTTGAAGGCGATGGATCACAGATTCGGTCTTAGGGAACTCTCCACAAACGACAAAGTCTAGTAATGGCCGATTTGGACAGAAATTTGGTCGAATTTTTTCGTAGGGCATTTTCGTAATTTTTAGGCGATATTTTCGAAAGGCCATTTTCCTTAGATTTTGAAGGGTGCAGATCACGGATTCAGCCTGAGACTATTCTTTAGGGACGAATAAGTCTATTAAACACCGATTCGGGCGAAAAATATCCGGGGCAAATTTTGCCAGATTCCAACATCACCGATTTTTATTGGAAATGCCATTTTCCGTGGATTTTGAAGGCGATGGATCACAGATTCGGCCTTAGGGAACTCTCCACCAACAATGAAGTCTAGTAATGCCCGATTTGGACATAAATTTGTTCGAATTTTTCCGGAGGGCATTTTCGTAATTTTTAGGCGATATTTTCGAATGGCCATTTTCCTTAGATTTTGAAGGGTGCAGATCACGGATTCAGCCTGAGACTATTATTTAGGGACGAATAAGTCTATTAAACACCGATTCGGGCGAAAAATATCCGGGGCAAATTTTGCCAGATTCCAACATCACCGATTTTTATTGGAAATGCCATTTTCCTTGGATTTTGAAGGCGATGGATCACAGATTCGGCCTTAGGGAACTCTCCACCAATGATGAAGTCTAGTAATGGCCGATTTGGACTGAAATTTGGTCGAATTTTTCCGGCGGGCATTTTCGTAATTTTTATTCGATATTTTCGAAAGGCCATTTTCCTTAGATTTTGAAAGGTGCAGATCACAGATTCAGCCTGACACTATTTTATAGGGACGAATAAGTCTATTAAACCCCGATTCGGGCGAAAAATATCCGGCGCAAATTTTTCCAGATTCCAAAGGGGTACCATCACCGATTTCGGGCGATTTATTGGAAATGCCATTTTCCTTGGATTTTGAAGGCGATGGATCACAGATTCGGCCTTAGGGAACTCTCCACCAATGATGAAGTCTTGTAATGGCCGATTTGGACTGAAATTTGGTCGAATTTTTCCAGAAGGCATTTTCTTAATTTTTAGGCGATATTTTCGAAAGGCCATTTTTCTTAGATTTTGAAGGGTGCAGATCACGGATTCAGCCTGAGACTATTCTTTAGGGATGAATAAGTCTATTAAACACCGATTCGGGCGAAAAATATCCTGGTCAAATTTTGCCAGATTCCAAAAGGGTAACATCACCGATTTCGGGCGATTTATTGATATGTCATTTTCCTTGGATTTTGAAGGCGATGGATCACAGATTCGGCCTTAGGGAACTCTCCACCAACGACGAAGTCTAGTAATAGACAATTTGGACAGAAATTTGTTCGAATTTTTCCTGAGGTCATTTTCGTAATTTTTAGGCGATATTTTCGAAAGGCCATTTTCCTTAGATTTTGAAGGGTGCAGATCACGGATTCAGTCTGAGACTATTCTTTAGGGACGAATAAGTCTATTAAACACCGATTCGGGCGAAAAATATCCGGGGCAAATTTTGCCAGATTCCAAAAGGGTACCATCACCGATTTCGGGCGATTTATTGGAAATGCCATTTTCCTTTGATTTTGAAGGCGATGGATCACAGATTCGGCCTTAGTGAACTCTCCACCAACGACGAAGTCTAGTAATAGCCGATTTGGACAGAAATTTGGTCGAATTTTTCATGAGGTCATTTTCGTAATTTTTAGGCGATATTTTCGAAAGGCCATTTTCCTTAGATTTTGAAGGGTGCAGATCACGGATTCAGCCTGAGACTATTATTTAGGGACGAAGAAGTCTATTAAACACCGATTCGGGCGAAAAATATCCGGGGCAAATTTTGCTAGATTCCAACATCACCGATTTTTATTGGAAATGCCATTTTCCTTGGATTTTGAAGGCGATGGATCACAGATTCGGCCTTAGGGAACTCTCCACCAACGATTAAGTCTAGTTATGCCCGATTTGGACAAAAATTTGTTCGAATTTTTCTGGAGGGCATTTTCGTAATTTTTAGGCAATATTTTCGAAAGACCATTTTCCTTAGATTTTGAAAGGTGCAGATCACGGATTCAACCTAAGACTATTCTTTAGAGAAGAATAAGTCTATTAAACACCAATTCGGGCTAAAAATATCCGGGGCAAATTTTGCCAAATTCCAAAGGGGTACCATCATCGATTTCGGGCGATTTATTGGAAATGCCATTTTCCTTGGATTTTGAAGGCGATGGATCACAGATTCGGCATTAGGGAACTCTCCACCAACGACGAAGTCTAGTAATGGCCGATTTGGACTGAAATTTGGTCGAATTATTCCGGAGGGCATTTTCGTAATTTTTAGGCGATATTTTCGAAAGGCCATTTTCCTTAGATTTTGAAAGGTGCAGATCACAGATTCAGCCTGAGACTATTCTTTAGCGAGGAATAAGTCTATTAAACACCGATTCGGGCGAAAAATATCCGGGGCAAATTTTGCCAGATTCCAACATCACCGATTTTTATTGGAAATGCCATTTTCCGTGGATTTTGAAGGCGATGGATCACAGATTTGGCCTTAGGGAACTCTCCACCAACAATGAAGTCTAGTAATGCCTGATTTGGACATAAATTTGGTCGAATTTTTCCGGAGGGCATTTTCGTAATTTTTAGGCGATATTTTCGAATGGCCATTTTCCTTAGATTTTGAAGGGTGCAGATCACGGATTCAGCCTGAGACTATTATTTAGGGACGAATAAGTCTATTAAACACCAATTCGGGCGAAAAATATCCGGGGCAAATTTTGCCAGATTCCAACATCACCGATTTTTATTGGAAATGCCATTTTCCTTGGATTTTGAAGGCGATGGATCACAGATTCGGCCTTAGGGAACTCTCCACCAATGATGAAGTCTAGTAATGGCAGATTTGTACTGAAATTTGGTCGAATTTTTCCAGAAGTCATTTTCGTAATTTTTAGGCGATATTTTCGAAAGGCCATTTTTCTTAGATTTTGAAGGGTGCAGATCACGGAATGTCTATTAAACACCGATTCGGGCGAAAAATATCCGGTCAAATTTTGCCAGATTCCAAAGGCGTAACATCACCGATTTCGGGCGATTTATTGGAAATGCCATTTTCCTTGGATTTTGAAGGCGATGGATCACAGATTCGGCCTAAGTGAACTCTCCACCAACTACGAAGTCTAGTAATAGCCGATTTGGACAGAAATTTTTTCGAATTTTTCATCAGGTCATTTTCTTAATTTTTAGGCGATATTTTCGAAAGGCCATTTTCCTTAGATTTTGAAGGGTGCAGATCACGGATTCAGCCTGAGACTATTATTTAGGGACGAATAAGTCTATTAAACAACGATTCGGGCGAAAAATATCCTGGGCAAATTTTGCCAGATTCCAACATCACCGATTTTTATTGGAAATGCTATTTTCCTTGGATTTTGAAGGCGATGGAACACAGATTCGGCGTTAGGGAACTCTCCACCAACGATGAAGTCTAGTTATGCCCGATTTGGACAAAAATTTGGTCGAATTTTTCCGGAGGGCATTTTCGTAATTTTTAGGCGATATTTTCGAAAGACCATTTTCCTTAGATTTTGAAAGGTGAAGATCACGGATTCAGCCTGAGACTATTCTTTAGAGACGAAAAAGTCTATTAAACACCAATTCGGGCTAAAAATATCCCGGGCAAATTTTGCCAAATTCCAAAGGCCATCACCGATTTCGGGCGATTTAATGGAAATGCCATTTTCCTTGGATTTTGAAGGCGATGGATCACAGATTCGGTCTTAGGGAACTCTCCACAAACGACAAAGTCTAGTAATGGCCGATTTGGACAGAAATTTGGTCGAATTTTTTCGTAGGGCATTTTCGTAATTTTTAGGCGATATTTTCGAAAGGCCATTTTCCTTAGATTTTGAAGGGTGCAGATCACGGATTCAGCCTGAGACTATTCTTTAGGGACGAATAAGTCTATTAAACACCGATTCGGGCGAAAAATATCCGGGGCAAATTTTGCCAGATTCCAACATCACCGATTTTTATTGGAAATGCCATTTTCCGTGGATTTTGAAGGCGATGGATCACAGATTCGGCCTTAGGGAACTCTCCACCAACAATGAAGTCTAGTAATGCCCGATTTGGACATAAATTTGTTCGAATTTTTCCGGAGGGCATTTTCGTAATTTTTAGGCGATATTTTCGAATGGCCATTTTCCTTAGATTTTGAAGGGTGCAGATCACGGATTCAGCCTGAGACTATTATTTAGGGACGAATAAGTCTATTAAACACCGATTCGGGCGAAAAATATCCGGGGCAAATTTTGCCAGATTCCAACATCACCGATTTTTATTGGAAATGCCATTTTCCTTGGATTTTGAAGGCGATGGATCACAGATTCGGCCTTAGGGAACTCTCCACCAATGATGAAGTCTAGTAATGGCCGATTTGGACTGAAATTTGGTCGAATTTTTCCAGAAGTCATTTTCGTAATTTTTAGGCGATATTTTCGAAAGGCCATTTTTCTTAGATTTTGAAGGGTGCAGATCACGGATTCAGCCTGAGACTATTCTTTAGGGATGAATATGTCTATTAAACACCGAATCGGGCGAAAAATATCCGGGTCAAATTTTGCCAGATTCCAAAGGCGTAACATCACCGATTTCGGGCGATTTATTGATATGCCATTTTCCTTGGATTTTGAAGGCGATGGATCACAGATTCGGCCTTAGGGAACTCTCCACCAATGACGAAGTCTAGTAATGGCCGATTTGGACAGAAATTTGGTCGAATTTTTCATGAGGTCATTTTCGTAATTTTTAGGCGATATTTTCGAACGGCCATTTTCCTTAGATTTTGAAGGGTGCAGATCACAGATTCAGCCTGAAACTATTCTTTAGGGACGAATAAGTCTATTAAACACCGATTCGGGCGAAAAATATCCGGGGCAAATTTTGCCAGATTCCAACATCACCGATTTTTATTGGAAATGCCATTTTCCTTGGATTTTGAAGGCGATGGATCACAGATTCGGCCTTAGGGAACTCTCTACCAACGATGAAGTCTAGTAATACCCGATTTGGACAGAAATTTGGTTGAATTTTTTCGGAGGGCATTTACGTATTTTTTATGCGATATTTTCGAAATGCCATTTTCCTTAGATTTTGAAAGGTATAGATCACAGATTCAGCCTGACACTATTCTTTAGGGACGAATAAGTCTATTAAACACCGATTCGGGCGAAAAATATCCGGGGCAAATTTTGTCAAATTCCAAAGGGGTACCATCACCGATTTCGGGCGATTTATTGGAAATGCCATTTTCCTTGGATTTTGAAGGCGATGGATCACAGATTCGGCCTTAGGGAACTCTCCACCAACGACGAAATCTAGTAATAACCGATTTGGATAGAAATTTGGTCGAATTTTTCCTGAGGTCATTTTCGTAATTTTTAGGCGATATTTTTGAAAGGCCATTTTCCTTAGATTTTGAAGGGTGCAGATCACAGATTCAGCCTGACACTATTCTTTAGGGACGAATAAGTCTATTAAACACCGATTCGGGCGAAAAATATCCGGGGCAAATTTTGCCAGATTCCAAAGGGGTACCATCACCGATTTCGGGCGATTTATTGGAAATGCCATTTTCCTTGGATTTTGAAGGCGATGGATCACAGATTCGGCCTTAGGGAACTCTCCACCAACGACGAAATCTAGTAATAGCCGATTTGGACAGAAATTTGGTCGAATTTTTCCTGAGTTCATTTTCGTAATTTTTAGGCGATATTTTCAAACGGCCATTTTTCTTAGATTTTGAAGGGTGCAGATCATGGATTCAGCGTGAGACTATTCTTTAGGGATGAATTAGTCTATTAAACACCGATTCGGGCGAAAAATATCCGGGTCAAATTTTGCCAGATTCCAACATCACCGATTTTTATTGGAAATGCAATTTTCCTTGGATTTTGAAGGCGATGGATCACAGATTCGGCCTTAGGGAACTCTCTACCAACGATGAAGTCTAGTAATGCCCGATTTGGACAGAAATTTCGTTGAATTTTTCCGGAGGGCATTTACGTATTTTTTATGCGATATTTTCGAAATGCCATTTTCCTTAGATTTTGAAAGGTATAGATCACAGATTCAGCCTGACACTATTCTTTAGGGACGAATAAGTCTATTAAACACCGATTCGGGCGAAAAATATCCGGGGCAAATTTTGTCAAATTCCAAAGGGGTACCATCACCGATTTCGGGCGATTTATTGGAAATGCCATTTTCCTTGGATTTTGAAGGCGATGGATCACAGATTCGGCCTTAGGGAACTCTCCACCAACGACGAAATCTAGTAATAACCGATTTGGACAGAAATTTGGTCGAATTTTTCCTGAGGTCATTTTCGTAATTTTTAGGCGATATTTTTGAAAGGCCATTTTCCTTAGATTTTGAAGGGTGCAGATTACAGATTCAGCCTGACACTATTCTTTAGGGACGAATAAGTCTATTAAACACCGATTCGGGCGAAAAATATCCGGGGCAAATTTTGCCAGATTCCAAAGGGGTACCATCACCGATTTCGGGCGATTTATTGGAAATGCCATTTTCCTTGGATTTTGAAGGCGATGGATCACAGATTCGGCCTTAGGGAACTCTCCACCAACGACGAAATCTAGTAATAGCCGATTTGGACAGAAATTTGGTCGAATTTTTCCTGAGTTCATTTTCGTAATTTTTAGGCGATATTTTCGAAAGGCCATTTTTCTTAGATTTTGAAGGGTGCAGATCATGGATTCAGCGTGAGACTATTCTTTAGGGATGAATTAGTCTATTAAACACCGATTCGGGCGAAAAATATCCGGGTCAAATTTTGCCAGATTCCAAAGGGGTACCATCTCCGATTTCGGGCGATTTATTGGAAATGCCATTTTCCTTTGATTTTGAATGCGATGGATAACAGATTCGGCCTTAGGGAACTCTCCACCAACGATGAAGTCTAGTAATGGCCGATTTGGATAGAAATTTGGTATCGAATTTTTCTCGAGGGCATTTTCGTAAATTTTAGGCGATATTTTTGAAAGGCCATTTTCCTTAGATTTTGAAAGGTGTAGATCACAGATTCAGCCTGACACTATTCTTTAGGGACGAATAAGTCTATTAAACACCGATTCGGGCGAAAAATATCCGGGGCAAATTTTGCCAGATTCCAAAGGGGTACCATCACCAATTTCGTGCGATTTATTGGAAATGCCATTTTCCTTGGATTTTGAAGGCGATGGATCACAGATTCGGCCTTAGGGAACTCTCCACCAACGACGAAATCTAGTAATAGCCGATTTGGACAGAAATTTGGTCGAATTTTTCCTGAGGTCATTTTCGTAATTTTTAAGCGATATTTTCGAAAGGACATTTTCCTTAGATTTTGAAGGGTGCAGATCACGGATTCAGCCTGAGACTATTCTTTAGGGAGGAGTAAGTCTATTAAACACCGATTCGGGCGAAAAATATCCGGGGCAAATTTTGCCAGATTCCAACATCACCGATTTTTATTGGAAATGCCATTTTCCTTGGATTTTGAAGGCGATGGATCACAGATTCGGCCTTAGGGAACTCTCCACCAATGATGAAGTCTAGTAATGGCCGATTTGGACTGAAATTTGGTCGAATTTTTCCTGAGGTCATTTTCGTAATTTTTAGGCGATATTTTTGAAAGGCCATTTTCCTTAGATTTTGAAGGGTGCAGATCACAGATTCAGCCTGACACTATTCTTTAGGGACGAATAAGTCTATTAAACACCGATTCGGGCGAAAAATATCCGGGGCAAATTTTGCCAGATTCCAAAGGGGTACCATCACCGATTTCGGGCGATTTATTGGAAATGCCATTTTCCTTGGATTTTGAAGGCGATGGATCACAGATTCGGCCTTAGGGAACTCTCCACCAACGACGAAATCTAGTAATAGCCGATTTGGACAGAAATTTGGTCGAATTTTTCGTGAGTTCATTTTCGTAATATTTAGGCGATATTTTCGAAAGGCCATTTTTCTTAGATTTTGAAGGGTGCAAATCATGGATTCAGCGTGAGACTATTCTGTAGGGATGAATTAGTCTATTAAACACCGATTCGGGCGAAAAATATCCGGGTCAAATTTTGCCAGATTCCAAAGGGGTACCATCTCCGATTTCGGGCGATTTATTGGAAATGCCATTTTCCTTGGATTTTGAAGGCGATGGATAACAGATTCGGCCTTAGGGAACTCTCCACCAACGATGAAGTCTAGTAATGGCCGATTTGGATAGAAATTTGGTATCGAATTTTTCTCGAGGGCATTTTCGTAATTTTTAGGCGATATTTTTGAAAGGCCATTTTCGTTAGATTTTGAAAGGTGTAGATCACAGATTCAGCCTGACACTATTCTATAGGGACGAATAAGTCTATTAAACACCGATTCGGGCGAAAAATATCCGGGGCAAATTTTGCCAGATTCCAAAGGGGTACCATCACCAATTTCGTGCGATTTATTGGAAATGCCATTTTCCTTGGATTTTGAAGGCGATGGATCACAGATTCGGCCTTAGGGAACTCTCCACCAACGACGAAATCTAGTAATAGCCGATTTGGACAGAAATTTGGTCGAATTTTTCCTGAGGTCATTTTCGTAATTTTTAGGCGATATTTTCGAAAGGACATTTTCCTTAGATTTTGAAGGGTGCAGATCACGGATTCAGCCTGAGACTATTCTTTAGGGATGAATATGTCTATTAAACACCGATTCGGGCGAAAAATATCCGGGTCAAATTTGGCCAGATTCCAAAGGCGTAACATCAACGATTTCGGGCGATTTATTGATATGCCATTTTTCCTTGGATTTTGAAGGCGATGGATCACAGATTCGGCCTTAGGGAATTCTCTACCAACGATGAAGTCTAGTAATGCCCGATTTGGACAGAAATTTGGTCGAATTTTTCCGGATGGCATTTTCTTAATTTTTAGGCGATATTTTCGAAAGGCCATTCTCCTTAGATTTTGAATGGTGCAGATCACGGATTTAGCCTGAGACTATTCTTTAGGGACGAATAGGTCTATTAAACACTAATTCGGGGGGAAAAATATGCGGGGCAAATTTCGCCAGATTCCAAAGGGGGTACCATCACCGATTTCGGGCGATTTATTGGAAATGCCATTTTCCTTGGATTTTGAAGGCGATGGATCACAGATTCGGCCTTAGGGAACTCTCCACCAACGATGAAGTCTAGTAATGGCCGATTTGGACAGAAATTTGGTTGAATTTTTCCGGAGGGCATTTACGTATTTTTTATGCGATATTTTCGAAATGCCATTTTCCTTAGATTTTGAAAGGTATAGATCACAGATTCAGCCTGACACTATTCTTTAGGGACGAATAAGTCTATTAAACACCGATTCGGGCGAAAAATATCCGGGGCAAATTTTGTCAAATTCCAAAGGGGGTACCATCACCGATTTCGGGCGATTTATTGGAAATGCCATTTTCCTTGGATTTTGAAGGCGATGGATCACAGATTCGGCCTTAGGTAACTCTCCACCAACGACGAAATCTAGTAATAACCGATTTGGACAGAAATTTGGTCGAATTTTTCCTGAGGTCATTTTCGTAATTTTTAGGCGATATTTTCGAAAGGACATTTTCCTTAGATTTTGAAGGGTGCAGATCACGCATTCAGCCTGAGACTATTCTTTAGGGATGAATATGTCTATTAAACACCGATTCGGGCGAAAAATATCCGGGTCAAATTTTGCCAGATTCCAAAGGCGTAACATCAACGATTTCGGGCGATTTATTGATATGCCATTTTCCTTGGATTTTGAAGGCGATGGATCACAGATTCGGCCTTAGGGAACTCTCCACCAACGACGAAATCTAGTAATAGCCGATTTGGACAGAAATTTGGTCGAATTTTTCCTGAGGTCATTTTCGTAATTTTTAGGCGATATTTTCGAAAGGACATTTTCCTTAGATTTTGAAGGGTGCAGATCACGGATTCAGCCTGAGACTATTCTTTAGG